AATAGAAAATCGTATTTTAAAAATTAAAAAAGGTAGAATTTACACATTAAAAATAAAGATATTCAATGAATGCTAACATAAAAAATAAATTATTTTCAAATTCAGAAAGATAAAAAACGTTAAAAATATTAAAATTAAATATAAAAATAATAAAAAATCTTTGAAAAATAATCAAAAAATCAAAAAAAATACTAGGATTTAAGAAGCAACAGACAAATTTATTAAACTAACATAAAATTATTTTCAAATCCAGGAAGATCATAATTCCAAAAATTTAAACATCGAAATTATATTTTTATTTTATATTCTATTAGAAAGGATAGAATCAAAAGAAGTGTAAAATAATGTCATAGTAGCAAGAAAACAGAAGCCGTTTTCAAAGGAAATGACAGTAAAAATAAAGATAATTTAAACAGTTAATTAAAATAGGTCTGAATACGACTGATTCAGGATTTATTGTCAAGAAAAATGATAGAAAAAATAGGAAAATTCTAAAAAAACAATATTTTTGGCCTTTGATTATAATCTAATTTCCAAATTAATTTAAAAAATACGGTAAAAATTGATACTTTTAAAAGAAGCAAAAGAGAAATAGAAATAAAATTTTAGGCAGAAGGAAATCGGCAAAGGGCCAAATATCTTTTCGTTTTAAAGATGTGCGCGCTCGTACCATAACTAGAATAGGAAGAAAGGGGGAGGAACGAGGAGGAATTAATAAGGAAAAGGATTTAAAAAAGAAATTAAAAATTAAAAGATTGTAATTAAAATTCAAAGAGCTAATGAAGAAAAATGTTAAAAAATGAAAGAAAAGAATTCTAAAATTTAAACAAAAAATTGATTTTCCGATTTAATTAAGTTCAAATATTGGTCAGATTCGAGGATTATTGTCTGAATTCTAATTTTACATTTTGAAAAATATTTTGGAATTTTAGAATACCTGAGGTTTCTAATAAAAAGAAAATATTTTGAATCTGAAAATTTGGAGTACAAATCCTTTCCAATGTCCTTTTCGAAAACAACATTATTTTTAATTAAACCGGAAATCAGTTTTTGCAAAAATTAAATAGTAATTTAAAATATATACTCGAAAAATTATAAAAATATATACCCACCTCTCGATCCAAGCACTCAAAAATCCACAAGTGACAAACCAAAATTCAAAATAAAGTGCTAAAAATTTTTAATTATTATAAATAAACATAAGTTAATTTTAACAACCTCAAATGATCCAATTTTGTAAAAACGTAATCAATTTTTTGTTGTTTTTATTTAAAGAATGTTGTCAATTAAATTTAGTGAAAATGTTGTCAATTAGAAAATGTCAATCTGTGCAGAACTTGCTAATTTAATTATAAAATAAATTTGTATAATTTAAAGTTAATATCCTGAAAATAAAAAGATTAGCAGAAAAATGAAGCATATACGTAAACTAATAAAGGCTAATTCAAAACTTTTATTAAAAACTTTAAAGAAAAAATATTAAGAATTGAGATCTCTAGAAATAGAAACAAAGAATTTTAAATTCAAATAAAAAGACAACAAAGAAATACAATAAATGAAAGTACAATATAAAATGTTAAAAAATTGCTTATTATCAGAAAAAAATAATAAGACGGTAACTATAAAATAATTACTAAAAATGGCAATCTAAGGGACTTGTACGCTTAGTTATCAAAGAGAACGTCTTAAGTAACGTCTTAATTGCCTTTCTATTAGAATGTATTTTACGAATAAAAGGGAACTCCGGAAATTAGAAAATAAACTAATTTAGATCGGGATTTCTTAAAATAGAAACAAAAAACTTGTAATTCAAAATAAAGACAACAAAGAAATACAAAAAGAAATTAAATAATGTAGTAACAAAAGTTAGAGAAATAAATAGAAAAGAACACGAGAGAAAAAAATAAAGAGGAAAAGAAATTATAGAAAAGCGAACAGCCTTTTCGTCATTGGACACTTGGTCACGGAACATTTCGTCAAAGAACATTTTGCCAATTTCTGCATATTACATAATGCCAAAAATCGAGAGTGCTGACAAAATATCTCGATTTATTTTAATTTCTTCACTCTGAAAAAATGGCGACTCTTTTTGTCTAACGTCTCTCCTCTCTCTTTAGTCATAACGCTCTTTATTTTAAGTCGCTTAATTTCGAAGTGGATTTATTACAATCTCTCTTTATTTGTTACATGTTCTCTTCTTTTTCATGTACTAATTTTAAATCTTTTTGTTAATCAATTTAGCGCAGTTTCACAAAGATCTGATTAAATCTGATACATTGCAAATTTTCTGAGTAATTTTGTTCAAAATCTGACCCAAACTTCTTATCAAATGGATCCAGTTGATGGGTAAATTATCAAGTTTTTGTCTTTCCAAATAATTAAAAATTTTAAGAGATCGAGTTTATGCTGCTGAGCGTCTCCTTCAAATTCGTACACGTAAAGGACAGCAGGAATATTTGGTCAAGTGGAAGGGATGGTCAGCTAAACACAACACTTGGGAACCAACTGAGAATATTCTTGATGATAGATTGATACAAGAGTTCGAACAACGCCAAGCTACAACAACAACTCGTGGGCCGAAACGTAAAGCTGCGGGTGCTGCTTCAAGCAATTTGTCCGCGTCTGGAAGTTCTACAACAACAACAAATCAGACTTTGAGTCCACCAGTTAAAAGGGGTAGACGACTTGCCAGTACTCGTCAGAAGACTGATAGTGGTTCAGGTTTACTTTTTGCAAACAATTAGAATGTCCAGAACATTTTTAGAAAGCGCCGCGGGATCACCTTCCACTTCAATTGGCACACGTCGTTCAAGTCGTCGTACAGCTGCAAAAGGTGAAGAAGAGTCTCGCGATGGCAGTGTTAGTACCGTTGATAAAGTTGAAGTTGGCAAAAAAGAGGCAAAGTTGTCTGTGAAAAAGACTAAGGAAGACAATGACGAGGGAGCTTCAGAGAAAGAGGTTTTAATAAAATAAGGGTACTTAAATAACTAAAAATTTTAATTTTAGGAGCATCCAGAAGAGGCCAAAATAGAAACTGCTCCACATAGTGAGGCTGAACCAGAAATTCCAGCTGCTCCAGTTTTAACCAAAGAGGAGCCAAAACAAGCTGAAGATGCTGATACAACTGCTGCTGATGATCATGAGGTTGAACTAGTTGATAATGATGAGGCTAGAGAAGCGCCACCTTTGGAAATTTTTGGTTTATTTTCTTTTGGGTTGTTTTATCAAGAAAATATTTTTAGTTGAACGTAAACCGACTAAACACGAATTGGCTCAAAATGGTGGCAATGACACAGCAGCGAAAAACAATGATACGTTTATAATAACGAATGAGACTGATCCAAATTGTACACATAAAATACAAGTTTTTACTAAACAAGGAGGTACTAGTGGTTCTTCAACTGAAAAAGCAAAGCCTACTAACAATGGGGAAGGTGATATTATTTGTGCTGGAGCTGATAAAGCAGGAACTACTACGAGTCAAAATGATATGGATGAAGACATTATTATTGTCAAGGATAATGGAAGCATCGCTGAGACGGTCAGTCAATGTTCTTCTGTAGACGGGAATGAATCTGAGGCGGTTTTGGTTTCAACCGCCCCCGTCACCTCTTCCGCTATTACTGCTCCTCCCACAAGCTCTGAATGAACAGCGGAATTTTAGAAAGGAAAGAGGTGATAAGGATTTTTAAATTATTATTTCAATAGGTTAGGGTGAGGGTGTTTAACAGCTAGAGAACCTTTTACTTTTTTTTTATCCACGCTTAATAGTATTTGTTTTTTTCGATAGGGTTTCGTTGGGCTTGAGGATTTAGTTATTTTATTTCCCTTATTTTTGTTTTTAAAATACTTTTATTGCCAATTTAAAAATTTTTTCTTTCAGAAGACTTGGACTGATCCAATTACAAAAGAGCCAGTTACAATCCAAAATGAACCCTATCAATATAATGGCTCACATATAATTACTGATGTCACTCTAAATGGTATAACTACAACTTTTATTGAAATTTAAAGAAAAACATGACTTGTTCTAAGGCCAAACCTTTGTAATTTTTTCAAGTTATTTTACCTTAATAGATGGGAAATGGAAGGGTTTAATCCTTAAAATTTTTTTAATGATTTGTTTTACCTAATTTATTTCTTTGACTGATCCTTATCCTCTTCCACATTTCCCTGCCACATTTTAATCGTCTTTTTTTAAATATTCGACACTAGGGTTATCGGTTTCAAACCAGACCTAAAACACGAAGATTTTTGGTTTGGTTTGTTAGTTCGGTTAACCACGAGTTTGACGAAACCGACAACCCTTTTCAACACCTATTTAAAATTTTTTATTTTGAATCTGCTGGTTGTATTAAATTATAGTGAGAGTTTTTATGATTTTAGTTCCTTCTAAATTATTGCAATTTTATACAACCAGTTATAACTTAAAATTATTTTTTTTTAAATTTTTCCTCAGTCGTAAAAATGTAGTTTTGTTTTTAATTTAATTCCCCTGTTTTATCTTTATACGTCTCTAACGATTTTTGGTAATTTTTTTGTGTTGATAAATATAAACATGGATATTTTTTAAATAAATGTTTTTGTTTGGTTGCTTTTTACAATTTTTATTTACTTGGAGAGAATAGTTTTTAAATTATTAAATGATTGGAATTTTTTAAAAGTTAATTGGGCATTTTTTTAGATTTTAGTTTTATGTTAAAGACGACTTATTTTTCATTAAAATCATTAAATTTGCTGAGTAGACAATTCTCGTCGTTGAAAACCAGTACAAGCATGGTTAAATATTTGAGGTTATTTTTTTATTTTAAATTCTAACCCCGGCATTTGTGTCGCGACAAACCCCAACTCTCAGCTGTTCAACGGCTGATAGGTAAATTAGAAAAGGAATTTTTTGCTTCGAAAAATTTTTATAAAAAAGTTTTCTAATATTTTTTAGTCAACAAGAAGCAATTAATATTGACCAGGAATTGTTTAATTCCTTTTCTGTTGATCAATTAATGGAATTGGCTGGGTTGAGCTGTGCTCAAGCAATTCATAGTGTTTATAATAAAGGTGGTTTTTAACTGATTTTTTTGAAAAATTTTAGTTTTTAAAGGAAAAGTGCTTGTAATAACTGGTCCAGGCAATAATGGAGGTGATGGATTTGTTTGTGCTAGACATTTGAAACATTTTGTAATTTTTTTAGTTAATATTTTTATTGAATATTTTTTATCTTAAGGGTTTTACGCCAACTATAGTTAATCCTAAACCTTCAAAAAATGAATTGATGCAGCGATTAATTGTAATTCTTTAAATTTTTTAAAAATTTATTTGAGGTTTCTCTCAGTTTTGTTTCCAGTTTGTCCGGTGTGGGGGATGTAAAGAATAGAGATTCAGCTATCTAATTACTAAAATCTAAATAATTCTTTTTTAAAAACAGATTCAAACTCAACAACTTGGAATTGAACAATTAGAATCATTACCAAAAGATTTGAGCAATTTCAATTTAATTGCTGATGCTATATTTGGTTTTAGTTTTAAGCCTCCTATTAGAGAACCTTTTACACAAATTATTAAACAACTGGCCGAGCAAAAGGATTTACCTATTTTTTCTATTGATATTCCATCAGGTTATTTTAATTTTTTAAATTTAATTTTCGTTCGTTGAAGGGACTATGAGAGGTTGAGGAGTTTTTTCATATCAATTCAAAAAATTTAAATTATTTTTTAAAGGCTGGGATGTTGAAAAAGGACCTCCTAAAGATGAAACACCTACAATTATGCCTGATTCTCTAATGTCTCTCACAGCCCCAAAATTGTGTGCTAAATATTTTAAAGGAAGGCATCATTTTATTGGTGGACGTTTTCTACCTCCAAAGTAATTTTTTAATAAAATTATTTTATTTTAAATATCCCCTAAATTTTTAAGAATCTCAGAAAAGCTAAATTTGCCTGAATATGAAGGATCAAGTCAATTTATAAAAATTTAACGGAAAAATGATTTTTTGATAAAATAAATTTTTTAATTTTTAATTATGTATGCTAGTTAAAATTAAAAATAAATATTTTCAGCATCAAAAAAAATTAAAAATAATTCTTTAGCCCTTTTACACTTTCTTCAGCCCTTTATTTATTCTATTGATTATCACATCTTCCCCTCTAACGGTTTTACTTTTATGACTTCATCTTTTTGGGAGGTTTTTTACACTAACCGTAAATCCAAAATATCATTTTCCTAAAGCTTCGCTTCCTTTCCTTCCTTTTGCTTACATTTTAGTGATCATTTGGGTCAGTCATCTTCCTCTTTCTACTAGAAACAAGCATTGTATAGGATTAGAGAAATAAAGAAGATTTTCTTGCTAGAAAAATAAAAGAAGTGGAATTTTGGGTGTCCTCCTATTCCTAACAGTGTCGAAAAAAATTGTTGTCCTCCCCTAGTTTTCTCCTAAAATTAAGAGATTTAATCTCTTTATTAATTTTTAGTTGCCAAAGATTCTACAAAAATAGAAGAAAATGGCTGTAGACTTTCAATATCCTCAATTTGGAAATATGGATGATATTCTTAATCAATTAAATATAATTTCTAATGAATCAATTGATATTACTGACACTGTTAAACGAAGGTTTTTTTGAAGATTTTTTGTTTAATTTTTTTAAATTTAAAGTAAGAGTCAATTAATGCAGCATCGACTCAAGAATCCACTTTTTGCTGTCCTTTGCGATATTAAAAATAAAACTTGTAAGTTCATTGTTGTTGTTGGGCGTCTGGTTATTAACCGAAAACTCCTGGTTTTCAGTTTCAGAAACCAAAACCCCCAGTTTTGGTTTCTGACTGCCCCCGGCTTCGATTAGGTTAACCGACCGCTAACAACCCCCTATTTTTATCACCTCTAAGAAAAAAATTATTTTTTAGCTCCTTCAATTCGTAGCATACCTGATGATCAATCTGACGATTTTTCTCGAGGTTTATTCATTTAATTCTTTCCTTTTTAATTTTTCTTTAAAGATCCACAATTAGTTCGCTTAGATAATATGTTATTAGCTGAAGGTATTGCTGGACCTGAACGCGTTAATACACCAGAAGCTGGGGATACTGCTGATTATAAACAAAAATTGATTCAAATTCGTCAAACTTATAACGACGAAATGAGGAAATATCAAGATGTTTGTTTACTTTTTAATTTTTTAAAATTTTTTTAAAGGCCTGTGAAGAATTTACTTCTCACGTACTTCAGTTATTACAAGAACAGGGAACTATCCGTCCAATATCCAATGAAGAAATGAATCGAATGGTCAATATTATTCAAAAGAAATTTTCTGTTATACAAGTTCAATTGAAGCAATCTACGTGTGAAAATGTTATGGTTTTACGATCGAGATTTTTGGATGCTAGGTTTTTTCTAAAAAAAATTTTTTTTTAAGTTTCCCCTTTAATTTAGACGAAAACGCCGCAATTTTAGCAAACAAGCAACAGACATTTTAAACGAATATTTTTATGTTTACATACACAATCCTTATCCTAGTGAAGAAGTTAAAGAAGATTTGGCTAGAAAATGTGGAATTACTGTTAGTCAAGTTAGCAATTGGTTTGGAAATAAACGGATTCGATATAAAAAGAATATTGCAAAAACACAAGAAGAAGCTGCCATCTATGTAAAGAAAGGTGGTCAGGGAGGAGGTTTTAAATTTTTATAAATTTTTGACATTTGAGATCACTCAATCCTCCCACATTCTGTCACTAAAGCTAAAATCCCATGTATTGCCAACACAGCTTTATTGGCAAACCGTGGAGTTTTTGCCTTATTGGTAGAATATGGAGTAGCCCATTTTCGGGATATCCAAAACCCCTAACCACAAAACACCTCTAAAATTTCCTTTTTTAAGTACCAACAACTTATGGTGTTTTAAATAACAATGCTAATGCTGCCGTTGCTGCTGCCGCTGCAGCTAGTTCAATGTTGAATAACCCATATGCTGCAAATATGCTTCAACACGGTCAAGCAGATTTACAACATCAAATGATGGGAGGTGGATTTGATTTGACAGCTGGATATAATCCACAATTGGTTTGAATTTTTAAAAATAATTTTAAGAGTGGAGGGTCGGGAGAAGGGCAATGAACTATTTAAAAAAATTTTGGAAGAATTTTCTAAGTTGCTAGGGTTATTTCTATTATTTTTAACAATTTTTTTAAATGAAAAATTACTTTTTAGTTCCAAATGAATTATATGCAACCACAACAACCTTCAAATAATTCTCCACAAAATTAGAAAAAAAGAATGGCCATAATTATTTTTTGTATTTTACCTCAATAAATGAGAAGGAAAAGAAAATGCCATTTAACAAATAAATTACTTAATTAACATAATAACAAAAATTTTTTTCGCAAGCATAATTACTTAATAATTGTCCCTTAATTTCCCCTTTAATTTTTTTTGTAATTTTTTCCTTTTTTTAAATAAAATTGAATTAATTTTTGTTTGTTGTTTATTCAAAAATGTTAAAATTCGATTAATTCTTTTTCTCGAAAATAAATTTAAAAAAATTCTAATTTTATAAATTTATGTTTTTTACAGGTTAAATATTTTAAAAAAAATAATTATTTAAAAAATGGGTGCAGCTGAGAGCAAATTATCTGAAAAAGTGGATGAGAAAGGAATTAAAAAGGAAGTATAAAAATTTTTAAATTATCTAATTCGAGTAAAAAATTTCTTTTAAAGATTGGCGAATGTCCAGTAGTTATCTATACAAAATCAGAATGTGGTTATTGTAAAATGGCAAAAGATTTACTTGAGAAGGAAAGGATTAATTATAGAGAACACGAATTGGGACATTTACAACGTGAAGATCCTGAAGGATATCAGGTGGGATGAAATGTTATGGTATTAAATATTTCTTTTTTTTTGGAGAGAGGGATGGGAGGGAGAATTGTTAATCTGAGAACTTGTTCAACGAGTAGGAGTTTTAGTTCTGGCCTTGAGGGTCGACGAAATGTCATGACGTTTATTTTTCTTTGTTGGGAGGAAGCGTTGGTAAAACTTTTGTTACAAGGGGGTCTTTCAATTCTGTCAAGGAATTCCAGACATGCTGGTTCCTTAGGTCATTTCCATGTAACAAAAGGCGGGAGATTTATACTTAAGCAGGGCTTGTGTCAAAGTTCCTATATTCCAAGCAAAAAATAATTTAAAATTTATTTTCATTTAGAAACGCGTTAATGGATTAGTTTACATTACCAGACATAAAACAATGCCTCAAGTATTTATTTGTGAAAGTTTTATTGGAGGTTTGAAGGAAATTTTATTTTTTAATTTAAATTTTTTTATTTGAAGGTTTTACAGAACTCAACAAACTTGCTCAAGAAGGAAAACTTAAAGAAGAAATTAGTCGATGTTTGGATTAAAATTATTTTTGTTTTAGATTTTTTAGTTAAAATAAATTTCTTTTTGAAAATAAAATTTAAAGAAAAATATTTTTAAAATATTTATATAAAAACAGAAAAAAAGGATTTTTTGCTCCTTAAAAATTCTTTTAAAAATTCGTTTAATTTTTTGTTTATTTTTTTTTCTAGCCAACTCTAGCTCGATATATTGGCATCATCATTCCACGTTTTCCAATTCTTGCTAAAAAGAGACGTTTGCCTACACTTGGTTGATTACTTCTTTTATTTTTTGTTGGTGTTTGCTGCCTGGAAATTTCGGTAAAATGTTTTTGGTTTTTTAAATTCAAAATTATTAAAAATTATTTTAGTTTCTTGCTTACCACCGAATCATGTTCAGTTCTACTGGATCTGTTAAACTCAGCATGGACGCTGGATACAAATCATCAACCATTCTTTGTAGGTTTGCATTTGTTGTGTCGTCTTAAAAATTTTTTAATATTTTTTTGCTTGGGTTTTTTTTTGCTTTTTATTACCTCCCCAATTGTCCTCCAAAATCTCATTTTGTGTTCTAATTGCCGTTGAACAATTCACAAAAAAATTTAAAAATAAAATTGAAGAAATGATCAAAATTTTAGAAATTTTGTGAATTTTTTTGTTATTAGAGAATTTCATATTAATAATTTTTTCTGAAAAAATTCTCAATAATGAGTTGTGTAAAATAAAAGAGAAAAGTGAATTTAAAAAAGAAATTTAGATTTTTATTTTTTCTTTACGTTTTTAATAATTTAATTTTAATTTTTTCTTCCCTTTTGCGCGGCACAATTTTTTAATTCAATTTTTATTTATTTAAATTTAATTATCTATCTAAAAAATATTTTATAAGAATTCTTAGAAAGTACTTGAGAAAGGAATTATTTTTTTATTGATATTTGGTGCTAGGGGGGATTGACCGAATTTTTTAATTTTTGGATTAATCATTTTTTAGATTTTTTAACTTTTTTAAGGAAGTAATAAGCAAGATATTAGTTTTCTAAATAATTTTTATTACGAATTTTCTTTATTTTTATATAGCCTCTATATTTTTTAGTAGAGGGAAAATACCAAAAATAAAAATAATTTTTTGAGGCTTCTTTAATAATAAAATAATTTTATTTTTTTAAAAGATTTTCACATAATTTTTTATTAATCATTTATTTTTTTATTTTTCAGATTTGGCATTTTTAATTGTTTGCTTTATTATGGTTACAATAGAACAAAAGATTGAAGAAAATAATTATGATCAGAATGATGATATTTTTGTTACTTCAAACTTGGAAGAAAATAAAAATAATATTTTTGATGGGAATAATAATGATGACGTTGACAGCAACAACGGTGGGTGGTCAGTCGGTAAATTTAAATAAAAATAAAAAAAATAAAGAAGGAAATCGGGTAATTACTGTTTTTGAGGGCTTTTAAAACCCAAAAAATTTAGAAAAAAATTTTTTTGAGTAATTTATAAAACCGAAAACCTCGGGTTTTTAAAAATTTGTATTAATCGAAAACCGGAGCTGTAGGTATAAATAACTAGGTCGACAAAAACCTTAGTATTTAAAAATGAGGAGAAGAGGGAAGGGGTGTCTAAATATTGAAAAAAAATTTTTGAAATAAATTGTACTATTGGAAAATTTGGAGAAATATGGGGATGGATGTTCGTTTGCTAAAATAATTTTCTGTTCTTATGTGCAAAAAAAATTTTGAAATTAATTATTTATTTATCTCATTTCCTCAATTTAGGAACGATAATGATGATGAATTATTTTATTTACTAAAACAAAATAATTGTACTATTGAAAGAGTTGATGGAACAAAGTTTGGACAAGACGATTTTCTCAGCAAGTATTTCTAAAATTTTTTTCAAAATTAAAAAAATTTTTTTTTAAGTTATGCATATTCAAAGCCTTTAATTATTACAAATATTTTTGATAATGCTAAAAAGGCGTATTTTCAAAAATCTAATTTATTGGCTAATTGGAGCAATTTTCCTGTTGTTTTGGCGTCAGCTAATACCTACAGGTTTTCTTTAAATTTTTTTACACGAAAATTATTTTTTAAAGTTATTCAAAAGGCGAGTGATTTTTTGTGATTTTAACAATTTCAAAACAAAATTTTTTTCAGTAGAAACTACATTTGGTGTTTATTTACAAAAATATTTGAAGCCTTTAGACATCAATATTCCTGCAAATGGTTTTGTTTAAATTTTAGAAATTTTTCAAAATTTTTTTCTTTTTTCAGAAACATTTTATCTTTTTGGTGATATTGACAGAGAGATGTGGAAACCTTTATTAGACCAATATAAATTGCCTAGTTGGAATTTACCTGGACACGAACCTGCTTTAAGCTTTGGAATTGCTGCTGTTGGAACTGGGTTTTTTTATTTTTGAAATTATTTTTTAAAATTATTTTTAAGTGTTCCCTTTCATTTTCATGGGCCTGGTTTTGCAGAAGTTATATTTGGAGCAAAAGTAAGTTTTGAAAAAAAATTTCTTTTAATTTTTTGAAATTTCAAAAAAAAAAATTGTAAAATTTTTTCAAAAATTTTTGCGAGTAGTTCGGTTCTTTTTCGGACCTTTTAAGTTTAATAAATTAAAAATAGCCAATAATTATTTTTTTAAGTATTGGTTTCTTTCTCCATTTGAAAAACGTCCAAAATGGGATCCAAATGTTTCTACCTTACAATGGATGAAAGAAATATTTTTAAATTTGCCTTTAGAAGAAAAACCGTTAAATTGTCTTTTACTCCCCGGAGAATTGATTTATTTTCCTGACAAGGTATTTTTTAAAAACAAAATTTTTTTGAAAATTTTCTTTTCTCAAAAAAAGTGGTGGCATGCTACACTAAATGTCAAAACTTCTGTATTTTTTAGTACATTTTTAAGTCCAACTAATAATAAAATTAATGAGAATAAGGAAAATTGGAAAGATGAATTTTAAGAGGATATTTTTAAATGAGAGAGGAGGAGGAGGGTTATTTTTTATTTTACATAATTGGGTAATTTTTTTCTAATTTTTTTGAGGCCCTTTAATATTTAATTAATTTAATTTACCATTTTTTGGTTCTTAATAGTCCTATGAAATATTTTTCAAATTAGAGTTGTTGGCGACGAACTCAAAACTTGAAAAGATTTTTTTCGATATTTTTGAACTTAAAAAATTATCCCAAAAATAATTCCTCGATATTTTTAACTAAAATTTAAAACCAAAAAGCTGGTTTTTAAAATTTTTAATTAACAGAAAATCTGAGAGTACCGGTTTTAATAGCCGGTCGTCAACAACTCCTACATATTCTTTTCAAACTTTCCTAGCATTTTTTTAAATTTAAGTGAATTTCGGTTCCAAAATTTTTATTTATTTTTTCTAAATTATTTATATATTTAATTTACGAATTAAAAAAATTTTTTCTTTTAGAATTCGTCTTTTAATTAATTAATTAAACAGTCCAATCTCTGGGTATTGGGTGCATTCCATAAATAAATGGACGAATAACCCAAAATCCTTGTTGATTATTTGATTTTAATAATCTTGTTGATGTAAATGGAGGGAGAAGAAGCCTTCCATAATTATTTGTTTGTTGTCCTGCTGAACGTTTTCCAAAGCCCATAGGTAAACGTCCACTTCCTTTTATAAATTCTTCTGAAGAAAAAATATTTTTAAGTTAAGGAGAGATGATTTTAAAATTTTTGAAAATTTTCTGAAATTTTTAAAAAAATTTTTCTGATTTTTTATAATTCTAAGGGTTCTTTTTTAATTTTTTAAAATAATTTTTTGAATTTTTTTCCGAAATTTTCCTTCCTTTACCGTATTCTTCACTAGATCTTTTGTCTATTGACCTGTGTGCATCTTCTATAGGCTCTTCCTTTAAAAAAAGATTTTTTTAATTCTTTCCAAAAATAGAAAAATCTAAATTAAAATCCAATCCAATTATACCTCACTTAACAATTCAAATCCAGCGGAAATAAAAATTTGTTGAGGGCACAGATGTAAAAATAAAAAAAGGTGAAATAATGGGAAAAGAGTAATACTTTTAAAATTTAGTTGAAAATTCATTTCTTTTTTAGAATTTTTTTGGCAATTTTTATAAAAATGTGAATGAATATAGGCTTTAAAATGAGTTTAAAAACATTGTTTTATATAGTAGCCATTTTTTAAAAATTTTTTTTTTGTGGGGGGTGAGAGGGGGAGGAGGTGGAGCAAGTCTAATTAGAAAGGGAATGGTTAATAAATGGAATAGTAGTAGGCTGGAGGAAGGAAATGACTCTTTAAAGGAAGGGAGAGAGGGGAAAGGAACTTGAAAATAAAAATTGCTGTAAATTTAAAAAAATATTTTGAGGGGTTTTGGAAGATTTTTGAGGTTGTAGAAAGGAATTTTAAGGGCAATCTTGAAAGGTTTCCATCACACTGTAGAAGTCAAGGACCTTGGGTTGTCTGTCCAATGATTTCTAAGTGTCCCTCTAAGTGAAGTATTTTAAAAGGCCTCCATCACCCTTTAGACAAGATTATTATCAAAATCGGCAAGAGATCTTGTGAGCTAAATTTATCTCGCCTAAAAATTGCTGCGAGTCTACGGGTCTTTTTAATAAATATTTTTTATTTACTTCAATTATTCTTTTAAGCCAAAAATTTTTTTAATAATAGAAGGGAGGGAATATTTTAAAGGAAATTTCATTTTTGATTAAATTTGGCATTTTTTGTTGGCAATTTTTGGCATTTATAAACACACAAATAAACACAAATGTTTGTTGTGTTATCTACTCATTTATTCTCCCCTCTCAATGCCGGTTTTGATGTGGTTAAAAAATGAAATGAAAGGGAATGAATCCATTTTTGATTGCTTTAAAAAAGCAAAATTAAAAAATCTGTCAAGTTCTTTTTTTGGTATTCATTTAAAAAATTTAAAAAAATTTACTAAAATGGCTCTAAAAAAGATTGATGTTTGTATTCTTAAGGGGTAAAAAATGAGGCAAAAATTAAATATATTTTTGGGAACAAATGAAAATTGCCTTTTATTATTAAATTTAAAAAATTTAAATGGGGGTTTTGTGTTTTGCTTTGATGACGTTTTGGTTATTTTTTCCATTGTTGAACGTTTTTTGAAATTTATTCACCAAATTACGGTATTTAAATTTTTTAATTATTGACCCTTTTAAAAATTTTTATTTTTACCCTTTTATAATTTTTTTTAACTTGACCATTTTACAACGTTTTCCGACTTGGCCAATTATATTCCTGACCATTTTAAGCTGCCCTTTCGCTCCTTTGAAGTTCTCTAATTTTTTGTGACAATATTTGTGTACAAAATGTACTATTGTCTGCGGTTAGTCAAAAAAACATCACGTTCCTCCCTCAATTTGTACTTTGTTCCTCTGCGGTGTTGATTGTTACTTCATTCAATGGTAGGCTTTTATAGGGGAGTTTCTCTCTCTCAAATTGATTTGCAGTCAAAACAAAAGGCAAACAAGGCTATTTTTAAGGTTATTTTTAGGTACAGGGAGAGATGTTTATCTTTTTTTATTGTCTGGTTTAAACAAAATTTTCTAGTCATTTATGTTAAAAACATTTTTTACTAAAAAATTAATTAAAATGCCAGAATTTTTAAAAGATTCACAATTTCAAATTTTATCGTCACCAAGACATATTATTGGAAATAATCATCATCAAGGGCATTTCCCGCCTTTTATTTCAAATTTCACAACGTCCTCTTCAACCAATTCAGAGTCTAGCAGCGCTTCATCAACATCATCTTCAAGTTCAAATTCTTTACCAAATTCTTTTCAACCTCCTTCAGCTGATTCTGAATCTTACGTTAAAGTTAGAATGCCAAATATTAAAGGTTTCTTTTTTTATTTTTAATTTTTGTGGGTCTTATGTGTGTGTGTGTGTGTGTGTGTGTGGGGGGGGGGTATTATTTAATTGATTCCATAAAAGGTGCCCAATGTCGAGGTTGGCTTGACTTATAAAACCAAACGTATTCATGTATTTACTCTTCCTTTTCCGGCCCTATAGATCATCTTGAGATGTCCCTTGACTGTTTTGTCCCCCATTCTTCAATAGTTCTCCGTAGAAAAAATGTCGCACACAAACGAGACTGTTACCCAATTTTTAACCTCTTCAAACTTTTATTATTTCAGTTTTTTCTGGTTCGTCAAATTATGAAATGGCTCGTTCAATTTGCGATAGATTACAATTAGATGTAGCTAAAGCTGTTTTGAAGAAGTTTAGCAATAAAGAAACTAATGTAGAAATTATTGAATCTGTTAGAGGAGAGGATGTTTATATTATACAGAGCGGGTTTGGTTTTGATTTTTTAAAAATATCTGAATTTTCTTGGCTTAGAAAAATTTTGAGTCCTCTGTCTAAGTCCAAGAAAAAACATGAGGCTAGACACTGTCCTGGGCTAGATGCTTAAGTCCATGAAAAAGCCAAGGTGGTTAAGAAGACGTTTAAGACCAGATAAAAAGCCTTGTGTTTTTCCTGTTTTCCAATTAGACACAGATTTTCAAAATGGCTAGGTCGCGCGGGTCCAGAAAAAATTTAGGGGTCCAAATGCCTCTTCCCATAACCAATTATTTCTATAACAATTGTAAAAATTTTTAGTTGTGGCGAGATAAACGACCACTTGATGGAACTTTTAATTATGATTTCTGCTTGTAAAATTGCTTCAGCATCTCGTGTCACAGCAGTAATTCCCTGTTTTCCTTATGCTAGACAAGACAAAAAAGACAAATCTCGAGCGCCAATTACTGCTAAACTTGTAAGATTTTTTTAATTTTTTTGTTTAAAAATTTCCTTTTTTAAAGGTTGCAAATATGCTTTCAGTTGCTGGGGCTGATCATATAATTACAATGGATTTGCATGCCTCCCAAATTCAAGGATTTTTTGATATTCCTGTGGATAATTTATATGCTGAACCGGCAATATTAAAATCAATTAGAGAAACAATTCCAAATTGGAAAGAAGCTGTTATTGTTTCTCCTGATGCTGGGGGAGCTAAACGGTTGGGGGTTTTTAATTTTTTAGAGAATTATTGAAAATTTCCAAAAAAATTCTTTTTTTTTCAAGTGTAACCTCAATAGCCGATCGTTTAAACGTCGATTTTGCTTTAATCCATAAAGAAAGAAAAATTGCTAATGAAGTTGAGAAGATGACACTTGTTGGTGATGTAACAAACAAAACAGCAATTTTAGTTGATGATATGTCTGATACTTGTGGAACTTTAATTTTGGCTGCAGAAAAGTTTAATTTTTTGCTTTTTCGATTAAAATGTTTTTTAAAGATTAAATGAAGCTGGGGCAAGCCAAATTTATGCTTTTTGTGTTCATGGAATATTTTCTGGTCCAGCTATTGATCGCTTAAATAATTCAAAATTCGAATCTGTTTTTGTAACAAATACAATTCCGCAAGAAGAAAATATGAAACGTTGCAGTAAAGTTAAGGTTTGGGAATTTGAAAAAAAAATTTATTTAATTTTCGAGGGGAAGAGCTTTTAATTTGAGGGTTTTTTATATAGGGAAGGTTTGTACGAAAGCTATTTATTAATTTTTTGAGGGGTTTTGGTCAGGATTCTAATCTGGGTTGTGTTGGATTACACGGCTCCTACCTGGCTTTTTTACCTCTTTATCCCCTAACTGAACTCACCCGAGGGCTGAAACCCTGACTTATTTTCGATTTGGTATCCTTAACTTTTTCTCCCAACCTGGCCAATCTTTGGTTCTTATATGAGAAGAATAATTTTTTTAATTTTTAAGTGTATTGACATTTCAATGATTCTTGCTGAAGCAATTCGTCGTACACATAATGGTGAATCTGTTAGTTATTTATTCAGTCATGTGCCTTTGTAAAAGAAGTTGGAAAAATAGAAGTATTTTTTGATTGAAATTTTTATTTTGGTTTATTTTCCCGGATCTCCACACAAAAACAAATATTTAAAAAAATAATTCCTTTAAAATTAAATTTCTCTTCAACAACCTCTCTCTTTCCTTTTAATTATACATATTTTAAACACATATTTTTTGTGAAATATTTAAAAAAGGTATGGCTCTCCTTGATGCTTGAAAATTCATTTTAAATTTTTTGTATTTTTACTAATTATTTGGAGACGAGAGTGCCATATCTTTTTTTTTTTGAATTTATGATAGTAATAAAATAACACCAAAAATGTTTATTTTTGACCTATATGAAACTTCGCCCTACATATATTTTATTTAATGCATATACGATTCATGGCAGATTTCTAATTAGGGAAATATTTTTAAAGGTGATTAAAATATTATTATGAATTGTATGTGTTTAAGTATGTTAGATTTAAATAAAAGTTTGAAAAAATGTTTTTTGATTTTTTTTGGAAATTTTGTTTTTTTCATAAATCCGTACCTAAATTGTTTACAAAGAATTTATAAATAAGATTGCTGGACAACTTTTGAAAAATTTGTTTTCTTTAAATTCCACAGCTTTCGAATTATGTCCAAATGCCTGCTCATTCTATTCTTCAACCTTTGCATTCTACAAATTGTTAGAACACAAAATTTTGAAACTGGAGATAATTCTACAGTTAGAGGATGCTCGTAAGCATTAAATTTCTTTTAAATTAATTTTTAAATTTTTTATTGAAGAAATCGTTGTTCATACAAGGATTCTTCTTTGCAATGTTGGAATACTTCCCTTTTATTTTTTGAAAAAATATTGCTTGGTCAAATGAGGAATTATGTTGCTGTGCAAATGAATGTATTTTATATAAGTGAAGGTTTTTTAATTGAAATTTATTTTTAAAGATTGATCAATGGGCTAGAAGGCACAAAAAGCCATATATTGAAGATTTTGCTGGTGCAAAGAAACGTTCAATTAAATCAATGGGTTTGTTTTTATTTTTTTTCTCGATCGAAAGTGTTTTCCTTGTTGGTGTTAGAAGGGTTGGGTTGGTTGTCAAGGTTGTTTTTATCGTGAAAGGTTTTTTGTCTAGGGTTGGCGGTTCCCCATAATTGCTGTTTTCTTGATTATATTTTGGTCATAAATCCCTCGACTTGTTTTGCTTGCCTATTTTTCTGTTTAATTTAATTTTTTATTTAGAATCCTTTCTTCACGACGGCGATATCCTCAAAAAGGAAACAATTGAAACAATTGTTGATGCTTTGGTGGATTTGGCTGCACAACAATCGAATCATTCTATGGTTTTTTATTTATTTAAAAAATTATTTTTAAAATTTTAAGCTTACTTGGATGACTCATTTCCAATGTCCAATTCCTTGCGAACATAGATACACTGTTTGGCGTAATTTGTAAGTTTTTTATTTTCATTTTTGAGGTGGTTTTCTGGAAAAATATTAAAATGTTGAGGGGTTTCTCTTTAAATTTTTGAATTTTTCAGAAAATTTTTAACCAATTTTAATTATTTTTTTAAAAGGTTCATTCTGTCAACAATTTTGAATGTTTGCCTATTTATTTGTGTTCTTCCACTAGTCAGACGAATGCATGGGGGCGAGTCTTCTGAACCTCTTATTCATAACAACTAAAACATTTTCGATGAAAATTGTGAAGATTTTCAATGTGGCATTTTTCAATGGTTTTTCGGTCCTTTTTCCTTCATAAGCTCAATTTTATCTTTAAAAATATTTTTGCCTTTTTCGTCCTTTTTTCCATTTTTGCAATTTTTTTTTAATTCTTCTTCTTGTATGAACTGTTGATAAATCATTTATCTTCTATCGAATTTTTATTACTGAAAAATGTTTTTTGACTTTATTTATTTTTCCAACGAGGGAAGTTTTTTATTAAAAAAATTTTTAGAGATTAATTAATGTCAGAAATTAGAGCTAAAAAATCTGGTTTGGCTGCGGAGGCGCAACAAAAAGTTCATGGCAAATTTGATTCTCGATTTGCTCAACAAATTTTTGGATGGATTTCTAATGTTACTGGTGAGACGTTGCCAACAACTGGAGATATTAATGAATTTATTTCAACTTTGAAAGATGGAGTTCTGCTTTGCAAGTTTGTTTTAAGGAATTTTTTTTTGGTTTATGTGTGTATATAGTTGTTTGTTTTTGGGTGTATGGTTTATTGCATAGGCATTTAGTCTCAGGAATTGGGTTCGAACTTAACAAAGTGAAGTACTTGGGGACATTGAGATGTTATTTTTCTCTAGGTTGAGTCTGCGCTCTAAATACTAAATTTTTAACTTTCAGACTTGCAAATACGCTATCACCTAATTCAATTAAGAAGGTCAACACCAGCACTTTGGCATTCAAACAAATGGAAAATATCTCGTTCTTTTTGTCGTTTGTAGGGAATTATGTCGGCAAAAGTATTTTTTACTTTAAGTTTTTTTTGATTATTTTATTTTTTAGACGAGCTTTTCCAGACGGTTGATTTATATGAGGGACAAGACCCAAACTCCGTTCTTGTTTGTTTGGCAGCGTTGGCACGTAAATCTGAGAAAGTTTTTGGGTAAATAAATAACACAAATTAAATTTATTTTTTAATTTAGAAAGCCCGGACTTGGCCCAAAGGAAGCTGAGGGCGAAAAAAGACAATGGACTCCACATCAACTTAAAGCTGGTGAAACAATTATTGGACTTCAAGCTGGGTCGAACAAGGGAGCTACTCAAAGTGGAATGGTTTGTTTTCTGATGTTTTGGGGGGGGGGGGGGGGAGTTGTTGGGACCCTTTGAGCAAATTTTTTGAGTTTAAATTTCTAAAAATGAAAATTATTTTTTAAAAGATTATGGGCAACACTCGACATATGTAATATAATGGAAGAGAAAACAATTTTGACCACCAAATGAAAAATAAAGTTTTATGAGTTTATAAAGACGGTGATTCATGATTCAGTTTTATTAAATTTATTTTTTTCACTTAAAAATTGTTAGCCTTTTTCACTTAAAATTATTCCCCCTTCACTTAATTAAATATTCCCTGTGAAAAAAGTCTTCTTGCCTTATAAAATTGGCATTCCAAATTTAATAATTTTTGATAAATAAAATTTTGCTTTAAACTAATTTTCTTAATTTTTTAAACATTGTTTTAAAAACAATTGAATTTTTTTAAAATTTCACAACTCATTCTTCACTATTTTTTGTCCTATTCTCACTTTAATAAGCTTCATTTAAATCCCTCTATTTTTGGACTCTAAAGCACATTTATATTTTATTTTTACTCTAATTGTGTTTTAGTTATAGTTAAGCGTTTCTAACGTAACCTTGTTTTTTTTTATTTCTAGTTGAATGAATCATCTTTTTAAAAAAGATAAGTAGTGTGTTTATTAAGAAATAGACCCATTTTTAGCTTAATTTTTAGTTAAATATCTATTTTATTTTCTGACCACATTTCTATATTGTTTAAAATTTTTTTTAATTTTTTAGATGGTTAATTTTTTATCAGTTCCACTTAAATCTACAAATGAAGTTGATTTATACAAACCTTTAAAAACATATATAGATTCTCTTTCTGAATTGTCTGAGGATGTTAAAAGTGAAGCAAATGAAGGATTACTCGAATTGAATAAATTGAGAAATAAAGCTTGTTGTCAACCGCTGGATAAACATCAAAGCTCTCTTGATGTTATTACAAGGTTTTGAATTTTATATTTAATTTCGAAATTAATCTGTTCGAGCAGGAATCGGACGTGTTGCTCGAATTCTGTACTTTTCCCCAGCCCGTCCTATCCATGGTTCGAACCCATAAGTTTTAAGGGCCCCTTGAATTATTTTATTTTCATACTTGAAAGGGATTGAAAATTTGAGGGACTTCTTTGCTGCCTAAAAAGCATTACCTATATTTTTATTATTTCTCCAGTTGTACTAATTTATATCAATTACAGATACTATGACCAACTTTGTGCAATAGAAGCAAAATTGCCAATTACACCAACTCTGAATCCAATCAGTTTTAAATGGAAAGATGCTTTTGGGAAGAGTTCATTATTCTTTTCTAAAGCCTCTCTAAGTTTGTTTATTTTTAAAATTTATTTTTGATAAAATTTTTTAGCGTTAAATGACAGTTCTTTTGAAAGAGCCTGTGTTCTCTTTAATTGTGGCGCTTTAATGTCAAATATTGCAGCTTCACAGCAAATGCATTCAGATGAAGAATTGAAGGGTGTTGCCAAAATGTTTCAACTATCAGCTGGGATTTTTTCTAAATTGAAGGATTCTGTTTTTGGATTGGTTAATTTCTTTGTTAACTTTTTTTATTTTTATACTTTAAATTTCTAGGTCCAGCAAGAGCCAACACCTGATCTTTCTCCAGATGCTTTGTCCTCACTTTCTTTGTTAATGGTCGCACAAGCACAAGAGTCTGTTTATATTAAAGCTTCTAGAGGTATTTATTTATCATTTTTTGATAACTGAAATAAATTCGTAGATAAGATGAAGCCAAGTTCTTTGCTTAAAATTGCGGCACAATGCAGTGAGATGTATAGTGAGGCTCTTAAATTTATGTGCAAAGATAGTGTCAAAGGAATGTGGGATAAGGTTTGTTTTTTGATTTTTTAAGTTATAAATTATACGGATATGTCGTGGATTTGTTTTTGACTGTTTTGGGCCTCTTTCCGCTAATGAATTTTTAATTTGATTTAATACTCTAAAATTTCCAGGAATGGATTCCAATAGTAACCGCAAAGGGAATGGCTTTTGGTGCTTTGGCTCAATTTTATGCGGCAGAATATGCAAAGGATAACCAAACTTTTGGCGAACAAATATCTCGACTTAAAGAAGCATCGAAATTAATGGACCAAGCAATTTCTTATTGTTCTAATGGATTTTCTGAAGAAAATGCTTTAATTAAAAAGTCGTTAGAAACTGCTGTTAAAGACAACGACTTTATTTATCATGAAAGGGTTGCTGATTTTAAATCACTTCCTCCTTTACAAAAAATTTCTTTGGCAAAACCTTCAACGATTTCCGGACCTATTTCTGCCCGTTTTAAAGACATGTTTGAATCGCTTGTGCCTGTGGCTGTTCAAAATGCTTTGGCTACTTTTGAGGCTAGAAAGAATGATGTCGTTAATATTGATGTTTCTAGAATGAGGGAATACAATCAATTAATGAATGCGTAAATTTTGATTTTTAAAAAGAAATTAGGGAAGGGATTTAGGGGGTTTTTCAAGGTTTTTCGAATTTTTTTGACTTTGTAGAGGTCCACAAGACGTCAAAAAATTTTATTTTTTTAAAGTTGTTTGGCTTCATTAAACTTGCCTGCTGCTTTGGACGATGTAACTAAACAAGAACAATGTCCTCAATCTATTCGAGAGAAATCGGCACAAGTTAAAAATAATGGAGGGATTACTGATTTGACGAATAAATTGAATGAATTGCCTGGTTTATATAAAAGAAATGAAGAAATTTTGAATGAGGTTTTTTTTTAAATTTATGTTTGTTTAATTTTTTTTAATTTAAGTGTTCAAGACTGTTAAAAGATGAAAAAGAAACAGATGAAAATCTTCGTAAACAGTTTACTACAAAATGGACTCGAATGCCTTCTGAAAATTTGACACCGCCTTTTTTGCAAGAATTGGGAAAATTTAGAGGAATATTACAAACAGCAGCTAATGCTGATGTTAGCGTTAGAAGTAAATTTGAGCAAAACAAAAGAGGAATGGAATTGCTTAGTTTAACTGAGGTTTTTTTTGTTTTTTATTTTTGATGGGAAGACTAATCACAACAAGGGAATGGTCGGGTTTTCAAAGTTTTCTTTGGATCGGGTTTTGGGTTAAAAGAAAGTTTCCCTGATCCAACCTCTAATAAAATTTAAAATATTATTTCCTAGAATGACTTAAAATTATCAATTCCTGGTATTGGAACTTATCAAGGTGGAGCGTCTAATTCTGCAGCAATTCAAAAATTGAGAACTTTAATGAATCAGGTTCAGGAAATTAAGGTTGAAAGGGAGGAAATTGAGAAAGAATTAAAAAAGGTTTGAAAATATTTATTTTAAATATAAAAATTAAAAAAAATTTTAAAGATTCGTTGCGATATGAGCAATGATTTTTCTAATGCTTTGGCAGAGTCTGGTGTTGTAGATGAACAAAAATTAAGTTCTGACAAAATTGCAAATTTATTCAAGCCTTTACGGGACAAAGTAGAATCTTCAATTAAAAGGCAAGATTCTGTTATGGAAGAGGTTCAATTATGGCATAAAAAGTTTCATGAAGAACGTCAAACAACTGGAGGAGCTGAACGTGAAAATTTCTTGAAAGGATTAGCGACTGCTTATGATGCCTTCTTTAGACTTCAAGGGGATTTGAATGAAGGAACAAAGGTTTTTTTGATTATTTTTTGGTTATTAATTATCTAAATATTTTCTCAGTTTTACAATGATCTTACACCTATTTTGGTTCGTCTTCAGCAGAAAATTTCTGGTTTATTCTTAAATTCTATTTTTATAATACTTTTTCCATTAGATTTTTGTTTTGCTCGTCAAACGGAAAAGGAGGATTTGATGAAACAAGTCCAGCAAAATATTGTCTCTGGCAATGAAACTACGGGAAAGAGTGCTCCACCTCCTCGTCCACCACCACCAATACCGCCTCCTGTTACTCAATCATATCAAAATCAAAGTTTCTTTTCTATTTTATTTATTAAACTTTAATTTTTTAGCTCCAATTCCTCAAATGCATCCGCAACCACAATTGGGTATGCAACAGCAACAGCCACCACAGTATTCATATCAGCAACAACCTCCGAATCCTTATATGCCATATGGTTTCCTTTTAATCTAATTTTTAGCTAAGAATTACTTTTTAGCTCCATATCCTTATGGTGTTCAGCCGCAACAACAGCAGGCTCAAATGGGAGGTTATAATACTCCTTATCCTGTTCAATATCCGGTTATTTTTTTAATTTTTTGTATTGTAAAATTTTTAAAAATTTAGGGGACATATCCAGGCGCTTTTCCACAACAGCAGTTTGGTGCCTTTCCTCCACCACCAGCTTTTAATCAACAGCAGCAACAGCCTCCTAATAACCCAACTAATCCGTTTCAATAAATATAAAGAGGGATGTTAAGGGAACATTTAAAAATATGATTAAATGTGTGTATTTGATCTTAATTTTTTTTATATACTACGCAGACTTTAAGAAAAAGTTTTTTTTATTGGATTTAGCTTTCTACTTATGTATAAATAAATTAATTTTGATTATGTTTATTCAATATAAATTTTGAATTTTTATATCTTTTTTTCATTTTTAGTATTTACGCGAATGTCGTTAGACTGTCCGAAACCCGGACTGTTTTTACCCGATGCACGACCCGTTAAATTTTCGAAACCGGATAACCGATTTTTTTCTCAATCCGTGGCATACCTGTTTCAAATATAATAAAATACCTTTTTTCAAATTTAGATATCTTTTGACGATTCCAATATGTTAGCAGCAACTGCTGTAAATACTGCTGTATTTTCAACTTTACTCTTCAATCGCAATTTTCTTCAAAGGTCAGCTAAATTATTGGTCAATCAAAACAACTTGAAGATTGCAAGTGTTAGAAATTTAGTTGCTGAAAGTCCTGCAAAAAATTTAGAACATGATAAGCTTTTTAAACGAATTGATTTGGAATTGAGAGGCCATGATCCTGAAGTTCTTTCTTCGTATACTACGTTTGTTAGCGTTAGTTTTATTATTTTTTTGATGATTTTAGTTTTACTGTTAGGAGAGGTCCTGTTTCCGAGGTAAAAAATTTTAAGACGAGGAGGAAAATGATTCAAATTTCTCCAACCCTTCTTGGGATAACATGGTGAGCCCTTTACGAACTCTGTTTATAAGACATTCCTTCTATGGTTAACATCTTGGAAAAATCATAAGTCCAAATCCTGTGCACGAATTTTTATTTGGTTATAAATCAAGTCAATTTATTAAAATAAATAAATATTCTAGAATGTCTGCGATCATTTGGAAATAGAAAAATCTCAAGTAACAGAAACTCCACATCTTAAATGGCTTTTAACAACATTAAGAGATAAATTTGCAAAAAAGAAATATAAAGTTCAATATGAAGTACGGACATATATTCGATTTATGCATGTCAAATATTTAACTGGAAGTACTGCAAGTACATTTCTTGAATATATTGAAAGAAATATTCCTGAAGGAGTGGCCATGAAAGTTACATATACAGAAATTTGTAATTTACCAAAGACGATTACTTCAAATTCAACAAATTCTTCTCCTCAATCTTTACAATAATAAATATAGAAAATTATTTCTTGTTGTTAGTTTCGTTGAGGTTTTCTTTTTTTGTTTGTCTTTATTTTTTTCTTTTTGAATAAACCTTGACAAAATAATTTATAAAAATTTTAGTTAAACTGATTTTTATATCGTCCAAATACTTTTTACTTTTCTTTTATTTTTTACTAGAGGTCAGCAACAGGTGTTTGCCGTAAAAGATTTTAATAGATGACACGTGAACATAGGAGTAACTCCTCCAAAATCCCGTGGCGGGTTCCTGCCCAGCGCCGACCTCTAATTGCACAGTTATCTTTTTACTTTTTTTATTTTTAAGACATGTGAAATTTTCTTTTAAACAAAATTTCCAAATTATGATTATTCTGTTCTACAACTTTACATTAATATTTGTTTATTGTTATGCTGAAGTTTCTCATTCAAATAAAGATTCTTTTGATAAATCAACTCCAGATACTTTTAGCAATAAAAAGGAGGAACTAAATGTGGATTCTTTTTATAAAGAATGTAGGTTTGTTGATTTTTTTAATTTTTTGGGTAATAAATGCGCTCGTTGCTGGAAAGGATCTGGACGGATCTCTCGTAGTACGCGTCCCAAATTGGAGGTTTCCCGTCATCTTTGGATTAGTTCGAGCCCGGATCCGGCCCAAAAAATTCTGCCGGGTCCAGTTCTGCTCTAGTTACAAATCGGATCAGACTACGGAAAATCATTTGGCTGGGTGTTACTAATACCTCTTTTTTAACAGATCCTTTATTATTAAAAATCAAAAAACGTGAACAAGAAGCAGCTTTACAAACCATTTTGACCAAAAACAAGGATGAAAAACAATTGATGCTTCGACAACTTTTTGTCCGTATTTTTGAAACAATTAAGGAATCTAAACAATTATTGTTTAAATATCACGAAAATGAGGGGGATTTTACTAAATTGGCAACAGATAAAGAATCTCGGGAACATTTTGCTAGAATTATTGAAAATACAATTTTTCTTGCTGGATTAACTTTGTATTTTCCCAAATATGCTTTATATTATGTTAACAAAGATGTGAATTTTCATCAAATTTATTCATGGTCAAACAACTTTTGTGCGAATTTAACATTTTTGGATCAAGAGTATTTTTTTCTAAATATAAAAAATTCTTTTTTTAGAACAAAAGAATTGCTCAATTTGGCTGCTCAAGAAATCGAAATAATTCCAAAATCTGAAAATTTTTTCAATCCTTACAAAGATATTTCAAGTCTAACAGAGAAGGAAGAAATGCAACGTGAAGCTCTTAAAGAAATGAAAGAAAGAGAAATGGCAAAGAAAATGGAAAAATCAAATAAACCAAAAAAGAAGAAAAATAAAAGTGATTCAATGAAGGGTGAATTGTGAAAATATCGGTTTTATATTTTTAAGTTGGAATTTTTTAAAGTTAAATTTTGGGGTTGTTTCTAAGGTTGTTTTCTATTCAAAAAAATTTTTTTTGAAAAATTTTTTAATTTCATTCCACGATTTAATTTGGTAATTTCCTCAACAATCAAGAATAATTCCGGGATTTTAAATATTGCCCGGGTTTTCCAAAGTTCCTGAAACCATTTTCAGGATTAGGACATTCACTTGTTTAATTCACTTAATTTTTTTCGTTTTTTGTAATTAAATTTTTTATATAGATTAAAAGCTATAAATAAATTATTTTTCCTTATTTTTTAAAATTTAATATTGTTTTCAATACAATTATTACTTTAATTTTTCAAAAAATTTTCTAAAATATTTAATTATAAATGTTTACTGCGCCTTCTTTAACATTAAAAATGCTTCAAAAACGTCTAAAAAATGGCGAACTTGATTTAAGTTCTCTACGTTTAGAAACTGTTCCAATTGAATTAATTTGTCGTTGTGTTAATTTTGGAGGAGAAAAACACAAAAAAATTAAAGAAATTAATTTAAGCAATAATTTATTGACAGAATTGCCTCAACAATTTTGTGCTTTCTTTTCGGAACTTGAAGTTTTGAATTTGGGCAATAACAAAATTAAAGCGTTACCTGAAGATTTTGGAAGTTTATCGTCTTTATATCATTTGGATTTGTCAAATAACAGGATTAAGGTTTGGAAAAAATTTTTTTGAAAAATTTTTTTTTAAATTTTTGTAAAATGTTTCTGATAAGGCAGGGTAACAGGAAATTTGGTTAAAGGGTTAAAATTTCAAAAAAAATTTAAAGAAACTCCCAGCAAGTTTTGGTGATTTGGATATTCTAAAATGGCTAAATTTGGCGAACAATCCTTTGGATGGAGATTTGGCAGAAATTATTGGAGAATGTTTGGATGATTATCAATGCGCAACTGCTGCTGTTAATGGTTTTTCTTTTTGAAAAATTTTTTTTTTCAAAAATATTTTTATTCATAGCTGTTCAATATGTTGGCTTTTCGTATGCCCATTCAGCAGAATCCACAGCAATAATTGACGATTCTAGTGATATTGCTCCAACAAATGAATCTTCTTCGAATAATTCTAGTCCTGACTTTAAAGGTTTTTTTGTGAAATCTTTAAAAGAATTTCTTTTATTTTTAAGAAATTGAACATGTACACAAGCGTAAAAAATTTAGAAAAATGACAACTTTGTCAAAATCAGAAAGCAAGTCAATTGAGAAACGTAAAATTGAAGAAGACGAAGATGGATTTGACTCTTATTTCTATGGGAAATTTGTGATGTGTAAGAATATTTTTTAGTTTATTTTTAGGGAGATTAGGGTTTTAATGATTTTAGGTGGTTATAGGGTTAGTTTTGGGATCTTACGGTCAAAGAAGAAAGGGCAGGATTTTGGATCAGGGTTTCGAAAATTTTATCGGGTCGGACCCGTGATATCCCTATCCTGGTTAACAATAGGTTGGTAGGCACTTTTTTGGTCAGCAATTTTTAAGCTGCAAATTAGTGTTTCGAGTCCTGATTATTTTAGACATTATTTATTCGTTCTATTGTCTTTAATCTTTCCTTATTTCAGTTTTCTTTTTTGCCTTTTTAATTGCTTTGGGAACTTCACTTTGGCTTACATTTGATTCAATGCGTGAAAATTATTTAAATGAAGATTTGTCCAAAAATGTAGAAAATATTCAAAATTTGGAAGAATTACAGCAATTTCGTTTTTGTTTAGAAATTAACAAAATGTTGAAAAATGGAGAACCTCCAAATTCTTGGAAACAATTTTTACAAGATTTTTATTTTACTTTTAAAAATGCTTGGGGAAGAAATGTTGCTGATAAAATTGAGGAGAAAATTAAATCGCTAAATATTTGCTGGTAAAATTAATTTTTTTTTAATTAAAAAAATTTTTTTGAGATTTTGTGGAAGGTTTTTGATGATTTTTTTTGGAAAATTTTAGAAAAAAAATTTTTTTTTAATTTTTTAGTTGGACAAATAGTTTAATTAAATGGATTAAAATTGTTTGGCAATTATTATTCCAACCAATATTTGTTTTCTTTACTGATTATTTTATTTATGTTTGGGACTTTTTTATACTTCCAATGATTAAAAGTTTTGGTTTTTGAAGAAGAGAATATTTGAGAGAGAGTTTATTTAATAAAAAATAATATTCATTTTTAGTTTTGCCTACTAGACTTGAGATTTTTGGTTTTTAATTGAAAGAGAGCTTGATTATTTGAAAATTGGCAAAAATGAATAAATAGCTTTTAAATTTTCAGAAATTTTTAAAAAAATTTTTAGAATTTTTTAAGGTTCATTTTAAAGGGGTTTTTGGACATTTTTGAATAATTAAATAAAAATTTCAAAAAAATTTATTTTTAAATAAAATGTCCAAAATCCTCTTTAAAAATAAATTTAAAATTGATATCTCTTTTTTCTCATTTTTGCCAATTTTTTGTTTTAAAATCCACAGACTGACCGACAATCAAATTTTTTATGAATAAAATTTTTTGTTTAAATTTGAAATTTTTTTTTAACATTTTAGGATTTTAAAAAATCCATTTTTTTATTTTTAAAAATATTTCTTGGATTCTTAATTTATTTTTAATATTTATTAACTTTAATCACGCAATTTTCTTTAAAAAATATCTCTTTACTATTCCATATTTGCATGTCTTTTTTCAATTCATTTATTTCTTCCTTCTATTTATCTTCATCATCATTTTTTCTTCTCATTTATTATTTCTTTAATATATCCATTACAGAAATTACAAACAAACAAGAAGCAAACATTCTTTTTTGGACATTAAATATTTATTTAGATTTTTTTTGAGAGAGGGGCTGGGAAGGATTGAGTTGGTTGGTGGTTAGTTCTTTTAGAAGCTTTACATCTGTTTTAAATGTTAACAAGAAGCAGTTTTTTAGGGATATAAAAAATGGGGTTAAGAGGATGTGAACTATACATATAAGCTTTTCGTTTTTTTAACAAAGCAAAGATACGAGCAAGAAAAAAGGTTTTTTTGAATTTTTAATTTTAGGAGGAATTTAGAGCAAAAATTTTTTTAAGTTTCTCTAGAAAAAAAATTTTTTTCGGTGGGGAAAAAGGTTGGGAGATTGTTGTAGTAGTACAAACATGATAAACAGAAAATTCAACAGAAAATTCAGTGAAAAATTATTTTAAATTTTCTCTAGGAATTTCTAATTTTCTCTACAATAAAATAGGCTAAAGATTTTTTTAATTATTTGCCTTGTTATTATGAAACCCTTTTTTTGTTAAAAAAATTATCACACTTTTTAACATTTGGCTTCTAACTCTTTTTATTATCAAACCTTCCTTTATATTTTACAAATTTTTTTCATTTTCTAATTTTTAAGGATTCTTTTTTTCTACCCTTTATTTATTAAAAAATCTTTAAAATTTTTTTATTTAAAAAAGGAATGTTTAAAAAATAATTTTATTTATTCAAGAACAGTCTAAAAATATTTCAAAATGAAGCAAAAATTTGTAATGCTTCCAAGAATTTGATTGACCTCTTTTTTTCTTTTTTATTTCTGGCTGGTTTTTGTTCTTTTTTACATTCCTTTTTTCAAAAAATTTTTTTTATTTCCTTAACCCCCCCCCCTCCCTCCTCTCATTTTCTCGTCATTCAATAATGACAACATGTCTCTTTACTAAAAAAGCACATTCGGCTCTTTTTTTATTGACAATTTTAATTTGAATGTTAAAATTACTCTTTTATCAGTTGAAAAATAGAAGGAGGAAACAATTATCCTTAACTTTACTAGAGAGAGAATAGGTTCCATAAAATATGACTTGAACTCGTTCTTTCTTAGTAATTTATTTTTTAAGTTTTCGATATCAATCATCACTTTTTTTCTTCCTTGTCTGAAAAAAATTTTTTTGAATTTATTTTTATAATTTTTGTTTATTAAAGCTTTGTTTGTTCCAAATACTTTTCAGAAAACCTTTGGAAAGTTCATCGAAATTTTTTTTTGAAAATAAAATTTTCCAGATCTTATCTTCCTTCATAAATTAACAGATCCGCCATTTCAGTTTTTGGGTGAACCACCACTACCTTTTTTGTTTATTTTTACTTTGTATCTAGAATTTAATTTTATAATTTCTATTTATTGAAGCTTTGTGTTTTTTCCAAATATTTTTCTAAATTCCCACTCCTTTGGGAAGCTTATTGACAATTTATTGAATTTTTTTCCAACCATTTACCCCTTCATAAATTACCCGGATAACTTTATTTTTCCATCAAAACTCTTATTTTTTAAAATTCGATTTTGTACCCTTTTCTCGATTTATTATCTCATTTCAGCGGTTTTTCTTTACTTCCCAAAGGACCACCAACCACTACCATTTCTTCTCTCTCTTTTTTTATTCCATTCATTTCTAAAAGCTCCCATTTAGTTTTCTCGTTTCCTTTTTTTGTTTTAACCTTTTCCTTTTTTTATTATTTTTAGGAATGTTGTTGTTTTGTGTTGTTCTTTCCCGCGTTTTCATTGATATAATCCTCCTCCCATCTCTTCCTTTATTACCAATATTCTTCCTCATTTGTTTAAACAATACCCTTACAATAATATTTTTTTATTTCCTTATCGTTGGGACAAAATGTCCTCTAAATTGTTACTTTTCCACTGTATTTTCTTTCTTTTAACTTTTCCTTTACTGTAAACAATGCGCGAGATTGTTCAAGTTGCTTCACTCATTGTGAGACAAAATGTCCTTTATTTGCTTTGGTACCTTTTTGTTCTGGACCTTTTGAATTTTTTCCATTTCGAAGTCTCGATTTCTGATTCTTAAAAATTTTTTTCTTAAATTTTCGACTTTTTTGCCCTTCGCGTTTTATTTGTTTTGCAACTGTGTTGCTTTTTTTTAAACGCTACTTTCGATGAAAGGACACAATCATTTTCAATGTTTCTTTTTTTAATTAGCTTCCTGAGACATTAAAAAATAATCTATTAATTCGTCTGTCAATTGTTTTTTAATTGCTTCCTATTTTCCTCACTTTGAGACAAAACGTCCTTTTACTGCTTCTGTACATTTTTGATTATGGGCATTTTGTCTTTTTCCATTTCGACAGTCCTGTTGTTATTGTGAGACAAACTGTCCTTTTATTGCCTTGGTACCATTTTTGTTTTGGGCCTTTTGTATTTTTTCCAATTTGAAATACCGTATTCCAGTTTGAAGTACCGTATTTTAATTTCTTAACTTTTTTTCCGAAATTTTTTCACTCTTTTGTCCTTTCGCAATTTTAGTTTTGGCACTTATTGTTTCTTTCAAATTAAAATTTTTCTAATTGCTTTTCGTTACACTTTTAAAAAAGACAAAAGATTACCTCAACAATAAGCATTTATTTTTTTGTTTATTTTATAGGTAAATTAGGGGGGAAATTTTTTTTATTTTTTATATAGACATATGTAGTCCTCAATACAATTACAAATTGGTTGACAAGTAGAAAGGCGTCAAGTTTCAAATGACAAACCAAAAAAAATCCGGCAGCCCTTCAATAACGTTTTTTTTGTGTATATCTCTTCCCCCCACTTTTTCCCTTCCAATTTAGTGCTTATTTTTATGCTTATTTTTATGTTTCAAAGAAAAAATGTTCGGCAAAAGTTTGGGGAAGACTTCAAAAGGAAAATTTTTTAACAGAAAAAAGTTGTCAAAAAATATTTTAGAAAAAGCACAAATTGGAAGAACGGAAAAAGAGCTGTCTTTTATTTGTATTTTCTTTTGTTTTGTTTTTTTTTCTTCAAGGATGTAATCGAGCGTTGAAATTACACTTTTTCTTTGCTTACTTGAATATTTAATTTTTGTTAAAATTTAAGTTCTTTCTTCGCGATCCATGTTTTCATAAATATCAAGTGTAAAACGCGTCTTTTAATTTGCTAATTTTTTAGAATTTTCCAGACTTTTTCAAATTTTAAATTTAAAAACTAATCTACAAAATGAGTATTGGAAGTAATGATTCATCAGCAGCATTATTAACAACATCAACTTTATACAAAAAACGACACCCACAATTGTTAAAATTGGTACCTGCCAGAGCTCAATCCTGTGCTGATTTTAGTAGCCGATTACAATTATTGCCTTCATCAATGGCTGCTGCAGCTTGTTAGTTTTTAATTTTTTTGAGAATTTTTTCGAAAAAACTAGGCTTTAGGTTTGAAAGTTCAAGTTTTTTTCGCTAATCTTTCTTCCAAGAATTCCTTGTCAACTTTCTCTCTGCCTTAATTTTAATACTTTTTAATACTCCCATTTTTCTTCTTAAAATAAAAAATTTGAATTTATCCCACATTAATACATTAAAAACTTAATTCTACTGAAATGACTTTATTTTGTATTTAAAGGTATTTAACTATTTTTAACCGCTTTTTCTCATTTTTTAAAAATTATTTTTACTCAAAAATAAATTAATGAAAAATAATAATGATTATTTATCTGGATTAAAATTTTTTCCAATTTTCTTCTCTCTTTTTGAGTAAAAATCTCTTTATTCTCATATTACTCTTATTTTTAAATTACGCGCAAAGTTAAAGGACATTTATCCAACAAAAAAACAATTATTTTAACTAATCTCCATTTTCTAAAAAATATATTAAAAAAATTTTTTTCTTTATATTTTTTTTTTAATTTTTTTTCTCCATAAAACTTTAATTTCCCAATGGGATATATTTTTATGTCTTGAAATTAGGTAATTTTTAATATATTCATTTTTGATATTCTTTTAAGAAAACCATGTTTCAGTTTCAATTTTTAATTAAAAAATTTTTCTAATATTTAAAGACTTGGTTATTCCTCATTTTTCCATTTTATATTCATTTACTAACATTTTCTTTTATTTTCCACTGTAGGGGTTCGAACCTTCGTTACTAAACTGAGAATTATCCCGCTACACCAAAAAGTACAATTGTTGTTTTAGTCGTAAACTTAAAAGCGCGCAAACTTAAGTGTGTGAAATAAAAATTTTTTAGTAAAAATGTTTTTCAAAGCCCTCCCACTTTGTAAAATTTATTTCATTTTTAATTAGCATTAAAACCCCTTAATTTTTATTTTTTAAAGTGTCAGCAAAACAAATAAGAGATTCTGGTTCTTCCCCACAATTTATTCCTTTTTCTCCTAACAACAACAATTCAACAACAAAAATAATAAATATTCGTCCAATGTCCAATTCAACTCCATCAGCTACAACAACTACTGGTTATAATTCTTCTCCTTCATTATCCCCACAAAGAAAAGTTTCGCGATCTGCTCGTTTGTGCCATTCATTTAGACGAACATTGAGACGTAATAGTCCTGGAGGGAAAAAGGCGTTGGCACAAACAGGTTTTTTAAATTAATTTGGATTTTTTGATGACATAGGGATTAGAGACCGGAATCGAGTGTCGAAAAATTTATCGATATCGGTAACCAAGATTTTCGTTCGAAATCTCGTCTCGGCCCTGTCTCCATTTGCGATCATTTATCTCCTATTTAATTAGAAATGTCGACAATTTTTGAAAAAAATATTAGAAATTTTTTAAAGATTAGAATGGGGGACCCCCTCAAATATTGTTATTTACAGCTTTTATAATTTTTAAGATTCAAATGCATCAGCACCGACCGCTCTTTTATCTTCATTGGGAGAACAACAACAACTACTAAATTCAGATTTGAACAAAGGCTCTCAAAACTCAGTTCTAAATGCAGTAATGAATGCAAGAACGTCAAGTTTTTCTCAACTACAACAAAAGGTTTTTTGAATTATTTGGAAAATATTTTATTTTTTAAAGGAATCCCGCCTTGCCTCTTCTGAAACAACAAAAAAAGATGAGTCTGTTGAACAAACGCCGGAGAAGAAGCAACAACAAAAACAACAAGCTGATGATAATCGTCGCAACAGTTCCTCGTCTCCGTTGTCTCGTTTGTTTTTTTAATTTTTAAATATTTTTTTTTAATTTGGGGAGTATGGGAGGAATTTTAAGTTTTGAACATCCATTTTTAAATTTTCTTTATTGGTTTTTACTCTTTTTTCTTCGTTTTTTATTCGCGCATCTATTTTTAGCGCATTTATTTCTTATCTCCTTCGCTCATCTCTTCCACTTTTCTTCTACAAAATTTCTTTTTTAATTTTTTCTAAACATTCTTTCATTCTTTCCTCTTAATTTTTATTCATATTTTTGTTTTCATATTATTTAAATCAGCTTTTAAAATTCACAATCCTTCCCTCGATATTTTGGGTTTATTTTACTTTCTATAAGGCCAATAAATTGCCAAATTTGCCGTGAATGAGGAATAAAAGGAAGGAAGAAATTTATTTTTTTAAAGAAAAAAAGGACTGTCTTGAATACACAATTTACTTTTTTTGTGAAGGACCTCCCCTTCCTCAATAGTAAAATATTTTTTGAATGGGAAAAGAGCAAAAAGAAAAGCATAGCGCATCAAGTGTCTAGAAAATTGCTTTGGCATTTATCTTCTTTTTTTATATTTTTCTAAAATATTTTTTATTCTTTTATTTTTTACCTCATATTTTATTCATTCTTTCTTGAAACCTATAATTTTATTTTTTTAAATAATTCTTAACTAGAATTCTTAAATAAACTCTTTTTTAGATTCCCATTTTGTGGATGAAAGATCACCTTGTTAGAAGCGTTATCTTATTATGAGAATATCGTTATTAGGTAACTGTCCAGCTTTCAGTGTACTAAATTTCAAAGATAACGTAAACTTATTGTTAGGAATTCTAATTCTGAAGGTATCTTATTGTTAGATAATGGTGTTTGACTGCTAGGGCTATTCTTGTCATTAACTCTTCAATATTAAGTTTCACCTAGAATAAGTCGAATTCTCGTTTAATTGGTAACCTCTTTTCTTGGTTATTAGCTTTCTTTCTCTTTTTAGGGCTATAAATATTTTATCAATTTCTTTATTTGCTTCCACATTTAAATCGTGAGAAATTTTAGAGGAAAATTAAAGCCAGTATAATACAATACTTTTTTCCTTTTATAAATTAATTAATGAAAAAGGACATTTTTAGACTTAAATAGAATCTAGTTTTTTTAGCTTAAAATTTGGAAATTAACTTTTTGGGGTAGATTTTATATTTTCTAGCTGAATATTGTTATGCTTCTGACGTTTGTTTAAAAAAAACTCTTATCCTTTTTCTTAATTAATCCCTGAAACTGACAAATATTCTTCTAATTTTTATTTATTTATATCTTTATTTTTCTTTTTTCTTAAACTTTTTAGCGTTTCCTATTTTTACTTTAAACATTTTTCTTTATTTTTTTAAACTATTTTATAGATTTTTTAAAAAATTATTAAAATATGCCTAATAGTTCATCAGAATTTTCCTTTGCCGATAATCTTCCCCGTCATTCCCTAACTCCTTCAAATGCTGCTTCTTCCTTTTCTTCTGCAACAAAACTTTTTGGCAATAATAATACCGAAAATGGTTTGGCTACAGCTACAAGCCTTTTAACAACATTAACTGAATCCTCTGCTATTTTAGTTCGTCGTTTATCTAAAGCTTTTTTTCAAGCTCAGAATCGACAACGTATTGGTGGGAGTTTATTTCTTTTCTGTTTTAAATTTTTTTGAACATTGTTGATTGTGGTTTTTATTTTCTTTTTTGACATTTTTTAAAATCCAATCATTTTTCTATTTTTTGTGAGGTTATTTTTGGGGGTTATTTGCTTTACTGTAGCTGCTTATTTAGCAATTGCGCGCCCATTTTTATTATTTTTTCTCTTTACTGTTATTGGCGCTATAGATCTTTTTTTAACCTAAAATCTAGAAAATCTTTTTTTCTAATTTTTCTTTAAATTATTTTATTTATTTTTTTCTTATTTTTGCTCTTTTAGATCCCTAATATATTTTTATAAAAATATTTCTTACACAAATAGGCTATAAATAAGGAAAAAATGCTTTCATGCGGAAGTATTTCCATAAAGAAATAACAGAAAAAAATGCTAAATGAAAATATATCCAAGTTAAGAGAGAAAACTCCCACAGAATTATTATTTTTATTTTTTTTACTTTTTGCGTCATTTGTGTTGCTACAATAAATAATAATTATTATTTTTCTTTTGGAAAGAAGGCTTATATTTGGGTTTTATTTAGCTTAAAATGGGAGTTAGGAAAGATTTTCATCTTCTACTATATATTTTCTATTTTTATTTTATCGAATTTTAAAATTAAAATTCATCATTCTTTTTTTTTATTTTTCCTTATTTTTTAAAAGATTACATATTTGAGATTTAATTTTTATATGTTATCAGACATTTTTTTGAATTTTTATTTTGAATTTTTCACCTACATATCACTCTTGTCCATCTTAACTCTTTTATTTAATTATCTATAATATATGTATCTTCTAATTATAACTCTATCTTGATCAAAAGAATGTCTAGAAGTAGATTATCTCGCTTTATTTACTTCCTCTTTTGTAAGAATATTTAATTTTTTTAAACCAAATATTATGAATTTGCACCCTTGTGGGCTGTATTTGGTTCTTTATTTCACCTTTTTTTTATTATTAAAGCTATATCTTAAAATTCATTTTACTATATTTGTCCATGTTTTAGTACACAAACATTAAAAAAAATTTTTTTTCTATTTTTTACTTTAATACTTTCACTTTTTCCGTTTCCTTCTCCCAGTTTCTATGTTCATTTCCGCACTTTCCCCCTATTTTTTTCAATTTTTTACGTTGCCATTTGAATATATCCATACAAGCTTTTCGCTCTCATCAAATTGATTATTTTTTATAAAGCTGGTACCAAAAAATTGTTAGATAGAGAGAAAATACCTCTTTTTTAAAATTAAATGCATTTTCTCATCCATGCGCATTGGTGCGGCACCCTATACTTTATAATAAAATAGTAGTAGCTATAGGTAATATTTAACTAGTAGCTGGTTGTTGTTTGCCTGTGTTTTTTTAGAGGCAAATGGAAGAAGCAAAAAAAATTGTTAGAATTGTCTATGTGTGTATTATTTTCCCTTTCACTTTTTGGCATTTTTTGTGCCTTTCTCGTATATGTATATTTTTTTATTTTCTTGTGCCAGCTTTTCCTCTCATTTTTATCTTTTATTACTAGAAAATCTTAATCGATTTTTACTTTCTTTTCATTTTCTATAATATATCTTTGGGTAGCTATAGGTAATATAATTTAAATAAGAAAGAGGCTTTCCAAGCTAAGTTAATTTCTTAATATCCCGTTTTCAATATTAAAAATATCATTTTGATCTTATTTTATATGTTTATGTAATTTGTTAATAATTTTTTAAGGTTGAAAAAATTTTTTCCTTAAATAATCTCTTAATTCCTTTTTCCTTTTTTAAGGTTGTTTAATAAGGAAGGGATATAAATATTTATTTTTTCTTCATATCTGTTGGCACTAATTATTCACATTCTTCTTATTTTTTGTTTATTTTTTTAAAAGAAAAACCGTTAAAGTACATATCTGATATTTTAAAAAAAATTTACACTTAATATTGCCTTCCTTTTCTCATTTTTTTACATTTTGTATTTTTTAATTCCTTAGCGCATTTTCATATTTTTTTAGCGTATTTTATTTTTTTTTATTTTTAAATTAGGGTTAATAAATCTCTCCATCTTTCTTAATAACATTTGGCAAAAATTTTAATTTATGCTTAACAAAAACAAATAAATAAATTTTATATTGCGTGTCTAGCGAATATTTTTTTGTTTGTAAATAATGCCAAAAAGGCTATCATCAATCTCTTTATTTTTCTAATTTTATTTTTGTTTGAATAAACATCTTTTTTTATTTTTTAATGCTTAATCTTTTTTTATTTTATTCCGGATGCGTTTTTTAAATATTCCGTCTGAAATAATTTTTTTAAGTTTTTAAAGACACGAAATAATTTATATCTCTTTTAAATATTTTCTAAAAAAATTATTTTTATTTGCATATTCTTCGGATTATTCTTATTATTCCTCCTTATATAAAATTCAATTTAACTATATATCTTTTTTAATTCACAAAAAAATTTTTTTATTAAAAAGCATATAAAAAATTCCTTCTTTGGAATAATAAATTTATATTCTTTATTTAATAAAATTTTATTTTTCTTGTCACCCATAAAAATTTTTTTAATAAAAAATGGCTACCACAAAACGAGAACATCGTGAGCCGAATAAATTAAACATCAGAAAAGATTTTTTAGGTTTGTTTTTTTTTTTGAAAAATAATTTTTTATTAATATTTAAAAAGGAAAAAGTTTTTTCTATTTATTCATTATTTTGTTGCTACTCCCTTTTTTCTAATTTATTTTTTTATTTTTTTTCTATTTGTACATATATTAACTACTATATTTATTCTTTTGTTAATTAAATTTTGCAATACTAATTTTAGTTTTTATATTTTTAGTTATTTTCTGCCACCCCCAACTTTTTTTTTAAGATTGTGGTTATGGCATTTTCTTTTTTTTATTTTATAAATAAATAATTTTATTTTTGTTGTTTCCATTCTTTTTTTCTTTTGTCACGAATACTAGGCCAATAAATAAAAAAAGAAAGGGGGAACATGAAACAAAAAAATTTTTTAATTCATTTCTAAAAAAATTCATTCTCAACTCATCTTTACATTAAAATTAAAATATATTCTTTCTTTATTATTCTTTTTTTTGTTTCAAACATTTTTTATTTTTTTAAAAAATCCTCTTGGATTAATAAAACAAAAAATTATTTTTTTGGCAAATCCCTAAAAAATGGATAAATTTGGGTGTTCAGGTTTTTGAACGTTTTATATTCAAAGCTTAAAAAATCAGAAATTTTTTTTTACTAAATATAAAAATAATATTTTTTAAGATTTGATGAATGATTGGGAGATTGGTGGCACTCAAAACCCTTGGGTCTGTCCAAGTGATAGACATTTACAATTACGTGCTCAGTTAGTTTTTTAGATTTTTAAAGATTATTTTTTAAATTTAGACTAAAAAGTGGTTGGAGTGTTCGAACAGCCACTGCTCGCTCACCAACAACTTCCAAACAATCTCTTCTTTCTGCGGGAGGAATTACTGAAGCTGAACAAGAAGTTTGTTTAAATTTTTATTTTTAAATTTAAAATTAAACGAAAAATTTGATCAATTTTTAGTTGATCTTTTGGAAAATAATTTTTTTGTCATGAAAAATTTTTTTTATTTTTTCCTTTTTAGAAAATTAGAAAAGTTTTGGCCCGAGCAGAGCAAGGTCGAATGAATGAGCAGATTAGAATTGGGTTAGAATTTTTTAAATAAATTTTTTATTAGTTATTGAAATTTGTGAACTAAACGGACATTAATTCATAAAAGTTCAATGATTTTCATTGTCTTTTAATGACCGCAAATTTGGAAAATTAGCTTTTATTTTTTAATTAATTTATTTTTAAGAAAAATGGTTGAAAGATTAGATCGCCTTCGTTCTAGAGCTGTTGGAAATGGAGTATGTTTATTTTCTAGTATTTTTATTTTAATTTGTATATTTTTTTAGGTAACTCAATGCCTTTTATGCCAAACTGAATTTGGATTGTTGGCTGCAAAAAGTTATGCTGCAATGTGTTCAGATTGTCGAAAAGTATTTTTTTAATTTTTTTTCAGAATTTTAATTTAATTATATTTTTAAGTATGTTTGTCAACGTAACTGTGGAGTTGAAACTTTTGATCAAAAAAGAAAGGAGCCAATATTTCTTTGCAAAATTTGTTCTGAATATAGGGAAGTGGTTAGTTAATTAAATTATTTTTTAAATTTAATTTTTTATTTAAATAAAAAGATGTGGAAAAAGTCTGGCGCGTGGTTTTATAAAGAAGTGCCTTCATTACCCCCAAGTAGGCCTTGTTCTGCTATGGCTGATATTTCAAGTTCACCAATGTTGGGAAACGTCGTTTCAAATAATTGTCAACAACAACAACAACAAACTTCATCCTTTATGACTCCAACTTCCTCTATTGGTCAACCAGATAGTCCTACAGCACGTTCTCTTTGTTCTACAGGTCCAACCCCTCGACGACATTTTCCTTTTGGAGGAGGACAGGATTACCGTAAAGGAAGTAAACAACAACAATCACCAATTACTTGTACTGCTATTAGAAGGACAGCAACAAGTGTAGGGGCGGCTGAACCTGTTCCAATACCTTCTGAACATCAACAAAGGTTTTTATTTTTTAATAAATTAATTTCCATAGCCCCCTCGAACTTCCCATATATTCTGAAAAATTTTTATTAAGGCTAAAAACAAATCCTCGTCCTCGAATTATTCCTTCATGGGTTCATGATGGTCTTCAACAATCAAGTATTAGTGTAGATGAAGAATCTGATGGAGAATCTGCAAGTTCTTCAACATCATCTTCATTAGAACCAGCACAATTTCGAATGTCTTTGGGTGCACAAAAAGAACGTGCAATGGCAGTTAAACAACGAGCTTCAATAAATTCAAATAATTCTTCCTTAAATAATCAACAAAAATTATCAATAACTTCTCAACGAAATTTAACAACAGCAACAATAAAATATGGGAGAAATAATAATAATAGAAGTATTATTGAAAATAATAAAAATATGCAAAGAGTTGTTTTAAGAAGAGGTGGAAGAAATAGAGTTTTGGATTCTGGTAAATTTTTGAAAAAAAATTTTTGAAATTAAAAAATTTTTTTAAAAAAGATTCTGAAGATCAAGAAGCACTTTCTCGTCGTAGTTCTCCTTCAATTTCGCCAAGACATTCATTAGCTACTCCTTCAAGTTATGGTGGTGATGATCTTCCTTTAATGTTGTCTTCAACTGCTGGTTGTGTGACAACAACAGCAATGACAACACAAAATTATATTAATTCGACTTGTTTGCCTCAACATAATAATAATGATGAAAAAACGATGTCAGATTCTCGCAGCGTGGATTCGGGTGGTCAGAATTTGTTTAAATTTTTAAAATTATTTTTTTAATCTGAAAAATGATTTTCAAACTTAATATTTTTACCTAAATATATTTTTTTCTTATAGTTGTGCAAAGTGATCATTCTGCCCAACAACATGGATTGGCTGCTTTTGCTGCTTCTGTTTCTAATCCTCCTCATCCTATTCATCAACAAATGTTTTCTTCCAATTTTTCTGAAGAGCCTAATATTAATAATAATTGGCAGCAACAACAACAACTTCCTCCACCGGTTTTTTTAAATTTATTATTTTTAAATTTAAACAAAAATTTATTAAAGGTAGCAAAATCCCCATCACCCATTCCTCCACCAATTCCACCAAGAAGTGCAACAATAGCTGCACCTCCACCAATAATGTCACATCAAATTGTTGGTTCTTCAACATCATCATTTAAACCAATTACAACAAAAAGGCCTTCCTCAGCAAATAATTATGCAATTAATCAAACAACAACTGAAATGGGATTTTCTTCATTAAGTTTAGCTCCTGATTCATCAATTACTACTAGTCTATCAACTCAATCATCAACAGTTCCAACAATTGATAATAATATGCGTTGTCGAGAGGTTTTAAATTTTTTAAATTTTATTTTTACTTGATTAAAAATAAATTTTTTAAAGGATGCACATTTGGTAGTAGATGGAGGAATGTCTTCAGGGAGACGATCAGATGGTGATTCTTTTGATCGAGATGATTCTCCCGCATTTATGAGTGAGCCTGAGGACGATATTAGTTTGTTTTTTCTTTATTTTTTAGTTTACATACAAAGTTGTGGGTTTGATTTTGTCGGGTTTCTTTGTAAATTGCTTGTTCCTGGATTGGTATGGACCTTTAAAAATCCTTTTTTATTTCCCATTTTAAGTTACGCATTTATTCTCTACTTTTTTTTCCTTTTTAAAATAAAAATTTATTCTAGGCACTCTAGGATCAATTCAATTGAATTTATTGTATTTATCAGAAGAGAAGCAATTGATTATTCATCTAATTCGTGCGAAGGTTTTTCTATCTTTTTTTAATTTCAAATTTTTTTTAATCTTCAGAATCTAAAAGCAATGGATAAAAATGGTTTTTCTGATCCTTATGTAAAATTTCATTTATTACCTGGAAATGCAAAAGCAACAAAATTGACTTCAAAGACTATCGAGAAGACTCTAAATCCTGAATGGAATCAAGAATTGATTTACTATGGAATAACTGAAGAAGAAAGATTGAGAAAGGTTTTTTAAATAAAATTTTCTAAAAATTAAAAAAAATTTATAGTCTCTTCGTGTAACTGTATTGGATAGAGATCGTATTGGTGCTGACTTTCTTGGTGAAACGCGAATTGCTCTTCGAAAACTTCCTTTGGGTGTCACTAAAAAATTCAATTTGTATCTTGAACATGCAATGCCTACACCAGTAAAAAATTTTTTTAAATATTTTTTAATTGAAAAAGAATTCTTTTTAGTTAGAAAAACCTATTCAAGAAGAACGTGGTAAATTGCTACTCTCTGTTTGTTACAACATTCAACAAGGATCCCTTTTTGTTACTATCAAGCGATGTGTTGAACTTTTGGGAATGGATGCTACAGGTTTTTTACTAAAAATGTTTTAAATATTTTATTTTTCATTAAGGTTTCTCCGATCCTTACTGTAAAGTTTCTCTTATACCTTTGGCCTCCAAAGCGCATAGACAGAAGACTGCTATTAAAAAGAGGACGTTAAACCCTGAATTTAATGAAACAATGCAATTTCTGGTCCCTTTCAAGGACTTGCCAAAGAAAACTTTGGATATTGGGGTCTATGATTATGGTATTTTCTTTTTTTATTTTTTAAATTTATATGAAATTTTTGTTTAACCTCCAAAAATTAACTAAAAATTCTAGTCCATTCTCTTTTTTTGAAGGGAAGCCTGGGTTTTCTAATCCCTAACTTTTAAGGTTTATTTGGAAAAATCCAGAGCATAGGAATTATTCACGAGGGTTAACAAGTAAAAAAGTTTCGGAGAAGCCATCTAGTTTAAAAGAAACGAGGATGGCTAATGTCCTTTGTTTAATGTTTTTAAATAATAAAGTTACATCAATTTCAGATATGGGAAGACACGACGACTATATTGGTTTGTTCATGCAAAATAAATTAAAAAAATTTTTTTTTATTATTTAGGTGGAGTTGTTCTTTCAACTGCTGCTACTGGTGAAAGAGGAAGACAATGGCAACAAATAATTGAGAATCCCGGGAAGACATTGGAATATTGGCATAAATTGGAAACTGATGGATGAAAATAGTTTTTAGTTTTATTGTTAATTTTTAGTGCCTTTAATGGAACTATTGCAGGTCCAAGTAGGGGGGGGGGGCGATATTATAAGGTTCATTTGTTCTAATTTATTTTTACGTTGATTTTTTAAATCATTTTTTACTGCTGTTAAATAAATTTTAATATTATCTTGAATTGTTATTTTTTCGATTGTTTATTCGACAAATTATTTTTTTAGCGGGAAGAGAGGAGTTTGTTTTTAAAATATTTAAAGATTAAATAATGTCTGCAATTGGAGCTAAAAAGTCTGGATTGGCTGCTGAGGTACAACAAAGTGTTCACGTCAAATTTGATTCTCAATTTGCTCAACAAATCTTTGGATGGATTTCTTCTGTTACTGGAGAGACGTTGCCATCAAATGGAGATATTAATGAATTTATTTCGACTTTGAAAGATGGAGTTCTGCTTTGCAAGTTTGTTTTAAAGATTTTTGAGTTTATGGTTGTTTTGGGAATATCTAGGTCTGTGTCTCTTAAGTAAGGGGTTCGGATCCTACGTACGAAAATGGGTACACCCCAACTTACCGCGAGCCCAACTCGTCGCAGAGCTATAACTTCGTTCAGAATTGTCGAATCCGGGGCGCCCTGGTATAGTTCGATTCAGCTCGTCGAGACGCATCGAATTATACCAAGGCGTACCGGATTCGACAATTCTGAACGAAGTTATAGCTCTGCGGCAAGTTGGGCTCGCGGTAAGTTAGCCTGCTCCCTACGAAAATATTTTGTATACACAATTTCCCTCTAACTCGAATGTTAAAATTTTCCAATTTCAGGCTTGTGAACGCTCTTTCTCGAAATTCAGACGAGAAAGTCAACAACAGCGTTTTGCCATTTAGATATGCAGCAAATATTGCTTACTTCTTGTCGTTTGTGGGGAATTATGTCGGTAAAAGTATTTTTTAATTTGAGTATTCTTTTTTGATTATTTTGTCCTTTAGATGAACTTTTCAAGACGGTTGATTTATATGAGGGGCAAGACCCGAATTCTGTTCTCGTTTGTTTGGCAGCATTGGCACGTAAATCTGAGAAAGCTTTTGGGTAAGATTTGTTAATAACAAGATTAAAATTTATTTTTAAATTTAGAAAGCCTGGACTTGGACCGAAAGAAGCTGGAGGGGGAACTTCTCGTCAACCTAAAGCTGCTGAACCAATTATTGGACTTCAGGCTGGGTCAAGCAAGGGAGCTACTCAGAGTGGAATGGTTTCTGTTTTAATATTAAAAAATGAAATTCGGGTTGGGGAATTTATTTTAGAGAGCTTTTTGGGAATCCCACGGCCATTCAATTTTTGGATTTATCTTAACCTAAGATTTATTATGTTTGGATGGTTTCCTGCAGAAATTTCACCAAAAATTGGATTGTTTATTTCTAATTTCGATTTTTGATTAACATTTTTTCTTTTTCAGAAGAAGCGAGAAAAAGGAAAGGTGGGGAAATTAAGAAACATTCAAATAGAATTTTGAATTTCTAGATTATCCCCACAAGTGAAAGGAAGAGAAGAAGGCGTGTTAAATTGGAAACAAAACAGAAGAAAATTGAAGAAGAAAAGAAGAAAGAGGAAAAGAAGAAGAAGAAGGAAGAAAGGAAGAAGAGGAAGGAAGAAAAGAAGATGAAGAAGGAGAAGAAAGGAAAAAATTAAATTGTTTATTTTTGTTATTTTTACAATGGAATCTTTATAACGACGTTTATTTGGTTAGCATTTCTGTCCCGAAGTCTATTTGACTCTAAAACGGCTAAAACAATGTCAGTGTATAAAGACTCCATTTATTGACATTATTGCTTCTATCTTTTATTTTTTTATTTTAAATTTAATAGAACAAATTTCCAATTTAAAACTAGAAATCCATAAAGGTTCAAAAACCGTTATATCTTTACCATTTAACAATATTTGTTTCAGAATTCAAAAATCTGCGCTATTTGGCATAATGCAAACCATTAAGAATAAATGACACTTCATCCCAAAATCAATAATCGATTTTTGATACTTCGTTTGGAGTCCTCTGTTGTCCATCTTTAGCAAAGATGTTCTACAACAGAATGCGTGGCTTTTCCTTAGGGAATTAACCTTTTTAGGGGGGAGGAAAGTATTGAGTTGCGGACAAGACTTGCAATTTTTCAATTTTTGAAAAATGTATCCAATTTTTTCAGTGCTTCAACAGCAGCAGCAACAAACAACTTCAACAGCAGCAGCAGCAACAAACAACTTCAACAGCAGCAGCAACAACAAAAGTCCCAATGTATCGCTTCGGCGGTATATGGGCAAAAGTCCCAATGTATCGCTTCGGCGGTATATGGGCAAAAGTCCCAATGTATCGCTTCGGCGGTATATGGGCAAAAGTCCCAATGTATCGCTTCGGCGGTATATGGGCAAAAGTCCCAATGTATCGCTTCGGCGGTATATGGGCAAAAGTCCCAATGTATCGCTTCGGCGGTATATGGGCAAAAGTCCCAATGTATCGCTTCGGCGGTATATGGGCAAAAGTCCCAATGTATCGCTTCGGCGGTATATGGGCAAAAGTCCCAATGTATCGCTTCGGCGGTATATGGGCAAAAGTCCCAATGTATCGCTTCGGCGGTATATGGGCAAAAGTCCCAATGTATCGCTTCGGCGGTATATGGGCAAAAGTTTAAACTCCAATGCTCTCGTCTACATGGTTAGCTTTTTTACTTTATTAAATTTGCAAGTTTTGTCCGCAAGGTTCCTCCCCTAAATAAGTTTATCCTTTCCCAATGTTAAAGCCAATTAAACGGTGGCCAAGTTCTTGTCAAATGAGAAGACGTACAGCAGATGACCCATTGATTAGATGCGTTGATTTGTTTGTTTTGAATGGTTGATCTTTTGATAGGTTGTTTTTATGTATAAATGATTTTTAATTACTTAATTTTCAGCTTTGCGAGAGTATCCAGAAGCCTTAAAAATTTTTAAGAGGTTATTTTTAATTGTTTACTATGGTTTCAAGATTATTTTTTAGGCCGGTGAATTGTTGCGGAAAGACTTTTTGATGAGAATGCTTTGGAAGAATAAGAATCAGCAGAAATGACCGAAGAACTGCAATCTTTTGTTAGAATTCAGAAAATTAGGTTTGAAGATTAATTGATTGGGTTGATTATTTGGTTTCCACAATTGTTTATATTTTTCAAGTTTTGTCCCTTTTGGAGCTTACTAATTTAAAGAATCTCTGTTATGGGTGTTTAAATCTCCGTCCGGTTGCTTCCCTTGGGTATTGTGACTTGTAGGGAGGTTTTTGTTTGTCTATCCGATTTCGACAAATTACAAGTCATTAGAAAAAGCTCGTCGAGCTGACATGAGTCGATTTGAGATAAATGGTTTGGGCCATCCAATAAGTCAAGGGAGTAGCCAGGGAGCTTCTAAGGCTATAGCCCCCCCTGAAATTTGAAAAATGAACTCGGTCCCCTAAACGTCCGTTCGGCCTCTTTCCTTGAGCTATCGAATCAGCTCGCCGAGCTCTTTCGAATAACACCTCATTTATCAAAATCGGGTGTGCCAACAAAAACTCCCTGTGTCACAACATTCTTCAGTTTTTCGTTACTGTCCATTATTCCTTTTTAGACATTTTTTCACTTTTGGTCTATCGGTATTTTGTTAAGCTTCCCCTTTTCGACTTATCCTTTCCGACTTTTAGGCATTCTTTCCTATTTTTCCATTAGTTTTCTTATTTTTCTTTTTAGTACTACACAAGCCTCGTCATCAACTTCAACAACAAATTCCTGGCCTTTTTGTTTCTTTGAAGAAGCGATGGAATTATAAAAGAAGCAAGTGTTGGCATAAAAGAAAAAATTGGATTTATGAACGAATATGGAGACGAAAACATAGTTTTTTTTCAATTTTTTTGTTTTTAATTAGATGTAGTCGAATTAACCTAAAAATCTTCGACATTTCTAAAAAATGAAGAAAAATTGACGGTTTATTTTCAAATCTAATTTTGACTATACAATTGTCATTTAAATTTTGCTTGTCTTTAACTAAATTTTATCTGTTTGCATAAATAAAAATGAATTTGTTGTTGTTGAATTACCATTTTTCATTAAATTTTATTGAGGACTTTAAATTGAAGTCGACTTCTAGAAGAATTTAACGGTCTTCTCTTGAATACCCTCATCAAATTCCAAAAAGACCATTTCTCATGTTATCAGACTCTTGTATTCCTTTTTGTATTGGGAACTACTCTTACTCCTTTTTAAAGTAAGTTGGAATGTAGCAAGTAGAGAAAGAAAATGTTTGAGTGAGTTGAGAAGTTGGGATGTAATGTTAAAAATAAACGACATTTTGTCCCAAGAGTTAGAGAAATTCTATAAAACAAATAGTGTAACTAGAGAAAAAATAAATATCAAATGTTTAGGTCGCTTCAGTGCTGGATTCAGAGAGCGCAAAGTTACTGTATTTGAAATCTAATTTTTGATAATTGTTTTGAATTTAAAAAATTTTTTATGTTTGTTTATTTTTGGGCTTTAAAACGCCATGTTATAGGTTCTTATGATTTTTCTAGGACGTAAAATCTTAAGAATTTAGTGTGCAGGTAAGAGTTCTCCGTTATCTAATTTACTTTTCGATGGATTGAGTATTTTTGCTCAGTTAGACATTTTGAGATCGGAAATTTTTGGGTTTCTATTCATGGGGACATTTTGTGGGTCTTTTTAAAGTGGGACATCTTCGTGATGAGACAATTTTGGGGGTTTAATTCATTGGGACATTTTCGGGGCACTCCCTGTTGTCTTTATAAACAAAAGAATAATTTATATAAGGGAGGATAGATTCTATTGATAATATATTGATATCCGTCAATATTTAATATATCTATACTATATGTTTATAGAGTTCGATGAATTTATAAATATTTTTTATAAATGTTTATATCTTATTTAAAAGATCGGTTAATAAAAAATTTTTTAAATTCAAAACAATTATCAAAAATTAGATTTCAAATACAGTAACTTCGCGCTCTCTGAATCCAGCACTGAAGCGACCTAAACATTTGATATTTATTTTTTCTCTAGCTACACTATTTGTTTTATAGAATTTCTCTAACTCTTGGGACAAAATGTCGTTTATTTTTAACATTACATCCCAACTTCTCAACTCACTCAAACATTTTCTTTCTCTACTTGCTACATTCCAACTTACTTTAAAAAGGAGTAAGAGTAGTTCCCAATACAAAAAGGAATACAAGAGTCTGATAACATGAGAAATGGTCTTTTTGGAATTTGATGAGGGTATTCAAGAGAAGACCGTTAAATTCTTCTAGAAGTCGACTTCAATTTAAAGTCCTCAATAAAATTTAATGAAAAATGGTAATTCAACAACAACAAATTCATTTTTATTTATGCAAACAGATAAAATTTAGTTAAAGACAAGCAAAATTTAAATGACAATTGTATAGTCAAAATTAGATTTGAAAATAAACCGTCAATTTTTCTTCATTTTTTAGAAATGTCGAAGATTTTTAGGTTAATTCGACTACATCTAATTAAAAACAAAAAAAATTGAAAAAAAACTATGTTTTCGTCTCCATATTCGTTCATAAATCCAATTTTTTCTTTTATGCCAACACTTGCTTCTTTTATAATTCCATCGCTTCTTCAAAGAAACAAAAAGGCCAGGAATTTGTTGTTGAAGTTGATGACGAGGCTTGTGTAGTACTAAAAAGAAAAATAAGAAAACTAATGGAAAAATAGGAAAGAATGCCTAAAAGTCGGAAAGGATAAGTCGAAAAGGGGAAGCTTAACAAAATACCGATAGACCAAAAGTGAAAAAATGTCTAAAAAGGAATAATGGACAGTAACGAAAAACTGAAGAATGTTGTGACACAGGGAGTTTTTGTTGGCACACCCGATTTTGATAAATGAGGTGTTATTCGAAAGAGCTCGGCGAGCTGATTCGATAGCTCAAGGAAAGAGGCCGAACGGACGTTTAGGGGACCGAGTTCATTTTTCAAATTTCAGGGGGGGCTATAGCCTTAGAAGCTCCCTGGCTACTCCCTTGACTTATTGGATGGCCCAAACCATTTATCTCAAATCGACTCATGTCAGCTCGACGAGCTTTTTCTAATGACTTGTAATTTGTCGAAATCGGATAGACAAACAAAAACCTCCCTACAAGTCACAATACCCAAGGGAAGCAACCGGACGGAGATTTAAACACCCATAACAGAGATTCTTTAAATTAGTAAGCTCCAAAAGGGACAAAACTTGAAAAATATAAACAATTGTGGAAACCAAATAATCAACCCAATCAATTAATCTTCAAACCTAATTTTCTGAATTCTAACAAAAGATTGCAGTTCTTCGGTCATTTCTGCTGATTCTTATTCTTCCAAAGCATTCTCATCAAAAAGTCTTTCCGCAACAATTCACCGGCCTAAAAAATAATCTTGAAACCATAGTAAACAATTAAAAATAACCTCTTAAAAATTTTTAAGGCTTCTGGATACTCTCGCAAAGCTGAAAATTAAGTAATTAAAAATCATTTATACATAAAAACAACCTATCAAAAGATCAACCATTCAAAACAAACAAATCAACGCATCTAATCAATGGGTCATCTGCTGTACGTCTTCTCATTTGACAAGAACTTGGCCACCGTTTAATTGGCTTTAACATTGGGAAAGGATAAACTTATTTAGGGGAGGAACCTTGCGGACAAAACTTGCAAATTTAATAAAGTAAAAAAGCTAACCATGTAGACGAGAGCATTGGAGTTTAAACTTTTGCCCATATACCGCCGAAGCGATACATTGGGACTTTTGCCCATATACCGCCGAAGCGATACATTGGGACTTTTGCCCATATACCGCCGAAGCGATACATTGGGACTTTTGCCCATATACCGCCGAAGCGATACATTGGGACTTTTGCCCATATACCGCCGAAGCGATACATTGGGACTTTTGCCCATATACCGCCGAAGCGATACATTGGGACTTTTGCCCATATACCGCCGAAGCGATACATTGGGACTTTTGCCCATATACCGCCGAAGCGATACATTGGGACTTTTGCCCATATACCGCCGAAGCGATACATTGGGACTTTTGCCCATATACCGCCGAAGCGATACATTGGGACTTTTGCCCATATACCGCCGAAGCGATACATTGGGACTTTTGTTGTTGCTGCTGCTGTTGAAGTTGTTTGTTGCTGCTGCTGCTGTTGAAGTTGTTTGTTGCTGCTGCTGTTGAAGCACTGAAAAAATTGGATACATTTTTCAAAAATTGAAAAATTGCAAGTCTTGTCCGCAACTCAATACTTTCCTCCCCCCTAAAAAGGTTAATTCCCTAAGGAAAAGCCACGCATTCTGTTGTAGAACATCTTTGCTAAAGATGGACAACAGAGGACTCCAAACGAAGTATCAAAAATCGATTATTGATTTTGGGATGAAGTGTCATTTATTCTTAATGGTTTGCATTATGCCAAATAGCGCAGATTTTTGAATTCTGAAACTAATATTGTTAAATGGTAAAGATATAACGGTTTTTGAACCGATTTATGGATTTCTAGTTTTTAATTAGAAATTTGTTCCACTAAATTTAAAATAAAAAAAAGATAGAGCAAGAATGTCAACAAATTGAGACTCTATACACTGACATTGTTTTAGCCGTTTTAGAGTAAAGACAGAAATGCTGACCAAATAAACGTCGTTATAGAGATTCCATTAAAAAATTAAAAAATAACAAAAATAAATCATTTAATTTCTTTTCTTATTCTTTACTTCCTGCCTCCTCTTCTTCTCTTTATTTATCAGCTTCTTTATTTCAGCGTTTGGACGCCCTTCATTTTTCAGCTTTTCTATATTAGCGTTTTCACGCCCTCTTTTCTTCCTTTCACTTCTGGACTTATTCTAAAAATTCAAAATTCTATTTGAATATTTTATTTAATTTCCCAACCTTTCCTCTTGATCGCTTAATTTTGTTCTCCTGAAAAAGAAAAAAGTTTAATCAAAAATCGAAATAAACAATTCAATCTTTGGGTGAAATTTCATCATGAAACCACCCAAACATGATAAATCTTAAATTAAGATAAATCGAAAAATTGAATGGCCGTTGGATTCCCAAAATGCTCCCTAAAATAAATTCCCCAATAAACAAAATGTTAACCTTAGGCGTCTCTTTTTGAATTTTCCCATCATTTTTGTCGCTTTGTTGATTAGCAGGCTTAAAAGATAAAATCATAAAGCTGTAACAAATTAATTTAATAACCTTAATCTTAATATCAGTTCTGCTTCGTTCTTTTGCTTCTTTTGTCGTTGAGATGTTTTGCTGCTCCAAAGGACTACTTATTGTAATTATTGGAGCTGCTGGAACTTTTGATGGCATGTTCAATTCTTTTTGTAGAGGCTTCTTAACAGGAATAGACTCCTTTTCTTTAGTATTTCCTTCTTTTTCTTTTGTTGCTGTTGAAACATCTTTTTCCTTTTCGTTTTTATCGTCTACAAATCGAATTTTTCTAATGGCGTGGCGTTCATTGACAATGTGTTCATCGGCAACTCTCTTCTGCAAAAATAAACAAATTAAAATTGTATCCGCAAATCATATATCGTATAAAACTGGGTACTTGTGGGTTATGCGAAACCAGTGTTTGCGGACATATTTATGCGGACTCATGTACGGAATGGTCAAAGGGTTTTCCTTCCTCGATTTTACCAAATTTCACCTGTGGAATCATTTAAATGAGTTCACCAATAAAGAAAAGATATACATACAAGGTGTGGGGCAAAATGAAGTGAGGGGCTTCCAAAATACATTTTGGAGAAAGCAGTTTTGTATGGACACGCAAATGGGTGAGGTTTTCTGAAAACTGATTTTCTTTGCCTCTATCAGTCTCTATATTATGATTCACCATCTTCAAGAATGAGAACCTAATCATGTGTGTGTACCAATACTTGTCCGCATAAATTATCCGCAATAACTGGTTTGGGATACCCCACAAGTACCAAAATCCGTCAAGTTAATAATTTAATTTAACGGATGTCAAAATCTGCCATAAATAAATTCCCCAATAAACAAAATATTAACCTTTGGCTTCTCCTTTCGATTTCCCCCATCATCATTTTTGTCGCTTTGTTGATTAGCAGGCTTAAAAGATAAAATCAAAAATAAGGTGGTAGCAGATTAATTTAATAACCTTAATCTTAATATCAGTTCTGCCTCGTTCTTTTGCTTCTTTTGTCGTTGAGATGTTTTGCTGCTCCAAATGACTACTTATTGCAATTATTGGAGCTGCTGGAACTTTTGATGGCATGTTCAATTCTTTTTGTAGAGGCTTCTTAACAGGAATAGACTCCTTTTCTTTAGTATTTCCTTCTTTTTCTTTTGTTGTTGTTGAAACTTCTTTTTCCTTTTGTTCTTTTTCGTCTACAAATCGAACTTTTTTGATGAGGCGTTCTTCAACAATGTGTTCATCAACAACTTTCTTCTGCAAAAATATATTAATTAATAAGTTAATATATTACAAAAAATAAACCTTATCACGCATTCTAAAGACTTCTGGCTCTGCCAGATCTTCGGGACTCCCATCAAATACCAAGCTAAACGTCGAGACTTTGCGAGGCTGTTCTTGTTGTAATTTGGGTTGTTCTTCTTGTAATTTGGGTTGTTCTTCTTGTAACGGTTCAAGCATAAACGAGTCCTCCTTAAAAACATAGAATATATTTATTTATTTTCAGTTCAAATGTATTAATAAATCCTTACAACACTTATGCTAGACGAGGGATGGCTTAAACACCTATAAAAAGTTGGTTTTCTCACCCCGTATCCGCAGTCCGCACATTTCACCCAAACCGTATTTTCACCAATAAAACTAAAGGCACCTCAGAGCTAGGCTATCTTATTGGTCAGAAAAGCCCAAAGAAAGCACCACCCAAATAGAAATTTGAGGGAAGGGAGGGGGATGGAAACAACTCATACTAGTCAAAAATATCTAAAAAAAGAATAAACAAAACCTCCAGTTCCATATTCCTATCGGGAAGTTGATGTATTTTCGGTTGAAATATTTCAAGTCCATACATCTCACGTCGATCTTGCCAATCAACCAGAGATTGTAATTGGTCTAATTTAATCTTCATTGTATTCATTTCTGCTTTCAATTGCTTATTCTCTTCTTTTTCTCGCTTTGCTTCAAGTTGAAATTGATATAAGTGAGGCAGTGAAGATTTCATCACTTCTTTTTCTTCTTCCAGTTTATTGGCTTTGTCTTTTTCTAGCTCGAATAAATTTGATACTCTTCTGTAGTTTGTAACAAGATCCGAAGATAGTGGATTTTCCTGTAAATCTTTCAATTTTTCATGTAATTCTTTCAATTTTTCTTGATATTTCTTCTGCATTAAATCCATTCTTGCTTTCATCTTCTTATTTTCTTCTTTTGCGAGCTTTAATTGTTCCACTTCTTGTAATTTGGTCACTGACAATTTCATCTCTTGATTTTCTTCTAACAATTTCTTATTCTTTTCCCGTTCTTGCTTCAATAAAGCTGTAGTAATTTCATATTGCGAAGACATTGGATTTTTATCCATTTTGCTTAAAACCAAACGAAAAAGAAAAATTCACAACGTTTTTAAATAAAAAATTATAAGTAAAGCGACTTTTAAAAAAAATACAAATAAATATTATAAAATTTGAAAAACAAAATTTTCTCGAATGTGAGAAAAACGGGTGAAAGACCCAAAACGGCGCAAAGCCATAACTTGCTGAAAAACTTATGGTCCTTATCAATTCTGGTATCAAAATATTTAGCTCGATGAGTTGAATCGTTCAATACTAAATTTATCGAGATTCGGAAATCTAGGAGCAAGTTATGGCTTTGCGCCGTTATGGTCGCGCGCCGTTTTGGGGGGTAAGGGACGAAGGGACTTTTCTTATTCTTTTAAGTTGCCAAAATAGACAACTTAAAAGTTATTAGAGATATTAATAAAAAGTTTAAAACTTTTTCAAAGAAAATACAAATAAACAGAATATTTATTACTATTATATTTGCAATATACAAAAATATCCCAATTATTGTGAAAAAATCCATCAATTAATATGAAAAATCGAAAAATAATTATAGAATTCTGTTTCGTATATTAGAAAATCTTAAAATATAAGAAACGGATCGGGTTAAACTTTGTCAATTGAAACTAAGCTAAACACAAAAGTTTAGATTTGAGCAAAGGGAAAAGATAACAGCAAAGTTGAGCAAAAAAGATAAAATAGATAGACGGTTAAAATAAATAAAATTTGTAAAAATTTCTGAGGTGATTAATTAATAAATAAAATTCTAACAAAAATATAGAATCCAAAATAAACTATTTTCTTCTAACAAAATTGGTTGATGAGGAAGAATGTTGTGATAATGAAGTTGATGATGAGCTGCTACTTGGCGAAACTTCTTGGTTGATTTGTTGAGAAAAATATCCAATCAAAGCCTGTTCATTGGTAAATGCTCCGCTAGCTGTAGCCACTCTTAAAAATTAAAATAAAAACAAAATAAATAAATAACAAAAACAAACCTAACAAGTGTATCCGAAGCAATTGGCCTCAGAACTCCAGAATTCCAATGTACATCTAACCATTTTTTTGCTGACAGTAACAATCGCTCTCGATTAGTTCCATCTGGATATATTTGTTCAGCAAAAGAGTAGACAATTGGTTTGATGACTTCACTCATCTGTAATAAGAAAGAAAATTATTTAGAAGATCAGAATGTATACAAAATGGGAAGATAGCAAAACAAGCGGATGCTCTATATCAAATAAACTTATCAAATTCTGAGAGAACGTTGAAAAAAATGATGGCTTTAAGCCTAGAGACAACAATAACCTAGGTAAGATTGGGCGAGATAGCTCCTAAAAAATAAAAACAAACCAGCCAAAATCTGTAGTCTTCCTGTGATTTATCTCGTTTGTAACGTTCAAAAAATTGCTCCACTTGAATCCTAATTGTTGGAGAATTGTCATTATTCTTAGAACCATTCAAATTAGATGAAGGCAAATTTGCTTGGATCATACTTTAAAAAATAAATACTTTAAAAATTTTAATCAAAAAATTCTTACGCAATTCTTTCATTCATACAAGCAATTTTTTCTTTAAAAATCTTCATTTGATTTAATTGCTTCTCTTGTTCTAATTTTAAATTCTTTATATGTTGTGCCGCTCTATTAAGTACTACAGCATTTGTACTTTTTAGTCCAGCTTGTTCAACTAAAGGTATTGCTTTAACCAAACAATCAAATCCTTCTTTTAATGCTGAACGACGATTCTTCTCCGCATTTAAATGTAATATACGTTTACGTTCATCTGGATTTAATGTTGAATCAGCTGCTGCCGAATTTGTACAAATATTTAATGTAGAACCTTCTTCTTCTGTTAATATTGTTGTTGTAGATGATGAAAAATATGGAGGAGATAAATTATTGTCATCTTGTAATATACAATCATTGGTTGAAGAAAAAGGGATACACATTTCTAAAAAAATAACCTTAACACTAGAAAAGCATAAATAAAAGTAAAACCTGTTTTCTCCTCCAAATTTCTATTATCAATCCCATCTTCTTTTTTAACCTCCAAGTTTTGTTTAAATTGCCCCAATTCAAGTAATTTATGTTGCTTTAATTCTTCATTAATTGTTGTATTATTACAATTATTTTCAATTAAAGAATTTAATAAAATAGCTTCATTTGATGGGGGTAAATGTTTAAAATAAGAAGGTTGTTGCATCTGTTGTTGTTGTTGCGAAGGAATAATTATTGGTGGAGACATATTAGTTGTTGAATTTCGTGGTGATGATAATTGTTTATAATTTCTTCTCTTATTACTAGTATTATTAAAACATTGTTGTTGTTGTTGTAATTGTTGTGCTTCTGAAGAGGGAATATTTACAGGTCCAAGAGAAGCAAACTAATTAATTAAAAAAGTTTTAATAAAATATTTTTATAAAAGAAAAAAACCTCAAGTTCATCAATAAATGAATTATTATTTGTTGTAGATGTTTGAGCAACCAAACAAACATTATTATTGTTTTTAACAGCAACATTATTTTTTTGATGTTTTTGCGGTGGCGATAAATTATTTATTTGATTGTTGTGTTGCTGTTGTCTTTTACCCAAATGTGTGGTTGTTGTTGTTTGTGATCTTTGTTGTTTTTGATGATTTGTAGAGGATAATAATGAAGATGAAGAAAAACTTGATCCTCTGATTTTTTTGTTATCATCGCACAAATTATTATTTGGTGATGAAAATGCTGAAGAAATAGAAACAGACATCTTTCTTGGTAATAATTGTTGCGGTGGTGAAAATGCTGTTTTAGTAGGCGGAGAAAGAGGAATATTTGTTGAATTTGGAGATATCTGTTGTTGTATATGTTGTTTCTGGCCTTGAAATAATTAAGTAATTTAAATTTAAAAAATCCAAAAAAACCTCTTGTTCCCTTTAATTCATTTACTTGCACAGGAATATTATTAATTATAGAAGGTGAATATTGCTGCTGTTGTTGAATAGAAATCGAAGACGGAAAAGTATTTTGCAGGGAAGAATTTGTTAAGGATGTTGTTTGCCCAAATCCAGTTACAAATGCTGATTTATCGCCTGGTTGAATTAATGGAGAATTTGTAATAATTGGAGTTTGCTGAGTTAGAAATCTTTAAAAAAATTAATTTACTTTTAACACGAAAAATTGAAGTAAGACCACCCACTTACCCCTTAATTATTTGTATATTCAACCCCTAGTGACTTAAATAATCCAATGAAAATAAATTTCAAACCTTGATATATCGCTCATAACAAATCTTTTAACAGCTTGAGGGCCAATAGAAGCATTGTTATTTGCTTCTGTTAATGATTGTAATAATTGGTCATTGCTTTGATCAATTTTTTGTTGCTGCTCAATATTTTGTTTTTGTTCAATTAAAGATTTACTCAATAAATGAGAAGAAAGTATTGATGGTTGTTGTTGCTCATTTTTTGATGTTAAAGTTGTCGATGAAACTAAACTTGCTACAAGTGAAGAATTTGTTGAAGGAAAAGAACGTTGTTGTTGTTGTTGTGATGATGAATTGGAAGAAGAAAGTAATGATTGTGTACTAAAATTTCTAAGAGAAATATTTGGTGGATGAATAGATGGTAATGATTGTTGTTGTGACGGTGTTGGGAGATTCTATAAATTAACAAAATGAATTAAAAAGATCTTTTGATATCTCTAGTCTATCTGAACTATTCCATAACTAATTACCCACAACAAATTACAAAGTTAAAAATTATACATTTTCAGATGCCTTTCTAACAAGAGTAGTTGCCGCTGGAGATTGTTGTTGCAAAAATGGATATGTTTGTTGTTGTTGTTGAGAACCCCAAGATGCTGAAGACCATTGACTAATTATTGGATTTGGGTTTGACAAAGTTGAAGTTAATGTTCTATTTAATAAATTTGTTTGTTGTTGATTAAAAGCTGATTGATTTCCAGAATTTGTTGTAGCAGCAGCGGCCAACAAAGAATAATTAATTGGTGAAGAAAAATGGGAAGGATGTGAAGATGAAGCAACAGAAGTAATTATTTGATGTGTAGTAGATGTCTAGAAAAAAATTTAATTCAAAGATTTTTAGAAAATAATAAACCTGATTCGCAATTTTTGACATTGGTGTTGGTGGGAACAATGAAGAATTGTTATTGTTGTAAATATTTCTTCCTCCACCAATTTTCATTTGCCTTTCAGAATTCTTCTGATCCCCTCCACTATTTAATGCTGCCGCAATTCGTTGTGTTTCATAAGCAGCTGCTTGTGAATATAATGGATTTGAAATATTTGGCGTTAATATTTGCGGTATTCCTGCTGATTGTATATCAATAAATGGTGTTGATTGATCAGAAGAAGACGACGACATTGTTGTTGTTTCCAACAAGTGTTGCTGTTTTTGATGTTTTCTTAATACTTTATTTGAAGGCAATGAAGAGAGTTGTTGTTGTTGTAAATGTTGTGCCTGATTGCTAAAAATAAAAAGAATATACAATTTTTCAGATTTTAATTTCTCAAAATTTAGCTAACAACCTTAAAAATCAAAAATATAGAATTATTGATTATATCAATCGTGAGAAGATATTTTACTCTCACACTCTCTTCATTCGCCTTTTAATTTTAAAATCACATCAGACATATAAAAGATATTTTTTTAATTAAAGTCTATGTTAGAAATGTCAAATTGAAAAGAAAATCAGTAAATAAAGTCTAGATTTTGACTAGACTTGAAAAAAGAAAAAATATATTTACCTATAATTAATTAACATATTGGCAGCATCATATTCTCTTTCAGAGTATAATTGTTGTTGTTGCAAAGGTATACCATTGTCATTTCCCGCAATTGATAGATGCGTCGGAAGATGACTTCTTGTTGAGGACAAAACTTGTTGTTGTTGAGATTGGTTTTTTAATGTTGTTGTTGCTGTATTCAATCTTCCTCTTCCATTATTTTCTATTAATGCATTTGAATATTCAATTGATTGATTTGTTGTTGGTAGTTGATTAGAAGAATATTCTGACGAGCCATAAGGATAATCTGTTGACATTATTTCTTCAATACTTGGTTGTAATGAAAGCAATCCAGGTTGTAATATATCAGCATTATCACAAAGAACTTAAAATTAAAAAAATTATTTATAAACTTCTACGGAGGGCATTTAATTTATTCTGTAATCAAAAATAAGATCCCATTCTTTTATTAAAAAATTTACCAGAAGTTTCCTCTTTCGGATTTGGAAATAAAAATGGCGCATTTAATTGTTCGAATAGTTGATTGGTGAATTCATTGTCCATATCATCATCAAAATCAAATAATGTGCCCAAAAAACATTCTAAATTTTATTATGTTAGAAAAAATCAGAGTCTAAAAATTAAACCTGTAGCCATTGTACTTAAATTATCTGGTGTCATACTTCTCAAAAATTGTTGATTGTTTAATAAAAGTTGTGTATGATGACTTGAAGATTCATTCATAGGAATAAGTAGATGATGATGATTTGATGTTGACTGATCACAACTACAGCTATGTCCCTTAAGAAATCTAATTGAACAATTTATAAGAGGCATAATCGAAATAAATAATCCAAGAAAGTCCAAAATAGGTGTTATACCCCATATAATGATACTATAGCAGGACAAGGCTCTTGAAGTTCGATAAGTCCCAAGTTAGTGAAATACTTAAAATTTACCCTTCTCCTGCAGCAACGCTTCCTTCTTGAAAAATAGGCCCTCCAGCGCTTATATTGTGCACAAACTGCTTCCATTCTAAAAAGACAAAAGATGATTTTTCTCAAATATTTTAAACCTTCTCTTCCAATACATTCCTTCAAGAACACTTCCCTAAGGATTGAATTTTTAGCCATTTACAAAAAACAGAAAACCTCAATCTTCACATGAGTCATGTCGTCATCCGGGACAGAGAAGTAGCAATATGGCGACCGTCGCTTTCTTCCAGGTTTGCGAAATTCCATATAGTAGGCACGCCATATAACATTATTTAGACGAATTCTATGTTTCCATTGCAGTTTGATTCCCTTTAAAAAATGGAATAAATAAATTTAAAGTCTAAAAGAACCTTAAAATCTTTCCATTTAGGTGTTGTCATCTTCATATAAGCAACTCTGATACATTTGTTCAACTTGTTTAAAGAAACATCAATTGCAATCGATTGAGTTTTTTGAGGTCCAAATTTGTAAAAGGTGACGGGTTTTTCGGCATCCTAAAATTATATTTTAAATTTTTATTTTGCAAAAATGACAGGTGAAAAAACTAAATGAAATAAATAATCGAAATGCGTGAAAAGGATTCGAACCCCAAGCCGAACAGTAATAAGTTAGTAACACTACCACTACACCACAAGTGCTCTTAGCAGTAACTGCTAATTAACGCAATAAATATAGCCTTGTATTTTGTCCAAATCTTTTTACTAAACAAAAAATCTGGACCTTCTCTTTTGCAGCATTTTTATCAAGTGGAGCAGTAGAAACACATTCATCAACGTCGACGACATCTACCTACAAAATAAATGTATTTTGTTACTTGTTTACAATTCAAAATAACCTCAACATCCTCATCTTCATCGTCTGGTGATAGTTCACTGTGGGGATTTGAAGTCATAAAATGGCCGCTGTGTATTGGTTCTTTGGACATCCTTATTACTTATTAATTAGAGTTGTTATTAGATTATAGAAATCACTAAAAATAGAAAACATAAATTAATTCCTTAAAACAACAAAATAGGAAATATACAAAAATGAGCAGTTTTAAAAAATGTAAATTGAGAAGTTAAACATGCACCTAGAAACCTATGCGAAACGTAATACAACGCGAAATTTTGCAAAAGTTACCCCGCGGGGTTTCAACTCGTGAAATTTTAGAAAAGAATTTTAGAAAAAATGTCGAACATTCTGCCGTCTCCGCATTTTACCGTTCTTCTAAACTTTTTCGAGATCAAGGACGTTTGAGTCTCAAAAGTTTTACGTGGCCGTTTCAGTGCCAAACCGCAAAATCGTTTACAAAGTATTACTGTTTTAGCGCCTTCACTCCCGGTATTACGTAAACAATGAAAAGATAAAAGACTAAAACAAAATACATAGGTATGTATATTTAATAAATTATTGGCAATGAAATAAAAATAAAATGGCTAAAAAATGTTGGGGAAACACATTGGCTGGGTTAAACGTCGATATCTCCACGTGATGATGCAAAAAGCATTTCCCAACATTTTCTCTTTGTCGCGTCCTCCACCGCTCTTTTTTAATTTTTTTTTGCTTTAATATTTGGGAGTTTCCTCTCTTGACGTTATTTTAAAAGACAAACAATTGAAGACTTGGAAAGATCAAAATATCAACTAGGAAGAGAAAATCAACAAGGGAAGGCAGAAACAAAGAAATAAAATTATAAGGCGCCGAAAAAGTTATTCCTCCCCAAGAGCATTTTCTAGGGGGTTTCCCTTCAAAAGATTCTCAAAATAAAAATAAAAACACGCATCATAAAATAAATAAAATTTGGCTACTTGAGATAAGAAAAAAATAATATCATTATTTTATTAATAAAATTTTGTGATATGAGGAATTAATAAGAGGAATTAATAAATAGATTGACTAAAATAGTAGTGTGTTGCTGATAAGAAAATAAAAGAGTAAAATGTAAAATAAAAATAATTTTTCTCGTCAAGAAAAAAAAAATATATAAAAATTCTTTTCTGATAATAAATGGGAGGAAAAAGTTGAAAAAACATAAAAAAATATATTATTGTTTGTTAAAATTCACTCTGGAATCAGGTGACTTTTTTGTAGAGCAATTAATATACTAAAAATCTGTTCAATTTTTAAGTTTTTTAAAAACATTTTTTGAATACTTGGCAAACAGAAAGAAAAATAAAATAAAAAGCACAGAGAAGAATACAAGCTACAAAAGAAAAATTTTTAGAGATGATTGAAAAGAGTTTTGATGCGAGAATATACCAAGTAATGATGAATGGGACCTCAATTCAGACCTCAATTTCGGTCTCTAATATAAATCAGAATTTTTTTAAAAATTAATTAAAAAACATAGAGACATGAAGAATAAGACATGAAATTAAGGAGGAATCAAAGAGAAATTAAAAACTTGAAAAAATATCAGACAGAAGATTATGAAATTTGACAGACTTGTTTTTCTAAGGAATTATGTAGACACCCATATTATTAATTTTCCGGGCATTAAAAATCAAATGAAAGAGTGCACCTGCACTTTTGTTCTTTAATTTTTTAAAGCTGTTTTGTCTTTTTATTTTTTAATTGATTAGCTTTGAAGAATAAAAAAGAGAGAAAATTGGATATGATTGGAAGAGATTTGAATTAAATTAAAAAAAATAAACCAAAAGTTCTCCACTCTTTCCTCAAAAATTTGGGAAACCCCCAAAAAATATTTTAATATGAAAAAAAGAAATGCAAAAAAATAAAATATCACAACCAACCAAAAAATTCTTCGATCAATCAAAAAGAGCCTATGCTAGCAGAAAAAGTAATAAAGAAGGAAAAGAAGAGGTTAAAGAAGAGGAAGGGTTTAGTTATCAATTTACGTGGTTTGGCGGTATTAGGGGGACAGGACAGGCACCTGACTAATGCATGAGAGAGCGCGTGACACTTCTTAACATGTGAGAGGAATTTTGATAGGAACGAAACAATAAAAAAATTTAAGCTGAATTATTTGTGAAAAATGAAAAAATAAATAATAAATGAATATTTAAATGTTTTTTGAATAAAAAAAATAAAGATCAAATGAAAAAAATTTATTAAAATTTTTTTAATAAAATAAAATTTAAGAAGCATTGATAATTTTAAATAAATGAAAAATATTTTAAAAAATACATCTTCACAGTCGGACCTCGATTTTACACATACACCCTATGGAAAGAAAAATGTATCTTATGAGACTTCGATCAGTCCCTTTCACTCATGTCAGTGACAGTCCCTTCCACCAAATCCCCTCAATGAAAGTGGCTCTCACAGTCACAGGCGCAACCAAATCTTAAAAACGACATCCTAAATTGAGGAGAAGTAAATTAAGAAATCTTGGAGGTATTTAAAAATGAGGTTCGACTGAATTTCAATTAAAAAAAATAGTGATAGGAGGAAATGTGAGGAAATGAGGGGAAATAAAAAAATAAAAATGTTAAATTAAAATTTAACTTTAATTAAATACTTCACACAATCCCATCTTTTTCGTCCATCTTTTTCATCTTCAAATATTTCGAATCAATTCGGTAAAGCTGATCAAGTTTGCTGTCAACACAGTACTAAATTAACAAAAATAATTTCAATATTAAAAAAAAGAAGAAAAGAAAACCTGGAGCGAACAAGTTGTTTTACTTGTTCATTTGATTTAACTGCTGGCTTTTGACATTTTTCTACTTCACGTACAGTCTCTGATAGTGCCTTCAACAACTAAAAAGAAAAATAAAGCTTATCATTTTAATTCAAAGATAAACCTGATCTGCATTTGAAGTTAACTGTTGAGCTTGAAATATCGAATTGCTTTTTCTGATCAACATTTCAACACTATCTATAGCTCTTTCAGCACTATCCACAACTGTTTGGACAACTAAAAAATTACAAAAAATTTTTAATTTTTTTTAAGAATTAATATACGTTGATGGCAGTCAGTAGAAGACGAGGTTTGAAGAGTTGTTTGACTTGTAGGTGGTGATGAAGAAGAAGAGTTAGCATTGCGAACCATATCTTTACACCTGAAAATAATTTTTTTAGGAAAATTTTCTTAATCAGAAAAATTATTTGAAAGAAAAACTAACGCAATAACAAGCTCTTTACATTCATTAAGCAACACCAACTTTTCACAATCAGGTTCTGATGTTGCTGCTTTTCTTGGACTGGCATTTGGGACAGATTGTAAAGTTGAATTTAGATGATTTCGGATATTTGTTAATCTTTTAAAAATTCTAAAAAAATTTTTAAATTTAAAAAACCTTTGCAATGTTTGTCCAAAAGTATTACGTCCAGTGCTATATTGTTTTTCTAAATGATGATTGTTAACTCCATTCTTTTCTCCTCCCTCATTTTTTGTTGTTGTTTGTTCAGTATTTTCTGTTGCAATTGTTTCGCGTATTGCTTGATTAATTCCATCTAAAACTCGATCAAACGAATTATATCCATCATCTGAAGAATGTGAATGATGAAGACCAGCACCTTCAAGTTTTGCACCCCCAGAAGAAGAGGAACGACGTCGATTACTTAAAAATAATTTTAAAAAATGTTCAAATTTCTCTCTAAAAAATTAACCTAAATTTATCAATTAAACTTCCAAGAGTTAATTGTTGTCCACTTCTCCAAGGATGAAGCATTGGAGAACTAAAAGTAAAAAAATTAAAAAAAGTTTAACCATAACAGATTAGAAATAAGAATTAAAACTTTACAGTGAAGCTTTTTGATTTGCTTGTTCTTCCAGTAAATCCAATCCCTGAAAATATAAAAAAAATATAAATTTTTAATTACTCTTAATTAAACACATACACTAAATTCTTTAAGTGACATTCGTCGAATTTGAGTTCTTTCTTCGATATGGCCTTCCATTGAATTCTATTTAAAAAAAATAATTAAAATTTTCGAATTTTTAGATGCTAAAGAAAATTAAGAGAATTTTTAAAAATTTTGAAAGCTTAAAAAATTTCCAAATTTCGATCCAATTTTCCTCCTCATAAATCTCTATTTCTTTCAATATTTCATTTCAATTTTAACCCCCCAAGTCAAAATTAAAGAAAAATTGTCTTGTAATCCTCTCCCATTCTTCTTTCTCTCCCTCATTTTTTAAACCTCAACTAATCATCCTCCCTCACTGCCAATTTTTTCCCTTATTTTTTTAAATTTAAAAAGAATGAAACTGAATAAAAAATAGAGAACATAAATTAATAGACAAAAAACAGATGGGGCAAAAAACGTTTAAATTTAACGGGCATAAAAAATAGAAATAATAAAAAATAGAAAATTAATTTAATAGAAAATTAAATTTTTGAACAGCAGAAAAAATGAGATTGCTTTTTTTATTGTTCAATTTCAATGCTTATAAAAATTGCCATTAAATTCCCAAATTTAGGAACAGACATAAAAAAAGAATATAAAAATTGTTGATGATCTCATGGGGGAAATTAAAAGGAAATAAGGGGGTATAATTAACTAATAAAACTAATATACTGTAAATGCTCAAATAAGTCACCAAAAAAATTCTAAAAACTAAAACCTGGAAGGGGGTTCCATTCCAGTAAAGAGTTGGAACAATAATTAGGTACAATGGGTAATTATTCGAGTATATACGGCAATAAAATAATTTTGATTTCTAAAAAATATTTTCCTTTTAAAAGAGCTCTTAAAAAGTGCAAAATAATAATTTCCATTCAAAGATAAACAATTCCAAGAAAATAAACAAATTTCAAGAATAAACAGATTTTTGTTTATTAAAAATAAAAGATATAAATATCAAAGCATATAAAAATTAGCTAGCTAAGGTTGTTTACAAATTTAGAATCCCTTACACACTTACAGAAAAACAGTACTATATAATAGTAAGTACTTAAATATTTTTTTGGTGGCTGTTTGACTGCCAAAACGGATAAAATTCCCTCGAGAAAAAAAATTGGCCAAAAAAACTTTTGGTGGTTTCTTTTATTTTTAGGGGGATTAGCTTACTTTCTTCTCCTTTTTTCTTTATACCCCATATTTTACCTTATTTTATATACTTGTATCTCATAAATAAAGGGAATTTTTGTGTAGGAATAAGTAAAAAAAGGAAGTAAAAATTAAATGAAAAGATGAATATATTTTTAGATGGATGAAATAATAAATTTCTAAATTTGGAGAATTTTTTTAATTGCATACATGTAAAATAAAAATTTAAATTTATTACAAGGAAGGAAAAGGAAACCGGCCAATTAAAAAACAAAAAAGTTTTTTTGATAAAATTTTAGACAATTATTATGAGAGAAAAAATTAATATAGTGAAAATAAATCCTTGTTCCGATTTTATTGATTACTCAGAAAAAACCCGAGCCAGAAAATCAGAAAATAAAATTAAAAACCACAGAACACCTCCAGTTTCCCTTCTGTTAAAATTATTTAAAAAAATCCAAACTAACCCTATAATTTTCTCTAGCAGTATTAGACGAACGAGGAACAAAATCTTCATCAAAATCTTCCAATTCATTATAAGCTTGTTGTTGTTGTTGATGTGAAGGAGAAGCATTCATTATTACAGGTGGAGGAAATGTATAACTATTTGGCAAACGTCGTTTTTGTTGTTTAAATAAAATCACTTGACCAGCTAATATAGGTGGTGGCCAACAAAAAATTCTTTTTTGACTAGATTGAAAAAGAGAAGAAGAAAATTTTTGGTGCTCCACTGGTTTGTGGAAATGGCAGAAGAGTGGAGGAGGAGGGCGCTTTTTTTCCTTTTTTCTTTTAGTAGTTTCCTCTACGGCAGACGCTCGGCAGCAGATATTGACACCACAACCACCAAGAGTGCTGCTGCCATGAAAGGTAGTGGTGGTGGCGCTGGGGGTGGTGGTGGTATTAGCTAAACGAAGAGAAGAGGAGTTGGTGGTGGTGGAAGAAGAAGAGGTTTGAGGAGAAGAAGAGTTTGAAAGAGAAGGCCCACCAACAGAATTATGGAAGACCACGCCCTCGGGACGAAAGTTACAACGGGCTCTGGAAGGATAGGACGAAGAAGAAGAGCGGTGGTGGTGGTGGTTGCCTTTAAAAAATGAGGGAAATAAATAGAAGGAGGAAAAGGTTTTGGAGAGAGGGAGAAGTTTTTTGATGAACGAATTTTTGAAAAAATAAGGAAAAAGGGTAAGAGGGAAGTGAGGTTATTTTATTATTTTTCTTAGAAAATGTAAATGAAAAAAAATAATAATATGTTCCCTTGGTTAGTCATAAAAAATAATATTTTTAGACTAAAAGTCAGTGAGGAGGAAAAAAATAATAAAAAATATTTTTATTGAGGGAAATACTTAAAGGGGTTCTTTTTGTGGGACATTGGAACACCAAAAATTACCACAATTTAAAAAATAAATTTAAAAGTAAACCTAATTTTCCTTTTAATTCATCAAAAGAGCGTTGTCTTTCATCTCTCCAAATAAGTTGGTAAATTGCTGAATTGGAAGATGAAGAAATTGAATTTAATGAAAATGAAGTTGGCAAAGAAGGTTGTTTTGAAGGTAATTTTGAACGATAAAATTTCGGCGGTGTTGTTGATGTTTTTGATGCTTGTTGTAAAGAATCGGAACTATAGGAATGTTTAATTAATGTTTGAACCAAACGCAAGGCTAATGAGCGTTGTTGAGGTAATTGGTCTAACGTCTTCTTAAACGAAAAATTTCTTTCTAAAAAAATAATATTTAATAAAAGAAAAACCTCTTTACAAATTCCTCGTTGTGGAGAACATGTTAACGATCTAGATGAAGTTATTAAATTTCTATGATGAATTGAATTACTGTTGTCTTTCAATGAATGCCTAAAGGTATGTTGATTCAATGATGGAGATTGTGGTGGAGTAAGTACTGGAGACAAAAGAGGCGTCGGAGGAGGTGAAGGTAATGATGAAACTTGGCGATGGCTAATTAACGGTGACACAAAACGAACCTTTTTAAATTTTATAAATAAAATATGTATGTGTAATAGAGATCGGAATTTTTGAAAAGCTTGGGCCTGTTCCTGGGTTTGATTTATTGACATGGGCCGGATCCTTGTCCTGTAGTCAAGGAAAAACTCAAGAAGGTCAAAAATGCCTGGGCGAGCCTGTAGATGAAAAACCCAGGCATGATCCTCCCAGTCCGATCTCTGTGTAAGTAACATTATTTAAAAGTGGAAAGGTAACCCGGAGATAATGACAATGAAATTTGTTCAGAAATTTTTTTTTGAATTTTAGACACCACAAACTTGTGCTTACTATTTAATAACCTTTCTAGACCCAAACCCTTATTTAAAAATAAAATTAAAAGAAAAACAAACTTGTTTCCTGTTGCTCCTCTCCACAGTAGTAGTCAAACAATCCATATTAAAATTAGTTTTATTTGTTGACAAATAAACTTCAATGAGACAATCAATTGTTTTTTTCAATTTAGCTAATCAGACGTCACTCTGTTTATTTAAAATTGCCTTCAATCTGAATCTGTGTAAATATTTAAAAAAACAATTAAATGTTGCCCTATTTATTCAAATATTAAATTTAAATATTTTTGTTTAGCTTCTACTTAAAAGTCATATGAGGCGGAAATAAATAATAAAAATGCCGCCCATTCTCCAAAAAAATTTTTTTTTGCCGCAAAAAGAAAAAAAGGAAAAACAATAAATTTAGGATACCCCGGAGAATAAAAAATGACATCTTCTACTAAACTTCCAACTTTAACGCTTCTTTTTATTTTTAAACACTTTGGGAAGAAATGTAAAAAAAGTCTAGGTAATAATCGTTAATATTTTTAAAATACAGTTAAGACCCTCAAAAACTCCCCCCAATATCCATAAATTCCACAAACTTCAATCCACAACAAAAAGAAATCGAAGGAAATATTTTTAACCTTCTTGCTATACAAAATCTTACATTCAGAAAATTTATAAAAATATATTTAAAAAAATAAAAATAAAAAAATATACATTCTATAATTAAAAAAAAGAAACCAAAATATCATCTCTTTTAAATATTTTTAACATCAATTAAAAACATTCATCATCATCCATAGGTGTTGGATCAGCAGGTGGTGATGAATTATTCCGCATTCTTTCTGCCGGTCCAATCTTTTGCAAAATTCTAAAAAAATTGAAATTAAAAATGCAAATTTTTCTTTTTGGATCTAATATCAGTCTCTAGTACGATTGGGTAAGTGTCACCATAACTTAATCTTAACCTTGCCAGCTCACAACAATATAAAAATAGAAAAAAACCTTTTAGGAGTTGGATGTGGTATTCCAGTTTTGCCTGGGATAGTTGGACGACGAGGAAGCGGTAGACGCTAGAAAATTTAAATTTATGAAAACCCAATATAAATATAAAAAACCGAATTCAGTCCTTGGTTGATTTGATCAGAAGCAGAAAAAACACTTAAATCAGCCAAGGACCCTTCGTTTGAACGCGAGGAAGCAATAGAAATTTGATCACAATTTTTAACTGACGATGACTTGCTTCGAAAATCAACTGATTTACTTGTTGAAATCGTACAAGATTGTGCTGAATTTGTATTTTTGTTTGTGTTGTTGTTGTAATGACCACTAATTATTGAAGAAGCAGATGACGATGTGCTGTCTTTAAATTTGGACAAAATTTTAGTTAGTTTTATTTAAAAATTACTTTGTCGAGAACGCGAAGATGTATTGACATTAATTGAAGCCTTGGTGGATGTCGTTGTTTGCCAATCTCTACGACTTTTCATTAATTCAAGTTGAAGCTCTACAAAATTAAATTAACAAACAAACATTTAATTAGAAAACCTTTTTCCTGTTCTTTAGCACGGCGTTGAATATCCCCAAGATTTTTCCATTCTGTTGGCGATTCTTCTTTGACATTCTCTAATTTTACCTTTTTCAAGTCTTTTGGACTGAAAAAATTAAATAAAATTTATAAATAGTATTTTAAAAAAAGGAACCAGGGAATCAGCCAGAAACTTTACTTGCTCAAGAAAAAATTTAGAAAGAAAAAAGGAAGAAAGAAACCCTAAAAACAAACTTTCTACAAACAAACTTTCTCGGAGTTGTATTAATTCCACGAATTTTTCTTGGTGATTGTTGTGCAGCCAAATTTCTTCCAAAAGGTAACTTCTTTGGTGTGCTTGGAGCATCAAAATATTCCTCATCATCCTCCTCATCTTCATAATCATCATTAGAATCAATACTAGCTTCACTAATTGCTTTACGTGCAGCCATATTCTCTTTCTCTCTAGGCCTTCGATTACGTTGTTGTTCACGATCAGACATAGGTCCAGATTCATTGCTGACCTCCTCAATCATTGATAAAGAATTTTCCATATTGTTGCGACGCTTTTCTTTATCAACTTTTCTTTCTAAAAATCAAATAATTTTCAAAAAATTTGAAAGAAACCAAAACTTCCCTCCCCTTTTCAGCCCATAATTGTATAAATTAAAAAACAAACTTTTCTTTTCTAAACGGCGACTTAAAGCAGATCTTGTACGAAAATCAACTTTTTCAACTGCTCCTTTTAACCATTTATCCAAACTTTCATCTTCTTTAGTTCTAGGACTCTCAGGTGTTGGATTGAAAAGCCAAGTTTCTGGATCGTTCAAATCCTCCCCTTCCAATTGAAGCAAATTTAATTTGTCCAATTCTGTTGCTAATTTATCAAAATCCATATTAATTTTAAAAAAAGCTTAAATTGTATTGAAAATTAACAATAAAAATATCTAAAAATATAAATTCGGATAAACTTCCGTTGAATGATAAAAGATTCAAAGCAATAATTAAATTTTATATAAAAGATAAAATAGCTTATATAATCACCGATTAACCAAATACTAGATTTAGATAAATCTTCGGAGATAGGCTTAAATTGTAAAAATATATCAAAATTATTAAAGTTCACTCAATTTCTAAAAAAAATTCAATTTAGCCTGTCTCTTATTACAATCTTATTTTGAAACCTTTTTTGACAGAAAAAATTTAAATGAAAGTCCAAACAACAATAAAGGCATCACTGTTGTTACTGCTTGTTAGCACGCATACTTGGAGGAACATAACTAAATATAAATTTATTGAGGTCTATTTATTTAAAAAAATCTTATTTCAAAATTAATAAAAAACAAACGTTTTCTTAACAGGTTGTTCACTAATATTCTTAGGTTTAATTTCAGTCGCAGCTGTTGCCGAGGTATTACTTCTCCAATTATCAGTATCATCCTTCTTTGGCGATTGAACCGAAATTCGTGATGTTTTAACTTCGGTTGTTGTAGTTTCAGAACGATCTCTCCAATTGTCAGAATCGTTAGTTGTAGTAATACTAAATTAGAAATTAACCGAAATATTTTTAAAAAATTAAAAACCTCTTCTTAACATTTTGCTGCTTCGCAATATTTGTGCCGCCTTTACTAGCAGGTTCGGGAGCAGCTCTCCAGTTGTCAGGTTCATCACTTGCTGGTGGAACACTGAATTAAGAATTCAAAAAAAATCTATAAAGAAGGTACTATACTTTTTAGGTATAGCATCTTTTGCCTGAAAACGTGGCACATAACGCTGCTGTTGTTTTAGCAGCTTTTCCTCCTTGAGCTGTTTCTCTTTCTTCTCTTCAATTTCACGCAACCTATTTTCTTCGTCTTCTTTTTTCAGAATTTGTTCAATTTTAGGAGCATCACTTAAAGAAGGAAACAACATTTCATTTTTCAAATCCAAAGGATTTTGTTTATTTTGAGCTCGAGCAGCTGCTTTAGGCTCATATTTTTCTTTTTTTGGAGTAACTGGCAGCGGCACAACGTCGATATTCTTAAAATTGAATTAAAACTGTATGTTTTGGAATATAAAAAATTATAAAATTTAAAGACCTCGCTATTATTCAAATTCCAAGTTTTGACCGGCTCAACACTAGAACGCATTTCTGACTCTTCCAACTCAATATCGACATCCGCCATTTCTTTTATAACAGATGGAAGAATCGGTTTATCATCAAAATCCAACCATTCAGAATCTTCATTGTCATTATTGTTACTGGAAATTTTCGTCGTTGTAGGTTCGGTTTCATTTTTTGTCTCATTTTCATCCAATTCATCCTTAAAAATAAAAAAAGAAAATGGATCTAAAATTTAAAGAAAAATACTTGAATTCGTGCACGAAGCTCAAGTTGTTCAGCAACTTCCTGCAAACGTATGACACCTTTCTTTTTTGCTTTTTTTGCCTTCTTAGCGAAAAATGAATCCAACTCATTCATTTTTTAATATCAATGTTTGATGAAATATCTGAAAAATTACAAAATATTAAATTACATACACGCATTTTCCTAAGATTTTTAAACAAAATTTCACACAAAGAGAAGGGAAAAATTATTCGCGAAAACTTATTTTAAAATACAAACGCCAGAACAACGAAACGTCGCATTTGGGTCAATATGTATTTTGGGCCATAACTTTTTCAATTCTTAATCAATTTAGATAATTATTATATCATTCGAAAGCTCTTGGTGTAGGGATTATTTTGTCTAGCAGGGTTGATCTGATCAGATCAATATACAAAAAGTTATATTCTAATAAAGATTAAGAATCGCGATTATTGAATTTACGTTGTTCTGGCGTTTTGTATTTTTAAAAAAAGTATTTAAATCAATTTTTTCTTAAGATAAAGTTGATTATTTTATGATTGATTAGTTTATTGATGACTCATAATCTTATTAAGGAAATATAGTTTAAATAAATTTTTCTGTCATTTTCTCAATACTTGATATTTTTCTATATATTTTTATCTTATTTTAAATTACCTATTTTTTCTTTACAGATATCAAAAATAAATTTTTAAATAAAAATAAAAAATGTCCGACACCGAAATTGCAGCTTCTGACGTCGAGTGTAACGGTGAATCAGTTGGAAAGCAGTCTGCTCCGTTTACCGATGAACAGATGCAAATGGAGGTTTTTATTGAAATTAAAAATATTTTAGGATATTTTTCTTTTATTAGATTAAATGCAAGACAAGTGATGGAGGGGTGATCAATGTCCGTGTTTCGCATCTTCTTCAAAGCAGCGTTTTCATGAATATGTGGAAGGTATAAGATTTTAGTTTTTGAGATAACTATCAATATTTTTCAGGATTTAGACATGTCGCCTAAGGATTTGGAAGAATTCGAGTTTAAAGTAAATGTTGAGACTAATATTTTCTCGAAGGTTGTTGAATGGATGGGAGAACATATTGGTTAATTTACTAATTATTTTTTACAAAAACATTTATTTTTTAGGCAAGCCTGATCCTACAATTGAAGATGATCCAGCTACACGTCAAAGAAAGGCGCTCACTTTTTCTGAATATGAGACGGATTTTTTCAAGGTTTTATTTTCGTTAGTTATTTTCTAATTTTTACATTATTTTCTGTTTAAGGTCGGCGTTGAGGAGATTGCTAATTTGATTAAGGCTGCCAACTATCTGGACATCAAATCTCTGGTAATGCCTAAACTTAAATAAAATAAATAAAAATTTTAGTATTATTATGGATGCCAGGCTATGGCTAATTTTATTGGTAATAAGACTCCAGAAGAAATTCGAGAACTCTTTGGACTTGAGGTTTTTTTTGCCCAATATTTAAATAGAATAATTTTTACTTATTTTTTAGGATGACTTGACGGAAGATGAGAAGGCTGACATCAGACGTCGCAACATGTGGTGTAACTATTAAAGAAAATATCTTGTGAAAACAATTGAATGATCTTATCGCCTCATTTTTATGCCTTTGTTGTCTTATTGTTAGTGTTAGTTTATATAATTTAATTAGGGTGTCTAACTATTAAAATCGAACATCAGACTTCTATTAATGTTAAATACCATCTAATATATTTTTAAATTGATTAGACACCTTTTTCAAGCCACTATTTTTAAAAATTATTTCGCTCAATCTCAATAAACAAAGAATTCCGATTGTTTTTATTTTTTGGCAATTTTCAAGTTTTTTTATGCTAGAAATGTTTAGGATCAAAATAGCATATTTAAAAATAAAAAATGTCAATCTAGTCCTAATGGGGAATCACATTTAATATTTAATTGAGTTCTTAACTGTTCCATTTGTTCTTCCATTGAACGAATCCGCAAGTCCTTCGCATGATTTTCGCTCATTAATTTCCGCACTAATTCTTCTCTAGCCTCGACATCATCATGATATTTAATTGGCGAAGCCACATCTTCTTCTTGTTTAGAAAGTGTTTTAGCCAGTTGTAACTAAAAAGGTTTAAATAAAATTTTTCCTACTAGAATTGGCTTACTTCAACATTATCCTCGTCCGGGATTCCACAAGGCAAACGTTCGATTAAAGATTCCACAGGAGATTTCGAGATGGAGGATTTTGGTGTCTCATAAAGCTTTTTGACGGTTTCCGTTTCTAGCTAAAAATTACTTTTTCCTTAAAATCTAACTATGTAAAATAGTACCTTATATGGTATCGCATATTTGGCGAAGCGAAACAAAAAATCGCGTTTGTAGTCACCCTAAATATCAAACACTAAATTGTTAAATGTTAAAAAATATACCCATATCTTAGCATGTTCTGCCTGGTTGCTAACATCCCAATCAATTTCTGAACTAATTTTTGCATTTGGATTATCTCTTCTTGCTTGTAGAAGGGTTCTGAAAAACCAAAATTATCAAAAATAAATTTATCAAAAAATAAGTTTACGTTAAAGATGTTTGTGAAGTATTTGCTGAATCAGAAAAACATTGTTCAACATCAAATTCCCAGTCATCAATTCTTCGTTTTCCAAGCATTATAGATTCCAAAAGACGAAGTCTTTCCATATTTAGCTCATAGAATGTTGCTGATGCATATAAAGGGCCGAGTTCTTTAGGGTAGAGAACAGTGTCGCCTTCTCGAAGACGATCCATTTTCTGCTGAAAAATGACAAATTAAAAAAAATAACAAAATTTTATTTACCTTTTTCTTGCAGACTGCATCCAAACTAAGAGCAACTTCAACAAAAATATTGTTGTAACGATGAGACCTTATATCATCCCTTGGAGAACGATCAGTAAAACTGCGTCGAAGTCCACTAACAAATGCTACAGAGTCGGGTTTTGCAGCCAACATTCGGTGTTTATATGGAGATAATGGTCGAGGTTCACTGGATATTATGTAGTCTATGAGAATATCATCTAATTCATCCACTACACGTATCAAATCAGCAAAACTAAAGTTGAAAGAAAGTATTAGTAACTTCAACAATATAATTTCAAAACTAACGCTATTAGGCCTCGTTCAAACCATCGAGCAAATTGAAGTGCAATAAATAGGTGTCGGTTGTTCATAGACCAATTTTGATTTATGAAAAAGACCATTTCACAACGTTGACATTCCTACAAATTAAAAAAAATTAGAATTTAAAAATATGAAAATTAAAACCGACCCGTCCTTCAAAAGGAGAATTTACATTTTGACGACGAATTTGTTCACCAGAAAGCGTTGGTCTCCTATTCGCTCGTGTTTTGGGCAGAATTGTACGGTCGGGTGAACTTGCGTTTGAAACATCTAAAACTTCTCTACTCCAATCATCGTCTTCATCTTGAAGGAAAGCTAAAGAAGCGTTGACTGCAACATATTTATCTTTAGACATTCTTTCCTTTAAATCCTCTTCAAATATTGGACAACAACTTTTATCTTGCACTAGTCTAACAGCGTGGCAAATTTGGTCCAGGAGCTCTTCTTTGAGAGGTGCATAATGTGACTGGCAAGTAAGGATATCAAGACGAAGATTTCTTCAGCGTTCCCATGGAATCTCTTTAAGTGGCTCAACTTAAAGGTAAAATATTTTTATATCTTTAAAATATTTAAAAAAAATTTACCTCCAAGCTGTAGACGAGCTTCACCTTTATCGAAAAAACGAGCCAAAAAAGGATGTGATGATAGCTCAAGAGGAGCTCTGCGTTTAGCATGGTGTATCTTGAAACATTCAGAAAGGAAGTTTGTGACATGTGGATCGTAAAGTTGCTAAACGAAAATTAAATAAACAGTAAAAAATGATTTAAACTTGTCCACGGAAAACAGTATCAGGAGCAGTTTCTTCCAGTGTTGGTGGTGCTTCGGTGCCATTAAGCTAAAAAGGACAAAAATAAAATTTTTAAATTATAAGATCACAAATTTAGCAGCCAGCTCTGACATTTCATTGCGCGAATAACGCATTCGCCTTCCCGTTGCCATCTCCAAAACAAAGAGTCCAAGAGCCCATGTGTCAAAATTCGGCTTGACAAAAAGATCATCACAATGAAATGCTTCAGGTGGAAAAAGATTTGGGTTTCCAGTGAATAAACATCGCCTAATAAAAAATCTCACGTAGTAAAATAAGAAAAAATACTTTGATCCAATACGGCGACAATGCATAAATGAGCCTAGTTTAATGGAACATCGACCGTCAATAAAAACGCTTGATGAAGAAATTTGTGTGTGAACAAAATTTTTTGAATTGAGAAATTCGAGCGCTAAATCAAAGTAGATGATTTTAAAGATTTTATATTCAAAACAAACCTGAAATGACCTGCAATAATACAAATACAACTGCATTCCTGTTAAAAACACCATGCTCCTTCAAAAAACGTTCAGACAGCCTAGAACAATTTTTCATAGAAATTTTAGTGCACGGGTCTCTAAAGATGACAGGAGAACATGTTCCCGCTGATTTTTTGAAACTAAAAAAAATATTTCCAATCACAAAGTACCACTAAAAATTAATGCTTACCGACGTAACAAATCAATCTTATCATGTAATGTAGAGAATGGCGGTTGTAGTAGTCCAAGGTATTGCCGATGGCGAAATGCCATGAATAAGCCCATAATGCGTGGATGTATCCCAATATTTTTGAGGAGATTAATCTCGTGGAACTAAAATTTAAAAAATGATTAAAAAAAAAACTTTTAGGCATACAGCAGCGCGGAGCGCAGTCACACTTCTAAGTTCCACTATCCGAAGGGAATAATGACACAACGGCTTACTGATGCGTTCAACAATAAGTGTCTCGGCCACAACTATTGACTGATTGTCAAGCATCTGTTCAAGAACACGTATTTCTTTAAAATCTTGAATACGTGGTGTTGCCTCACTGTAATAAAAAAATATAAATGTAAAATGTTAAAATACCGAAGAAGAATTTTCTCATATTCGGTGAAGGCGTCTCCTCTTTCCAAAGACCCATTTCTTCTGGATGTAGTCAGTGATGACATTTAACAATTAGTAATAAATTAAATCGTGAATAAGCGTCTAAAAAGCACTAAATAATGCTACGGTTACATAAAAATCGCGCGCGACACGCGACAGTCGCTAGGCGACATGTCGCCGGCGACAGTCGCTAGTGGCGTGGTTACATAAAATCGGCGTCTTCCGCAAAAGCGACTGTCGCAAAGCGACAAACGCTGATTTTATGTAACCACGCCACTAGCGACTGTCGCGCGCGTCTTGTCGCCTAGCGACTGTCGCGTGTCGCGCGCGATTTTTATGTAACCACTAAATCCGATTAAAAATTTTTTGAATATTTACTAAGATAAAATTTATAAAATCAAATCATTTTATTCTGCCATGGTACCGATCAGGTTTTTTTAATTCGTAGTACATCATTTTTAAATTACTTGCTGGTGGCGCTCCTCTCGTATCTAGTGAAATCTCGTGTTTTTTAGAGGTCTCGTATCTCGTATTTTGCCACAAGACACGAGATATTTTCAATATACCTATTTTAGAAAAAATGTCAAAAATTTGGGACTATTTTAGGATCCTAGAATTAGGAAAAAATGAAGAAATCTTGCCCAGTGGTCTTCCAAAATTCTCAAATTTTCGCCTGCGGCGCTGAAATTGGAAAGAGATATAAAGTTGTTCAAGCGGGATATAGAGGAATTTGCCTTCATATCGAAGGTCAAGAGTATTTTCTAGAGAAAAAAATTGACCGAGAAATAACACCCAAACTTTTAAAAAATATGCATTTGCATTAGAGCTCGGCATGGGACGGGACCCCGTACGGGAATTTACGGGATCCCGTCCCGGAATCCCGGGTTTTTCGCGGAAAACGGGATTACCGGGATTCCGGGATTTACGGGATTAATCCCGCGGGATCCCGTCCCGGTCGAATTTTGACCGGGACGGGATCGAGGAATTCGACCCGTCCCGGTCGAATTCCTCCCTTAATCCGTCGAAATCCACTGATATTGTCTCCAAATCCGCCAATATTCAACATATTTATAATTTAAAAATTTTTTGTGAAAATCCCGGAATCCCGGCGGGATCCAGGGAAATTTGAGAACGGGATTACCTGTTCTCAAGTTCCGGTATCCCATGAATGCGATTTTGCCGACCTCTAATTTGCATGCTTTTGCACGGCCCTACTCATCAAGAAATGCTCACTTTTTCATGTTTTTGGTATCATTTGATAGAGAATCAAAGGCTCTACAAAATATCAAAAATTCAGAATTTTTGACCAATTGTTAAAAAAATTATGATATAAATACTCGATAGTATACTGAAAATCTCAAAAATATCGAAAAAAAAAGAATATTTTTTGCAAAATGTATACCTTTTTCAAAATCAATTTTAACCCATAAGATTTAACTTTAAAAATATAAAATTTATATTGATCGATAGAGAATAAACTGAACTTTCAGAATCTTTTTAAATTTTGAAAATCGTATCAGAATTGATCGAGAAATAGCATGTCGCAAAAAAGTGTCGCCAAAAATTCAAACATGTTTGAATCAAAAAAAGTGTCGCCGGCGACAAGTCGCCGGCGGAAATCGCATTTTATGTAACCACTAGAAAAAGCGACAAAATCGCGCGCGACAAGTCGCCGGCGGAAGTCGCGGTTTATGTAACCACTCAAAAAAGCGACAAAGTCGCGCGCGACAAGACGCCGGCGGAAGTCGCTTTTTATGTAACCACTAGAAAAAAGCGACAAAATCGCGCGCGATTTTTCTCTCCTCTTTTTACATTATCTTTTCTGTCGCGTGTCGCGCGCGATTTTTATGTAACCGTAGCATAAGTAAAATTTTGACAAAAAAACAACTCACAACAATCGAATTCTTCAAAAATTTTGTTTTCTTAATTTAAAAATAATTTTTACAAAAAAAAGTTTGGCATTTTGTGATTTTTGTTTTAAGTTTCGATTTTTTCCAAAAAATTTTTTTCTAAAATTTATAACGGATTTCCGTTATAATTTTCACCGCATAAAATGATTAAGGGTTAAACAGGGTATAAAGTTAACTTCCTTATTTCTGATTCTTTATTGATTTATTTATGTAAATATGTAATTTTAAACAAGAACATTTTCAGCTAAAACTTCTTAACAATCTTAAAAATTAATTGCATTTACCAATCGACAATGCTTAATACCTCTAGTACTACAACTGCGAATGCCTCTTTGCCTACTATGCAAGGGCCAACCGAAAAGTTGAAATATCCATTGGTAACTTATTTAAATATTTATATTTTTAAATGATATTTTTGAAGGTTTGTGTAACACCATTTGGAACTATTTCAATCACCATGGCGCATAATGTTAATATTGAAATTAGTTTGGATCGTTCTATTCGTGTCGTATGCTGGAATAAGTTTGCGGTATTTTTTAAATTTGTTGATGTTCTCAAATTTGCTTTAACAGATCTCAAGTACTCATAAGGGCTCAAAGTCTGGTATTCTCCATCCATTTGGACACATACTTCAGGAGGAAGATAAAGTGTTCTGTTACTTTTGTGAGTTTTTTTATAATTCCTTTTAGTTTTACCTCAAAATTTAACAGATCCTGGCAATGATAGCAATTTGGAGACGCCAACTAAAAGCGGCATTGGATTGCCAAAACCGAATACTGATACCAATTGGATTCGTTCAAACCTGAGTACCCATCCTAAAGTTCCTGCGGATTTTATGGTTGGAAATATTGGTATGCCATTGATTAATGATAATGGATTGGTTAATACTCAAGAAGGATCTGTTGTGAATTTGGCGAAAATGGTTAGTTTCTTTTAATTCTTTTAAAGCACTTAAAAGTCGGGTTAAGATTTGATTGATTATTCTTGACACACTATTCTCTTTTAGGCAATTCTCGGTACTCAAGGCGTTCTTTTCTCTATGTCTCATCTGAAAGATGCTTTTCTTGTTTCGGCTGCTGCTGCCCGTGGCACTTCTGCTCTTTCTATGGATCGTATTCAATTCCCATCGTTGCGATATGATTACACTCTGCGCCAATTTTATGTTGACTCGCAAGTTTTTGGTTCATATAATGATTCGGCTGAATATGTAAGAACATAAACAATTAATTTGTAAATGTTTAAAATTTCAGCTTCCAAAAGTTTATGCTTGCGATGATATTGTTCACCGTGCGAGATATGAGGAAAAAAGCGGCATGCTGTTTAGTGTCAGTATTAATGGTAAGATTTTGAGATATTTAATTCTTTAATGATTTCTGGGATTCTGGGAAAGATTCCTGATTCTAAAAACTTTAAAAATGTTTCCAATTTACCAAAAATAAAAAAAATATGTTTTTTCAGGTTTTCTGATTCGACAGAAGCTGGATGGCGATGTTGAAGTGTTTTGTCGTCCTCGTCAAATTGTTTGTTCTCCAAGTCAGTCTACTATTCATCTTCGTGGGTCTAATGTTGAAATGGAAGTTCAGGTTTATAAAATTAGGAAATACTTTATTAAAGTTTTTCTTTTTAGAGTGATGAGAAAGCTTATGTTAAATGTGGAGCTAAGCGAGTTCATGTTTCGCGTAGTGGAATGGTCGTTTCTGATGGGAATTGCACTACTTCGATGGACCATATTGGGTTTGTTTATTTTTCTGTTATAAAAATATTCTTTTTAATGATCATCCCAAACCCTAGACAACAAAGAAAAAGTCGTTTTTTAAGTTTTCCGAATATTTTTTGGAATTGAACTTTTGGGAATGGTTCAACCATTTTGGGAATGGTTTCCTTTCATATCACCTTATAATTTTTATTAAATAATTTTTAATATTTTTTTTCTACAGGCGCATTGTGTCAGCTTCCTAACTTTCCAATTAAATAAATAATGAATGATCGTTGTGGGTATTTGGGTGCATTTTAAGAATAGCTCTTTTATCGTTTCAACTGTGTTAACTTGAATAATTATTTAAAAAAACTTGTCTCACCAAAAAATTTATTTCTCTCTAAAAACTTGAAAAAAATATTTTCCTCTCGTTCACCATATTTATTTGTTCATTGGTCTTATAATTAGAATATAATATACACCTATTTATTGTTTATTGTGTTTGAAATCCTAACATGTTTATGCGTGTAAATTATGAATAAAATGATAATAATTATTTTTTGTATTGAAAAGTTTATAGAGTTAAAGTCTTTGGCACCATATTTATTTGTTCATTGGCCAGTGAAAAAATTCAAGGGGAAGGGAATCATTTAGGCTCTATTATTAAATTTATTCAAAACAACTTTTTTTTCTGATTTCCTATAATATAGAAAATGCCCAGTAAGAGCCATTCAAAATTTATTAATTTTTAATTTTCGTAATTCTCTTAATTATTATCCTTTTCTAAACGACTATAAAAGCAACTTTTTTAGAAAACTTGTCAACACATTGTTTAATTCAGTCTCGTTCCATCGCAAACAAAACCTCTCTTCTCCTTTCTTGGTGCAACTGTTTTCCTTCTGATTATGCCTCCTGCTTCAAAGAAAGTTCGAGCTAATGCGGTATGTTTTTTTCTGACTCGGAAAGGGATTTTAATTTAATAATTTTTACAGGTTTCGCAATCTGCAAAGGCTGGTCTCAAGTTTCCAGTTGCGCGAATTCGTCGAATGCTTCGGGAGCGTAACTATGCAAAGAGATTGAGCCGTGGTGCTCCTGTTTTTCTTGCTGCTGGTTTGTAAAGGTTTTGTAAAGTTAACTATTTTTCTTTTTTAGTTCTCGAATATCTGGTATCTGAGATCATTGATGGTGCTGGAAACATTGCAAAAAGGGATAAGGTTGTTAGGGATTTTTAATTTTCTAAATTTTATTTTCCATCTTTTTAGCGTTTCCAAATTACTCCTCGTCATCTCTTCTTGGCTATCAAAGAAGATAATGAGCTCAAAGATATTTCCGAACACGTCACTATTGTGCAAGGTGGCGTTGTTCCTGGTATTCTGAATGAACTGTTGCCTCCAAAGAAGAAAGTTGCTGCTGTGGACACTCCTCCAAAACCTTCAAAGCCCCAACAAAAGAAGCCTAAAGAGAAAATGTCTTCAACGAAGAAGAAAAATGTTCGTCAGGGTTCGGTATCTAGGAATGAGCCGCAGCATTCATTGGAGGATATTGGAGAGGAGAATGATTGCTAAAGAAGTTGCTAAGAATATATGGGTATATTGTGTGAGTTAGATATAATAAATTGTGTATATATTGTCCCGAAAAATTGTAGTTTAGCCTTATTTCGCTACAATTGTATTGTTGTAAATATCTAAATAATTGTGAATACCTATATATGTAAATTGCATTGATAAATGTATGTAATTAAAATTTGTTTTCTACATGAAAATTAAGCGGTTCTTTGTCCAAACTTTTCTTTACTCGAAATTTAAAATCTGAATGTTTGAGTATGTAGTAATTTCGTTTTATAAGCTTAATAGGAAAAATAGAATACCCCCAAATTTTCTTTTATGATAAAAACCGCCATTTAGCTTTCTTGTTTTAAAGCAAAAAAAATCGAGAAAATAGGAGCTATTGTGCAATCCTCAGAATTGGCTAAAGGCTGCCGACAATGCGAGATGAGTAAAAAATACCAGCAGAGGAGCAAGGATCGTAAGTGAAAATATAAAAACTTCTGTTATTGTTGAGGTTTGTGAAATTTTTCTAGCGACTTATTTTTGTTAAAAATTTCTGTTTGAAGGAATTTGCTAAGGCTTTGTTTTCCTGATCAACCCGATTTCTATGTATTTTTAAGCAACCCGGAATACTTTTCGGAAGAGGAATTTTGCCTGGCATATTTTTTTGGTGTTGATAACTAAAAAGTTTAGAGTAACTGCCTAGAATTTTTACTAAATTTAATCTGGGAAAGTATTAGAAATTAATTTAGAAAGGTTCTTGACATTTTCATCTGTCAAAAAAATTCCTCCATTTTCTTTTCCTCCTTTACATTTTTTGTTATAATCCTCGATTACTCCCTTAAAGCAAGTTGATCAAGAAAAGTGTCCATATTATAGTCTCAAGGCTTCTTTCTCACACACTCATAAACTCATCTTACAAAAACGTTTTTTATGTTATAATATTTTTTTATATTTTTTACAATATCAGAATCAGACCACCAAAACCTAGAAGATTATAATCACAAATTTTCTGACTCCATTTTTTATTTGAGAAAATAAAAATTAGAAAAGTTCAGGCTAATTTTTGTGATTTTTAATACCTTAATAAAGTCTCTCTCGCTTTAAATAAAATACTGTCAAGTAGGTTAAGAAGGGTAAAAAAAGGAAGGAGTAGTGGTGATGAGCAGCATTATTTTTGTCCTTTTTGTGGAAAGAATTAAGTGGTTGGGCAGTGGTCTTTTTTATGTGTAGGTGGGTGATAGTGGTCAACGACAATTCTCCGCCTTTTTGCCAGTTTTCCTTTCATTTTATTTTAAGTTGGGTTTTTTTCAGAATTATTTTTTGAAGCAAGAACAAACTCAGGAAACGCGTTTGCATAGCTATTATTTGCCGTGTACTTGACCATTTCTTCTACCCATTAATTCTAAAAAATTAAAATTTTTTCTTAAATTTTTAGATAATTTTTAAATTATTTTTTAAAAATTCATATTATGAGCTTACCTCTTTCAACAAATTCTTCATCTTCCGATTCATCATCGTCCTCATCATCATCTTCAAATATTCAATTAACAACTTCCTCTTCAACTTCAATAACAACAAATTCATTTCAATCCTCTCCCTTATTTTCTGATCCAGATTCTACAACAACACCGACAACAACAACTTATAATAGTGCCTTTACTGCAACAAAGGAATGTAGAATTGAATTGGCAAATTCGCAATTATGGGAAAAATTTGCAAAAGTTCAAAATGAAATGGTTGTGACAAGACCGGGAAGGTTGTTAAATTTTTTGATTTTTTTTTTAATTTTAAAATTTTTTAGAAAAATGTTTCCCAAATTGGAATTGCATCTACACAATTTGGACCCAGATTCACAGTATGCTCTCTACCTATATATGCAAAAAGTTGACAATTTGCGGTAAGCTATAGTTTCTAGACTGTTGTTTTTGTTTAATTTTCAAACTTTCCGGAAACTGAATTTTTCCGGAAACAGTTGGGATTTGTTTTGGTCTTCCCGGAATCCTTCGGAAGCTAAAATCTATTTTCGCTTGTTAATCGTTCCGGAAACGGGATTTGTTTTCATTTTTCGGAATCATTTCTGAAACCTTGATAATTTATTCGAATCTTTCCGGCTTACCAATAGACATTTTATATTTTCTTTCCATAGCTCTTCAGTCGTGTTTAATTTTATAGTAATTTTATATAAATTTTCTAATTTTAATCAGATACAAATATCAAGCCGGAGGTTGGTCAGCTGCAGGGCACGACGGGGAAAATGGGATTCAACAATCTAATTTGGTACAGCACCATGAAGGGTTGTGTACAGGCAAATTTTGGACCAGTCAAGGACGTATTAGTTTTGAAAGAGCTAAATTAACAAACAAAGAAAGTCAACTAGGAGGAAATTCTATGGTAACTTTTTTAAATTTTTCGAATAATTTTTTAATTAAAAAACAGATTTCTTTATCATCAATGTCCAAATATCAACCAGTTATTTGGCTTGTTAAAGGTACTCCAACTGCTAATGTTTTGGTTGCTGAGTATCGTCCACCACAATGTCAATTTATTGCTGTTACTGCTTATCAAAGCGAAGCTGTTACAAAACTTAAAGTTTGTTCTTTTGTTTTTAAAAAAATATTTTTCTCTTTTTTATCAGGTTGAACATAACCCTTTTGCTAAAGGATTCCGTGAGGGATCTTCTCGTAAACGAACCTTATCACCTTCTTTTCCTCCAGCTGGAAATACTTATTGTAAGAAATTTAATTTTTTAATTTTAATAATTTTATTTTTTAAAGTTCCTTCCTTCATTAATTCCCCACTTTTAATGCCTTATCAATTTCCTCCAATAAATCCTCTTCCGCAACAACAGCAACAACAAAATTCTGTTGCTGCCTATATGAATATTATGCATGCTTTTCAACAATATCAATCATCACAACAAAATAAACACCAACAGCAACAACAAATCTCTCCAATCTCTCCACAATTATCTTCATTTTCGCCTTTTAATATTTTTGGACAAACATACCCCCAACAACAACAACCCCAAATAAATCCTCAACAGGTTATTTTTTAAAAAATTCAAAAAAAATATATTTAGGTTCGAGCAATGGCAAATCAAATGCTTGGACTTATGGGAATATCTGGTGCTGGTGTTGGTGGTGGAATTCCTCTTCCTTCTTCTCAATTTTCTCCAATTTCCTTTCCTTTGCCTTCTTCGACATCAAAATCTTGGACATCACCACAAATTAATAATAAAAGAAATATTCAAGACGATGATGATAGTGCACCAGCGAAAAAGGCAAAAATATCAACAACTTCAACACCAACTTCTCAGGTTTTTTTAATTTATTAAATTAAATAATATCATAAATTTATTTTGTAGCAACAATTATTGTCATTAAATGCTTTACAATCACCAATACTTGGAGGGAATCCGGGTCAATTAACCAATGTTAATAAGATGTCAACCATTACAGGATGAGATGATACAATCGATTCTTATTATTTTTCTGGTTCGTGATTTTGTTTTTTAATATTTATAATATCCAGAACAATACTGGATAATTTTTAGATATTTTTGAAAAAAAATAATATTTTTTTATTAGTCCAAATTTTGTCTAGCATCAATTTCACACGCTTAGATTCTTGACACTTTTAGTGAATTAAGTATAACTTTTCCTCTCTCTAAATTAGCCCCTGGCACGATGGGTAAAACAACAACAAACAAACTTTTTTCACCGTTATTGTATAACTTGTAGGGCTAGACTGAAGCAAAAAAACCTCTTATGCTTCCGGCCTGTAGCAAATAAAAATAATTTTAACAATCCTATTATTTTTTCGTTTTCCCCTTATGGAAGATTTCCCCCTTTTTTTTATTTGTTTTCCCAATTTTTACCTCAATTCATTCATTTTTTGAACCACTTTTTAGAACTTTTTAATACTTTTCCTGTTGCCTTGGGGCGAAAATAATGAGCAAACTTTTAATTATTAACAGGAAAAAAATCTTTTGGGCGAATTAGTAAATACTCAAAATTGAGAACTTTCTGTCTCTAGGCTAATTAAAATTCCATACATGTTATAGTAGGATTGTTAAGATTGATAATAACCGGACTTAATTATCAACAATCTAATTGTAAGAATGAACTCAAATATTTCAAGAAAAGTTACCAGACTTCCGGAAAACTTAAGATTAAACTTAAATATTTCCGGAAAAGTTACCAATGCTTCCGGAAAACTTAAGATTAAACTTAAATATTTCCGGAAAAGTTACCAATGCTTCCGGAAAACTTAAGATTAAACTTAAATATTTCCGGAAAAGTTACCAATGCTTCCGGAAAACTTAAGATTAAACTTAAATATTTCCGGAAAAGTTACCAGCACTTCCGGAAAACTTAAGATTAAACTTAAATATTTCCGGAAAAGTTACTAATGCTTCCGGAAAACTTAAGATTAAACTTAAATATTTCCGGAAAAGTTACCAGCACTTCCGGAAAACTTAAGATTAAACTTAAATATTTCCGGAAAAGTTACTAATGCTTCCGGAAAACTTAAGATTAAACTTAAATATTTCCGGAAAAGTTACCAGCACTTCCGGAAAACTTAGAAGTTAAATCACAATATTTCCGGACAGATTAGAATATAATATTACTATTTCCGGAAAACTTAAGATTAAACTCAATTATTTTCAGAAGAGTTTCCGGAAACTTAAGAACATCCAGATATTTCCGGACAACTTTGAATAGTATAATATAGTTATTTCCGGAAAAGTTCGTAGTTGTTCAGAATATTTGTTATTATCAAATGTTTATCCTTCCATTTTCGATACATAAATTACAAAGCGTGGACACCGCTTTAATTAATAAATTAACAAAAAGTAAATACGCAATAATTTCGGTTCCGCGCCAATTACTTTTATTTTTTTACCCCCCCCCCCCCCTTTTTTTTAAACAATTCTTTGACATTTCTTATTTACTTCTTCATTTTTTGGGAAGGAAGCTCTGTGTTTCTACAATTAATTGATGTTTTGGGTTACTTTTACGTTGTTCTATCAGGACGAACGACCTTCGGCCATCTCTTTTTTACTGTTTATTTACTACAATATTTTTTTCTTTGTTTTTAATGTGTATATAAAAGCCATCACAAAGGCGCAATTAATTGGCTTTACTACAATAACGTTGCGCTATTTTCCGTTATTGAAGAGGGGAGGGATATGTCAAGGAATTGGATAAAAAAAGGGGGGGGGAGCAAGTAAAAAAAGATAAGCGATCGGCGCTTCGTTGTGAGGGCAATTTTTTACACAAAAATGAATATATTTTTTATTTTTTGAAGGATTACCGAGAAGAAGAAAATCTTTTTATATTATTTGGAGTTAATTAAGAGAAAAAAGTTAATGACATTAAGTTGACTTTGGGGAGGTTAAAGATTGATTTTAAGGCAACTTCTTTAAATCAGTTTTATTACATTTTAACAATACACAATATTACACATAATAGACAGTAATAAAATATTTGTACAGACTACCTAATACCTAAATAATACATACATGAGTTAGGGCTTAAGAAAAATTATACTATAGGATATATCAACAACCTATTATACTATCAAGTCCTTCCCTCAATTATTGCTTTCTTCATTAGAAGCCTTCCACAGCACTTTGCCTTCAAGCTTGACCTCGACGAAATTGCCAATCACTTCAAGAATATTATTGTCCACTTTTACTTTCAATCCTCCTTCCCTTGGCGGGAATATCCCCATCAGCTCTTCTTTGCTGTAATCCAACGTTTTGGAAGATTCGTTGTCGTCGATTGGCAAAGTCTCAGCGTTTTTCACTTTCATTTTATCTTGAAGTTGGCGATATTCTACTCCATCTGTGTAGAAGGGGCCTGTTGGCGAACGCTTCATCTAAAAATTAAGACTGAAATAAGTTTCAGTAAAAAACAAAATTACCTTCTTAGCAATGAATGAGAGAGGAGTTTTGTTGATCCCAGTAATCATTTGACGCTTCCTGTTGCTTTTAGTTTGTCCTTTTGGCTTCGAAAGTTGTTCCGTTCGCCCAGGTTGTGTCCAATATGTACGCTTCAACGTAGATGAGGAAGTGGTTTTTGCAACTCTTGGCGTTGGTTTTGGCCCTTTGATTCTTTCATAGAGCTGAAAAATTTTAAATAATTTTTTTGAAAAATTCAGAAATTTTCTAACCAACGGAGTGACATCATCATTCTTCTCATTCTGATCAACAACAACATCGTCCTCATCATCAGACAACACAAATCGCGGTGGATCCTTTTTGGTGCATCTGTTGTAAGCAGTAACTCTACGAAGTGAATCTTCTTCATGAATACAACTGCTGCGTGAAGATGATTCTTCTTGTACTGGAAAGAAATGAATTCTTTCTTTGGTTTTTGATTTTGCTGTTGGTTTCGATGATTTGCTATTGTTTGGAGAGACTTTTGAGATCAACCGCTGATGATTTTTCGAAGACGAGAGGTTGCACTTGGAAGAATGGTTTGTCACTTTGGTCAGAGACTTTCTTTTCGGACAGTCCACGGCATGCTTCAAAAAATACGGGAAATTTTGAAATTTTTAATCAAACTCGAACCTTTATTATCGCCGGACGAAGGTTCGAATCTTCTTGATCTTCTTTACCATACACTTCCGAACGAAATTTCATGACGACGAGCCTTTGAAGGAAGCTGGAAGCAAAGCAAATATGTGTGAGTTGTTTGGTTAGATTGGAGTTTTGTTGATAAAACGAACGAAACAAGCATTGCTTTTATATAGAGCTAATTTTCTTAATTGTTGAGGATGAAGCTTCTTTAGGAATTTTTCCGTAAAACTTGGTTGTTCCACGCTTTACAAATTATTAAACAAAAAATAAAAGTTTACTGCGCGTATTTATTGTTTCACGTTATACTCTTTTGTTTGTAAAAAGGCAATAAAAATTCTAATAAAAGAAAAGGAAGAAAAAACATCGCTAACAGCAATTTTTACATTTTTCAGCATTTAAAACAATTTATTTTTCTCTCCTTATTTTTGATTGTTTTTGTTGTTATTCACACCTCATTAACATTTATTATTTAAAATAATTTCTTCCAATTTTTAGCTTCTTTTAATTTTATACTAAAATTTAAGCTAAAAATGCCTAATACTTCCTTCAATTCTTTATTATTCCTTTATTTAATAATTCTTGAATCATTTCGGATTTTGAATTGTTCTCATTGTCGTGCTACCTGTTCTCCACATTTTACTTTGCCTTGGTTGGTTTTTTTAATTTTTTAAAAATTTTTTAAAAATTATCTTCCCTCGTTGAGGTTCGAACCTCTGACTTCTCCCACAAGAATTTCCTTTCCTTATTATTTTTAATTTTTTCAGTTCATTCGGCGCTTTCGACAAATGTTTGGTCCAGCAATGCAATGAAATTTGTGCAAAAGATGGAGGGCGGAAAATGATTGGATGTTACTGTCGCGGAAGTATTGAAGGGCCAACAATGCGTGCTTGTTTTTGTATGGGGCAGAAACGACCAAAAACATTTTAAAAAAGTTATTTTTGTAAATATTTTTACTTTTATTTTTTAAATAAAAGCTCAAAAAAATTAATTTGTTTTAATTGTTTTGCCAATTATACCTGTGATTTATTTTTGTCTACAAAAACAAAATTTTTTCTATTAAAAATGGAGTAATTAATCGATGTGAAACCCATTATATATTTAACACAAGCGCGCGAGTTTGCCGTAATAAAAGGCTTAAATGTCATAAAAATTTATAAAGAGATTTTGCCACCATTTGTGGGACTTCTTCTCTGTTTTTACTTTTTTTTCTAATCTTTTTTTAAATACTTTTTTTTATTTATTAGAATTTGTTACAGCTATAATTTAATTTTTAAGAAAATTTTAAAGAAAAAATAATTTAATTAATATTTTAAAAATGCTTCTTTCACCTGAACAATTTGCTAGATTAATCGAATATGCTAGTTGTAAGTGTTTATTTTTTAGAAAAATATTTTAAAAAATTTTCTCTTTTTAGATTCAAGCCACAAACTACTTGATATGTTGACTGAATTTTCTCACCCGGAAGGTAAATCTAATTTTTTAAAAATATTTTTAATTTTGTATTTTTAAGGAATGTTTTATCGATATTTATCGCCAGATTTGCAAACTATTGATTTTGAGGTTTTTAAAATTTTTGAAAAATATTCTTAAAAATATTCAATGTTTAAGGGTTTCAATTCCTTCATAAATTGTTATTTTGGAGCAGAATTGCCAGCAGATTTAATCCAACAATTATTTTTGTCTTTTTGTCCATCAACACAAGAATTACCTCAAAGAAGAAGTTCAATAATTGAAGAAACTGTAAAAGGAGTTAAAAATATTTTTAGAAAAGAATCTACAAATTTATTAAAAAAAGAAAATAATCGAAAAGAATCTTCAATCAAAAATTTATCAAAACAATCGGTCAGTGGGCTTTTTAATGGAATTATTGATTTAAATAAAGAACAACAACAACAAATACTTCAGCAACAACAACAGGTTAATTTTAAAATTTTTTCAAAATTTTTAAAAATTTTTTTAAGAGTTTGTCACCAGTTCCAGATTTAGAAGAAAGAAGAATACCTTTAAAACCTTTGGTTTGTTATTTGAGTTTGTTGGAAGGAGCACCTCCTGAAGATAAATTAGAATTTGTTTTTCATGTCTACGATAATGATGGTAAGGGAGAGAAATTTTTTCGAATTATTTTATTTGAAGTATTGGATGTTTGGGGGGAGGAGAAGGACCCACAAAAATTTATTTAAGAAAAAATTTTTCAGTGGATTTTTTTGTACTATTTTATTTGAAGTATTGGGCGGTTATTGGGGGAGAGGAGCTCACAAAAATTTATTTAAATATGAAAAAAATTTTTATTTTCAGGTAATGGTTATCTTGATCATAAAGAAGTTGAATCAATTATTGAACAGGTTACTAAAAATAATTTTTTTTTAATTTAAAAAATTCTGTTCACAGATGATGAATGTTGCAAGATATCAACAATGGGATACAATTGAATTAGAACCGGTTAGTAAATTAAAAAGAATTTTTCTGAAGCTTTATTAATTTTTAGATTCTTCGCCAAATGATGCAAGAAATTGATTATGACAATGATGGAATTGTTTCGTTAGAGGAGTGGAAACGTGGGGGATTAACTACAATTCCTTTACTTGTTTTGCTTGGATTTGACACGGTTTAATTTAAAATTTTATTTTTATGAATTATTCTTAATTATAGGAAATTAAAGAAGATGGATTTCATATTTGGCGACTTCGACATTTTAGTAAACGTGAGTATTTTTCTGAACTTTTTGGATGATTGGGAATAGAAAAGAAACATTCGTTTTTCGTGTGGATATAGACAAATAAAACGAGAAAATGAGTTAAGGGAATAAGGAAATGGTAGAAGGAAAATAGGGATGGGGTCGTGGGAATTTGGAGGGTAATTAGCAGAAAGTGAAAGGGAAGGAATTGAGGGGTTAGTAAAAGCAGAGGAGATGACTTTTAGATTAACTTTTTCAAATTTAAAAAGATTTTTATAGCAACATATTGCAATGTTTGTTTGAATATGTTGGTTGGTTGGGGAGGTAAACAAGGATTAGCTTGTTCTCTTTGTAAATACACTGTACACGAACGTTGTGTTCACTCAGCATCAAATAATTGTATCCATACATACAATTCTAATGCTTCTTCTATGAGAGAACAACCAATTCAACAACATCATTGGATGGATTCTAACTGGTTTTTTTTTTATTAAATTTATTTTTTTTTAAATATTTTTTAAAGTGCTGGAAAGTGTTCAAAATGTAAAGCAAATGTAGGAATATTTCAAGGACGGCATTGTCGTTGGTGCAAAAATTTGGTTTGTTTTAACTTTTGAGTAGCTGGGTTTGTGTTTTGATATTTTTATTTTTAAGCTTCATTCAAAATGTATTTCACTTTGGCCAACAGCTTGTGATTTTGGACAGCTTGCTGCTAGCATTCTTCCTCCTGTAAATATTATTCCTACATTTTTGGATAGATCAACAACTTCTGCTACAACTAATAATACCTCAGCTACCGTTTCTACAATAACAACAATACTACCTTCAACTTCACAGCAACAGCAACAAAGTCAAAGTACAGCAACAATAAATAATAATGGTGCAAGTGGAGGTCCTCTTCAGGTTAATTTTACTTTTTCCTGTAAATATGGAAAGTTCCCCAAAGCTAGAATTTTTGGAAGGGTCAATCTTTTAAAGGGAATGTAAAAATATTTTTGCCATAACATTCAAGCCGTCACAATTTTATTTTTTTCTATTTTTTAGTTAAAAACAATTCCATTATCACCAAATAGCCGTTCTCGCCCTCTTTTAGTTTTAATTAATCCAAAAAGTGGAGGAAGACAAGGCGAACGTATTTTTAGAAAGTATGTTTTTTATTAAAATTTATTTAAATACTTTTTAAATTTTATTTTTAGGCTTCAATATTTACTGAATCCTAGACAGGCAAGTATTTTCAATCATTTAACTTTTTAAAGAAAAATTTTTCTTCAGGTTTATAATTTAATCAAAGATGGGCCAGAACCCGGATTAAATTTATTTAAATCATTAAATAATTATAATGTACTAGTTTGTGGTGGAGATGGAACTGTTGGATGGGTATTAGAATCAATGGGTAATTTTTCTGATTTTTTAAAAATTCAAAAAAAAATTTTCAAGATAAAATGGAATATGGAGATAATCGTCCACCTGTTGCTGTACTTCCATTAGGCACTGGTAATGATTTGGCAAGATGTTTAAAATGGGGAGGAGGTTATGAAAACGAACCCTTACAAAAAATTTTACATCAAATAGAGAAGGCAAATCAGGTTATTTTTAATTAAAATGAAAGAAAATTGTTGTAATTTGAAGGTTTTAATGGATAGATGGCAAATAACAATTGAACAAACTAGACGTTTTGACAAAGGAGATCCACAACCTTATCATATAATTAATGTAAGGGAAGGTTTTTTTATTAAAATTATTTTTTTAAATTTTAGAATTATTTTTCGATTGGTGTTGATGCTTCAATTGCACATCGTTTCCATGTAATGCGTGAAAAATATCCAGAAAAATTTAATTCTAGAATGAGAAATAAATTGTGGTATTTTGAATTGGGTACAAGCGAAACATTAAGTAGCAGTTGTAAAAATTTACATGAACAAATTGATATTTTGGTTTGTTTAAAATTAATTTTTGAAATTGTTTTTAGACGCTAAAACACTTTGGCGTTCATTTAAACAATTTTTCAACACGATTGAAAAATTTATTTTTTTTTCAGTGTGATGGAGAAACTATTGATTTGGGTGTTGGACCTAATTTGGAAGGAATTGCTTTGCTAAATATTGCAAGCATGTATGAAAAATTTTTCTTAGAAAATATTTTAATTTTTCTATTAAAGTTATGGAGGTAGCAATCTTTGGGGAAATAGCAGAAAAAGTTCAACATCTTGGCATATACCTTACTTATTTCCACAAATTGCAAATAGTCAATTACAGCATAGAGTACAGGACATTGGGGATAAATTAATTGAGGTTCTTTTTTAATTTTTTCTTAATTTTATGGGGCTTGTAAGATTCAGGTGGAGGTTCTATCAAAATTTTAAAATTTTTTTAGGTTGTTGGCCTTGAATCAGCCATTCAAATGGGACAAATAAAAGCGGGAGTAAGGCAAGCAAGAAGACTGGCACAATGTTCAACAGTAGTTATACAAACTCATAAAACTTTACCAATGCAAATCGACGGAGAACCATGGACTCAGCCGCCCGCAATCATTCAAGTTATTCATAAAAATCAAGCACCAATGCTTATTGGTTTGTAAATTATTTTTGAAATCAGTTAAAATATGTTAATTTTTAGGTAACCGGAAGAGGAGTACTTGGAATTTATTAAGACGACAACAAACTGAAGATGTTTAAAAAATTTTTTTATATTTTTTGTTGCTAATTTTATAATTAAAAAATAATTAAATAGATAACAAATTCAAAATATTTTTTAAACAAATTATTATTTTACCCATAAATGAAAACTATGGCTCATTCTCCTTTTTGTTTCTTTGCTTCAGCTTCAGCCTTAAAAAAAGAAAATAAAGATTAACAAAAAAATATTAGTAGAAACCTTGTGCCTATCCAAAAGTTTGTTAAATGTTTCCATCGGGAGACTTTCTTTTTTATATTCCTTTAAGATTTAAAAAATAATTTTTTAAAATATAACGTTAAAATTACCTCCATTACTTTGGCCAATTTATTATTAAGTTTTGGATCACAACCTTCTTTGACAGCATTAAAAATCCTCTTTGAATAAGCATTAATCCTTTTGGCTTTTTCTTGATCTTTTGTTGTTTTTGTTTTTGCAATGTTGTCCCAATGAGAATGTCCTTTTTGATTTGAACTGCACAAACAAATATTTTTGTTGCCCAAATATAAAGGAATTCTTTGTGAGTATAAAAATAATTTGCTGCTCATCTTTTATCTTTTTGCATAACCTAAATTTGAAGCTTAGTTTTAAGATTAGATGAAGCCTAATTATAACGGCTCGAGACTTTTAGGGATTCGTGACGGAAAATACAAAAAATGAGTAAAGTGAAATAGATATTTTGAAAGTTACCATTTCGAAAATAAAGTTACCATTTCAAAATTTTCCGAAGGACTTTTTGAGTCTGACATTTTTGAGTTATTGTCTTGAATTTTTGAAAATTCTGTAATTTCGTTTGTTTTCAGATATTTAGACTTCTAAATCTTTATTCAGATGGCTAGTAAACTTCCGAAACTTGCTTCTTTAAATATCAAAAATCAAGAATCAACTCCATTTTTTGCTTGGATTCGTGATTTTTTTCTTGGAGTTAAACGTCTGCCCATAACTCCACCTCCTGGTTTGCCCACCGAAGATGGGGAGGTAATTTTAAGTTATCAATTTTCGAATATTTTCTTTGTTTTAGGCTTATTATCAACCACATACTCGATTTCCAAATACTCAATCTTCTCGAAGTGTTGAACCTGCTTCTACAGAGGAAGGAATTGTTCGAAAAATATCTGATAATTATTATCTTTCTAGGGTTAGTTTTATTTAATTTAAATAATTCTTAAATTTTGTATCAGGATGCTCGTAGGGCTGTTATGCCTCCTCGATCTGTTTTAGAAATGGACACTAAGGAAATCGCCGGTCAAACTGAGGCGAATGGATCAATCTCGTTTGTTTATTTTTAAATATTAATTCTATATAATTTTTTAGTGGCGATGTTCCTGGCAAAAATGTTGGCCCAAAACAAAATTATGGTTTTAATCCTAAAATTCCAACTCCTGGATTTGGCTATGAATGGGTAAGAAGTATTGAAAATGAAGGATTTACTCAACAAAAAGATCCAGATTTGGCTAAAGCTCAAAAGTTTGATAAATATTTGAAGGCTTAGATATTATTGTTTGCAGCTATATAAATAGGAATAAAATTATTTTGTTTTTGTGTGTATAATATTACTTTTTGGATATCATTACCATGATACAAATTTTGCAAATTTTTTATTTAAAACTTTTTCGACCTTTAGATTTATTTTTGGATTAATTTAATCAATCGGTGTTTGTCACAAAATGAAGTAATTTTAATTATTTATTTTTAAAGTCATTATTTTTTAGATTGAATATTGATGGTCTCAACATTTTATTCCCCTATGAATATGTTTATCCGGAACAAGTCCTTTATATGGAACAATTGAAAAAAGCTTTGGACGCACCTGTAAATTTTATTTTTAATTTTTAAGCAAAGAATTTTTTTCTGTTAGGGTCATTGTCTTTTAGAAATGCCTTCTGGAACAGGCAAAACCGTTTCTTTATTGGCTTTAGTTGTTGCTTATATGTGTAGATATCCAGTATGAATTTTTAAAATAACATAAATTTTATTTTTAAATTTAGGATCGTTTACATAAATTGATTTATTGTTCTCGTACAATTCCTGAAATTGAAAAATGTGTGGAAGAATTAAAAAGGCTATTTCTCTATTACAAAAAAGTTACAGGCGTAAGTTTTTTTAATATTGAAAATAATTTTAAAAAATTTTAAACAGACAGGCTCAACCTAATTTCCTCGCTTTAACGCTTTCTGCCCGCAAAAATCTTTGTATAAATAAGGATGTTGTTAGCCTAAGAAATGGAACGGCTGTTGATGGTGCTTGTCAACGTTTAACTGCTAGTTATGTCAGAGCAAAGCGTGTTTTAAATCCTGATTTGCCTTGTTGTTCTTTTTTTGAAAAATTTGATGAAAAAAGAGATTTAACATTGCCAAATGGAGTTTTTAATTTGGTTATTTTTTTAGATTTTATCTTATTAAATTTCAATAAATTTAGCCTGATCTAAGAGAATGGGGACGTCAAAATGGTATTTGTCCTTATTTTACTTGTCGTCATTTAATTGAAAGAGCCAACATTATTGTTTATTCTTATTATTATTTACTCGATCCAAAAATTGCTGATTTGGTTTCTCGCAAATTAAATCCAAAATCTTGTGTTGTTTTTGATGAAGCTCATAATATAGATAATGTTTGTATTGAATCAATGAGTGTTACTTTGGTTTGAATTTTTTAAAAATTAAAAATGAGATTTATTTTGTTTAGACTAAAAAAATGATGGAAAAATGTTCAAAAAATATAGATAAATTAGAAGAGCATATTCACACATTAAAAAAAGAAAATGAAGAAAGGATACAAGATGAATATGAAAAATTAGTTGAAGGACTTCGTAAAGTTCAAAAAGAAAGAGAAGAAGATGAAAGAGTTTGGGCAAATCCTGTACTTCCAAATGAAATACTTGATGAAGCAATTCCTGGAACTGTTAGAACTGCTGAACATTTTATGATGGTTTTTTGTTATTAATTTCTGAAAATAATTTTGTATTTTTTTCAAGTTTATGCGTCGTATATTAGAATATATTAAACATCGAATGAGAGTAAAAACAGTTCAAATTGAAAGTCCAGCAGCTTTTCTTCGTGATATAAAATCTAGAGTTTTTGTTGATCGAAAACCAATGAGGTTTTCTTTTTTTATTTTTTTAAAATAATATTTTTAAAATAAAGGTTTTGTGCTGAACGTCTTGCTTCATTATCAAAAACTTTAGAAATTGCAGATATTTCTGATTTTAGCCCGCTTGTTAAATTGGCAACATTTTCAACAATTGTTAGTACTTATTCAATTGGCTTCTCATTAGTTTTTGAACCAAAAGAAAGCAAAACAAATGATTCAGCAATACATTTAAATTGTATGGATGCTTCTATAGCTATTAGACCTGTACTTGAACGTTTTCAAACAGTTGTTATTACTTCTGGAGTATTTTTTGAATTTAAATTTTAAAATTTTTAAAAACATTTTAGACTCTTTCTCCAATGGAAATGTATCCAAAAATTCTTGATTTTGATCCTATTATTAAAGCAAGTCTTTCTATGACACTTGCTAGACAATGTATTTCTCCTATGATTGTTTCTAAAGGTTTTTTTGAAATAATTTTTTGTATAAAAATTAAAATTTTAAGGAAATGACCAAGTTGAAATTACTTCACGTTTTGAAACTAGAGAAGATTTGTCTGTTGTTAGAAATTATGGAAAGTTGGTTTTTTAATTTTTTTATTAAATATTTTTCCAATTTTTTTTCAGTTTAATATTAGAATTAGCAGCAATTGTTCCAGATGGAATTGTTGTATTTTTTACTAGTTATGTTTATATGGAAAATGTAGTATCTGCTTGGTATGAACAAAGAATGATTGATGAATTAATTAAATTAAAATTACTTTTTATTGAAACTACTGATGCTCTTGAAACTTCTATAGCTTTAGAAAAATATGTTGAAGCTTGTGAATGTGGACGTGGAGCAATTTTATTTTCTGTAGCAAGAGGAAAAGTTTCGGAAGGAATCGATTTTTCACATCATTTAGGTTCTTTTTAATTTTGTTTTATATATTTTTTATTTTTATAGGGAGAGCTGTTGTAATGCTTGGAATTCCTTATATGTACACAGAAAGTAGAATATTGAGAGCAAGATTAGAATATTTGCGTGATCAATTTGGAATAAAGTTTGTTTATTTTTTAAATATTATTTAAGAATTTTCTTTTATAGAGAAAATGATTTTTTAACATTTGATGCAATGCGACATGCTGCCCAATGTGTTGGAAGAGCAATTCGAGGAAAAACTGATTATGGTTTACTTGTTTTTGCTGATAAAGTGAGAGACTTTTTTTGTTATTTTTATTTTTCAAAATTTTTTAGCGTTATTGTCGAGCTGATAAACGTTTAAAATTACCAAAATGGATACAAGAACATATAACAGATGCACAAACAAATCTTAGTATTGAAGAAGCAATTATGGCTGCAAAAAGATGGTTTCCATTAATGGCACAACCATTTACAAAAGAACATCAATTGGGCATTTCTCTTTTATCTACAAAAAATATTGAAAATAAACAAGATGATATATTAAATAAATTTAGAGAAAAGGTTGTTACTGAATTTGATTAATTTTTGATTAATTTTTGGATTTTTTTTCTGTTAATTCCTGTTATTTATTCTCGATTAATTTTTGCAAAAAAAAATTTTTTTCTAAATCTTTTCAAAGTTTTTATATGTTATATAGAGACATATACAATTCTTTTATATTTTTATAGCTTTTTTTAAACCATTTCAACACTGATGATTCACTCACTCAACTCTTTTTTTACACGTAGTAATATAAAACATTTCTTTTAAACACAACACTAGCTGTCACACATACCTCTTTATTTACCTCTAATATGTTCGTAAATAAGAAAAATCCTTTTTATATAATTTATTTTTGGCAGCAAAAAAAAAAAATAAATTTTTTTAGTTCTTTTATAAGGAATGCTATTTTTAAAAATTTAGTTTACATATGTATTACTACTTTTAATTTTAAATTTTCTTTTTTAGTTTAGTGGACCACACCTTATCATTTTATCGGGGTTTTTATCATTTTACAAAGGCTTATAATCTGTCAGAGCCGAAAAAGGAAGTACGGGGATGTTTTCTTTTTTTTATAATTTGACTCAAAATTTTACATCGTTTTTGGTCTCCTATAAAATAATTTTACGTTAAATTTTTGTTTTTTAGCTTTTTAGATCATTTTTTGGTTATGGATTTAATAAATGATCAAACAGAAAAGAATCAGTCATATAAACCAATTCCAAAACCAAGAAAGTTTTTGATGAATAATGCTTTAACTAATAATTCTTGTCTTCCAACAACTTCAACATTTAATAATATAAAATGTCAACAATACCAACAACATTCGTCACCACCTCCATTACCTCCAAGAAGAACAATATTTCCACCATTACCAATAACAACAAATAATTTACAACAGCCAAATTTATTAGAAGAAGAAAAAAATAATTTAATGTCAACAACAACATTAGAACATTCGAGTAATGGTTTTAATAAAATATATCCACTTTTGGATATTCTAAATAACAATAAACATTTGGACATTGCTTCAAATTGTAGTGATTTATCGTCTGAAAGTCAACAAAGTAATCTAGGTTATTTAATTATTTTTCTATTTTTGAATATTTTTCGTGTTTTTTTTATTTTTCTAAAAATATTTTTTCATTTCTTCCCACAGATTTCCCACCCAATTCATCATTAAAATCAACTTTTATTTGTAATTCTTTATATGATTCATTTGGAAGTGCTAAATCTGATGGAGAAGCTGTGTGTTTTTCTGGATGGGTTCAAGTTTTGCCACAAGGAATTATTAAACATAAAAAAAGAGGATGGGCAGTAATTCGAAATGATTTGTTTACAATTAGTTTAAATGAAGAGGTTTTTTAATTTTAAAAATTTTAAAATTTCAAATTTATTTTTAAAGAGTCCCTCTCCCTTTTTTGGACCCTTTGATATTGGAAAATGTATTTATTTGGGAAAAATAATTGGAAATAATAATTCTGAGGAGATTCGTCTAATTTTCAATAATAATTCAAACAAAAAGAATAACAAGCCATTAAAAGATGATTCTAATACATTTATTACTTTACGTTTTATATCAGAAGAAAATAATGGGAAATATTGGCTTCCACTTTTGGCAAAGGTTTGGTTTTATTGAAAAAAATTTTGTTGAGGATTTTTTCGGACCTAATTTTTGGAAATCTTTTTATTGCCCAAAATTTTTTATCGAATATTTTTAATTTCTAAAAAAATTTATTTCAAGTCTTCTTCCCCTCGAAATGATCTTCTTGGCGATTCACTTTCATTGTTAGACTGTTGTGGCAAATTATATATTAAACAAGGAATTAGTGGTCTTTGGAATGATGGTTGGGCATTTATAACTGAAAGAACCTTGCATTATTGGGTTATTGGACCAAATGTTTTGACTCAAGTTGATATCAGGTTTTTTTGAAATTTTTTATAAATTTAATTTTTAATTTTTCCAGAAAAATTATTTTTATTCAAAGAAAGGATATACACATTTCTGATTGGTGTAATAAAATTGAACATTCAACACTTGGTCCTATTTTAATTTCTCTTGAAGGAAGGTTCATTTAAAAAAAATTTTTTAATTCAAAATTTTTGTTAAAGTTCTCTTTATCTTCAATCCTACAATGATTATTGCACAACAATTTGGTTTGATATTTTAACATCAGAATTAAAAAAGGAACCTAATAATTTGGAAGATTGTCGACTAACTTTAGATGATGTTCCTATTATTGGTTTAATTTTTTTGAAATTTTTAAAATTTGTTTTTCTTAAGTTGATAAATGTATTCGTTATATCTCTACGTATGGATTATACCAACAAGGAATTTATAGAAAAAATGGTTCGACAGCAGAATTAAAGAAAATAATTGCATCTTTTAGAGAAGGTTTTTTTGTTAATTTTTAATAAAAAATAATTTTTTCTAAACTAGATCCTCATGATGTCCATTTAAAACCACCAACATGTGATGAAACTGTTTTTGTTGTTGCTAGTGTTTTACGAACATTTTTTCGTCAATTAAATAAACCTTTAATTCCTCAAAATTTACATACAAAACTTTATGAAATTTGTTTGTTTTTTTAATATTTTAAAAAAAATTTATTTTTTTTCCTTTTATTAAAGCAAATTTAGAATCTTCTAAAAAACCTCAATTTTATCGTCAATTAATTTTTTCACTTCCACAAATTTATTTCAAAACACTTCGAAAATTATTGGGACATTTACAAGAAATTATATCTCATGAAAATAGAAATTTGGCATCTTTAGATAATATTTCAAAAATGTTTGGACCAACTCTGTTTACTGTTGCTAGTGTAAGGAAGAGAATATTTTTAATGTTTTTTTAGAAAAAAATCTTTTTTTAAGTCAAATGAAGAAATTTCTGTTGATTCGTATACTTGGGCAACTAAACAAACAATTGTAATGCGCGATTTAATTTTTCATTATTGTGAAATTTTTGGAGTAAGTGTTGATGAATTATTAACAAAATGCAAACTTGATTTAATGCAAGAACAAAAATCTACAAAGGTTTTTTAACTGTTTTTCTTTAATAAAAAATATTTTTTAAGCATCCAGCTGCAGGTAAACACGTTTCTATACATTGCAAAATTTGTTCAAGTTAAAATAAATTATTTTCCTTAAGTGGGATTCGAACCTCCCTCCTTTGTACTATAAATCAAAAAAGTTATCCCACTACACCAAAATGACTTTTTGTTGGATTTGTTGCATTCTTTGCTGGGGTTTAATCTTTCGTTTACAATTAGCAATGACTAAACCAAAAACTATTTTAAAATAAAATTTCAAACCTTTTTACTTACAGGTTTACTTATACCTATCCATTTATTTGAAAAAGACAATAAATGTTTTAATATTCAATCGGAATGGACAGCAAGTCAAGTAGTTGCTTTTAAAATAAATAAATTAACAACAACAACAGAAGGAACATCAACATCATCATCAAATAATAATAATTATGCACTTTTTGAAATGATAAGAAAAGGACAATTAGAAAGGCGAATTGGTGCTAATGAATCGATTAAATCAATTGTATTGGGTAGATGGTTAGAATGGGAAGAATTTCAAGATAATTATTTGTTGCTTAAAAATGATTCGAATCCTTTTCAACCGCAGGTTTTTTTCTTTAAATTTTCTTTTAAAATAAAAAACTGTTTTCCATGTAGAGTGGCCGTGCATTTGCTGATGATTTAAAAATTTCTGAACCAAATTCAAAATCTTTCAAATCTTCATCACTTCGTATAGAAGAAGGAACACGTGTTTGCCTTTATTCAAAAAATTTAAAAAAATTAAATGAATGGAAAGTAGATGAAATGATTTGGTTTATTGGTGCAGAAATAGAAAGAAAATGCCCTTTTCCTTTTGCTTTAACTTTTTTTGTTTCTACAGAAAAAAGAGCGGCCAAATGTTTAGGGAAATTACCTGGTTATTGTGTAGCATTTAAAGGTTTTTTTTAATTTAAATTTTTTTAATTTTGTCTTTTTTAAAGATGAAGTTCAAAGACATCAATGGTTAAATTGTATTTGCTTAAATCAATCAGAATATTTGCCACAACCACTTATACAAATTTAGAGAGGCATTTTTTTAATATTTTTTACACAATTGTATGTATATAGTAACGGGTTTTATTTTTATTTATTTTTAAAATTATTGTAAAGAAAATCAACAATCTTTTTTTAAATTACAAGTGAACTTCTTCCCTCTTTAAAAAACTATTCCTTTTAATTTTAAAGATGTAGATTTTCTTTTATATTCCTTCATATCTTCTCTCCTTTTATTCCTTTTAATGACTGACTATTTACCTAAATTTAAAAAGGAAAAAATTAAAAAAAAGTTAAATCTCGGAAGATTAATATTTTCTCTCTCTGAATCAGAGAGTAAATATTAAAAAGCCATTTTTTCAACAGTCTCTGTTGGAAAGTGACGTTTTTGTATTTATTTTTAGAATTATTTTTAGCAGTTAATTTCTCCCTTTAACTGCCACAAATATTTTTTGAATAGTTGATATTTTGGATTTTTATTTTGTGTGTTTTAACTTTTTTTTTTGAAAAATTTTTCCCTTTTAGTATAGGCAAATAATCATCATCATTCAATTTTAAAGTCATCATTACAACTATTTTTTGTAATTTTTTTTTCATTTAAAAAACCTCTTCCGTTTTATTTTTTTCAAATTTTAAATTATTTATGTATTTAGCTTTTAAATAGTTATGCTAATAATCAAAAAAAAATTTTTACTCTAATAATTTTTTTCCATTTCCTTTCTCTATGCCAAATAAACCTTTTAATTTTTAACCTTTTTTTTTGTTAAATTTATTAATTGTAGTTGAACAAATAAAAAATTATTTTTTAATTGTCTTCTATTTATTCTATATAAGCCTAAAGAATTAAGATTAAGCACAAAGCCTTTTTGGTTAAGTGGGTTAAACCGCTGAAATTCCTGAATGATTGTTCAGTCAAAAAGTTACCAGTGCTTTAATTTTCGCGCCAATTTTTTTTAAATTTATTTTTATACAAAAATATTTACGAAAAATTGATTTGTCCATCAAAACAGCTTTATAAAAATATTTGGGAGGTCATCTTTTTTAAATTAAATGCCCATCAGTCGTCGCTACTGTTTTTCTTCTTCCGTCATCGCGCCCTTCCACTACCAAACACCCTTTACTTTCTTCTTCTTCCTCTTCCCCCCATTTTTTAACCAAAAATTCAACAATCACTTTTCCCGCTCTGTCGCATTTTCCTCTTTTTATAAATTTCTTTTTTTAAATGTTTCAACGAGTGACAGCGCGTACCAGGAGGAGGAAGCGCATATTTATAGGACGAGGAAGGAGAAAAATGAAAGGAGGAGGAATGGGAGGTGGACACCGGTGTGGTCTATATACTACATTTTCTGTGTTTATTCAGTAAAAAAAGGAGAAAATTGGACACGCCCATAACAGACAAAAACGGGTGGTAGCAAATGACCAAGTTTAAAGGGGTTATTCTTTTCTTTTACTCATTTATTAATTTATTTTGTGTGATTTTGTGCTTCCTCCAATTTTTTAATATTAAAAGCATTTTTATTTTATTTTTTTTAATTTAACTGTCTAAAAAAATAAATAAAAGTTCAAAGAAAAATGTTCATTTCCAAACGTTTTTTTCTTTTTTTTTCACTTTTACTTTCTCTCTCTTTCACATTTGGCTCTAAAAAAGCATTCAAAGAGGAAAAGTGTGTTTTGATTGTTTAGAGTTTGCTTTCATTCTTTTTTCCAAGCCCCAGCTTTTTTATATTTTTATTTATTTTCTTTCAGTTTTTCCTTTTTATCGTGCCATTTTTTAAACGTGTATTTATTAATGAGAATTAAGAAAATTCCTTTTTAGAGCTTATTAGCTTATAAAATGGAAGCTAAAAAGTTTTATTTTTAAACGAGCGACTGCAAAAAATAATTTTTGAACTTTTTTTAATGACTAAGACTTGATGACATTTTTAAATTATTTGTTCCTTTTAGGGATTTTCTAAAATAGATGTTCTGAAATAAATTGAATTATTTACCATTTTGACATTTGATATTTTGTATTTTCTTGATATTTATTTTCAAAATGTATAGACAAAAACAACTAATTTTGTTGAAAAAACAAAAACAAATATTTTTATTATTTCCAGCCGTTCTTGCCAATTTTTTTGTTTTGACCCTCAATATTTTGCTTCATTTATTTGCAAAAACATTTTTCCCGTACTTTTTTTCTTTTTATTTATTTTTTCCCTTTTTCTTTCTCTTATTTTTAACGCTGGCTGGGTACATCCTTTTCGTGTCTGGTCGCAACAGCCGCACGCTTCCCCGTGCTGGTCTGTGCCTGCCTTTTTTATTTTTTTTTGTGTTTTCCTCCTTGAATAGACATTTCCCCTCAAAACATTAAAAAAATGAGGCGAACGGAGAAGAAAAAAAGGAGGGAGGAGGGAATGTTTGTGTGTGAGAATTTTTTTACTTCCACAAGAAAAACATTCTTTGAACTCTTTTTTCGCTCCGCGTGGGGTCATTTGTATATATATTTGGTGCCAGCTACAAACAAAATTTTCTTTTTTTAGTCTGACTGGACTTTATAAAAAAAGAAAGGATATTTTTTTGAGAAAGATTTTTTATATTTAAAGTCTTTGTAATTTATTTATTTTTACATTTTAAATAAAAAAACTCAATTTCTCTTCATTTCGCGCAACAAATAAATTTTTAAATTATTTTTTAGTTTATTTTAAAAATTGTTAATTTTATTCAAATGACTGCAGAGTGTCGTCAAGCAACAAATAATTGTGGCCTTTTTACTTCTGATAGGTTGGCTGAAATATGGGGAAATACTTCCACTGATCTTGAAAACAACAAAACCAAAAATTTTAATAATAATGATTTTGATTCTTTATCTTCGTCTTTTGATGGATTTTCTGAATTAAAGGTATTTTTAAATATTTTTAGATTTTAATTATTTTTTAATAGATTTCCTCCTCTCCTCCACATTTTTCTACCCTTTTAAATTCATCAACACAACAAAACAAATCTTCTCAAAAATTGGCTCAAAGCCGTTTATATTCGTGTTGGTCAATGCCTGAACAACAACAAAATTGTTTTGAAGAAAAAGAAAGAAAACAATCTTGGAGGAATATTTGGGATTGGGTGCAAAATAATGGAGATAATATTGACAACAAAATAGAAGGAACAACAACATTACTAGTTTCTGATCAACAAGGAAAAAATGAGGTAAAAAATATTAAGATAATTTTTAGTCTAGGTAGCGTCCTTGAGACATTTCAAAAAATAAATTGATAAATTAATGACCGCCAAAATTGAGAATTAATTTTAAAAAGTTTTGGAAGGAAAATATTTTTTTAATTTGTTAAAAAAATTTTAAAAATATAATTTTAGAATTCCTTTACTCCCGCTACTTACAAAAGTCCAGAAAAATTTGTTGCCGAAAATCTAATTGATCAACAACAACAACGTTCTAATAGCAATACAAGTTTTGAGGGAGGTTCTTCAAGTAATAATTCTTTTACTTCTTCACTTTCTGCTAATGACAACAACAATTTTTATTTTCGAAAACAAACAGATGATTTGGAAGGATATAATAATAATTATTGGGAAAATAATTCTTCTTTTGACCAATCTTTGGCAACAACAAAATCAGCAACACTTCCCCCACAACCTCTTTCTGCTTTTCGTCCATTTCATCAACAACAAAAGCAAAAACCTCTTTGGTCAGAACAATTGGAAGATAAAAAAGAATTTGGTTATCAACAAAAACAGCAACAACAACAATATTTTGATAACCAAAATTTGAAAGGATTTGGATCGTGGCCTTTAATGAATAATTTTGAACAACAAAAACTACAATTTCAGAATGGAGATGAAATTAAGGTTCGTTTGAATTTTTGACCTTTTTTTAATTTAAAAATTTGTTTAGCGTCCAATTCCAACACGTTTCCGTCCAATCATTGGACAACGACCTTATACAGAAGAAAATAATGCTCCTTTATTCAATGCTAATTCTTTTGCAAGTCAAACACCCCAACAAAAAGAGCAACAACATTTTGGTAATTCTATAAATTCTTCCCCAATTTCAACAAAAAAAGAAGAAAATAAAACAACAATTCCTTTAATTTCTTCCCGTTCAAAAAGCAATAGTTGTGATGAAAACGAACTTCGTTTATATCATAAACATTTGGAATTACAACAACATATTTATGAACATGTTTATTCACAAATGATTGGAATAATTAATTCTAGTGGAGTTCAAGGAGTTCAACAGGTTTTTTCTTTAAATTTTAATTGAGAGATCATTTTTATTTTTTTAAAGATAAACAATTCAAACCAACCCCACCACCAACAACAACAAACACCTTTAATTTTAAAACAACAACAAAATCAATTTAATGAATTAAATGTTTGTTTAGAAGAATGTTCAGAACAATATAAACAATTAGAAAAAGAAAGGAAAAAAACAGAAGCAGAATTAGCTCGACATAATTTGGGAAAAAGAATTAGTTCTGCAAATAATTTACCAATTCCAAGATTGCCTCCAGCACCGGTAAAAACTTAAATTTTTTAAAAAATTCAATGAAAAAGAATATTTTTTTAAGTCTCGTGTTGATCGTTTAATTGTTGATTTTTTCCGAGAACATGCAAGAATGGTAACTTTGTTAGAAAAAATGGAACAATTAAAAGAAGATTTAATAAATGAAGATATTCATAAAATCCATAGAGAATTTTTGGATTCAATAAAAATTTTACAACAAACAAGACTTACTGAGAGAACAGCAATTTTACAACAATTGAGAGGAGGTGGAGGAGGAGGACATTATGACGAGAAAAGAGGTTTTTTTGTAAAAAAATAAAAAAAAAATTTTTCCCTTATTTTAAAGAAACTGCCAACCTACTAAATGCATTAAAAGTTGTTAGTAAAGCTGTTTTGCGTAGTAGAAGTGCTAATTGGTGTTCATTAATTTGGACAATAGGTGCTGATGGTCCCCAACAAAAAGATGAAATGGAAAAAATTGTTGCAAATAATTATGAATCGGCACCTCCAGAAATTAAATTAAGACCGTTATATAATTTTTAAATTTTTTTTTAAATTTAACCACACTTAAGAAAGAGATACCCCGCCTAAACTTAAAATAATTTATAGAAAAAATGCTCATATTTTTAGAGACTTCCCCTTCCCTTTTTTAAATTATGTAGTATTTTATTTTTAAATTTTTGTTTGATTTGTGTAGTTTTTTACCCAGAAGAATTTAATCCATAAAATTAATAGATAATTTTTAGTTTTTTAAAAATATTAATTGTACCCTTTATTCTGTAATTTTATTGTTAGAATTATATTTTCTTTTAAATTTAATTTTTTTCCAACTTTAAAATTATTTATATATTTTTAGCTGAATAAATTTGTATTTTTTTATTATAAAATTTAGAACATGAAGAAGAGTTTTTATTAAATCTTGGTAAATATTTAAATTTTTTTATTCTGCTTTTTGAATTTTATCGGACGGGCTACGTTGGACTTTAGTTGCTCATTCTTAATTTTATTTTTAAAATAAATAGAATTGGCGTATTGTTTTTTTGATGGGATGAAATGTCTCATTTTTTATTCTTGAGAAATTTTTTGTGAGGTATTTCTTAATTTTTTAATTTATTTTCTAGAATTTTTTGTATTTTAAATGATTTATAAAGGACGTACATAAATATGGATTATGTCAACTTTATCGAATTTCTTTCCTTCACCGCTACAGCTTCAACAATTGGGATGTTTTTGTGTGGAATTCAGATTTGTACAAGAATACACAGAAGAGGGTTTTATTTTTAAAATTAAATGTTATTTTATCTTTTCATTTTTTAGTTCAACAGAAGGAACAGGCGTTGCTCCCTTCTTTTTAACTTCAGTCAGTTGTATTTGTTGGCTAGGATATGGAATTCTTAAAAAAGACCAAACAATTATTTTTGTGAATGGAATTGGTTTGATTTTCCAAACAGTTTATCTGGCTTATTATTATATGAAGACTAGACTAAAGGTTTTATTTTAAAAATATTTTTTTTAATTTAAAAAAAAAATTTAGAATAGATTAAGACATTTAATCCTCATTGAATTCTTCATTGCTATTTTAACTACAATTTTAATTAAACATCAATCTTTTAGTCTTAATCTAAAAGAAAATATTCTTGGTATAATTTGTATGCTTTTAAACATTGGTTTGTCTTTTCTAAATTTATTTTAATCTTGTTCATTTTTAAGCAACAATCGCTTCTCCACTTGCTGATATTGGACAAATAATTAGATCAAAAAGCACAGAATCTTTACCTTTTATGTTATGTTTGGCAAATATGACTGTAAAATTTTTTTGCTTATTTTTTTTTATCTTTTAATATTTTTCGTTAAATTTAGGTTTGTCTTCAGTGGTTACTTTATGGTTTTTTGGTTGATGATCTTTACATGAAGGTAGATTTGGATTTAGTTTATATTATTTGTATATAGTTAGTTTATTTCGGGTATGGTTAAGAGAGTTTGTGGCTAGGTGGTTTATTCGCAGACTTCTATTTTCTCCCGCGGAGGTTTGATACCGCGTGTGGTTTTTTTACTTTTCTTATAAGATTTTCATTAGAAAATCTTTTTTTCAATTTAATAAAATTTTTAATTTCAAAGTATAAATATTTTTAGGTCCCAAATTCAATTGGAACAATCATTTCTTCAGTGCAACTTTCCCTTTTTGTGATTTATCCTCGTACCTACAAAGTTCTTGTTGTTAGAAAATCGAACGTTTAGAGGTTTTTAAATTTTATTTTAGTCGGTATTGTTAATAATTTATTTGTATAATTATTTTAAAATCAAGGCCCATACATCTTTGTTTTTTCGCTAATTATGGGCTTATATTAATTTTTAAGTTGTGAATTTCTATATTATTTACCCGGTTTTTGAGATTTTTTAGAATACTTTTTAGTTCCATTTAATGATATTATATTCAAAAACCACGTCTTTTTTCAATTTGTTGTTTGTTGCCTCAACTTTTATTGTTACATATGTCGCATAATTTTGTTCATTTTAACATTTTCTTTATTTTATGTCATAATCATTTAAGTATTGTGATCATTTAGTAGATTAATATATTTTGATTTTTGTGAATAAAAAATCGATGAATTTTTTAAATTTTTAATCTTCATGTTTCTAACATTTTTTATATCTTTTTAAATCAAAACCTCTATTTTATAGATATTTAGATGAAAATAAACGAGCACGAATCAATAATTGGACAATCCTGTATTCTCGTTCCATATTGTTCTAAACACGTCCAAAAATACAATGGTTGGATGGAAAATGAAGAATTATTAATTGCAACATCTTCAGAACCTTTAACTCTTGTGGAAGAATATGAAATGCAAAAAAAGTGGCAAGAAGATTCTGACAAGTTAACTTTCATTATATTGGATAAACAAACATTTGAAGCAACTGGTGGTGACGACGAGGTTTTTTATTTTCAAATTAAATTTTAAAAATACTTTTTAAAATCAGATTGGTTCTATGGCTGGTGATGTCAACGCATTTATTTGTCAGCAAAACGAAGAAGAAGAGCCAACAACTTTTGAAATTTCTGTAATGGTTGCTGAACAAAAATGTCGAAATAAGGGAATAGCAAAAGAGGCTTGTTTATTAATTATCAATTATATTCTAAAAAGAATTAATTCTGCTTCTAATTTTATTGCAAAAATTTCTTTAAACAACAAATCAAGTATTTGTTTATTTAAAAAACTCGGATTTAAAGAAGAATCATTTTCTGATGTTTTTCAATTATTTACTTTTAAATTAAAAAATTGTGAAGCAAAAAAGATTGAAGAAATTCAAAAAGAATTAAAAATTGTTTATTATAATTGAGAGGTTTGAATAATTTTTATTAGAAATTTTTTGAAGATTTTTTTGAGATAAATTTTGTTTCAGTTCTAAGTTGCTGTTGGAACATAAGGCGGTGGTGGTGAACGCACAAAATTGCTTGTTTGATTAGATTGTCCAACTGGTGGTAAACTTGGCCTTCTAGAAACAGCAATTGCTAATCTTGGACGTCCACTAACCATTATTGCTTGATTTGGAACTTCTAAAGAAGAATAACGTGGAGGTGCTGGAGGAAATAAAAATGGATCAAAAGGAGGTAAATTTCTTCCTCCATATTCTTGTTGTACCGTCCCGGGGGCAGCAAAAAAATCTTGCCAGTCAGAAGAGTTAAACCAATTTGGTGCAGAATAGGGTCTCCTTTGTGAATCAAATTGGGCTAAAGCCAATTCAACTGATGGTAATTCGTTGTCCCGAAGATTAATTCTTTGTGAAAAAGGTCCTTCTGACCTTACAGCTTTGTTGGCCATAAAAGTCTTTAAAAATTAAAAATTATGTTTTTCCTAAATATTTTTTCTCTTACAATTTTAATTCCAAGCACACTGAGTATTAACAAAGCTGAGGCCAAAGCTTCGGAAAAAATTAGGAATGGAGTATCATTTCTTTAAAAAAATTTTTTAAAGAAGTTTAAAAATTATTTTTACATACCCAATTCTATTTGCAGCTCTATTTTCTGGTATAAGACTCCAAATTGAATTTAGAACAATTAAAATTCCAAGTAAAATTGAAAGAGCACATAAAGTCCAAATTACTTTTCTTAATAAATAATTTAATTTATTTTTTTAAGGAACAACAACAAAATAATTACCTGAATGGATGGATTTTAACAAGCAAATTGTGCATAACATATTTATCTAATTCTCCCATTGAATTATTTGAATTATTATTTGAAAAAGTGTTTTGCCTTGTTGGTCTAATACGACGAAATCTTCGGCCAAAATAATGATGTTGGTGATTATTCAATTGACGTCGACGTTGTTGTAATCCTGGCTGAGGAAATGGACGGCGAGGGGCGGATTGATTCATTTACTGGAAAGACAAAAATGGAAAATGTAAAGGAGAATGAATGACGCGCGAAAATGTGTTTGGCTTTTTTAAAAGAGGTAAAAATGGATTTAGTTTTGTAAAATTAAAAAGAAAATATATTTTATAAGAATGGCACAAAAAATGGTAGAAAAGATTTTTTAAAGAAAAAAGGAGATAAAAATTTAATAAAAGGGAAGAAGCCCTATTAGAATAAGAATTTTAAAAAATATTTGAGAGGTTTCTTTTGTTGAAAAATAATAATAAATACCTTGAATATATTAAAAATGATTTTAGGGGGTGATTTTAGGTGAAGGGGATTTTTGATAATTTAAATTTAGAAAAATTATAGTCTGAAAGCTTTGAAGATTTTGGATTTTTCTTACCGAGAATTACCTAGAATCCCCTTCTGTCATTTAATTCTAAAAAAACCGTAAAACATATTAATAAAAATCTTTTTTTAGTTGATGTATTAATGACTTTATGCACGATCATTACTTCAAACAAATGTTCGTGATGCTCTTCACAATCTGATTCTGCAATGTTAAAAAAGATGTACTTTTTGCTTTGTTTTGGGCTTTTACACTTTTTTTTGGGCTTACCACATGGCTCTTCTATTCCCAAATTTCAAATAAAAAATCAGGTTTTTAATTATTGTTTTTTAACCATTAAAAATATATTTTAGAGATCGAGATCCAACCAACAGAAATTCTTCAATTCCAAGAAGTGATGGGCCTGTGTTTGCTGAAAAATGAACTTGTGTTCAACATTACTTTTTTGATTTTTTATTATATTGTGATATCTGATTTTGCAATAAAAATACCGATTTTTAAAAGTTTTAGAAATTCTTTGTATTATGGGGAAAACACCCTGAAAAGAAGTAAGAAACACGAATTTAAAGCGATACTTAATTTGGCGTACTGCAATAATTTGAAATAAATGACACTTTGTCCCCATAGTTAGAGAAATACAAAAAAAGAAATAGTGTGGTAGAGATAAAAATTAATATCCATTTTGTGGTCAGTTGAGTCTTGAGAGACAGCAATTTTTAAAAATCGATATCAATCGATAAAATCAATACTAATCGATAATTTATTTTCCAAAAATTTTAAATTTTCAAAAAATCGATATCAATTGATAAAATCAATACTAATCGATAATTTATTTTCCAAAAATTTTAAATTTTCAAAAAATCGATACTAATCGATAAAATCAATACTAATCGATAATTTATTTTCCAAAAATTTTAAATTTTCAAAAAATCGATATCAATCGATAAAATCAATACTAATCGATAATTTATTTTCCAAAAATTTTAAATTTTCAAAAAATCGATACTAATCGATAAAATCAATACTAATCGATAATTTATTTTCCAAAAATTTTAAATTTTCAAAAAATCGATACTAATCGATAAAATCAATACTAATCGATAATTTATTTTCCAAAAATTTTAAATTTTCAAAAAATCGATACTAATCGATAAAATCAATACTAATCGATAATTTATTTTCCAAAAATTTTAAATTTTCAAAAAATCGATATCAATCGATAAAATCAATACTAATCGATAATTTATTTTCCAAAAATTTTAAATTTTCAAAAAATCGATATCAATCGATAAAATCAATACTAATCGATAATTTATTTTTAAGAAATTTTAAATTTTCAAAAAATCGATACTAATCGATAAAATCAATACTAATCGATATATTGATTTTTTAAAAATTTGTAAAACTCTGTAATAAAAAGTTGAGCATTTATAAACTAAAAATTCATTATTTAAATTTAAAAAAGGCGCATTGAAATTCTAATTTAATTTCCTTCATCTTCAAATTGATTAGAATTGTCATCTTCTAGTTGAGCTTCCTTTTCTTTTGCCAAGACAGCATATTTTCGAAGTTTTGATTCCAAATAAGATATCCGTTCTCTAAGTTTTGTTTCTGTGTTTGTGTGTTCTGCTAGAAGTCTTGCAACCCTGAAAATTTAAACTCTGAAACGAAAATTATTTTTTATATTAGTAAAACTCGTTTTAGATGGGACAAATCGGCAAAAAATAGTCCAAAAATTGTGCGAACCAAATAATAGACCAATCAATTAATTTACAAACCTAATTTGAAGAATTCTAACAGACGATTGCAATTCTTCAGTCATTTCTTCCGCTGATTTTTGTTCCTCGGGAGCATTCTCATCCAAAAGATTGTCTTTCCGCAATAATTCACGACCCTAAAAAAATATAATCTTCAACTTATATTAAATTAATTTTATAGAAACCTTGTTTATAAGAATTTTTCTAGCTTCTGGATATTCTCTCAAAGCTGAAAATTAATTAAGAGATATTCTAATGCAAGTAAAACATAAAGAAATAACCTATCCAAAGATCAACTTTATTCAAAACAAACAAATCGGTATATCCAACCGATCGAACATTTGCTGTGCGTCTGTTTCCATTTTTACTTCCAGCAATGTTTAGAATAGATCCAAATAAAAAAAGTGAAATAATTAAAATTAAAGGATAAATTAAAATTTACAATTCGCCAAAGACAGCACCTTCAGATAATGTAGCAAATATTTTAGAACCATCATCACTTACAACCTGGAGCATGCCTCTTTAAAGTATTCAAATTAAAAATTTAAAAGAAAAATAAAACCTTTTAACAATATACATTTCTCGTCCAATATCACCCTTACGACAAACATAATCATTTGGACTAAATACTTGTAGTTGCAATTTAAGTACCAATTCTGCTAATAAACCAGCTTCGCAATCCTAATAAATTTTAGAAAATCACTAAATAGATATTAATAAATCAACCTGAAAAATTCGCACTTTACGAAGGGTCTCAAAATGAACATGCATTGCAATTTCAGCTTGTAGTTTATTAGGTAAAACTTTCAGCACCTGAGCATCAGCTAAGCCTTGTTTATTAGCCCATAAATAATCAAACCATTTAATAACACGATTTTCCAACTTGAAATTTAAAAAATCTTTAATTTGAAAGTTGAAAAAACCTGTTTTCCAACTCCTCGTAGATCCATATATTGCTTTATAGAATCAATTCTATTTTGAAAATCTGTTCGCCCGGCACTTATGTTTGAGATCATACTGAAAAAATTGAAAAATGAATGTTAACTAAAAAGTTAGAATTATCAAACCTTCCAACATTTCCAACAATTGTAGCAAATATAAGTACTCCACACATTAAATCGACAGTTACAAATGCATACTCTACATTTTGTTGGGGTCCAGGCACTTCACCAATTGTTGTTAAAATTAATGTTGACCAATAAAAACTAAAAAATTGTCGAATAATTTAATTAAAATTTTAAAAGAACCTGTAAATATATCTTCTAGTTAAAGTATCATTAATTCCATCAGGCAGACTTTGTTTATTTTGAGCACCATATACCCATGGATCTGTTCCCAAACCAATACTTTCAGAAATTAAGAAATAAAAACTAAAATTTAAAAAGAATTTTTGTAATAAAATTAGTAGTATTTACCAGGCATTCCAATGTATAATAACAGCAATATACCAAACAACAACTCCAACCCTAAAAGCATTGGGCATTGAAGTTCGAGTTTCAGTTTGCTCCATAAAACGTTGAATTCTTTCATTTTTAAGCAAACGATTCAATCGAAAAATAGGAAATGACCTCCAAAGTATAATTAAACAAAAATGATCAATTGGCAATAAACTAGCAATGTCGACCTAAAAAAATTTAAAAATAAAAGAAAACAATAATCTCAGACACTTGACAAAACATTAAGAATCTCATAAGACTAACTATCCAAAGATTAATTTAAAAATAACCAAAAACTGCCGACTTCTAAGGTACAGAGAACGAATTTTGGCACAATCACGAACGAGAAGGCCTTGCTCCAAATAACCTAAACTTAAAAATTAAAAACTATAAACCAAGAGAAAAAGACAAACCTGTACGAGAACGGACAAACATATCAGCAACATAAAAGGAATCCATCAAAAGGTCAAGTATTAACCAAAGTATCCATAAACGACCAGCAGCCAAATCAATAAAGACAACCCGGGCTATGACGACCTTAAATTAATCGAATAAGTGTAGATCAAATCGATGCTGCCATGAATAATTAATAAAAAAACAAACCAAAAGATTGTAGACATAAGCAATTGAAACCAAAGCAATCCAATGATAATACTCTGGATCGTTCGAATCAAAAACAACACTAGAAAGCCACTTCCTTCTATCATTACTGTTGCTTTGTTGATCAGTAGCATTGCCAGGCTTAAAAATAAAAAGAATAGTAGTAGAAAATTAATTTTAAAAACCTGTATTCCAGTTCCAGACATCCCAAATTTTGACATAAAATTGGCTTGCTCTACTGAATTTTCATCCATTATTCGATTTCTATTGCGAAATCTTGATATCGACTGAAGATAAATTTTTTTAAATATCTTTTAAAAATAAAAAGAACCTTAGAAAGTCCTTTAATTAACGAAGGATTCATTTGCGTAGGTATTCTTTTTTGTTGCTGTTCTTCATTAATAACTAAAGACGATCCTTGTTGCTGATCTTGTTGTTGTACTGATATCTTTTTTTGTTGTTGCTTTGGACTACTTATTGTAATTATTGGAGGTGTTGGAATCTTTGATATAATATTTAAATCTTCCAATGGAGATATTCCACTTTGAATAGAACCATTTCTTTTAATATTTTCTTTTTCTTCTGTTGTTGGCACATCTTTTTTCTCTTCTTTATTTTCTATGGAAATATTTAAATTTAATGAAGTTGAAGGTATAATACTTTCAGAAATATTTTTAGAATTAATACTTTTGCTTCTCTATAATAAAAAACAAAGAATTTAAAAAATTTTTAAAAGAAAATTTATACCTTTCTAGGTTCATTGTCAGCCAATTGTATATCCAACGTTGAACTAAAAGGTTTTTTAATTTCATTGTCATCTTCTTCTCTAAATGTTGATTGCGGCGAAAATCTTAAAGGTTCAACTTTTGTTATTTTTCTTCTTCTTTTATTATTTTTTTGAAAACTTTCAATGTCTAAAGATTGTTGTTGTTTTAAGTTTTTTCTTCTTCGTTTTTCATTATAGTTTTTTAATTTTTCAAAATGAATTTTCTCTAATTCCTCTGTTGTTTTTATTTTAGGTTGTACTTCATTTTGTTGGTTTTTATGTTGTTCATCGCTATCCTTTTAATTTAAAGAAATAAAAATAGTCAATTTTTAATTAGAAACTTTTACATTTTTCCGGAAAATAAAATTACAAAAAATAAGTTTACAATTTTAAATCTACAATTCTTCCGGAATGACAATAAATAAATTTACATTTTTTCCGAAAAAATAAGTTTACAATTTTCCGGAAAGGAATATTTTAAAAGAAAATATGCTGAAATCTTACCCGATCATCAAAGTGTTTATCATCCTCATTGTCCGAAACTGCTTCTCTAGTTAAATGCTTTTTCCATCCACTCATCGGAAGTTGCTGCCTTAACCATTGATTATTATTACTTGATGTTGTTGGTGTTAAATGGTGTTGATAATTACTTGTAGTTGGTTGTTGTTGTTCTTGGTCAGCATTAAAAGGCGAACGACTTTGTGAAGCAGAAAACAATCGAGCAGAAAAAATACGTTGACGATCTGTTGGCTAAAAAAACAAGAGAAATATCTTTTAGTTTTTACAAAATTATTTACAAAACCTGTTGAATACCACTTGTATCAGCAATTTTGTTACTTTCAAATGGTGATCGTCTTCTTCGTTTCGGCTGGGAATTATTTGCATCATTTTGAGCATCAATATTGCTGTTTTTTCTCATTTTTATCAAAATTTATAAGAAGCATATTTGTAGCAAATGAAATAATACCATTGAAGAATGAGAGAATAATAAAGGCTACAAAAAATAAATTCGTATTTTAAATAAGAAAAGAACTTAACAACCAATTAATAAATCAAAAATAAAGAAGGAAGTTTTTTTAATTGAGACAAACTTTTCTGATTCAAAAATGTGGGTGTTAATAAAATAAACACTTTTTTAAATATAAAAAATAAAAAGGGGGGATTAATAAATTAATTGCAAGTAAAAAAATTTTTTCTTAATACTTTTAATAGAGTAAAGAGATTTAGAAATAATCCTTTTAATAATTTTTTTTAGCTTTTTAGTGCCCAAAAATTAAAAATTTTAAATTCTAAAATTTAACAAGTCCTGTTAAAAGAATGTTACCACCCCCAAAAAAATAAAATATCAAATATTCTGGCGGCAAAAATATATTCCTCCCGTTTATTATTTAAAGAATTCAATCTTTATAGAGGATTGACAAAAAATAAATTTTTGTAAAAATGACAAATTCCTTCTCTATAATGTAAGAAATCCATTAGCGATTATTAAAAAACCTTTTTACCCCTTTTAAATATTCTCTATATATTTTTGCCGCCCCTTTATAACCCACCTTCACATATTAGCATCATTCCTTTCATTCCGTCCATTAACGTTTACATTTATTTTTTATATACATATTGCATAGATAAAGCATTCTTCATTTAAAAAAATCTCTTCTTTTGATGATAAAAAATTGCCATGGAAACATTTCACATCCATTCATATTACCAAAGGGAAAGCATCTTCCAATCAAACAGCAAATGTCCTCCAGAAAATTGAACTCTAATAAAAAGAGACATGTTTTTTAAGAAAATTTAAAATATTTAAATGTATAAAAACATTCATTTTTCCATTAAATAATAATTTTATAAAATATTTTTATTTACATAAATATCTAAAAACAAATAAAAATTTTAAAAGAGAAGAAGAAACAAAGAGACAAATAAATAATAAATCTATTTAAAAAAGAAAAAAAGGCATTTTTTGGAATGAACATAAAAAAACTTTGTATCAATTCTATATCAACACACTATAAATCAAAAACTCAAAAATGTCCAATGGATTACTAAAACAGAAATTGGGACAGAAAATAATTTTTTAAACCTGAAACCTTGGTATAGAACAATTTAAAGTGTGTTAATTTTCTGGGTAAAAAGAGAGCTAAATTTCGTTACAATTTTTTAAAAAGTTTTAACATTCCTTGTAATTTCTCAAATTATTTACTCCAATACCACTATTTTTAATTGTTGAAGGAGCATGTTGAATATTTCCAGCCTCTGCCTCACATAAATATTTTTGTAAATCAACAACTTTGTCACTTACTCTTTCAATCGAATGGGTAAAACTTTAAAAAGAAAAAATATTTAAAAATAAAAAAATAAAATTAAAAACCGATTTCGATGTATCAAGTAGGAGATGACAATAAAAATAATTAAAACGGGAACTGTAATTTTAAAATAAAATAAAATTTTTAAAAGAAAAAAATAACGCTAACCGAGCATTCCTGTTGTTATATAGGCAGCAAATATATAGCCAATTGCATTAAACTTTACAAAGAAAATAACACCAATTTCAAGAAGAAAAAGTAAAAGTCCAACACAAGTAGAGAAAAACCAAGAAAGTTCAATATAAAATCTTTAAGAAATAAAAAATTATTTTTTAATCTATACAAAAAAACCTTAATTTAATATGTGGAGAATCTTGAGTACATCCATTAGCTTCTACACAATTTTATAAAAAATATTTTTTTTTTCTAAAATTAAAAAACCTATATAAGGCAAAAGACATGTTGACATCATTAGAGCCAATAAATGAACAGAAACTAACAATGTTGTAACAACTCCCAACATTATCAGTAAAGGCTTTGGTGTATCAGGCAAATATTGTAATTCGACTAGTGCAATCTATAATGTTAAAAATAAATTTTTTTTTGTCAAAATTCACTACCATTGCAAAGCCAGAAAGAAGTGCGGATGTTCGAGAAGATGCCTTCAATTGAGCTCGACTCAAATCATAACGATATTTTTCGTTGATTGACAGTTCTCCTCGATGCCTATAAAAAATATTTTAAAAATTTAAAAAATATTAACAAGATAAAAACGACTTTTGAATAGGTTCAAGATGATAAGGTAAAAATGCACTCCTAGATTTAATTTGTGATTTTGATGATTTTGTTGGAGTCCCAATTCCTCCTCCACCACCCCCACCATTGGTACTGTCACCTGCCAAACTTTCCCCACAACTTCCCCCTCCCGAAGTTTGAGAAAAAGGAGGTATAGCCACAGCAATTGCAGTTGCTGTACTCATAGCTATTTTTGGACCAATAAATAAATTGTTGCTTGAACTATTTTTCTTTGATTGTTGTTGCTGTTGATTTATTAAAGGTTGATTTATTAAAGGAAGACTATCGATTTGTTGTTGCTGTTGAAGATTTGTTAATGCAGCTGTATAAAGTGGAGATCGGCTACTTTGCTGTTGCTGCTGCTGTTGATATAGAAGAGGAAGAAATGATTGATTATTTTGATTAAGACCGTTAATACTATTGCATCCATTACTACTATTATTAATTCCAACATATGATCGTTTAGCAGCGATTGGATGAAAAACCCCATTTGGAATATTCATAATAGAGCCACTGCATAACGTTTTATTACCATCATTATTATTTTGATAAGTTAATGATGAATTGGTAAGTGAATTTGAAGAATTATTTCGAATAATTTGAGAATTCATAATTGCTGTTTGTGACAAAGAATTTGTTGTTAAAGTAGGAAAATTTGATTTTGAATGAAAATTATTATTATTTAAAATGCAGTTATTTTCTTCTTGTTCTTGTTCTTCCTCCACCTTCTTCCATTGTTGATTAATGTAAGTGGGCAAGTGAGATGTTGAATTGGAATGTGAGGGTGGTGGAAAATTCGACGAGGGTGGTGGTGGAGGAGATCCAAAATTATTAAGCGAGCTTTTGGCCGAAATGAACAAATCATCATCAGATGTGAAAATATTATGAGTAGTAGTAGAAGAAAAGGATGAAGAATGTTCTTTTTTTAATGTTGGTGGAATGGAAGGAGGCAATTGTAATGATTCAAATGTGAGGGTGGAAAAAGAAGCTCGATGATGATGATGATCGGTCGTTGTCATTTTAATTTAAGATTTAGAAAAAATGATTTCTAGAGAGAGAAATTTAAAAATAATATAGCTGAAGATTTAATGTAAGAACACGTGAAAATTATGTGTAAAATGAGTAATGAGAAATTTCGGGAAAAATTAAATATTTAAAAATTAGAACAAATTGTGCAAGAAAAAAATTATAAAATAGATTATTAAAATGAAAGGCCAAATATTTAAAAATCAAAATATTTAAAGAGGCTGGAAATAACTTTTTTTGCTAATTTAATCAATAAAATAAAACAAGAATGAGTAATAAGAACACCCCTCGATGAAAGAAGGTGGAGGGAGTATGAGGGTGGGAAAAAAGAAAAGAATGTTTTTTTGGAAATCGATCTCTTATCTAATATAAAAAGGTAAGAATTTCTTTTAATAGTTTACATAGAGTTTTGTTAAATAAAAAAAGATATATTTATTTTGTTGATGAAAAATTGAACTCAAAAAAGGAGAGAAAAATTAACGACCTTAAAAGAGGAACACCAACTTTTACTAGTAAAAGGAGAAGAGAAGGGCAATAAAAAATATTTTAAAATGATTAAAATATAAAAAACATAAATGATTAATTATATAGTTGAGCGTAAAGACTACATGTTAGATGTTTTTAATGAAAAATACAATTTAAAAATAAATTTTTAGAAAAAAAGACACTGATTTTCTTGTTTGTTTTTGTCAAACAAATTCGCGGGAAATTACCCATTAACAAATAATTTTAAAAAAATTAAATAAACCCACAATTTATGAAGACGTGTTATTGTAGCATAAGAAGAAGGTAAATTGCCGCCGCCAGGAGATTGAAAGGAGGGTGTTGGTGTACTTGAATGTTGCTGTCTTTGAAGTGAAAGTGTTAAATGCCTGCTATAAATTGGAGCTGTTGATTGAGAAGAAGCACGAGAATTTATTGAATGTTGTTTTAAATCATTTAAATTATCGAGGATGATAACTGGATCGTTGATGTTGTTTTGTTGCTTTGGAGATTCTGAGAAAAAATTTAATCTGTCAAAAAAATATATCCAAAAAAATACCATTTGTTTTTGTATTAATGTTGTTCGTCTGTATTTTAAGACCTCCATAAAGGCTAGTTTCCTCATGTCCCAATTTGTTCAAATCACTATGTGAACTGATGGATCTGCGTTGTCCAAATTCTTAAAATTTTTAATAAATTAAAAGTTATACATATTTATACTAACCATCAGAAATAGTAGAGACCTGAGTTGCTTGTAATGGGTGAATTTTTCTTTTATCATTCATTAGAGTTGGCATCTGAAAATAATTTTATTGTAAGTTAGTGTCTTTTAAATAGGGATAGAATTAAGGATGAAATCATTAAAATTGAGAGTTCCCCTCCCATTTTTATAAAATTATTCGGAAATTATTCTTAATATTTAGATAAAAAAGAGAACCCTCAAGTGTTTGTTCTTGATACTATTGAACAGAAAATTTAAAATAAAAAGATACTTCAAAAATAGAATTGAGTAATTTTGATTTATTTTAAATCTTAATCGAATATTAAATAAGAAACAGGTTCTCAGAGATCGAAACCTTAGATCATTATCCTTATCAATTTGGTTGAATTTGCCGTTCATTAAAATTGGCCTTGATTAATTAATTGTAACTCCTTTTACCAACTCATGAAAAACCTATACTAATTAGCCTACAATTTTACAAACACCATTTTTATTGACAAATTTGCCTCTTAAATTCACCGTTTTATAAAATAAAAAGGGAAAAAAATCTGTCCCTCAACTGTTGCTCATGTTCCCCTATTTTACTGATTTACTTACCGATAAAGGATGCGCAATAGAAATCGCAGGAAGAGGCCAATCTTCTATTGTATCAGCCTGAAGAGTAAGTGAATGATGCCCAGGAACTTTGTTTTCATCATTTTGTATGAGTGTCATGTAGAGATCATTAATTATAGTTTTTTAACCTGAAAAATACAAACAAACATTTTCACATTTCTAGACAAAATTAAATTAAAAAGGAATTTTTTAAAAATATAAACAACTAGAGATTATTTTTATTTATTTTTTACTCAATATGTATAAAACAAAAATTTCGCATTATAAACAATTAAATATAATCTCATAAAAATTTTATTAAGTTATATTAATAAAAATCTCTCTAGTTGTCCATATATTATTGCGAGAATATTTTTAAAAATCCGATAAAAAATATAATTAAACGGATAATCCGAATGTTGAAACAAAATATAAAAATTAAAATATATTTATTAAAAAATATTTTCTAAAAAAATATATGGCATCTATCAACAATATATTTACATTAATAGGGAATGTCATTTTGAAGAAATTGAATTTGATCATACATTTTTGATCTGACATTTGTATAACAACTATTTATTATACTCATCATATATTTTGCAGCCTCTCTGTCAGTGGCTTCAGGTGCAAATCTTAAAAATTCGAAAATATTATATGCCAATATTTTTTAAAAAAATATTTTCTAATTCTTAAAAAAATCTTTTTTAACCTGCTTCGAAGTTGTTGAATTGTTTTTCCTCTAAAACAAGGCAATTTTGTATCTAACATCATTGAAACAAGAGCAATAAAATCCTTAAAAAAATTTGTTTAAAAAAATTCAAAAATAAAAACATTATAATAAGGACGAGTTGCCAAATAAACTTGAACACATTTGTCAGCAAATTCTCGAAAAGGACCAGAATCCGCTCTGTGGCCCATTATATCAACCATTTCTTGTGACAATTTGAAATCTGGTTCAAATCCTAAATTTCCACCAGGACTACTTTCAAACATAAACCCAAAATCTAAAAAAAATAAAAATTATCTTATTCTAAGAGATTCTAATAAATACCAATGTGAATGATTGATCCACCAGAATTCAACATAATATTGCCATTGTGTCTATCTTTTACTTGAAGGAGAAAACTAAACACACTATATGCGGCCATGCTTTTAATGAAATTCCTCCTTCAAAATTACAAATATTTATTTTTTATTAATAAGTGCTTAACAACCTAGCATGTTGAAATCCTTTGGTAGTTTCATCTCCATATTTAGTGACAAAATACTCAAATAAACCTAAAAATATTTTAATTTTAGTTAACATGAATATATTGCTAGCAAATAATAACAACCATAATCTGTTTGTCTGCCAAGTTGATCTCTAGACTTCGAATCAGGAACACATTCAATCACACCACATCCAGGATTTGTAGAAACTACTTTATATGGAAATAATTGAATATCTATGCTTGCCGTTCTACAAATTTTCTCAATAAGTTGCATTAATTGGAGTGCCAAAACATCTTGACGAACATCATCACCAACCTTGCAAAAAATAAAAATTTAAATAAAAATTAAAAATACTTTAAATATTGCTGATTTCATTGTAATTGATTTTGTACCACAAGGTGATGAAACTCCATCAATTACAAAATTTTCTTTAGATAAAGTTGCCAATATTGGAGAAGCTTCTAATATAGAGTTATTTGAGTCATTTTTTGTAGATGAATGAGAAGGTGAAAAATTTAGAAGATTTTTAGTTTTTGATGATTTTCGATGATGTCCTTTGTTGCTTGTTGCTACATGTTCTGGTGTAGTTTGTTGATATGTTTCTAAAGCAATTCGTTCAACAGATTCAACCCCACAATATCGCATTTTGAATTGGACTAGATAAGGAGCCTTTGCAGCACTTAATGTAAAAAATTATACCATTCAAATTTTTAAAAAGAAACCTTTGCATTGGACTTGCAGAAGGATAATCAATTTCAAGCAAAATATAATCTGGATTTGATGGCAAGTACACAATTGAAGTAAGCTTAATTTCTGTTAATGCTTTAAAACAAGCTTTTTTGCGAGCTTCTCCTTTTGGAACAGATTTTATAATGCCAGAAATGTTTGTTATTCGATCAACAAAATCAGACTCGCTCAGGTAAAAGTTACGTGCTGCTCCTTCCAAACGACTCAAAATCTTGGAAAGAAAATCAAATTAATTTATAAAATAGATAAAATAAACCTTATTAACAATTTCTTTGAGTGGTTTATACATAATTGGATCTTCTACTTTTGCTTCTTCATCAATATACATATTTGAATGCATGTTCCATAGAAGTTGGTGAGCTAAAGGTTGAGAATGTGCTGCTAGATGGAGAATAAAATTTGCAATAAAACCATTCTGAAATAAAAAATATTCAAAAATTAAATTCCTTAACTTGAAAAATACTTACATAATCCCATCTGACTGTTTGTACAAGTTGAGGTATATATTGAATAAGTACATCACATGAATAAGATTTTAAAACTCTAACAGCATATTTAATACTAATTGGGTGTATACTATGAATACGAGGGCAGAGCAGAGAAAGAGCTTGTACCGGAGAACAACGAGCCCATGTCAAAAGATGAGTTAACTAAAAATTAAGAATAAACCCTAATTATAATGCCTGAAATTATAAACCTCAATTCTTTCATAATTTGTAAGTGGATCTCCAAGAAACAAAGGCAAAGCTTCTGGCATATGTGAAACTTCCTCTGGATATGCTCGAACTAATTCTTGTAAAACAATGTTGACAATAGAATACATTCGAAACCTATAAGTTGATAAATTTCTAATAATTTCAATTTTATCAGAACCTTGAAGCCATATGAACAGCCATTTCAGGTGAAATCTCCCATGCAAATTTGGCATTTTCTCTCATTTGTTTTTGATCAGGTTTAGATTGAAGCTCACCACCTAAAGTATTCTTCAAGTATTGATCAAATTCCACTTCCCCAGGTTCTAATAAATCTCCGCGAGGATATAACCAAGCATATAATCTCTCAATTTCATTGATCTTCAAATGTAAAATATTTTTAAAAATTTTTGAATGAAATTATTTACCAAATATATCAAAATAAGCTGCCGTTTTCTCAAAAGATTTTTCATTTGTTTATCAATTAGTTGAGCAATTTCACCATTAGTTTTACTCTGTGGTCTGCCAAGAGAATCTGCATTAGAAGAAACAGCCACTCCAGCTGCATGATTACGACTTTCAGAAATTGTTGCAGCATTTGACCAAACAGAAGAGGCACGAGGCATAGAATTCCACGTTTGGAATCTTCAAAAATATTTATATAAATATTCTAGCTATAGAAAAAATTTACTTGGAAGCCTCATTTGAATATTGAACATTATTAACAATTTGCTGTAGATTTGTAAAACTTAATTCAGGATCTGAAAATAATCAAATTTATTTGAGTAAAAAACTCTATAATCAACCATTTGTTGTAAATGTTTCTCTTCTAATATATTTTGAATCAGCATACAACGCCTGCCAAAACCCAACAAGACTTGTTATATCATTTTGAAGAATATGTCCTCTATGTAAAGGCGTTTGAGGTGCAACAGTAAAATAGTCAAAAGCAACAGAATATATTCGTTGTCGAAGAACATTTTTAGAAATTCTTGATCCACCAGCTTCACCTTGAACCATTGTAAGAGCAGCTGAAAGTAAGCGAAATCGAGGACCCAAAGCACTGATATTTCTTGAAATAAGTGCTAAAAATTTTAAATCTTAAAATTATCTAAAAAATCAAATTTACGTGTTTTAGTCTTCGCATCGAATAATGATGAAAACATAATTTTGTCGATAGCTAAATTTGGTACTGGGGAATTATCACCAACTTGCATTGAAAAAGTTTTCAGAAACATCATTTCTAAAAGATCATTCTGCTCTTGTCCACAATATTTTGCCAGACTAACTCGTTCAGTTAAAAACTAAAAAATATTTTAAATGATATAAGGACAAAAAATTAAATCTTAATTAATCTTAAAAATTATTTTAAAAAACTCCTTACATTAATCCAAATATTATGCGGTCCTGTATCTGCATGTGGCCTCTTTAAAGCATTTTCTATAGAAACTGGACTATCAAATTTATCAAAATCACGATTAAATATTCCCATAGAACGTTTAGCAACAAGTTCCCAACAGGTTGACATTTGTTGAAGAAACTAGAGATTTAATAAATTGAATATAAAATAATATTTTAAAATAAACATCAATTTGTATATCCTCTCTAGTAGCTAATATCCAATTCCAACATATTACACAAAGACGCATAGTTTGTTCTGTGAAATGACGAAAAGGTGCGAGAATAATTGACCGAAGTATTTTTTGATTAATTTCTGAAAGAAATATGACATAATTTTAATTAAAAATACTCTTTCACCAACCTTTACAGACCATAAAATAAGCAGTCATTAATTGTAAAGGTTTTTCTAAACAATTTGGTTCATTTGTTTTTAAAGCTGTTTCAAATTGTTCTTCAAGATAATCCAAAAGTGATTTATGAGTAGCTTCTTCAATATCAACACAAATATCTGGATTATAAATATAATTTTGTTTCTTCATCATTTCAAACATTCCTTTAATTTGACCCAAATAATCAGAACGTTGATTTAGAGCAGACAAGTATGTTGAAATATCAACAGGTCCGCTACTTACAAGATTATCAGTGCCTAATAAAAGTGAAAATTTTATTAAATTTACATGAAAAATTTACTTATCATAATGCTTATCAAATTTACTTATCAAATTTACTTATCATAATGCTTCCAATAGATACTGAATCAGTATTAGTTGTTGATGTTGTAGTAAACATTGCAGATGATGTTGTGCCTCCAACAAAAAGAGAATTAATCATTTCACGTTTAGTACAAGCCAAAACAGTGTTGATTGTAAGACGAAGGCTTTTGTCAGTAATTGAATCAGCAGAGCGTATAAACTCAAGTAAATGACTATTTGTTAGTCCTGGAGCCCATTTAACTGCTTCACATAAAATTTGTTCACACCTTTTAGTAAAATCCTTGGCAACAGATTTACGTCCATCCAAAGTATCCTTAAAAATAGTTTACAAGTCATTTCAAAAAATTCAAACCTGTAACTGTATCGATAATCCCATCTGCGGAAATTCAATTGTAGATTGTGTACAACAAGCATCTTCCTCAATATTTTTAATTAAAGATTTCATTATTTGAAGAGCTGTAGTCAAAACAGTTCCACTCCAAAGAAGAAAAGGAAATGAATCAATTAATTTTGCCAAACAAACGTCGGCAACTCGCCGAATTTCTCGCAAAATATTGTTAAATTGAACAAGCAAATATTGTGACATAACCTTTAAAATCATTTTATTAAAAATTAAAAACTAATTAGAATTACCTCCAATTCTTTTCTTATTTTTGAATCATTTGTTGAATTTTTTCTCATTCTTACTGAAAGAAATTCGTCAAAAATAATTATAGAACTAGCCAAAAGACATTGCCAAATGCCTGTTTTGTCTTTTCGTACACCTCTAAAAATAGCAAATAATGAAAATTCTTAAAAATATAAACCTGTTTTCAAGATAAAGAAAATTAGATCTAATAGAATCCAATTGTTCCGAATTGCTTACACGCATTTTCTCGAGACGACAAATAGCTAATAAATAAACACAATAACCAATATCTAGTCTTGAAATAATTGTTGAAACTTCTGCATTTTGTTTAAATTCTGTTGAAAGTAAATTACGTACTTCCAAAAGTTCTGCCTTAAAAGCAATAAATTATTTAAAAATCTTAAATTAAAGAAAATCAACCTGTGTAATTCCTTGCAATTTTATTGCTGTATTTTCAATCATTTCAGTTTTAAAATTATCAATTGGTAAAAGAGTTGGCGATTTAACAGCAATTTTACAAATAGCTTTATACCATTCTTCTGGCCATAATCCTTTAAAAAAGATAATTGGAAAAGTAAATGAAATTAAAAAATACCTGAAGGAAATGCAAAACCATGAATTACACAATAAAACCAAAAATCTCTAAAATGATTTTTCAGTCGAATTGAAGGGTCTTTTATCGGTTCCATTCGATCCAATAAAGAATTAATTTTTGGAATAAGAACACCCAAATTGCCCGCGCCAGCAGATTTCTTAAAGAAAAATTAATTAAAGGATAATAAATAATCCTAACCTTTACAGTGAATTTATGCATTTTCTCTCCAATACGTTCACCTTCAAGTCCCAATTGAATAAAAAGCTCAAGTAAGTTTATCAAAAAAGTCATTTTCTGTTCTTCAGATTCAATTGAACACGCAATTCTTGCCAAAGCATTATCAACAGAAAGTGTAACATGTCTTTAAACCCGAAAATATTAAAAAAATTTTACAAAAAATTACGAAAATCTGCTAGATGTTGGATCTGTTGAATAAACACGGCTACTTGATTCAATTGTTACTAACGTAAATAATTTCATTATTTTATCATAAATAATTTTCTAAAAAAATAATCAAATTAAAAATAAAATAAATTAATTAACCGTTCCAGAAATCCACATATCTGCCAACGAGGAAATAATATGATTATCCAATTGAGAAGGTGGATTCGAAAAGCGTTGATAAAAAATCTAAAAAGAAAAAAAGGTATTAAAATTAAAAAGAGGTAAAAGTTGACCTGGAATATTTGCTCAGAAGATGTTGGATCATCCATAAAAGAAACACCCAATTTTCCCAATGTACTAATAACATTCTCAGAAATTAGAACAGAATTCCTTAAATAATTTTAATTTATTATTAAAATCTTTATAAAACAACCTATCGTTTTCAGACAAAATAGTATAAAGACGTGAAGATAAAGTTGTAAAACAGGCTTGTAGTCTATTTTTATCAATTGTCATGGCCGATTTTAAAGCACTAAAAATACATTTATTCTCGAAAAGATTTTTTAAAAAATAACCGTGAAAGTGAATTAATTGCAGAAGAGCGAAGGCTAGAAAGACCAATTCTTTTTCTTGCAGCAATTATTTCAGTTCGCCCTCGAGATTCTTGTTGTTGGTCATTCTTTGATTTCTAAAAATTTAACTAAAATTTCAAAATAATATTTTAAAAGTTTACTGGTTCAGATGAAATTTTTAGAAGAATTGGACAAGGTTCCAATAAAAATTTACATAATAAACTAATAATTAATGTATTTGCCAAAGCTGGAAACTTTTCAGACATACTTCCCAATGCTTCAAGAGCCATAACATTAACAGGCATATGAGCCAATACATGTTTGTGTGGCATCCACATTTTGTCAGAAATTGTTCCACAAATCATATCACCATCTTTAAAAAATTTTTAAATTAAAAACCACGCCAAAATTATTTTTAATAAACCATTTTCGTCAGTAGAACTCCATACAATTAATTCCAGACAAATCGAGTTGCCAATAACCAACATTTTTACACGATTAACAATAATTTCTTTATCAAAAATTGTACTTCTGTAAGCAGTATTTTTTGCTCTCTTATCAAGTGTATTTGACTGTGATCGATCATCTAATTGACTTTGAACAGTTATTGCTTCTTGGCAATATTTAAAAATTGAAAGGGTGAAATCGTTAAGCTAACAATAAAAAAGAAATTTTTAAAGTCTAACTCAACCACAAAATAAAAAAAGTCAACCAACCTCATTAGCAAATCTTTCTGATATATCACCATCCTTTTCTCCAATTGTAAAATTAGTTAAAATGTCTCTAAAAAATGTAAGTGAAACAAGAATAAAAGTTTCAGAAATTGTTTTGTAAGGAAATTTGCGTAATTCAGAGCTCTGAAAAACTTGTTCGGAATACAAATCCAGTTTCTTCAAGAAATCAAAATTTAAAAGTTTTTTGATCTAAAAATAGCAAATTAATCCATAAATTTCAAAAACTAACAAACATTAACATTCAACCGACAAATTTCATCAAAACAATAAGAAAATTTTGCTGTTCCTTTCCTCCTTGTATTTACAAAACTGCTTCCATGTCGAGTAAATAATTTGCGTTGAAGATTAGATTCTTCTGTTTTTTGATCATTCCAAAACCAATTGGAAGAGTCCGTATTCAAACTAAAATAGAAATAATAAAATTCAAGAAGTTGAGTATTTTAAGTCTTTAAAAAATTCAAAAGGAAATTAACTAAAAATTAACTTAAGCTTGATGTGCATTGCGGTTCGTCATCGTTTCTTTTAGAAAGCATATCGAAAGGTTTTGGATAGATAAATGAAAAGAGTGGCAAAGAAAGTTGATCACTAAAGCGGCCCATTGATCGTAAAAGGCCAATTGTTATACATGCAATTTTCATCAAATCGCCTTAAAAATAAAAGATAATGCTTAAATAAATTTCAAAATAACCTTTCTCCTCAATTTTATTTTCATCTCCTACATTTTGATGATTGTCCTCTTTTTCATTAAAATTGGTAATTTTGGAAGTAAGTTGTTCCAAAAGTTGAATTTGTGAATTAATTATGATATCTCTAACATGTGGGAAGTGTGCAGCCAGATCAGCAAGAATTGTATTGAAACAAAATGTAAATTGCTCGTGAATGGTAATTTCTTCAAAAAAGAAAAATTATAATTTAAAAATATTTAACTGTTTGTTTTGTCAATTTCAGCATCATCATACCACCGCAATTGAGGCAATAAAAGAAGTGAATCAGACAAGAATTTTGATAGTACTTCAACGTGCTAAAAGGTAAAACTCAGAAAGTATTTTAAAATCAAAAAAACCTTTCCAGATGAATATAGTAGATAAATTCCTGTTGATAACAATGCTGAACGAACATTATGATTAAAAGGTATATTTTCAATTCCATTAGAAAGCTGCCCAAGTAGTTGACTTTTAACTTGTGATAATGAGATGTCTGATTGTTTGGCTAGACAAAGGGCAATACAACACCGGTTATTAAAATTGAAATTAGCTTCCATCTTAAAAGAAAATATTAAATGATCAAAAATGCAAAACCACGTGCGAAAGATATGTAACGATTTTAACGAAATCAATAACAAAAAATCTTCAAAGAATTTATATCTTTAATAAAATACACAAAACAAACTATTAAAACAAAAAATAACTGAATTAAAAGTCAACGCCTACAAGAACATTCTTCATCAAGATTTAATTTTCCTTCTTCTTTTAACCTCTTTAAGGTAGGTGTATATCTATCCTCAGGCAAGCGGCGATGCTCAACAAGCCGTTTAGCATATTTGGGATTAGTATCTCTGAAATAACAACAAATAAAAATAACACAACAAAATAAAACCTTCGATAAATCCTTTCTTGTTTAAGGCAGTGAGCAGCTGCAATTTTCCATTGATCACATTCTTGTAAAATAACTCGCTCTAAAAATAAAATTGGAAAATTAGTCGTTAATCAAAACTTACTAAAAAAGGGCATATTTTGCTCACATTCTTTATAGAGTCGAATCAAAAAGTTGCACTCCTCTGTATGTAAATGAGGTGAAAGATCTAACGGAAGCATGAAAATTCTAAATTAATCCACAGAATATCGGTCCCTAAAAATTAAAACGGAATTTTTGTCGTTTCCCTTTTTCTCTCGTTAGCATACTATTTCGCAAAAATATAAAGTGTCAAAATGTCAACAAGAGAAAAATTAAACAAAATGAAAAGAACGCAGAATTAGACATAATGCCCAAAAGACAAAACGCCTATAACGCGAAAAGGAACAAATAACAAAATGCCCATATAAGGAAATACGAATTCGTTCTTTTTTTCTTATCTCGACTCTTCTTCATTAAACTCTTCCTTCAAAAAAGATACATACATATAATATTTGTCAAAAAATGTTTTTGTATTAAAAGCTTGTTTATGTTACATTCTTGTAGTTATTGTCTGAGATACATAAAGCTTTTTTTAGGATGTGTACAGTTTCCTTTTAAAATATTTTTTAATATTTTTTGACTAGACATTTGTGAGTTTGCGCAGATGTTAATTGTTTCATTGAAGTTGATGGCCATAGTAAAGAAACCAGACATCCCTCAATTTTTTCTTTTAAATGTGATTGACTTGTAAAAAAAAACTAAACATCCAATAAGTTGTAGGCACATCATCTTTCTTAGGCATTTCTTTAACATTGAATTGTTCTCGTTGAATCAGTTGTTATTCTCGCTTAATCCCTCCCTCTTTCTTTACCATTTATTTTACTTAAAATCTTCCTCCCCTATTTGGATGTACATAATAATTGGGAGGGGCTAAAATGGCAGGTGCGCCATCAGCCACGTTGGACCACGCTATTTTAGCATCAAGCGTTTGGCCCGTTACCATCATAATTGTTAATGAAATAGAGGAAAAAGAAGCAGTCGGGAATGCTGGTAAATTAATCAACCAGCCACATAACCTCATCCTTCCCTTTATATTCAATATATCCTCATTAAAATGAAACAAATAATATTCAATTTATTATTGCCCAAAACTAAAAATATTAATTGCTAAACTATCCTTCCATTTCCCTCAGATCTTGCCAAAATATGCCATTTACATGCCTAAGTAGTAGTGCCGCATTTAACGGAAATAATATTAAATTGGGTTTAAGTGCAGACTGCTGCTTAAGCACGGAGATGTGCAAGGGCAATTATTATTAAATTAATTTATATTTTTATTATTCTTTAAATAATTGAGCAATAAAAATTTAAAAAGATTATGTATATTAAAGCTCTTCATAAGAAAGTTTTTTAAAAAATCCTACCCAAATATCACTTTCTTTTTTACTCATCCTCTTCCAACCTTTCCTCAATTTCAGCTAAAACTACCTCACTTGGTGCTCCAAAACTTTGCCTTTCTGTTGTTGTTCCAAACTCTTCATCAAAAATTGCTAAAGTATCTTCTTCCTCATCTTCATCTCCATCATTTTCATTAAATTTGGAAGATACAAGAGGCATTTTTTGTCTTAATGAATATCTTGTTGTAGGAATTGAGCCTTCAAAATTAGAATTAAATGAATGTTGAACCATAATCCTTTGACTAGGTGAAGAACGTTGTCTACGTAGAGTTTTATTATCATTTTTAGGCATTAAATGGGAGGTAACATCGAATACGGTGAGTGATGGACGTGGGAGACTTAAAGACGCTGATTGTTGTCCTGAACGAACTAGGCATTCCTCAACTTCTATTAAATCCCTCTCAATTTCAGAAATTCCCTAGAATATATTAAAAATCATTAAAAATAAATTTGTCCTACTAATGGATCGGCATCATCTTCCTCCTCCTCATCATCGTTTTGATCTTCTTCTTCACTTTTATTTTCATCATCGTCTTTTTGTGATGACGAATCAACCTCTGTTGTGTGACCTTTCTCTAATGGTTTCTCCAAATCTTGTAATCCTTTTGCTGAAAGAGAATTGGATGATTCGGATGAAACAAAAAAACTTGCCTTCAGCAGCATCATCTCTTTTGGTGCTTTCTTCCAAGTGTTTCATCAAAACAGCCACAACCACATTAACAAGAACAAATTGCGATATAAGAACAAAAATAACAAAAAAGCACGGAGCCAAAATGGGATCAACACAACAATTTCTCTGAAAAAAATAAAAGGAAGAATGTTAATTAATAAAAATTAAGAAACCTCACAACGATCAGAAGGATCACAATCATCTCGTAATGCATCCTAAAAATTAATGGATATTAAGAAACCTTTTAGGATAACAAAATTAATTTTTTTGACCTTCATAATCCCATTCCAATTATCACCAGTCGCGATACGAAAAAGTGTTAAAAAAGCCATTCCTAAATATTTAATCCTTTATTAAAAATTATTATTTTTAACCCTTACCAAAATTTTTAAAATGTGCATGTTCCCCAAGTCCATCACTAAAAAATAAATAAAATAGAAAAAACAGAAAGTAACCATGGATGTTCCTCAGAGCATTCTAAAAATAAATATAAAATATTACAACCATTTTTAAATTAAAACCTAATCGTCCAAATAGTTCAACGCCAAGTGCAGCAAATATAAAGAAAAGTAGGAAGAAAAGTGAGCCAAGATTGCCAACTTGAGGTAATGCTTCGCCAACAGTATCCAAAAGTGATCTTATGCCTTTTGCCATTTTTAATAATTTTAATACTGCAAAAAAATTAATTAAAATTGTTATAATTATTTCATTTTAAAAAATCCAAACCTCTAGCAATTCGAAGAACTCGCATAACACGAATTATTGTTGGATTTATAGGCAATTCTAAAGCTTCAAATTCTTCAAATATAATACCAGCAATAGAAAGGAGTACAATAAACATATCTAATTGATTCCAACGTTCAGCGAAGAAACGTCCAAATCCAAGAGCGTAAAGTTTTGCTGCAGCTTCCAACTAAAAAATTTTGAAGAAAATGAATAACTTAAAAATAAAAATAACCGTAAATACAGCAGTAAATAAATAATTGAGTGCTCTCAATAAATACCTCAAACCATTTGGCATCATATAAAATTCCATAGCCATTGAAACAACCTTTCAAAAATTGATATAAAAATTAATTTTTTATTAAAAAATACATTTAATCCAATAACTGCAGATATTGCCAAATCAAAGTATTTGCTTGTAACCACATTATTTATAATTGCACGTCTTCGCCCATATTTTGCCCAATATGGATGTGATTTTACTTTTTCTTTTTTCTTCTTTATAAGTTCAATTTCGGCAAATTGTTGACGTTTTAAGCGTCTCTTCATTTTCTTTTTTTGTGCCTTTTCGCGCATTTCTGCTTCGAGTGTTTCCTTACATTTATGAAAATTGTCAACTACAACACCAACAAACATATTTAAAACAAAGAAGCCGACAAGAAGTAGAAAAGAAATAAAATAAATCATTCTCCATTCATTATAATTCTCTATTGGTTGCATATCTGAGATAAAAAAAATTTAAATAACAAATCCCATAGAACTAACCAACTCCAACAGCATCAATACCCTGATACATTATTGAGACCCATCCATCTTTGCTTGAAAGAACAAAAAGTGACATCTTTAGAGATAAAAAAATTAAAAATTAAATTTTTAAAAAAATTTAAACCAATGCTTGGCCGAGATTGTCAAAATTATATCGATGGTTTATCTAAATTTTAAAAAAGAAAATTGGTATGAATAAATTTAACAGAATACCCATCGATTGTTAGGATCAATAAGACATTCAGAACGCGTGCTAACATTTTGAACGTGAGGTCCAACACAATGAAACATTGTTCCTTTAAATAGTTGCACACCAAGAATACCAAAAATTATGAAGAAAGTGCAACATATGAGAACGATATTTCCAATTGGCTTTAAAGAGCTGATTAAAGTCATGACAACAAGTTTGACACCTACAAATTATTTTTTAATTATTTAAATTAAATATACCAGGAGCTCGATTAATAACACGTAGAGGACGAAGAGCACGCAGAAGTCGTAAAACACGAATAACGCCAAATATTTTGGGTGAATCTGTAAAAAAAGTTTTAATATTTTATTTGAAATTGAAATATACCTCCACTAACGAAAATCTCCATAATAACGTTAATCAATGATATTAACACCTAAAAAATTTTCAGAAAATAATTCATAAAATTTAACTAACCAAACAACCATCCAAAATATTCCAACCATCCTTGAAATAAGCATCTGAACCATAAAAGCAACCATTTGCAATAATTTTAGCAACCATTTCAAGGGTAAATATAAGAGTAAAGGCATAACCAGTTATTGAAAGAAAGAAACGTTCGGCACTTTGAGGTGGAATACTTGGCCTTTCCATTGCAAGAGTAACACAATTCAAGCTTATACACATTAAAATTACATAGTCAAACCTACAATTTAAAAATAATTTTATTTAAATTTTGAAAAAAACCATTTGCGTTGAGTCAAACGAAAACAATTCTTAAAATATTTAAAATAATGCATAATTTTTTTAAAAAAACCTCTCTAATAATATTGTTCCTTGATAACAAAAACAGGGAATGATCCGACCTCTTATACAAGAAGGTTTTTCTAAATAATCTTCTCCACCAAATATTTCTTTTTTGTTGGACTCTATCTTGTTCTTCCGCCAAAGCATGTTGTAGTTCTTCACTTGCTTTGAGATATTTTTCACGTGTATAAGCTTCCAGAATTGCGCGATGTCCATGCAATGGACACTGAGGATCGAAGAGAGAGGAATGTACATTGAGTGAATGGGAAGAGTTGAATTGCTAAAAAAAATTCATAGTGTCATATTATTAAATGTTTTACCGAGTTAGACCAGCTCGCCAATCGCGGCCTTTCTCCTTCTGATTGAGACTGCTCAACAGGTTGATGAAAATTTTTTGGATTAATTAACAGCTATTAAATTGCAGAACTTCACATTATATGTATATATTTTTGTTATACCTGGTGCATACCATCAAGGTGAGGTCCTCTTGGCACTGATAGAGATGAATGTCTTTGCCATGTTAGTCTTCTGCCAGGTGCATAGCTTTCTCTTCTGCGTCTCTGTTGCTGTCGAACATCCATAAGATCTTTATTATCAACAGAAATTGAGAATTGACGAGACTAAATTAAAGTTTATAAAATAATAATTTAAAAGTGTCTAACCTTCCTTCGTTCATTCTCAATAATTTTCTTTCCTAATTGTTCTCGAACAACCGTAATATTGTCTTGGCCACAACTACATTTCTTTTTCAAAAAAGCATTTAGAGTAGTTCTGGCAATAAGCATTTCCAGTTCCATTTTTCGTTCATTCTCTTCCTCCTCTGCTCTCTTGAGAGCTTCTTCCTCCTGTTTCATTCAAATTTGAATTTTTAATTTTTAATGATTAATAACTAACCAATTGACGCTTTTCTTCTTCCTAAATTTTTTTTTAATTTTTGAAAAAAATTTTTAATTTAATTAACAACCTTGCTTTCTTGAAAGCCTTCAACAAGAATGGCAACTAAGAGATTAAAGAGAACATAATTGCCAAAAGTCATAAGTGTAACAAAATAAAGAGCTGCCCATGGAGTTGTATGTGACATTCCATTAAACAAAACCATATTCCAATCCTCACAAGTCAAAATCTACTAATGATTTTTATGAGATAAGCAAAAATTTAATAAAACTCAAAAACAATCAGATGGACAAAAATAAAATAAAGCACATCTCAAACTCGAAAACAGAATAAAGAACATTTAAAATTAAAATAATAACCTGAAAAACAGTCAAAAAAGCAGAGAAAAGAGAATCATAATTTGCACGTTCACATTCACATTGTCCGCTATTAACATCTTTTATTGTGCAATGAGTTCCATCATCAGGATGTGAACAAAAAGTGCATCCAAATAGGAACATTCCAAGTAAACTGTCAAACAAATTTAAAAAAATAAAATTAGATAATAAAATAGCAAGAAACTTATTAGTGATTAAACAAGGTTAAAAACACAAAAACATCAAACAAAAAAAATAACACAAAAATACTAAACTAAAAAATATTTGTAGATCGAATACCTGAAAAACAGTTGTTAGTGCCCAAAGGAGAGAATCAAAGTTTTTACGTTCACATTTAGATACTTGGTTTCCAATCCAATTGACTTCATGCTTGCAAAATTTACAACCAAATAAGTTCATACCAAGAATGCTAAAAGAAATTAGTAGTAGATAAAAGTGAGAATGGATAAAGGTTATGTGAAATTAATAATTCGGATGGGAAATATGTAAATGTGGTTTTAAATGGTTAGAAATTGTTTAAATAGATATTGTAATGATAAGTCTGGGCAAAAAATTAGTAGATGGGAGAGATTACAAAAATTAGTAGTAAGTTTTTGGAGGATTTGTAAGAGTTAAAAAAACCATTTTTAATTATTAAATTGCCTGAAAATAAAGATGAAAAGAAGAAGCAACCCAAAGAATACAGTTACATTATCCATTGTTCGAAGCATAACAACAAGTTGATAACGTAGGGCTGGCATAAATCGAACAAGTTTTAATATACGCAAAAGGCGAAAAGTTCTTAGGACAGATAAACCACCTTTTCCTTCTTGAAATAATTCTAACACACTAGAATTAAAATTTTTTTTCGATATTCCCCCAACCCGACAATATTTAATATTTACCTAAGAGCAACAATTCCTCCATCAAAAAGATTAAAACCATCTTGTATATAACCAAATAGACCATAAGCAACAATTTTAAGTAACATTTCCAAAGCAAAAAGTGCAGTAAAGAAAAGATTGCTGTATTCAAGAAGTGTAGTTAATATTTCAGGTTGTTGGTGATATTCAACACCCATTGAAAGTGTGTTTACAAGAATAGCTATAAGAATACCACGAGTAAAATGATCACAACAAACAAAGCTTTAAAAATATTAAAATTAAATACTGACAAAAAAAGGAAACCTTCGAATTCTTAATTTAAAATCCCTCCAAGGACTTGGATTCACTTCAGTGTTTCGCCTGCTTTGTCGACGTCGTGCATGTTCTTTGTTGTTGTTATCATCCAGTTTTTGAATATCTATCCGTTAAATTTAACATAAATTTAAAAACAATAAATATGCTAACCTATTGAACTGATTTTTCCATTTAATTTTTCCCTTTGTATGTTTCCCTTAAATTCATCGGTCACTTTTCCATCATCACCGTCAACTAAATTTTCGTCTCCCTTTTCACGTTCATCTTCTTGTTTTGTCTTCTTTTGTTTTTTACGAAATTCTCTTATAGTTCTAATCAACAAACGCCGTGTTCTTTGAAATGTACGTCGAATTACTCGAACAAAGGCTCCATAAACGCTGTCCCCTTCAGCATTATCTCGAAGCCCAGATTGTGAGATAGAGCCAAATTCACTTGCTATTTATATTTTAAAATTAAATATAAACAAATATAAAAAAACCTAATAATGAATCATTATTTATACATTTCCTTTCTTCCAACATTCGTTGAGTTTCTCGTCTTTTTGTTTCTGCAAATTGAGTAGCAATAACAACAAGGCACTAAAAAATAATTTTTGGTTTAATTTATTTTTTCCGTATACTTACTAAATTAACCATAAAGAAGGCCCCAATCTGTCAAATTTAAAAGTATTTAATTTTAGGAACCACTTAAATTTTAATTAAATCTAACCACAATTAAAAGAACGAAATAAATCCAATTCCAAAACGAATGAGCATCTTGTACATAATACATTATGTCTGTCCATCCCTCTAAAGAAATAACCAGAAATATTGCTACCCAAGCAAATCTAAAAAATTTTTTTATTTCAAATTTAAAGAAAAAATGTTACCCAATATTGTCGAAAGATACAGAGCCCTTAAATAAAACAATATTTTTGAAAATAAATATAAAAAATTATTAACTTGCCTGGAATGGATTTTTATGCATAACCTGACATTTTGAGTAATAATTATTCCAATTAATACAACTATCATTCTTTTCATTATTGTAATCAAAAAGGCTGAGATTACACTTTTTGCCATCACTTTTGTATTGAGGTAAATTTTCACATGAATGGAGACCAGAAGAATCAGGTTGTGAGCAAATATAATCTAAAGACGTATCCTGAGGGATGTAATACCTGAAAGAATTAAAAATAATTTAAAAATATCAAATTAAATTTTAATAACCTGCTCAAAGAAATATCAACAGGAAATGAAAAATTCTTTAAAGACAAATAGTCACTTGAAGGTAACTCAATTACGCAACGGTTTCGCAGAAGACCAGCCCAAAGCTGAACTCCAATAATTCCAAAAATAAAGAAAACAAAAAAGCACAGTAAAAGAACATTTCCTAACATAGGCAGGGTGTCGAGCAAAAGATTTACTGAAAAGTGGGTAATGTAAAAATAATTTTGTAAACTAAATAAAATATTAAAAATATACCAAGAATACGTAGTGAAGGAATTCTATTCACTGCCCTGAGAGGTCTAAGAACTCTAATTGTACGTATTGCCGTCAGATTTAGATTGCCCAAATATTTCTAAATTTAATAAGTATTTTAAATTTATAAAAACTTAAAAAACCGATAATAAATATTCAGCAATACCAGCAAGCACAATAAAAAAATCAAGTCGATTCCATCCATCACCCAAATAAGCAGTTTCGCCCCAAAAGCCAAAGGCTACAATTTTAATTGCCATTTCAGCAGCAAAATAAGCGAAAATTGTGTGGTCAATAAGTGAAAGGAGCCAACAACGATATGTTTCACACTCAGGGCCATCTTCACAAGGCCTATACATACCAAGAGTGATGCAATTAATAAAGATCACAACCATCTGAAAAAAATTTCTATGTAAAATTTTTTGGAAAAACGTACAGTTACACGATCAAACCAAAGATTATTAACTAAACACAATGACAAATACCGAAGTTTTTGATTTTGCTGGAGAAAACCTAGAGAAACTGGCTCGTAACTGAATAAATTAGCTTTTACTGAGAAATTTGTTTGATAAAGGATAAACCCTGGAAAGGGTAATTCTTCATTGCTTTCTTCTTCTTCATCACCAGTTTCATCCTCCAGTATTTTTTCTTCCGATTCTTCCAGTTTCTTTTCACTTAGTTGGTCTTCCTCTTCTTCCATTTCCACCCAATCCGGGAAAGTTGGTCTTCTCGGACGCATTGTGCTTGAAGAAATAGTGTTACACCTACTATGGCTACTGCATGGATGTTCACTCTGTTATAAAAATTTGTGTTAAAAACGATAAAATAAAAATTAATCATTGAACCTGTTCCTCATCTGAGAAGTCAACATTTTTTTGTCTTCGTGTTGACTGTTTCCGAACTGCTAGAGACTTCCGCCTCGACGTACTGCCACTCCTAAAATTAAAAATTTTCGATTAATAATACCCCCTTATTACCGTTTCTGGTTGAACTTTGAAAGAGATTTAAATGAGCGTAGCTCTCGAACCACTGGTTGTTGTAACATTAGACTCCTCCAAATAGAGCCAAAATTGTGCTGGCAACTTAAATAGCCTTATTCTGGCCTTGGTTGGAAATATTAATAAAAATATACATTATATGCTGAAAGGAAATTAATTAAACGTTAAGTTCAATAAAAAAATTATTTTAGAAAAAAATAATTAGGAAACAACACATTTTTAATTGTTTTTAATGAAAAGACTAATAAAGAAGAGAATAAAAAAGGAGAATTGTTATTAAATTTTCAATTTTAAAAACACCCGTTCCCGGCTGTAAATAAGCAACGAATCTGAAAATCCTTAAGTTCTCCTTTTCTTCCTAAAATGCTTGGCCTTACATTGTCCCCAACAACACTTTTACTTTGCTTGGATGACGAGATGGAGAATCGATAAAGAGAGGAAAAGGATGAGGACTAAAAGCGCATTCCAAAAACTATGGAAGGCCAGTGGCTCTTGACGTAGTGGTCTATAAGCATTCCTGAGAGCTTTAACAGTAGCAATTTAAATGAGCGGATATTTAATCAGACTATAAACATGGAAACCAAATATTTTTTCATTAGCAACGAATTGACAAGAAAATGGGAATCAAAAGAGCGGAATTATTTATAAATCAGATTGAGGAGAGAATAAAGGCTTTAGGTTGACATTCTCACTTTGAAATTTTTAGAAAGTTCAATTTGTTTAGAAAGTTCACAATCTGTCTGTAACTACTTATCCTTAGAGTAAAAGATAAAGGACAGCTAATGTTTCACTGCTATTTTCTTTGTTCCCATCAGACCTGGGCGAAACTCAAAATTTTTTTCTGACGAAACGAAACGAAACAAAATTTTTTAAAAATCGTTTCGTTAACGAAACGAAACGAAACAACCAAAATCTTACGAAACGAAACGAAACAAAACGAAACATTTTAATATTCAAAAAATTTTCAAAACTGCATTTATTTCGAAATTATTCGACCTCAAATACGTTATTAGTCGACTATGACTTATAAATGATTTAGTTATTGGTTTATTTACAACAATTGTGTCCCATAAGCCAGGCCCGTAGCAAGGAAAATTTTCGGGGAAGGGGGGGGGGGGGTCAATCATTTTCGAAGCCAAATTTTTGGCGACGCTTTTTTTTAAATAAAATTGAATATTTTTCAAGTAAAATTTTATTTTAAGCGCCGCAGACGAAAAATTTTAAAATTTTGAAAGGCCGTAGGCCAAAAAATTCACCATCTTGCTCCATTGCCTACCCAAATTGTCTCCATATCTCCATTTCGAGAGGAAGGCGATATAAGCTAGTGCTTCGCCGGAAGTTCCGGTTCCAGTATTTCCGCAACTCGCAATCCGCAATTTTTAAATTATGATGCGAGTCCGGTAATAGAATTTGTCGTCGATTAAGTAATATGTATATGTGGATTAGGGAGTGGAGTATAAACGGATTTGTAGTATATAAGTAATTGCTATCTTCCTTTTTCAGCGCCGCAGGCGAAAATTTTGACAATTTGGGAAAGCCAAGAAGCCGAAATTCTTTTTTTTTCAGCGCCGCAGGCGAAAATTTTTTAAATTTTCAATAAAAGATGGTAAATTTTATAGATTTTGGCCTTAGTTTAGGCTTAAAAAATTGTTTCGTTTCGTTGAAAAATCACAGGTGTTTCGTAACGAAACGAAACGAAACAAATTTAAAAGTGTTTCGTAACGAAACGAGACGAAACAGTAAAAATCATACGAAACATACGAAACAACGAAACGAAACGAAACGTTTCGCCCACGTCTGGTTCCCATTGAATGTGCAAAATTACTGCAAATATTGAGAACTGTTAAGAGAGGAACACACTTAGTTTTAGTAAGCTTATACAAAAGAACGGAGAAATATAAGAAAATTGATACATGAAATAAAAATTGATCTTGGATTAAAAAAAGATGAAGTTCCATAAGATCAATCCGGCAAAAGCAACAGTGTAAAAAATGAAACTCGAAACAAGATTATCTCAGAGTGTCAAATGATTATGTAGAAGTTGGCAAAAAAAGCATCGTTCAAAATTCTCTCCAAAAGAACATTTAAAATTATTAGTCGCAGCTGTCTAGAATATTGTTCATAAAAAGCATTTTCAAGTATTTAACTAGACTTCATTTTCCTCCTATCTCTATTGTTAGTTAATTTGGCTAATTTCGGACCTAATTTTTCATTATTAACTCAAATACTTCTTTTTTTCTTTAATTATGTAGGTAGTGGGGTGTTTACATTTGAACATATGCTCGGAGAATTTTACGCCTAGAAATTAACCACTCATCTGTTCTTTTTCCTTCAAAAATTATTTAATTTGTCAAGAATGGATTGGAAAGATGAAGTAAATTTTAGAATGAGCAAGCAGATCGATTAGAACTAAATGGCATCGAACAACTGTTACTTCCCAACTTTTTATTGTCCCAGCATTCTTTCTTTCTTACTTATACGTCGCAAGCATATCACTCTGCTTCTTCTCAATCAGTTTATTGAGGAGGCTGGACGCCCAGAGGCAAGAAAATAGTTGATAGGGGTAGGCTTTACTCCGATTTTTCTGTCATTCATTTGACCAAGCGTCCTAGCCTAACACTTTTTTACTTTATTTCCGTTTTTACTAATGTGAGAGCTTGAAGTCAGTCATACTAACTAGCAAAGTGGTGCAGATATTTCAACTATTTTCCCTACTTTTTTCCTTAATAGTTTTCATTTTAAATCAATTTGCCTTACTAAGATTAAAAAATGAGTAGTCGTGGCCATTCACAAGACAGAGCTCTATCTCAGGAAAGGGAAACTCCATTTGCTGGATATGGAGATCGAGTCGGCTCTGGAGTAGCTTATGCTCCTGCACAATGGAGAGGAGGAGAGGTTGTTAATAAGGATTCACAACTTAAAAAGTAATAATTCTATAGCTGGTTACGGATCCATCAATGGTCACAAAATCGCTGAAAACTCGTCGGTTCTACTACTCGCCAATCGGAGATGGTATGTTAGATAAATAAACCAAGAGGAAATACCCTTACTCTTAGGAGTTGTGGCCGCAGACGGTGTTGAGCTCAAACGTCTTCCACCTGATTTAACACCCAAAGTTGAAGTGATCCAACAACGAGTGGTGGAGCGCGCTCCACCTGGAAAGCCTGGCTTGAGAGTTACTGAGAAAACTTGGTCAACCGGAGGTTCAGATAAATTTTCAAAGAAATATTACCTAGTATGTTAGGTGGAGAATCTGACTCAAATCTGGCCTATGGAAGCAAGCAAATGGGTGCGGCTTCACCGACAGCAGATGGACAAGGACAGTTACAGCGTCCAGAAACGGATCCATTTTCCAAACCAAAAGACCAGTTAGGGTCACCCTATCAACGTCCTGAATCGGCACAATCAATGCCAGCTAACACAAGAAATGGCGCTCCAAAAGATCAGTGGATGTCACCAAGAGATCATGGAATTGGAGGTCCGAAAGATGGCGGACCTGGAGGACCACCGTCTGCAGGAAGGCACGGACCATATGCTGGAGATGGAAACTTTGGTCCTGGAGTTGGAGGACCACATGGATCTACACGCTCAACACCGGGATTGGGCCCAGCAACAAATGGAACTGGCAACTTTGGACCAGAATTTCCCACTTCTGGACGTTCTAGCGGTGAGCTGTCTAAATTTTCAATGAAAACTGTCCTCCCATATCTGATCTTGTATTCTTAATTGCGTAGTATTTCAAAAAATTAATCCAAAAATTAAATGTAGCATATTTCTGGGTTAGTTTAGCAGACCTATACGAGCCGGGCTATCGTTATGAGATAAAGAAGGACTATAAAGTCACGAATCCCCGAGAACTGATCCATCAGTATGCAACAGGAACTCCAGTAACTGCAATTGATCCTAATCTAACAGAGACCACACGGACAATCACTCGACAACATTATACACAAACTGTGGAGGAATCGTAAGAATTTTTCCTATAAACTCGAACTGTCCTATTTTTTAGATTTGGTCCATTTCCGCCCTATACTGCTGGTCCTAATGTTCCTACACCTTTAAAGTTTGCGCGTCAGTTGAGAGATGAAAGTAAGCCCTAGCTAATGTGATAAAATTAATGTTTTCTAGCAATGACTAACACTCAACGACAGGCAAATATGCAAAAGGATTCATTAGGCGCTAATGCAAAAGATGCTCAATTTGAACAACGAATTTCGGTATAAATTAAAGTAAATGACAGGAACAAATTCCTGATTTAAGGAAATCCGCCACTCTACAAATCGCCAAATTTCGCCTCATAACCAGTTCACAGAAAATTTTACAGGCATATGATTATTTTAAAAATATATACTATTAGCAATTCAATAAATTTTTTGAAAAGTTGGCAAGAAAAAAGAATATAAGTGAAAGTCAGTTATTTTTTGAATAAAGTTTTCAAATATTTTTGTCTACCTAATTCATATATCCGTCAGATTATCTCAAATAAAATTTCTAATTTCACAATTTGGAAGTATTTTTTTCCTGCAAGACGTTGACCAATTCGGCTATAATATCTATAAAAAACAAATTCAAGGACTGTTAATAGCGAAAAGATATCCCCGGAAAGATCTATTGAAAACTATTTCAATTTTCAAGCCAAATATTTAAATAAATTATACCCACCGTTACTGCTCTCATAGTGTTTTGCACCTTTCATATCACAGATCTTCTCCCAATTGATTGCAACTATAAACACTCATTTAGTAATTAAAGGACAAAATAGACTTGCCATCTTCAGCAATAGCATTTGAAATGACAAGGCCAGCAGAACGATAGGACTCAACTTTATTAAGGATTAAGTTTTTATTTCTGAGGATCAATATACCTGTTCCATACCAGCCTGCCCCAGCTTCGAAAATTCGTCCTGTTGAAGAGCAATTTTCATGTCCCAGATAAATACAGAGAGGAGTTACAAATTCGGGTTTAAATGCCTTAACCAAATCGTCTGGCATTATTGTCTCAGTCATACGAGAGCCGGCTGTGGGCACCTAGAAATTGATTCGGAATTTTTTAATTAAAACAAACCAAAGCATTGCTAATAATATTATATTTTTGACCCTCAAGAGCCAGAGTATTTGATAATCCAATTAGCGCCATCTACATAAATTAGCAATTAATAATTGAAAAACTACAAAACCTTAGCAGCAGCATAGTTTGCTTGACCAAAACTCCCATATATTCCAGAATTCGAAGAAATAAATACTAAACGGCCATACTTTCTTTCACGCATATATGGCCAGGCTGCTTTAGTGACAGAAAATGCACCCTAAATATCATTTCATTATTTCAGAAGGATGATTAAGAACCTTTAAATGAACTTTAATAACCAAATCTAGAAAATAATAGATTTTGGAATTAACGTAAAAATAATTATACCCCAATCCAGCTCACTCATTTTAGCAAAACTTGTGTCTCTTAGAATTCCAGCATTGTTGACAACAACATCTAGAAATTAGTGGAAAATTACAATTGATAAGCAATATTGCAATTATGTACCAATCCTCCCATAATTTTTTATTGCAGTTCGTACAATGCTTTCACCCTGTTCCACACTAAAATTTTCCTTAGTAAGAAAGATAGATTTTTAAACCTGTCATAATTCGCCACTGCTTGACCACCACACGCCTTGATTTCTTTCACTACTTCATCAGCAGCACAATTTGAAGATCCAGACTGCCCATGTCGATCACCGCCCAAATCGTTCACTTAAAATACGTAGATAAACTTAACAAATAACTAACCAATAACTTTAGCTCCTCTTTTGGCAAATTCCAGTGCATAAGATCTCCCGAGTCCACGACCTGCGCCAGTCTTAACATAAATTTCTTTCTAAGAATCTTACATTTAATTACCACAAGCACCACACGTCCTTCGAAGCGGAGAGCATGCATTTGACTAAGAAATCAAATATTCAACAAAATTTTGAGTCGGGCAATTGCCCTGTAGGTGAAAAGCTAGGTATTAATAAATGTATAAAAAGCATAAGTATTTTATAACTATTCCGATTAAATTAAGTAAAAAACAAGATTTGCATATAAATTTATTTTCTGGTGAGATAATCTTTAAAAATAGACATACAAAGTGGAAATCCTTAAACACTAAATTCATAATGTTGCATCAAACAATCTATCGATGATCATTTCAATCGTTTCGGCATCATATTTCAGTTGCCTGTCGGCTTCAAAAAGTTCTGAACATTCTTGCGAATTCTTTTTGCTAAATTCAACAAAAGGCTGTAAGACAAGACTTTTTATTCTCATTCGGACATTGTTAGCTGTTATTTGATCGGCTACGCAATAAATTTTTTGTTGTTCAACGATTGCATCAAATTCCCGAGTAAAAACCTGCAAAAACGCATTCATAATTTAATGATTAAAATGAATATACCGTAAAAATTGATTTCACAGAACGTTTCTCTTCTCCTGGCCCCAAATCAGCATTGAAAACCTCACCGACCTTAGACCAAACTTTCAGAAATTGTTGTAAATAACTTTCCGCCTCTGTTTCGAAACTAGAAGGAAATGCTGTCTGATCACCTTGAAGGAGAGCAAGCAAAGTCCTTTCACGGCTTACAGTTTGACCAATATATTGAAGATTGTTAATCATGAAAAGAGAAGCTAATGCAGGGTCTTCATAAGTACTACTCTTTTGACGTAGATTTTGACTAAGAGCCTTCAGAATTTGCACTGAAATTGGAAACTCAATCAAAATTTAAATTTTTCAAATAAAACCTGCCAAAGCGCCTGGACTCTCATGAACCTCAGCACGTTGTATAAGCTGATTGAGCAATTTTTGTTGTTGAACTAATACTTTGAGTAAATTTAGTGTTCCACTACTTATTGGATGCACCTGAAATTCCAACAAATTAAATAATCAAATTTAGAATGCCGAACGTTGCCATCCTGAGGCAAAAAACGACCGCCAATTTGATCCTCTAAAATTTTGGATAATAAAAATAGTAAGTAAAAAATATAACCTGACAATCGTAATCGATAATCTTTAATAAGAATAATTGACTTTCGATATAATGAAGATTGGAGTGAGGCAAATTGAGCTGATTCGCCAAGATTCTAAAACAATAAAAACAAAATAAAATTCAAAAAAATACTTCGGAAAGAGAAGCAAGCTGATTTGCATGTTTGAGCATGAAACGAGCAAGAGGCAAAAGTATCATAAAGCTTCCTTCATAAGAATCAACAACTCGAAGTGCATGTGATAAAACACGACCCAAACAAGCGCCAACAATCTGCCTTAACACTTTTGCCTCAACACTGACATTACCAAAAACGGCCGAACTTTGCTCTGTTTCAAGTTGAATTAAGACGACAGTAGATGAAAGCATAAAAAGGGTAACGGCAATTGCATTATCTCGGTGAAGTTGATCATTAGAATCAGCTAAAAATTTAACAGAAATAACTTTAACTTTTAAATTAATACCGATCCTGCTCGCTGCTTTTTTCAGAGCACTAAAAATAAAATTTTAAAATTAAAATGAAAAATCTAATTTCAACAAAAGTCTGAAAGCAATTGGTGCAAACTGGCGGATTCCAATCCGATCAATTTGTTCATCTAATTCCTTATCCTTTACACTAGAAACTTTATTATCCTCTAAATTATTTTTTCCTTTCCACACAACTTTATCAATTTTTGCTTTTCTTTCTAAATGATTTTTACTAACATCAAAACATTGCTTTTTAACCATAATTTGATTTTCCGTTAATTTATTAGTGGAACTTCCACGTAAAACTTTTCGCCAATTTTCCCCACTAACTATAGGACCAGAAATTTGATCTTCTTGTTTATGTCTAATTAAATAAATCAAGAGTAAGAAATATTTAAGAAATTAATTTGTTCAGAATTACGCTGTAATTGTAAGTCCAAGAAAAATAAAAACCTACGTCTTTACAAATTGCCCACTTTTGACTCGATTATTTGGTCCGATTTGATCAGCAATAAATTGTAAGGGTTTCTTAACAATAAAAAAATGAAAAATTATTTGTAAAAAGTAAACAATTAACCATCATATTTTCAGCTCGAAATTGCGAATAGGATTGAAGAAATTGTCGTTGTCCATCTGAATCGCTGTGTTCTAAAAGCCAACTGGCAATCTGATGAATTTTTTGTACATCGCGGAGCGTCATGAATGAACTCAATCGGAATGATGGCATTTCTAAATTTTAATTGAATCAAAGATTAAACGAATAATACATGCCATAATCATCATCGAGACATTCAAATAGCTTTTTTGCATCCACAGGCACACAACTGTATCTAACCAAGTTTGAAAATTCTGCCTCAATGTTAGAATAGCCAATTTCGTAAATCAACTTCTGATAATTGTATAAATTACAAAATTGATTTATCTATCTAAAAAATTTCCTACCACATGTTCCAACTTGTTTTTGTATGTAAGATGAGTAGAAAAGAAAGCAATTGCTTCTTTAAGAGTTCGCATTTTCTCCAAATAGTCGTCAAGAGCGAGCATCACATTGCCATCCTAGAATTAAGTCAGCTCTGGTTAATGTAAATAGTTAAAAAACCCTGATAGTATTTTCTAAGGCAGTCGTTTTTCCATGAAACTGAATGGTAGCATCCACGGTAGAAAGAAGCTTGCGAATATCTAAGGGTTTGTTTTTAGAATGAATGCAAAACATAAAAACAAACTTTGTTGTTCTCTCTGTATAACACTTGATTTTGTATAAAGTGTTGCAACATTTGCAGAAAGCGAGTCGATACGGTCTTGAAAACTACCAAGAAGTGTGCAAACTGATTGTTGTATCTGATTTGATTTGTTTAGTGCTTCTTGAAAATCCTTAAGCCATTCTTCATCCTACAAAATAAGGGTTAAAATATTTTAAATTATCAAAATTAAGACCTTATGCAAACGTTGATTCAACTCTGCAAAAGACAGCACATTCTGTGAATAACTCATCGACTTTAACTTGCTAAGAAAACCAAATCACCTGATAAGAATTTAACGAAAAATCGGCCAAAAACGCTTAGACTCAATTGTACTTGTAATATTTTAATCAAACAATCTTCCACACTTTTAATTTACGTTGTCTCTCCTTACTTTTCTCCTATTGAGTCTTACTTTAAAATCATAATTTGAGTCACGTGTTTGTTCTTAAGAGTTTTGTCTTTTATCCTTGCAGATATTTTTTGCTGGTGGATGCTGAATTTATATTTTGTGTTAAAGATACTTATGAAAAAGGGTTTTGATAACAACACTAATAATTGTCAAACTACTGATGTGAATGAAGATAGAATTGAAAATGCCATCAAACAATTTGACGAGGTTTTTTTTATTTATTATGTCCTCATATTTTATGTATTTAGATAGAACAAAAATGCGAATCCTTCAAAGATCTAATAATGTCTGAAGCCAAATCTGCTGGACTTAAAGGGTTTGCTTTTTTTAAAGGTTATACTTTATGTTAATTTTAGTTCTCCAAATTTTGAAAAGCTACTAGAAGAATCTGCTTTTAGTAAGAATGTCCCTAGAGGAGGAAGTGAGGATTCAAGACCGCCGAAAACAACTTGATTATTATGTGTAAATTAAGAATCTGCTTTAATAAATTTTTATTTTTTATTTAAATTGGTTATTTTTTCTTAACATATTTTTATTAAAATTCTTTTTCTACACTTTTACTTTTTATTATTATAGGAAGAACATCCGTTCAATATTTTACGATTTTAAAATAATTATTACTATTTTGAATTTAGATTTGAATTTAACTGGCATTGAATTTTTATGGAGGACAATACGTTCAGCGATGATGTAAGAATTTTGAAACATTTAATCCTTTTATTTTCTAATACAATATGTAGTTCGATATTGATGACAGTGCAATGTCACCAGGTCAAAACAACCCACTAAATGACTACAAAAAACAGGCCCGCGCACAGCACGTATTTTTCATTATTTAATTTTTAAAGTTTAATCTTAATTCTAGAATGCGTTGGAAAGACGACGACGTGACAATATTAAAGATGTAAATTTTGGCTTTTTTTCCATTATTGTTAAAAAGCAAGCGTTAAATTTTAGATGTATTGCTCATTGAAGGATGGAATCCCAAATTTCTCCAGTGATCGCGTAGTTTCTTTTTAACTCTTATTTTTTATTTATAAAATTTTTTTAGGCATCTCGAGCTCAAATATTGAGAAAAGCTTATGAAACCATTCAAGCAGGGAATGACGAACTAAAAAATCTTAGCCAAGAGGTGAAAAAAATAGAAGAACATAACGAACATTTACGGAAGCAATTGGAGGCACAAACAAAAGTTACGCGTTAAATTTAGATTTATATCGAATATTCAATTCAAGGAACGAATTTATGGTATAAAATTATTTAAATAATTTCAATTTGAGGGAATTGTATTATAAGTTAAAACTGTATTTTTGGGAACACCTTAGTTTTTTCTTATGTTTTCCCTCTTCGGCTTGGCTTATATGAAAGTTTTATTGATATAAGAAACTAATAGATCATCGAAAAATAATTCTGATTTATGTGACGGTGTTGAGGAAAAAACAAAAAGAGGAGATCAAACATACATAAATATTTTGAGAGATTTGGCGCCAATCCCGACCTCGCTCATTGAGCTTAAGCAAGAAAGGTAGAGCGGCAAACCTTTTCATAAGATAAAAGTAGCAGAAACGGTGAGATGATCGATCGTCGAGGGCAACACCCACATTGGGAAAAGCGGAGGTTTTTTTCTTCTTAAATTCTTATAGTATATTCTTTTCGGCATTGCCCTATGGCAAAACAAATCCCTCACAATATTTATAAATAGTGAGACATTTCTTAAAGCAAATCCATGACAAAATGTGTTGGCCGTTCACTTGAATTGATGGCCAAAGTCGGCATCTTTTTGAGTTCTTTCTCCCCCCACTTCAATAGGACAGCCGAAATATGAAAGGGCAGGCCCTCTCTCTCTCATCGAAAATATCTTGTTTCTGTTTTATAAACCCTTATCGCCCTCCCTCTTATTTTCAATTTTTCGTATTGTTTTTATAAGAATAAAGCCATACAATTCAAAATTATACAAAGAAATAGTAGCGGAAAATCCCTTTTATTATAATTGTTGACAGTCGTCGGGCACTTTAAAAAGATTTTTCCTTTTAATGTTCCGCAATAAATGACAGCTGCAAAGAAGACGTGTTGATCTTCCAAACGCCTAAAAGTGAGCGGGGCGTGTTCGCGCATGGTGGTGAAGTAAATAAATAATTTAAATAAATTTATGGCGACACCTTTTTTTTATTTTTATTTATTTACTCGTGGATTTTCTTTTATTTTTATAGTTCATTAGTTTTCAGCGAATAATTTTTAAGGGGAAGATAATCTAATTACATTATGCAGATCGGATATTCCTGTGACTCTTGAACTAAAAATAAATCCGTCCAAGGATCCCCCTTCTACCTATTTTTGGATTATTTTTATCTTTAAAATTTTTGAATTGTAGACAGAAATTTGAAATAAGGAATCCACCCATCTTTTTCTGAAAACTAATTATCTGTAACTCATGCTTGCTTGCATGGTCCTTTTTTAATTCCTGCGTGTGTCCTTTCTTTTGTGATGATTTTAATTAGAAGGATTGTAGTAGGGCGAACAAACCACTCAGGGTTTAAGGCGGAGAAATAGGCGGAGATGGAATATTTTTTTTTCATTAAAAGAAAAGAAATGTGAATGTAGTATAGGAAGAAGAAAATATTAAACTGACAGCCGAGAGACTGAAATGCATTTAAATAGCCCCAAAAAATTTAAGTTGGTAAGAAAATTATTTTTTTTGTATTTTTTTAATTTAGAATTTTTTTTTGAATTTTAGAAATCATTCCTTCAAATTAATATCTTCCAACTAAATTTTATAGGAGATTTTTCTAACTAAATATAAGTTAATAGACCACATATCTTTTGTTGACCTCTGATATCTATTTTTATCTTTGATATAACTTACCTTTTTTACTTTCCTTTTCAATTCGGAGTTTAATTCTAAAGAATTGCTCGGGCGAAAGAATTTATCGTTTAATCATTTATTCTAATAACCATTAAACTTCATGCAAATGAAATGAATAGGAACTAATAAGGGAAGAAAAAAATTACGTATATAATAATTGATAAATGTCTTTAGAATTTTTTGCACGTTTAAAGTTGAAGGGCAGGGGTTGATAAGAGAAAATTTATTTTAATTTTTTAAAAATAAAAATAGGTAATTAATTCTCCAATTTTCACCATTTTTCGTTGGGAAAGTAATTAATTATTCTCATACATTTAAAATAATTAAAAAAAATTTTTTATTTTAGTCCAAATCTCAAATGACTAATTACCAGCCTCTAATACCTTCAGAACAAACAATGGCCCCACAACAAATGCCCATTTTTGCAACTCCACCCACCATTTCAAATACTCACCAAAATTCATTTTACGGGTTTGTTAACTCTGATGCTTCTCAAATATTACCACAACACCAATTAATATATTCACATCCTCAGCAACAACAACAAATTCCTTCACGTCAGCCTATTTCAATGCCTCCAAATTTTCAATGTTCCAGATCTCAAACCGAAGCTCATTTCTCGCTGATTTCTGATTCTAAGGTTTTTTATTTTAATGACTAGGGCATTATTTTAATGACTTTTATTTTAATGACTTTTATTTTAATGACTAGGGCATGAGATTATTTTTGAGGAATTATCTAGGTAATTTAACGATCCCATAAATTTATTTAATTCCACAAAAGTATCTAAACCATTTTCAGCCAATGGAGCTCTTCGTCCCTGGCACTTCCACGATCGGCGATGGAATTGTTGATTGGGAGGTTTCTATAAACAAAACAAAATTTTCGGATGAAGAAAAACACACAAAAGTTCCAGGACAACGATATAAACGAAAAAGAACATTAAATGGTAGTGAGGAAGATGAACCAAATTCTCGTCGGAAGCGATACGATGGATTGATTTCTAGTGAAGAAACTTTATTGTTGAATGGATTTAGAACAAGTTCTCCTGAAGGTTTAATTTTTTGTAATAAATTAGATTTAGAAACAATTTTAGACACAGAAAGATCACCAGTACCACATACTGAATTAGTTACACAAGGATGTCATTCTCAAATTAACAACTGCAATAGCCTACCAATAAACTATTTTGAACAAACAAAGGAGCAAAATGAAGAGGAGAATGATGATGATCGGTCAGCGACAGTAACTGGAGCCGATGAACCAACAATCTTCCCTTGGATGACCCGAGTGCATTCTTCAAGCAGTGAGTTTTGAGAAAATTAAATTAATTATTAGTTAGGGATTTCACCACCCTACCAGTCGCAATTTTTGGGATATTTTTTTCATTTTCTCCTTTATTTTACTTTCACCTTACAGTATTTTCTCATCAATCTTTTTTCATTTTCTTTGTTATTTTCTCATTGATTCACCCTTGCTAGAAGAGGCTTCTTAAAAGCCGGTTTAACTAAGACTCCTCCCCGAGAGGCATTAACGGCTGCAAATCGATTGGGTGCAGATTTTATCTTTTTAAAATAACTGGCGGTCCTTTTTTTTAAAAAAAGTGATATCAGTACTAACTATTTAACTTTATATGTTAGAAAAGGTGGAAAATTAAAACTCATTTATAACTTGTTAACTTGTAAAAATACTTTGCCGTGACAAATATTTTTTTAGATTTCTAACGTTATTTTTTTAATTACAACGAGTGTGGGCAGAGAATATAATAAGAAAAAATACTCTGATATAATTAATTGTCTTGCCGTATTTATTTTGAGGAGGACAATTGATGAAGGAAAAATTAAAATGCTAGTGATGATGCTATTCGCTGTGAAGCGCCTTCGGTCACTAACCAATCCAAAATTTCCTCTTTCTACTGTCCATTGAATTAGATTTTTAAAAAAATAATCTGGGCCAGAGTCCCTCGGATGAGCCTAAAAGCAATTAATCTTCACGCACGCTCTCGTTTCCCCCACCACATTTGACAGTTAATAATAACGGTTTTAGATTTTTTTGAAGATTGGGATTGAAATAGGAATAACTAATAAATGATTAAATTAATTTTTAACTTATTTTTTGAAATATCCTCTTTCTAAATCTCTTTTTTTATTTATATCTTTTTTTTCTGTAAATCTAAATGACACAACCTAAAACAACCCAAACATTTGAGAATGATTTACAGCAACAACAACAATTGTATTCCTACTTCCTTTTTCCGTTTAGTTTTTATTTTATTTTAAGATTTAATCTTGGTGGGCCACTGTTTCTGCAATAATAATTTTATTTATTCTAATTTATTGCTTAAAACAACTTTTTAGGGGGGAATGGGTCAACAAAACTTTTAATTCTTTTATTTTCTTAATTTAGATAAGAATAATTTATTTTTTATTTTTTGTAATGTTTGGGATAATTTTGATCCTTTTATTGGGATAAACTTCTCCTTATGTGTAAAGGAAATGTTAGAGATTTGTTTTTCCTAATTTTTGATTTATTTTGCCAAATTTACAAATAAATTTATTACAACAAAAGCATATTTACGAGTGTGTACTTTCTTTCGATTATAACCCTTTTCGATTCTCGGCTGGGATTTATTCAACAAATAAATCAAAAATAGGCCTATAGAAGAGAGGAGCCACAAATCATCCAACCATTTGAGAGATTCCTGGGGAATTAAATACGGAAGAGACAAAAAATTTTTATAAAAAAGATAGGATATAAAATTGAACTTTAAATATAATTTCACAAATAAAACAAATATTAAAAATTAATTTCTAAAAAATTTTTACAGATTCAGCTCGTGGCGAAAAACGTCAACGAACTGCTTATACACGGAATCAAGTATTAGAGCTTGAAAAAGAGTTCCATTTTAACAAGTGAGGGATCGTTATATTCAAATTATAACTTAATTAATTTAGATATTTGACAAGAAAAAGGAGGATTGAGATAGCCCATACACTTATACTTACAGAGAGACAGGCATGTATTTACAGTCATCGACATAAAGATAGGGGCAAGTGTAAATGAAATGAAAATTGACTATTTTTCATTCAAAAAATACGTTCTATATACCAATCGAAAGCTCTATTCGTATCTCAGTTGACATGTTTCTGCATTTTTCATGAAATTGAAAATTGGCCGAGATAATCCGGATCTACCGGATATACCAAATCCATTAATCTCGGAAAAATTTTTCGGAAAAAATTTAACAAACCCATTTGATAAAGAATATTTTTGTGAGTATTTACCAAAAAACCGCTTAGAAAAATCTTTTTCCGGTCCAGAGATATGATTTTTTGAAAATGGCATTTTTCCCTTAAAAATTGAATTTTTTGCAAAAATAGACGAAAAATGCCATTTTCAAAAAATCATATCTCTGGACCGGAAAAAGATTTTTCTAAGCGGTTTTTTGGTAAATACTCACAAAAATATTCTTTATCAAATGGGTTTGTTAAATTTTTTCCGAAAAATTTTTCCGAGATTATGGGATTTGGTATATCCGGTAGATCCGGATTATCTCGGCCAATTTTCAATATCATGAAAAATGCAGAAACATGTCAACTGAGATACGAATAGAGCTTTCGATTGGTATATAGAACGTATTTTTTGACTGAAAAATAGTCAATTTTCATTTCATTTACACTTGCCCCTATCTTTATGTCGATGACTGTATATTTTTTGGAGAATATTCAAATTTTTCTTTCAGGTAAAGATATGGTTTCAGAATCGTCGGATGAAGCACAAAAAGGAGAGCAAAGACCATCAACATCTTCAACAGGCGCAGCAACATGTTTTAAGTTCTGCACTTGCCCAAGCACAAGTAGCTGCTGCAGTTCAATTAGCTATACAGCAACAACAACAAAATTCCCTTAGCCATTCAAATACTTCAACATTCCATTCACAATCATCAATACAAAGACAAGAAATTGAAGAAATAAATAGAGTTAATACTAACAGTCAATTCTTGGTTGGAAATAATGGTATATGAACTGAAGAAAATTGAAGTGGGAAAATGATTGATCGACAAAATTATTATCTTTAAATGATTATTTTTATGTTGCATATCTTTATTTAACAATTGCAATCCCATTTTACTGCTAAATCTATCTCTTCAAAAGCTTTCTATTTTTTCGTTTTTAAACTTTTATTATCTCCTTCCATCCCAGATTAATCTAAAGGTTTCCATCAACAACAAAAAATCGTTTTTGATTATGAATAAATAAAATGTTTAGAAATGAAGTATATTTTGTTTTTTATTCTCATTATAATACTTTATGTGTATATTAATTATAATTTAATTTCTTCATAAATTTAATTAACTTATTCTCGTAATTTATTGAATTTAAAAATTAGTTTAAGGCCAAAGCTTGATTCTTTTCCAATTTGCACCGACTTTTTTGTTAGTTTCGGATATCCGAAGGAGTTCACAAAACCAACAAACTTAAAAACGTCAATACATTCCACCTTTTAAATTTAATTTATTTCAAATTTAAAATTTTTATTTTCAAGGTTATAGTACTCTTTAAATTTATTATGTAGCAAGCTGTGACGGATAAGAATGTTATTTCTCAAATTTTTGAAGGAAAAATGGTTCGTTTTACTGTGCCTGGTAAAAATATCCATTTAGAGGAGCACAAAGCCTTTCTTATTTTTGAAAGGTCTTTTTTTGTTTTAGATACTGTCATCCAATAAATAAATAAAATTCATTTTTAACCCTACAATCATGAATTATTTCGAATCTGATAAGAAAATTCTTTATGATTAAAATAACGAGTGTCCTTAAATAATTTTCTTTTTAGGCAGACTCAGGAGATAACCAACCAAATGATTCCCTGAAACTCGCGTTGACGTGATAAGAAGCATTTTTAACTGATAGATTAGAATCATTGTTAATCAGAAGACTACAATCTCTGAAGCCTTTGGCGAATGGGTTGCTCTCGATTTTTAATTCTGTAATCTGAAAATAGGTTTTATAATTAACGCTATTTACTCTATTTTTATCAAATAATTTTAGTTAATTCAGAACTGACGCGATGATTTTGATAAGCAGTGACAGCCATAAATGCAGTCTCTTTAAAAACAAAAGTTTTTCTTCTGTTCAATGAACTGGCTTGGTCTACATGCACAACCAAATGGAATCGAGGTTGATAACGATGCATTGAGTTGACAATTGCCTGATTAAAGGTATTTAAAAGGTTTAATAATTATTTCTTAAAAACAAATTATATTTTTGGGCTTTCCTCCTCTGTAAAAGTTTGAAATGTTTTTAAGAATACATTTTCACTTTCCTTTTCACTTCACAAATTATTTACGGCTTTCTGAGCGAGAACAGATGTATTTTTATGAAAAGAAAGTTGGAAATTTTCGCTAAAAGTTTTTTCTTTCAATAAATCTACCACTTGTGGTTTTATTTTATAGTAAAAGATTGGAGGGGAATCGACAGATTTTAACTACTTATTAAGCATATTTGTTCGAGACAAGTAACCTCACTAATTTTAGATTCTCGTAGGAGAAAAAATTTTTGAACTAAACGAGGGTTAGGCAGTTTAAATTAGAGACCGGACCGACTCGATCGAAAATCTATCTCGATTTCTCGCAGATACTTACATGGCCATTCTGGTCTAATGGATTGTTGGTTAATTTGATCTTGTCAAAGGTTACAACAGCTTGCCTTTCCCAATGCGCACCACTGGCTGGCGATTCTAAAGTTTTTTTTAGTTTTTTTTAATTAATATGTGTTTGCCTGGATGGAGTTGCATTCTGGCTGGGAACTCTGTCTCACCTTTTTTTTAAATTTATTTAAATGAACTTTTCAAATACCTGGACCAGCTACTGTCCACTTTGAGTGGTGGAAGGAATATCTAGAAAAATAATAAAACACAAGTAAATTGTTACCGGTATCGTTTCTGGTCAGTGCATTGGAAATCCACCATTAGTGAATAACTATAATAACGGCTAAACTAGAACTTTAAAAACTAAAGACTTTAGACTCGGTACTAATCCATATAGAGAACATTGTAGTGTGGGAAACATTCTTCGGCCACTTCTTGTAACAATCATTTCAGTACCCAGAGAATTAAAACGCCGCCAAAGTTGTACTCCTTCCAGGCGTATTTCTGCCTTTTCTAGTGCCCAATAAAGCCTTTCATCTTGTGGAGATGGAATAATATTTCTTTCCATAATAGGGATATTTCGCGGCATTTTTGTTTCCAAAATTGAGTCGATAGAAAAGTCGAGAGTCTTTCTTTTTCTCATTTTATTTTCTGACATTTCAGAAGGGTTTCAGTCAAATAATCATTTGTGAAGACTGGATTATAGAAGTTGTAAGGAACTGAATAAATGAAAAAGAAAGTCCTCACTTTTGCTTATATTCTGCTAAACACTTTCAACAAATTTTTAACATCTGGACAACCGAGAAATAAAAATAAAATTTTCCAAACTTTTTTTCCTCATTTCTACTGTAGTTGAATTTTTCAATAAATTCAATAATTTTAAATCTAAAAATAATTTATTCAATAATTTTTAAGCGAAAAAAATTTCATTTCATAAAGTGCCTCTTTTAAAACACATTCCTTTTACATCTATATATATTTCCTTTATTTATTTTATATATCCCTTTTCCTTTATCTATTTTAGTTTTTACCTACATTCTCTTTTAAGTTACTCTACAATTTTTTCCATTTGCCATACTCCACAAATGTCATTTTTTCATTTATATCCGCGCGCAAATTACCCACCTCTTATCGGCCAAACCATAACATTCTTCTGATTAAAATGTTAAATTATTAAGGGTCAACAACAATTTTTTAAATGTTTTGTATAAGAAATAGATGCTTAGAAAAGGGCAAGCTAGACAAGAACATCGGCTGTCAATATATTTACATACGTACACTGTGCCGCTTTTCCTTTATTTCCTCCTTATATTTAGTTGGCCTTACTAATCGAATCATTCTGACATACGCAACAAAAATATGTGGGAAAATTTTTTATGCCAAAAAAGTCACACAAAATACAAAAACTTTCCTGTAACCGGAGCAGTTTAACTGTTTTGTAAAAGTAAATTTTCATCTTTTTTATTTTTTTATTTGTTTATCTAATTTTCGTTTAAATATAAGGGTCTCTAACGTTAAAATTAAACCAACCAATCCATCTTGCATTAAATTCTACGTAATTTATTTTGCCTTAAAGCATTTTCATATACTTTTTACCACCCAGCTAGCCTTTATTAGCATATTTTCAATTTATGAAGAAAATTTAATGCTGTAAGGCGTAAAATTAAAACAAACTTTGCATTATAAAATGTGTGTAAAGGTCAGCTCAATTCTTTTGTTATACCATTTCTCCAAAATTTTTGTTAAACGATTTAATTCGGATATTTATTAAATCCGGATTTAGCCATTCGGTCCAGTGAAAGGACGAGAAGGTTCGGGGCTCATGGGGCGTAAACTACACAAGTATCAGCCATTCAAAAGTTATATGTTTCTTGTCATTTTTCCATTTCCTCGTTTTTACCTTGATCAAAATATGTTCTCATTCTTGCCGCTTGTTACGTAAATAAATTCCCAGCCACGTATATTTCGTCTTTTGTTTTATTTAAGCCTTCCTCATTCCACTTTATTTAGGCCAATTGGCATCTTTTTTTCATTTATAGTTCGAGAATGTATGACAATTTTAGACAAATTCCTAGAGTCTATTTTAGGTAATCGAAATTCTCTACTCTTTAAATTAATCACGACGTCCAAACCGTGCCGCGCCCATCCATTTTTACTTTAATTTCACTCAAAAATTTTTACACAAAATTAAAAATTTCAGATTATTTGTAAAAAAATATGGCTGCAGCCAACACTGTGCAGCATTCTCAACAACCACAATCAGCCCCCACAACAGCAGCAGATATCCCGCAACAAAAGATTGTTGAGGAAGTTCATGGACAAATTTTTGAAGTTAGTCCTCGTTATGTGAATTTATCTTATATTGGAGAAGGTGCTTATGGAATGGTTGTGTAAGTTGATTTTAATGTTAATTGAATTATTTTTACTTTAAAATTAAGTTCTGCTCTTGACACAATTACGCGGGAGCGTGTGGCAATAAAGAAAATTTCACCTTTTGAACACCAAACATTCTGCCAGCGGACACTCCGGGAAATAAAAATTCTTTCTCGCTTCAAACACGAAAATGTATATCTGCTGTGTAAAGTATTTTTAAAAATTTATTTTTTAGATCATTAATATACAAGCTATAATTCGGGCTCCCAGCATTGAACAAATGAAAGACATGTAACTTTTTTTACCAAGATTCTTAAAATTAAATGACAACTAATTTTAGATATATTGTTCAATGTTTGATGGAAACAGATTTATATAAGTTGCTTAAAACGCAACGCCTTTCGAATGACCATATCTGTTATTTTTTATATCAAATTCTACGAGGCCTCAAATACATTCATTCTGCCAATGTTCTTCACAGAGACCTAAAGCCTAGCAATCTTTTATTAAATACTACTTGTGATCTCAAGGTTGTATTAAATTCTATCTTTCCGATAATGAATCACAATTTAATAGATTTGTGATTTTGGACTTGCTCGAGTTTCTGATCCTGAACATGACCATACTGGATTTTTGACTGAATATGTGGCAACTAGGTTTTTTATTGATTTTTTAAAATTTAAAATGTTTTTAATAGATGGTATCGGGCGCCTGAAATTATGTTAAATTCCAAAGGATATACAAAATCAATCGATATTTGGTCAGTTGGTTGTATCCTTGCCGAAATGTTGAATAATCGACCACTCTTTCCTGGGAAGCATTATTTGGACCAATTGAATTTAATATTAGCAGTTGTTGGCTCGCCGTCTCAAGAAGATTTACAATGTATTATTAATGAAAAGGTTTTTATTTTAATTGAATTAAGGAGTGATTTTCTTTTATGAAACTTGTGATTTTTTGTCTTCAAAATAAAATTAACTTAAAAACCAAAATAAATAGATTTATTCCAGGCTCGCGCTTACCTCCTATCTCTACAACCGAAGGTCAAACAACAATGGTCTCGACTATATCCCAGTGCTGACCCAAGAGCTTTAGACTTGCTTGATAAAATGTTGACATTCAATCCAAATAAGCGAATTGGTATTGAGGAGGCTCTTGCACATCCATATATGGAACAATACTACGACCCAAATGACGAGGTTTGAGAGAAAGGGAACGGGGTTTGTAAAATTCTCATTTCAAAATAATTTTAGCCGTCATGTGAAGAGCCATTCACATTTGAAATGGAATTTGACGATCTTCCACGCGAGAAGCTTAAAGAATTGATATTTCACGAGACTGAAAATTTTCATCATAACCAACTCGCCGCTAATTCGTTCAATGCTTCCGTATTGCAGACAACGACCGAGACAAAGTAGTAACGAGATATATATATAAATTTAAATATTATAACTGTGTTCTCATCTTTCTAACATGTTTACAGAAATAGGTTTTTTTGATTTTTCTCGTACCTTGTTTAATATTAACCAAATAAAATAAATGTTAAATTTCGGTGACATTCTTAAGAAATTGCTTGACGCTCGACAAATATTCGGTAAATTATCCCAGGTTGCTCGTCGATTGAAACATTGTTGGGCATTAGCCCAGGACAGTGTCTTAACCTTACTGTCAACAGTGGGATAATTACGATCTGTTAATTGTGATAAGTTTATAAAAATTTATCAAAGATAAACATATCAAAAAGAAATTTTCATTCCATTTCAAAAGCAGCCTCTTCAACATTTATATTATTAATTCGGATTACATTAAGTTCTTGACTCAACCCTAAAATAAAAAATAATTCTTTAAATATTTATGTCTTACATAACGGGTTGTGGATGTACATGGTATTGAAGTTGTAGATAATTTCAGGTGATGTGGTTGTCTGATAATTAGGGAATAATTATATTCTTTTTAGGTTAGCCCACCTTTTCAATAACAGTTGCGTGTACATGTACGAATTTGGGGTCTAATAATGGCCTGCCAAATAAGGAAAAATCGAGCCCTCCAACCGATAGTATCTGAAAACTTTGATCAGATTATAATGGGATTAATGTACCTTTTCGAACTTGATTTCATCTCCAACATCTACTGGAATGTTGCTTTCTATGTGGATCAAATCGTCTTGCATGACTTTGAATTGCTTCTAAGGTTTAAAAATTAATTCATTTAAATAAAATAAACTAACATTTTGTATATAGATGACGGCAAAAAGTTTTCGAGTCTGATCGGAAACAACGCGTTTTATGTTTTGGACAACAAAATCTCTCTTCTCTTTAACCATGTAAGCTTCAGGCTCGATGACTTTCCTTGATTGACTGTCTCTAGATGGAATAGCTCGTCTGGAAGCAGTTGAAGTCATGGCATGTCTGACAAAACGCTTACACAAAAATGGCCTAAACAAGAGTTGATGCATTCTGGAAAGGTAGTTCTGAATTTTAAATTTATATTTTCTAGAGACAAAAATAGATATACTTATTAGGGTATGTTATAAAAACGATTGAAAATTAATAAAAAGTTTAAAATGAAATTTATTTAGATTTTTTCTTACGAAAACAATTTGTATAAGCAAGAAAATCTTTTTCAAAAAGTCCTTCTGCCATTTGTGTAAATTTCTTTTTCTCATCATCATCCAGGCTTTTAAAAAGTTTTTCTAACTGTTCTTGTGTTTCTTCTTCTGATCCCCTTTCTAGCACAATTGGTAGCCCAGCAGCTAGTAAATTTCTGTCCAATTCTTCATCGTCAATTGTCTCAAATTGCCTCATAGAAGATTCAACAACATCGCTGAGATATTCAGGTTCATCATCCGAATCGAAAAGCAATTGTTCATCGGGGCTTAAAATAGGAAAAATAGGGAATTGAATTTAAGGCTCAGCAATAAAAAAGTATACCTGATTTCTAGTGGGATCTCCGGATTTATCAGCTTTTCATCCAATTCTGATTTTTCACGATTTTGTTTATCCATATACTGTTCAAAAGTAGTAACAGGTCTATTAATTGAAGAAGTCGACTTTTCTTCTGCAGAATTTTCCTAAAGAAACTCATGAATATTATTAGAAAAAATTCAAAATTACCGTTAATTCTTCACACTGCATTTTAAAAAATAATTCAGAACATTCCAAATGTTTCTTGCTTCGGTAACAACGAACAGAACAATAAAATTTTTGACAATTCGGACATTTATAAAGATCCTTCTCAAGTTTATCAGTCGGACAAAAGCCGCAGGATTTAAAATTGAGGATTTTATTTTGATCAGCAAATTTGTCCATTGAAGGCGTATTGACGCACTGGCCGAGTGTCGAATTACGGAATTGGCAAAGTGAAATTTACCGAAGTAGGAATTTTGCAAATCATAATTTCAAATTGGAAAATACCAAAAAGCCTTTGGTCAAAATGGCAAATGGAGGATTGTCATTTTTGAAGATAGCTGGTTCTTACAAATTTTTTCTAGTTTTTTCAGTTGAATGTGCACAAAAATTCAAACTTTGGAAGTTCAAACTCCTATCTCATCAATTGCTATTCACCCTAGTCAATCTGATAAAATATGCTTAGGATTTTTGGATGGTGGAATTACTTACAATAATTTAACAATTTTGAATGATCCAGACAAAAATGAATCGCTTCCAGTTAGAATTGAACAAAAATGGAGGAGAAAGTTAAAAATGGCTATAAGAGCTATTACATTTTCTACAGATGGTTCTTTTGTTTTTGTTACTGCTTCAAATAGGTTTTTTTTAATTTTATTTATGAGCTAACATTAAAAATTTTTTAGAGCACTTTGCATGTTTGATACTGATACTGGTAAACGCATACGATGTATTCGACAAAGCCATAAAAGCAGACCAAATGAGATTTCATTGTTAAATCCTTCAATGGGTGACAAATTACATTTCGCAACTGGTGCTGAAAATGGTGAGGCATGTTTTTGAATTTTATTTTACGTTATAAGGCTTGTAGACACCCTAGAAAATTTTCTAAATTTTTTGCATCTTTTAATAAGTAGCTTTAAGGTGAAAATGTGGGACTTTCGACTAACTAAACCTCAAATTGCTGCATTTACTGATCAGGATGATATAATAAGTCTAAACTTTCATTTTTCTTTTTTTCATATTCATTCAGATAGTTTCTCTACATGGAAAAACTGTCTTTTATCTGCTAGTGGAGATGGTACTCTTGCTGCTTATGACATATACAAAAGAAAGCTCAGGCTTTGCTCAGAGACTATGCACAGCGAATTACTTTCTTTGGCTGTTACCAAAAGGTTTGTAATTAGAAATCAACTTATTTTAATTTTCCTTGTTGTACAGATTTACCTACGTTGGTGCAGCTGATGGATATATTGAAGTCTTCAATAATGGTGAATTTGGTAATATTGTTGAGAGAATTGAAACTCCTTTAATTATGGGGGTTGAACAATTAGAAACAGTGAGAGATGACCTACTTTTGGCCGGAGCTTCAACTCATGATGGAATGAGGTTTCTAATCTAGATTTTATTAATTATTCAATCATTTAGGTTTATGCATGTCAATCCAAATAAATCACTTGGCGGAATTTGCTATCCTGATGGAATTGTGAGTGATTTAAAAACGTTTTGAATGCAATCGACGAATAATCGACGTACATTTAATGAAGATATAGTACTTAACCCTTTAAAAAATACTGAAGAAATCTTAGTAAATATACTTAAACCAACTGGTTTATACCATATCTTTACGTCGATTACTTCTTGAATACAATTGAAACATCTATTTAAAGGGTTTAATGGTAAAATCTTCCGATCTTTCATTTCTCTTGGTGACAACTGCAGATGGAACAAAATTGAACGCTTTCAAATTGGAAGATTTAGTGAGAGATGTTCCATATTTACGTGCACAGGATATGCATAAATTTAAAGAGAATGAAAAGGCAGAAAAGAAACAAAGGTTGACTAAAGTTGCTGAATTCTTTAAAGATATGCTTGATGACGAAAATGAAGAAGAAGAACAAGATTTTGATGAAGAGACAGAAGACAATGAGAAGGAATTTATATGTATGGATGATTAACAAAGGTTAGATGAGAGCGTGTGATTTGCTTAATGCTTTTTTAAATAATTTACATGTTTAATGTTGTAAATGGTACTTGTTCGACACCAACATTTCGGTATTTTATATCTCCCAAAATAAAACTATAATGTTACAAAACATTTTTTTACTCGTTAAGATTAATTAAAACGATTTAAAATATAACCAAAATAGAAGATCAACATTTTTGAAAAAAAAACTTTAAAATATTTCGCCCATTTTCTTTAGTGTCATTGTAAGACTAGACCCTGAAAAATGTTTTTTTCTTTTATAAATTTTTAGAGCTTACTATTCGCGCAGGTGCAATATCTGGGCATTTCCAATTGTATAAGTAGTATTGCAAATTACCATCACCAATTCCAAATTTCAATTCTTCAAGAAAACTTTGATTCTCCATCAAATCAAGAGCATTATAAACATCAAACCCCATCTTTTTTAATAAAGTTTAAAATTAAATTAATTAAATTACATTTTTGGCAATTATGAGAGCATCATTTATCAGTTTATTTAGCGGAACAGATCCAGCGACGTTGTAAAAAGAATAGGCGGCCCTAATTTCCTTGTGTAGTGGGTTGTGAACAATTGTAGAGGGAAGACAATAAAAGCTAATGAAATCTGTTACTTGACCATTGTTCTAGGAATTAAAGTCTAATTGAGATTTAAAAATACAAAAAAACCTCGATCACATAAGAATAAATTACGTCTTCCCTCGGCATGAAAAAATGTTCAAACTCCTCCAGACTGAAAATTGGACAAATATCAAATTTCGTCAAATAGTTTGTGAGCAAATCGAAAGCGCTTTGTATATACTCTTTAGCTAAGGGTCTGAGCGGATAATGTGTGTTCTAAAAATAATTTTTTAAGTATTCTTTTAGAAAGGGTTACCTCTGGAAGTCGATAAAGTTTAATAGTACGATGAAGCGTCATATTCTTCCCAAGATGCGAAAATTTTGTCTCGATCAATTTTTTTGGGTTTAAAGATCTATGCCAATACCTAAGAATATTTTTAGAGAATTTAATAATCAAAATAATATTTTGAACAAACCTGCATGAACCAACCGGTTTTGGAATGATAATTCCTGCAGTAAAAGTAGCTTGAAATATACCACTTAAGTTAACTCTTCGTGTGATTTCCCTGATTAACACAGGTGCCAATCTTTTCGAACGCAACTTTTTATGCACACATAAAAAATTAATTTCAACCATTTGAATTGTTTTATCATAAATTCGTATAAGAGCAGGAATTGCTGCAATAAAAGCCAATAATTTAGAACCAGCAGCACGAACACCACAGTGCCAATAATTTTTCCAACCTGAAGGCGTCAAAGCCCTAATTTAATTTTTTTTATTTAATTTATTTAAAGAAAAGTAACCATTTTAAAAAATCACGTCCATAATCAAAACGAAACATATTTTCATCATCCTCAACATAATTTTCATTAAGAAGTGTATATAATTCGTCTAATTGATCATTTGATAACAAATCAACTTCCGACCATGAAAATGGTTCTGGCAATGAATATGGCTCTTTTCTAATTTTTTCTACTTCAAGAGGAGCCTCAATAAAAGTATTTTCTTCAACTTTGATCCCTATAATTTTAAATTAATTTTTAAGAAAATATTACTTAAATAAACCAAGTCCTGGAACGGGTTGAGTTTGCCAAAATTGATGTTTGCGATTTTTAGCCTCGTCGTTGTTATCCATAGTGAAAGAATTTAATAAATCCTAAAAACAAAATTTTTTTAATATTATATGTAGTAAGAATGAAAGAAGAAGCATTTTTAATTAAAAAGAAGGTGGCACGAATTTTCATCGAATTTTCATCATCGTCAATACTTTTTAGAGTTATCGACAAAATAACAACTAGTTTACACTTTGACATTTTCCAAATTAAAATTAACATAATGAAATGCGTTAAATTTCAGTTCAAATTTATTTGGCGTCACATTTTCTGAAATCTGGATTTTTTCAGATTTTTGTTAATCTCCGGAGATTACGCGTTTATGTTGTTTTTTTTTTATTTTTTCAATTATTTCATCTGTTTTTTATTTTTTTATTCGTTTATTCGTTGACCCAATTGCTGCGCGCGCTTAAAATTGCTAAAAAATAAATTTAAAATTTTTTAAAAAATCTAAATTTTTTCAAATTGAAGGCCAGTCCCGACAACTGGATATGCTTCTGCTGGATGGCTGGCCGGTTAAATTCATTTTTTTTTCTTTTTAAAATTTGAGTTTGAAATTTTTCATTTTGTTAGGCCCCTTCGACCGTGCTCTACATGGTGGCATGTGGTGGCCGTGGCTGGGCTTCAACCAAACGGTGGGTTTTTTCCTAGTTTATTTTGAACTTTTTAATTTAAAAATGAAATTTTTTTATTTTTATGTATTGTTCTTCATGTGGTGGCCTTTGGAGAATATGCTTATGGTCTTCATGGTGGTGGTCTGGGGGCCTGTTTTTTTAATAAAAAATTTTTTTTAATTTTTTAAAAATTTATGCTTGTGGTGGTGGTTGGCATGCTCTTGGTGGTTGGTGGCTCTCTTCATGCTCTTGGTGGTTGGCGGTGCTCTTGGTGGTTGGAGGCTCTTCATGCTTCTGGTGGCCTGCCTTTGATGTGATGTTGGTATATGGTGGGGTGTGGTTTTTTATTTAAAAATTTAAAAAAATTAAAATTTATAATGGGAGGGGGTGATTTTCAGCCAGGTTCTCTACTCCATGCACTGGTGGTGGTGGCCGTCTAAATGCACTGGTGGTGCTCGTCTACATGCTCTTCCTCTTCCTGATCAACTGTTGGCCCGGTAAATCTTCAAAATTTTTAAATGAAAAATCGCTTGCTAAAAATGCGCGAAGCTCTCCCCACCCTTTCTTCATTTTCTTGTTTTTTGTCCTTGTCTTTCTTGTCTTTGTTTTTTTCAATTTTCTTCATTTCAAGAAAATTTTTGAAAGTTTTAGCTCAACCAGTGGTATGGATGGTATGGACAACGCAGAATGTGCTTCAATGGTGGATGAATCGGTTTTGTGAGGTTTATAGTTCATTGGGGGAAGAGGGGGGAAGCTTTACTGGGAAAAGCCTGGAGAGCAAAGGGGTGGGTTTATTGATTTTCTGTGCTTAATCGTCCTGCCGTGTTTTTATCGATTTTATTTTTGGCATTCTGTTTAATGTCAATTCATCCCATTTAAATTTAGTACATTTGAGTCTTACACATATTCGTCTTCAACAACTTTTTCCTTTACCTTGACCCATTTTTTAACTCCAATCGAGATCACTTACATTAATTTTACGTGTATTTCCTTCTTTTTCAACAGATTCGATTGATTTTTAATGTTACGCATTTTTAATTAAATACTTTTTCAGATTTTAACATTAACCTCTTTTAATTATTCTAATGACTACTCTCCTAATTACTCCAACTTTAAATTCAATTAATTTGCTACCAGTTTTGCTCTTCATTTACTGAAATCTGGTCGATCTACTAAGAGACAACTTTTTGCTTTGGTTTCGCCTAAAGATGGAACAAAAATTTCAAAATCACTGAAACCTTATTTTGAGGGAGGGCAGCTCAATATTTCGTTTGGATCTACTAATTCTCAAAAGATTGTTAAGAGAGTTGTCGAGGTTTATGAGGTTTGTGATTTGAGTTTAGTTATTGTCTTGGGTCAATAAAAGCTTCCGAGAATGCCCTGTTTGTTTCTGACTATCTGGCTAGCCTTATGACACAAGATTTAAGACAATGTTACTTAAGCCTCCGGGATTGGCCCATATATCTTCTTTGATTTTTCTGTGAGTCAAGATTCAAGTCCATATACTTCAGGTTCCGGGGTTGGCCCATTTGTCTTCTCCGGTTTATTTAAGACCATATACTTCTGGTTCCGGGATTGGCCTGTTTGTCTTTGTGGTTTCTCTTTTGGATAATTTCAAGACCGTGTACTTTATTTGATTAGCTTTCCTTTTTCTTTATTCATTTTAATCAGACCTATAATATTTTACAGTTTTGCGCCGTTCTTGTCATTATAAACGAGGAAAGCAACATTGCTGACGTGGAAAACAAGTAGGGCCTAAAATCTCAATCATTCGCCTCAAAGACCCGCTCATTCCTAACAATATTTTTTAACAACCGAATTAATCTTTTATCATCCAAGAACCTCCGGTTTTTTTAACATTTTTGTTTGAAATATTTTTTAAATTTTTTCAGGAATTTATTCTTTTATTCTAGTTTATCATTCAATATTTTTTAACAACATTCTGAGGTATTCTCTTGTGCAAAGAAAAAACCACCTCTGATTTCCAGTGTGTACAATTAGAATATGGTTGATGAATTCAATTAGTGCAGTTGATATGAAGGCAGGTTTCTTAATTACTTATGTGGGTTTAGGGCACTTATAGAGATGGGAAGTGGAAAAGAAATTTACTTGTATTTAACTAACACTAAACTAAACAGCCCAATAGATCACATGTTTACAAGTGCCAGGGGTTTAGGGACCAGTTTATTTTTTTGGTTAAATTTTATCCGAGTTCTCTTGTTTAACTAATTGGGGGATGTCAAGTGTTTATTTCATTCGCGTTCCCATCAACTAGATGACCAATTATTCTATTTTCCATTCTATTTTTAATAGTCTTTTCATCCTTTTCTTACATTCTTTGCGCAATTTACCCCCTTTCAATCTCCTCAACTTTCAAGTCCATAATTAATTCATCAGCCATTTTGCAGTACATACTGGGTTTAAAAATAAGCAACTCTTTAAATTCTCTATTTTCATTTTTAATTTTATATTATTTATTATTTTATTTTAACTTTGTAGAGGACATTTTCTCGAACCTCAAAATTAAAAATTTATAATGTGTATTTTTCTCCATTTTCATTATTTCTCCTCTTTTGCTCTTTATATTTTTGCCATCATTATTTCTTCACATATTTCCAAGTGGCTGGTTCAATAGAGAAAGTGTTTTCTCCACATTTATCCCCCAAATAATATTTGGCCACCCCTAGTTGTGTAGACGTGTTCTTTGCCAATTTTTCTCTCTTACTCCTTCACCTCTGTTTGTGCCTTTTATTTAAAGAGTTTGTTTGTATGGCCCAGATTTAGCTCCCATATTCAAAAATAAATCCACTTTTATTTGCGAAATTTGAACAATTTTTGTTGGCCCACCCATTTTCCACATTTCTGTTTGTTTTTCATTAATTTTGACCTCTGTATCAGTAATTGGTTGTGAAATCGACAGATCGGTGTTTTCAAGATTTTCTTCAGATCGGGTATCAGGTTGGAAAAAAGTCCGTTTTTGGAAACCGTTCCATCCCTGCTCTTTATAACTACAAACTCTTTTAATAATTGTGTTTTTATTTTAAAATATTAGTCACTTTTTATAATTTTTTAATGCAAATTTTGGAATAACGAACATCTGCGTTTTTTCTCCTTTTTCTCTTTTCTATTTATTCATTTCCCTCAATTTCCGATTTTTTCCTTCCCCTACATCCTCATTTCCTATTAAATTGAATTAAAAAATGTTGACCGGATGTCTCTATCTTCTTCATTTTTTTACCATCTTCCATTTTACTTTTCACAAAAATATAGACAATTCGCGCGCTGCTTTTTCTCTTTACCCTTTATCTTCTTTCCTTTATTAACCAACAGTTTAATCTTCTTTCCTTCGTTTGTTTCATTGTTTTTTTATTTCTGGACATTGTTGAATAATTCTTTTTTGTCTGGTCATTTCTCTGACATTTGCTCCAAAATTAGGAAAAAAATTATATATTTAATTTATTTTTGACAATTACACTCTCGATGCACAATCCGGTTAATCTCCTTCCTAAATACTTTTAAATACATAATTTATTATTTTTTTTTCTCATTACTGACTGTTTTATTACATATCTTAATTATTTGGCTTTGCTCTAATTTTCTCGATATCTAGTCATTTTATATATTTTTTACTTCTAATTGAAACTTTTGTTTTTTATTTACCGCTATTCTCAGAAAATTTTTATATCTCTTAACCTTGAATATTATTTTTGGGGAATTTCTGTGCAAGATAAGGATCTCTGCCGGATACTCCCGCCATCTTCTTATGATTGTATTCTCACTAACATATTTTGATAAATTAGCCAAATTTATTGAAATGGGCTGACAAAATTTTTATACATATTTTTATTTTGGAGATCCTTTTACATATTTGGATGTGTTAATATTTTCCAAAATATTTTATTAAGTTATTTTGTTGCTATGATTGGGACAACTAATTAAATCACATACATATCCACGTTCGCAAAATATGTAATTATAATTTCCTTCTTTTATCGTTTCTAATTCAAAACCTCCTTTTTTTGCTCTTTATTTAAGTCCAACAACACATAGGTATCCTACACTAATAAATCAAGTTTATTTTTTTCAGCCAGCTTAAGAAGTATTATGTACCTCTTAAATTTAATTGCAATAAAACATTTGTGCTACTTTTTTATAATCTAGTCAAACCATTCAACCTACCATTTTTTTCATCAAGTTGTTTCTTGCCTCAATAAATTATATGTACTTTTTTGTCTTTAATCGCCCAAAATTTCATTAGTTTCTGCCCATTTTCTTCCAAATTCTGGCCTATCACTAATTGATTTATATTTTTTGTCTTGTTTTTTTCATTCATATATTTTTTGTCATCCTTTCATTGCATCAGCGGTTTTTCATCTACCTAGTTGTTGAATAGAAGGGGGTGGACGTGATTGGAAAGTATGGCGAGCAAACAAAATTCCGAGAGATTTTTGGTGTTATTTTTTCTACGCATCAACAGTTTAACCAATATTTCCACGCTTCCATTTTTTACAGCCAGCTAAAAATGGCTAAAATTAAATATGTATAATTAAGAGCCTCTGAGATTTTTTATGATTAATTAATTGGCCACTAATTCATCTTAAATTCTTGACTTGTGTGGCAATTCCCATAGATTCATTCCAAAAAACAATTCACTTTTTTAATCTTTTGTCTTTAATGATCCTTTTTTTTGAAAAATCACATTGATTTCTCGAATTCTGAGTTAACGAATGTTGCCACTTGAGTGTATCTTCTAAAAGCGCAAGGGAATGGTTTTAGATGGGTTGACTAACTAGCTGAGGGAAAGAATGATGTAATTGAATAAATCTAACTATTTTTCCGCTCACAGTTGCCCGATACTTAAAAAAGCATTGTTGAAGAATAAAGGAGGTAAATAAAAGATTTTGTTGACCAACAAATTTGTGTATTCGAGGACACGTTTTTGCCAGAACGCGTTTTTTGCTTCTTGTCCTTCCAAGTTGAAACAACATGAAATATTTTGATAAAACGAAACTTCACTAAAGATTCTTTTCAATTGGACTTTCCAAAACTGCATATTTTCACTCGCCTTTTTTTAAATCCCGCGAGAGTAGCTTCAAAATTGTGCAAAAATCTTTTTCTTTTTTCGTTTTTTTACTCCTTTTTGTCAGTTATTGCTTTTGTGCCCGTCTTTGTGGTCAGCCAATTTTCATCTTTCTCGCCCTGCTTTATCTATTTTTCCTCTGCCAACTGAATTATTAGGCAATCTTGTAAAATTTTAAAGGGATTCATTGTCCACATAAATTTTTTAAAAATTTGCAATTTATCGGCTAAATTCGTTTCAATTTTTTAAAATAAATAAAATGTTATTGTATTCTCCAATAGATTTTTTGTGATGAATCATCGCATTTATTATTTAATTTCTCAGTCATTGTAGATTTTTTATTTATTCAATACATAATAGCGTTTTTCATTCAATTTTTCATCTAAAATTGTACAGAAATTTCCCAATTTTTTATTCTTTTGTGCTAAAAGAACTAACTTCATAATCTCATATTTTTTTTTGCTTTGCTAACTATTCCCATCAAAGGACCATTTTTTGATGATTCAACAAATTTGACTAAAAAATAATGATTCATATTCAAACAAAGTTGATGCTTAAGAGGAATTAAGCTTGGATAAGGTAACAGAATCTAAATTTAAATTTAAGAACCCTCTTCTCTTACACTTGGTCTTTCCTGGGATAATTTTTTTCAACCACTTCCTAGTAATTTTTCAAATGAGTTAAAAATTTTATTAATTTTGATTTTTTTCTTTCCTTTTTTGTTTGTTTATTTGTAATCTGTCACACCTGCATTTTTATGCTTTATTTTCAATATTTATTTTTTTCTTTTTTTTTACAATTTTATTTTTATTTCATCTTCTTGTTTTAAAAAAATGAACAAACGTAGGAATAATTTCAAAACACAATTTTATGAATCAAACTACTAAAGTTTATACATATTTGTTTTTTAAATTTAAATAAGTTTGACTCAAGTTTATAACGTTTTAACCTTGAGATTATAACAACATAATAATTGGATTTTATAATTCACTTCCCTTTTATCTTTCTTAAGATTATCCGCTTTTGTTTGATTTTTATTTTTCCTACTCATGTTTTCTTTAATTGGATATATGCGCAGATTTTCAAGTTATCTATTTTTTCTCTCTTTGGTCTTCATTTGAAAATTTTTACATATTCTTGTTGGAAATATCCGTTGTACACGTGAACTACATATATAGCTTCATAACCTTCCCAATACACAATATTCCTTTATTTTTTCTTAAAAAAAGAGTATATGTACTATTTATTATGTATGTATTGTTGTCATGTTATTCAAAAAAATGTGGACAAAATCTCTCGAGGGCATGAAGGAAATGTAAAGTGGACACCCCCCCCCCCAACTATGGTTTTTGCTTTCATCCGCAAACATTTATTTTTTTCTCCTAAATAAAAATATCGAACAAATTACAATTAATATTTAAATATCGCTGGGAATGAGAACACAAAATTTCGAGATTTACTATCAAATTTCAATCTTCCCTTCGGATTTATTTATACATCACTTCCTTTTCATTCTAATAGTTAAAAACATCTGGCATGTAGAAATTATTTCTTCTCAGATTCCTCTCTTTTTTGATTTCTTTTTTTTATATATTTTTTTAAATTTTCTTTTGTGGCTACATACATTTTTTATTGGATTTGTTGTTAAAAATATGGGGAAAGTCAGAAATAAATTTGATATGAAAAAAGGGTGAAGTGAAAATAGAAAATAATAAATAATTCGCGGCGATAACATCGATAGAATAAATATTTTGAGTAAAGGGTAAAGGAAATCGAGAATTATGGAATGCGTCTGAAAAAAATGCGGTGAATGACAACACTCAATCACCCATTCCGTAATCAAGTACAATTTTCTAGTGTCCTATAATCACAATCGCGGCAAATTTCCAAACGTCTGCCTTTATTATGAGAAGGCTGACTGTAAAAGGGAGAATAAATTATTTTTTCAGTCAATATTAAATTTTTCAAAAGAGAATTGTCGATTGACAGTAAAGTGCTCTTTTTCCAAAATTTTTGTTATTGTGAAAAATTACACGAATTGCAATTTAGGTGGGACCATTCTAAGGAAAAAGTAGATAATAAAATTAAAATGCAGCATGATTTTACCATTTTTCCGGGTCAAGGTCCCCCAATTCCTTTATCATTTAACACCTTTTAATTTCTTTTCTTTATAGTAAAATTCATCAACCCGTTGCATATGTCTGGCAACGCTTCTTCCTCCTCCACATCTTCAACTCTTTTGCGGTCGATTACCCCGCCCATTGGTAAGCAAAATGAAGGGAAGGAAGAAAAAGACGCAGCACCCCAACAAATCTTCACCACTCCTTCGAATACAACAAACCAACAACAATCTAACGACCAAACCACATTATTACCTTCTGTTGCAGTTAAACGACGACCTGCAGTGCCACCAAAACCGCAACTTGATATCGTTCGTTTCAGTATGGCACAGGCGAAAGGTTGGCTTTTTTTCGTTTTTAATTTTTTTCGAATAAAACTTTAAAAATTTTAAGTAAAATTTCCCTTAAAAACTGGTTATTAAATAAATAATTTTTACTCTTACTGTTTAATATTTTATTTTTCTGTTCAGATGAAGTTGACTTGGACACAATCTTAACTGAATTGCTTGAGCTTGAAGAACAACTAAGTGGTGAGGCGGGTGATAGGCTTGTTCTAGGTCTTCCAACATTACCATCATCTAAACTAAAACTACCAACATTGTCAAAAGATACACAACCAACAACGAAATTGCCATCTCCACAGATGGTCAATCAAGAACAACAACAACAGCATGTTCAATTTCAATTAATCACTGGAAATTCTAATGTAAACGGAAAATCCTCTTCTAACGACAACAGATTTATTTCTTTGAATAATTCTCACTTCCATCATACTAAAACAAATGGATTAGATTTTAGTGATTGTTTCAATCCGGCTGATACTGATTCAGCATTTGGAGATTCTTCTTCAACAGAATCCACATCGCACATGCCTGCTGGTGGAAATGCTTTATTATTGCCTAAAAACGTGGCTAATTGTAATTCAGAATTTTCTAGTGCTGATAGTTTTCTTGGTTCTACACCATCACCTACTAGACAGGTAGATTTTAATTAATTCTTTTTTAATTTGTAAAATTTGAAATTCCTTGCTTTATTGGCCTAATTTTCTGGTTTCATTTAGGACTCGCATCTGTTCTTTTTTTAGTTATTTTTAGTATGTCCGTTTTCTTACATATTGGCATATGTTCAACGGTGCTATTTTTATTTTTACCTTTTCTTTTTAGCTTGTATGCCAAGTTTTCTTTCCTTGCTATTTTTCCCAATACTTAGGTCAGAAAGAGAATAGTATCGCATATCCTTTGGCTTTGGTAATTTTGTGTTTGTATTCGTCCTATAACCTTTTATTTGTAATAAGAACATATGCTTTGACATTTACCTCGAGAATACATTTTAATCGGGTAGCTCTAAAGGCCATGTAAAAAAGATTTTTTTATTACTTGGATAAAAGGTCAAACGAAGGGCGGACGATTTTTCTTTAATTTTATTTTTTTCAATTTTAGATTTTGTTAAAATTTAAATTTTAGGTTATTTTGAATAATAATCAACAAAATGGAGGCGCTCGATTGTTATCTTATCCAACTTCGTCGTCATTTTTGGGAGGATCAAGGCCACCATCTTCAGCTGGTTCGTACAATTCTGCCATTACAATCTCGAAAGATGAAAACAAAAAGGCTAAAATACGTGAAGCATTGGAAAAAATGAAAGAGGCTAAAATGAAAAAGGTTAGCAAAAATAAAATGATAAGTACTATTTATTTTTTAGATTTTTGTTAAAATATTCTTAGAAGATGGAACTCAACGAGGAATTTTAATTGATGAACGTTGGACTGTTGCTGAAACAATGAAACAATTGGCTATTAAAATTAATTGTGTGTTAACTCCTGAACACGCAATTGTTGAAGAATATCCAAAATTATTAATTAGTTGGTTTTTTTTATTTTTATATACTCTGTTCTCTTATCTACTATTTGTTTGTTCTATCCTTAGACCCTTTTAAGGATTGTGTACAAACTAAATACATATAAGCAGATGGTCAAGAAATGTAAAAGGGTGTACTGGATTAATTTTACATTAGAATAAGGATTGAATTTCCTATATGAAAATATAGTACTAGTAGGTTAAAAAATATTGGGTTTGTGTCAAGAGGAACTGACAAGGACTTATTTAACTAATTTTGGGAAATACATAGGATGTCTAATAAAATAAACTTTAATTTTTTCTTTTTCAGAACGTATTTATGAGGATAATGAATTCACTGTGGAAAATTTGGAAGAGTGGGGTGAGAATTCACCTAATGAACTTCATTTTATTCGTTTACCTTATAAATGGTCAATTTTTCATTCTCCTCAACAATTTCTTTTGACTGATCGAAATCGCAACGATTTTCCTTGTGCCAATAGTGTTGCTAATTGGGATTCATTACAGAAGCAACGTTTGTTGGAAAGTTATATGGGAGATGAGAATGGTGGTTCTGGTGGCAGAGTTCCAGAATTGGAGGGATGGCTTTTACTTAAAATGGATGGAAAAAAGTCGTGGAGAAGACATTTTTTTGTTCTTAGAGCTTCTGGTCTGTATTTCTGTTAATTTTTATTCCATTGTACACCCTATAAGGTGTCTCACCCACCCAAACTTACTTAGGCAGTTCCTCGAACTCTAGTTGGTTTCCCCCAAATTCTAGTTCATTATAAAATAATTATATTTTTAAGGTCTATATTATGTCTCAAAGCCTGGAAAGACACGTGGTCCAACGCGCGATCTACAATGTCTTATGAGTGTTTTTAATAATCAAGTATAATTTAATTTTTTAACAAAAATTAAATGTATTTTTAAGGTATATATTTGTACTGATTGGCGTAAGAAATACAAGGCACCAACCGAGTGGGGATTTGCAATAAAACATCCGCGTGTTCAATTAAAAACCAGTAAATTTGTTAAATATATTTGTGCTGAAGATCAACATACTTTTAATCAGTGGGTTAATGCTCTTCGTATTATCAAGGTTTTAAAGATATTTTTTATCATCCCTTTTCTTTTGGTATGTCAAACTTTTATAAAGTAGTTTGTCACGGGAGTAGGGGGTTGCCTAAGCGATTAATATTTTCATCAGGAGGTCCGATGCAGACCTGGGCGAAACTCAAAATTTTTTTCTGACGAAACGAAACGAAACAAAATTTTTTAAAAATCGTTTCGTTAACGAAACGAAACGAAACAACCAAAATCTTACGAAACGAAACGAAACAAAACGAAACATTTTAATATTCAAAAAATTTTCAAAACTGCATTTATTTCGAAATTATTCGACCTCAAATACGTTATTAGTCGACTATGACTTATAAATGATTTAGTTATTGGTTTATTTACAACAATTGTGTCCCATAAGCCAGGCCCGTAGCAAGGAAAATTTTCGGGGAAGGGGGGGGGGGGTCAATCATTTTCGAAGCCAAATTTTTGGCGACGCTTTTTTTTAAATAAAATTGAATATTTTTCAAGTAAAATTTTATTTTAAGCGCCGCAGACGAAAAATTTTAAAATTTTGAAAGGCCGTAGGCCAAAAAATTCACCATCTTGCTCCATTGCCTACCCAAATTGTCTCCATATCTCCATTTCGAGAGGAAGGCGATATAAGCTAGTGCTTCGCCGGAAGTTCCGGTTCCAGTATTTCCGCAACTCGCAATCCGCAATTTTTAAATTATGATGCGAGTCCGGTAATAGAATTTGTCGTCGATTAAGTAATATGTATATGTGGATTAGGGAGTGGAGTATAAACGGATTTGTAGTATATAAGTAATTGCTATCTTCCTTTTTCAGCGCCGCAGGCGAAAATTTTGACAATTTGGGAAAGCCAAGAAGCCGAAATTCTTTTTTTTTCAGCGCCGCAGGCGAAAATTTTTTAAATTTTCAATAAAAGATGGTAAATTTTATAGATTTTGGCCTTAGTTTAGGCTTAAAAAATTGTTTCGTTTCGTTGAAAAATCACAGGTGTTTCGTAACGAAACGAAACGAAACAAATTTAAAAGTGTTTCGTAACGAAACGAGACGAAACAGTAAAAATCATACGAAACATACGAAACAACGAAACGAAACGAAACGTTTCGCCCACGTCTGGTCCGATGTATTCTAAATTTTCCTTTTATAGAACGGCTTTTCTACTCTATATAAAGCATTTTGCACTGCCCATGCTTCTTGCGAGCCTATTGACTCTTGCTCTGTTCATGTTGAAATTCCTAAAGTTCCATCAAAACATTTATTTGGGTCACCTGTTGGAATTCATTCGCCTTATAGAAGGACTCCAAACATTTCTGCTTCTCCTTGTTCAACACCAGGCTTTGTTGTTGCTGCTCTTGGTACGTCTCATTCTTCGCGGACGAGTTGTGATACTCGTTTTGGTTCGCCAACAATTCAATGTGGCAGACTTGCTTTTGAACAGGTTTAATAATAAATTTTGATTTTTAGAAAATATTTTATAATTCTAGGATTTTTGCAATACAATTAAACGCCAACCAAATCCATCAAATTCTGGAATATCTCAACAACATCAACAACAAAATAGTAATTTTGCTCTTTCTCCCTTCGCTGAAAATTCTTTTGAATCAACAAAAATATTTTCGAATAGATTAGAAGAAAACGATTCGGATGAGGCAGATGAAGAATTTTTTCCCCTCCCGCCACTACCTTCTTCACTTCCAACGTCTCCTATTCGAGTAAGAAAATTTTTTATCGTTATTTGTTTTATTTCTGGGGCTGCCAATAACGATTTTAAACAAATCAGTGGTTTTTAAATTCCGGTTTTTGATTTCTGTTTTGGGGCCCGAATTTCCTTCTTATTGTTAATTTATTTTCTTTTTTATAAGATCCTAAAACAACTTCCCCCACCACCACCTCCAAAAAGAACTACACCAATAAAACCAACCCTACAAATGGATTCTATGGCCGAATTAACACTAGCAATAAACAGGCAAAAGATAAGGATTGAAAATAGAATTTCTAATAATAATTAGGATTTAATACTATCACGATACGGAATCTAACTATTATTATCAGTATTTTTTATATGTACTACATGTTTTGATGCAGAATTTTAAATTTTTTAGGATAGAATTTTTACAGTAAAATTAAAATAGTTTAAAATATCAAATATAATCTGCATCTTACTAGATATTTTTTATGTTTACATTACAAATAGGTCTGGGTCTAATTCAATACATATTCCTGGTAAGGATTTTATCATTTATAAATTAGGCCTAGATCTTTGTTTATTTTTTGTATTTTATTTAGTAAATTAATAATTATAAATACATTATTTTTAGAAAATAAATTTATTGAATTGATCGATTGATATAGATTAGTATCGATTTTTTAAGAATTAAAATTTGTAAAATTAATTATCAATTGAAATCGGTTGTTCGATTTTTTATGTTTTTAATCAATTAGTGTCGATTTTACGAGTAAGTACATAAAGATTTTTAAAAAATTTTTGAACTCCGCTCTCAACTGACCTTATCCGGATATATTCCTCTTTATCTCTGACCATGCTATTTTTTATAATTTCTTTAACTCGCGGACAAACTGTCATTTTTCATTTTCTCTCCAGTTTTATTTTTCTTCTCTAACTACAATATTTCTCAATCATTTTCTTTCGATAAAGGACGATTCAGTGTCGCCGACTCAATCTCGAGGCAATATTTGCGCCATAACTTTATTTGCGTCCGATCCGAGTAAACGCGTATCATTAAAGATCAAAGAGCTGCAGAGCTTTCAATAATTGTCTAAATTGGTTAGGAATAAAAAAGTTTTGGCTCAAAATAAGACCGGCGATACTGAAACGTCTTTTACAATAATTTGGCAAGGTGTATTTATTGATTTTATCTGAGATTTAATGTTAGACCACTTTTCACTTTTCTAGAAGTTTTATTTCTACCAAGGTACTTAATTGTTATTTGTCTTTTTAGTATTAATAAATTTTATTTATTGTTAATGGCCAAACACCATCCAGATTTAATCTTTTGTCGTAAGTTTCAAATACATAATTTAAATTAGATTCTTTATCATTTTAGGTAAACAGCCAGGTGTTGCAATTGGTAGATTATGTGATAAGTGTGATGGTAGCTGTGTAATTTGTGATTCTTATGTCAGACCAGCCACGCTTGTTCGAATTTGTGATGAATGCAATTATGGAAGTTATCAGGTTTATTTACATTGAAATTTGATTTACAATCTAACTACGTCTTTTAGGGACGTTGTGTTATTTGTGGTGGTCCTGGAACCAGTGATGCTTATTATTGCAAGGAATGCACGATTATGGAAAAGGATAGAGATGGATGTCCAAAAATTGTCAATTTAGGGAGTGCCAAGACGGATTTGTTCTATGAACGGAAAAAATATGGCTTTAAAAAAACTTGATATTTTGAAAGTTTTTACTATTTATATTTTTTAATAAACTCGTTTTACTTTTTATTTATATTCTCCATTTGTTCCTATCCAAGCTATTATTTTTCTATTATCCACCTTTAAAGATTTCTTTTAGTTTATAGATCTTAAGCATGACTAAAGTTCATTATTGCAAACGTCCAGACAACAATACAAAATCGTGCAAGGCGCGTGGTTCTGACTTGCGTGTTCACTTCAAAAACACGCATGAAACAGCTAGAGCGGTCAAAGGGATGCCATTGAAAAGAGCCATTCGCTTTTTGGAGAATGTTAAGGAAAAGAAGGAGATTGTTCCTTTTCGTCACTTCAATGGTGGTGTTGGACGAAAGGCGCAGGCTAAGGCTTGGGGTATTTTTTATTTATTCGAGGGATTGTCTTGAAGGAATATAAGTATCTTGATTATTCTAACACTAACAATAAGGGTATGTCCGTATAAAAATGTTGGTGTGGGGGACTAAACAGGGAATTACTCAATTTAATCCTTATTACAGGTACGACTCAGGGACGCTGGCCAAAGAAGTCTGCGGAATTTCTCTTACAACTCTTGCGGTTAATTTTTTACAATTTACACATTTCTCACATCAATATTTTTAGAAATGCTGAAAGCAATGCTGAGGTTAAAGGACTCGATGTTGACCATCTTGTGATTGACCATATTGTGGTGCAGGCTGCGGCCAAAATGCGAAGGCGCACATATAGGGCTCATGGACGTATAAACCCTTATATGAGCTCGGTATTTTTTAAGAAAAAATTTTAAATTGGATTCATTGTTTGATAGACTAGTGGTGTTGGGGGGGGGTATCCTTTTTAAGCCGAATTTCTGGTTTTGTTAAATCATTTCTAATCTCCGGTTTAGAGATTTAATCCACCTAACTACTACCATCAGGCCCGAAAGGATTCAACTATAATTTCTTAATATCTGGAAAAATTTTAACTTAAAAATATTTAGCCTTGCCATATTGAAGTGATTTTAACTGAGAAGAAGGAAATCGTTTCTAAACCTGCTGGAGCAATTGTTAAGGTGAAGAAGGAGTCTAAGAAAAAACAGCGACGACAATTGGCCCGTGGCGAATACTAAATGGAAGGTGGATTTATTTTTCTGAAAATGTTATGTTGTTATTGAGGCTTGTTGATAAAAATTAAACTTATTAAGTTATTTTTTAGTTTTGGGTGTAGATTTTGTACATTAGTTTAAGAACGTGGACGTTACTCCTGTTCCTAATTCAAAAATTTAAACGAAAATTTTCTTTTCATTTTTTTGGTACACTGTCCATTCTCCTAAGTTTTAATTGATCGAAACCTTTGATTCCTTCAGGCTAAACTAATTTAAATGTAAGGATTAAAGACCCAAGATTTGGAATCAGCTTAGTTAGCTTATTGTTAGTTTCCTTTTAAATAGGTAATTTAGGAAACAGTATTCATTGTTTTCAATTTAGCTTTTTTGGCTTTCTTTTAATTTTTAATCTGCTATTTGATTGATACCTACTCATTAAATCAACCCCCAGCTTTTCTTAAATTCTATCAGTTAGGCTTTCTATTGCATCCATTACTAATATAGAATATTTATATTTTCTCTCCTTCCTACTCTTCCAAACTCAGCTCATCCTTCCTTGTTTTTAATCCTTTGCCCATTTATGAATAATTCCTGACAACCGGTTTTGGATTGCACACCCGTTGTGCACGTTGCCCGCTTAAAGTGAGAGGCGCCTGCAATTCACACAAATCGATGAAAAGTCTTCTGTTGAGCTAAAAAAATTAGAGGAATGCGACGAATCCATTAGAGTGGACGCGACAAGAGTTGTTGCTGTGTAGTTTAGGCGGTTGAAAATTCTTTAAAAATTTGAAAACACTTTTAACTTTTCTTTTAAACTTTAATAGTTTTCACATTATATTCGAATTTTCAAATGAATGGTCATTAAAAGATTTTTTTACTTTGCATCTTTTACAATCGGCCTGCCTTATTGGGAGCCCATTCACTTAAGAATAATTTACAATTTCTCGATTGCCTAATTCCTATTTTAAAAAATGCAAAATCAGAAGCGACACCAACAAGTAGAGCAAATTGAAATAATTGAGAGAACTGTGGAAGAGGGCAGTCGGTTTGTTTAATTTAATTATTTTTATCTACTAATTAAGATTTTTTATAGTCCAATTACTTCACCTGGTCAGTTATAAATTTCATGTGAAATATAAATTTTTAATTTTCCCAACCAAGAAGCTTTTACACCTGTTTCCTTTGTGAAAAAATCTACAGAAAACTTTGTATCTACTGACTTCAGTGAGGATATAAAAAGAAGGTTGTTTAGCTTTCTGGTAATTTAGAAAAGTTAATGCAAGTTTCAGATTTAATTTGCCATGCGAAAAAGATGTTGAACGCGATGCTTCAGTTTTTTATAGTCCCTCTATGGGTCCTCAACCTTCATTATTTGTCTCACCTCCAATTTGCCAATCAACGCCGGAGAGATCAATCTCAATTAAACAAATTGGGTATGATCTTCACGAAGTGCAGACACATGGTTTTAATTTTTTGCTAAAGTTGAAATTTAAAAAATCCTTTTGAAGCAGGTACGGCACAAATAATAAAAACCCATGGGGCTGGAAAATTATCGCACGAAGAGAGTATGTCAGGAAGGACAGATTTTGCTGGAGCAGGTTTAAGTCGATTAAGTAGTCCAGGTATACTCAAGCATCCGCGACATACTTTGGCTGAAATTGAAGGTAACCCATGCAGAAGCCCTTCCTCCGACAGGTTTTACATTATTACAAAAATATTTTAGTATTTCAGTTCGATCCAACGAAAAGATAGCTATCGACGGATGCAAGAACTTCCCCATGATGTATCTTATGGTGTAAGGAATTCTTAGGATTAACACGTAAGCAATATATTTTTTAGCAACCTTCTAACTTATCGGCAATTTCCGACTCAAAAAAGCTGTCGGGGTGGACTGGAAAATTTTTGGAGCTTGGAAAACTTAAAAAACAAAAACATTTAATTGGTGAGGATTCACTTGACAGATTGAAAGGCTCAATTACAGAATTAAGCAGACAAATGAGGTTAGGAAATTGGTAACAAAAAAAATAATTTTTAAATTTAGGGAATCCGCATTGACACGACCTCGACTTGTTTTAATTTTTATATTTTTAATTATTCTTCTGTTGTTTTTTTGGTTCATTTTCTCGGCGCTTTTTCTTCCAAAATCCACCTTCTCCTTTTGGTTATATCCTCCTATTTGTGAGGAGTGTCAACGCCGAACAGGCTCAAGCAACAGATCACCCAGCAGACTTTATGTTCATCTACACAGTCCTGCACAATTACATTTTGAATTAGTTGGAAGTCCTCCATTTAAGTCGAATAGCTTTACTGCTGTTGATTTTGACACGGTATTTAAATTAATTTTTACAATATTTTGAATTGTTGGGCTTTCTTTATCTAGTCAGTACATTGGATTTTTTGGTTGTAGGAACCTTGAATATGTGACAAAAATATGGGAAATATTTAGGGAAATGAGTGTTGTAACTTAAAAAATGGTTGTAACCTTTTTAATAATGAAGTAATTTAAGGGATATGTGGCCGTGGCTGACCATTCCCTTACTGACGGTGCTGGAAGGCATATAATTTGTTTTATAATGCAACTAGATACAAGTTCATTACCTAGTATGAGTTCAGTGAATAATGCGTTGAAAAAAACCTTTCAAGAGGTATGTTTAAAACAAAAACTATATGAAAAGGATATGTTTTGAATTTAGAGGGGATATAGTTTTTTTATTTTAGTTAGTCTTGGCTATTTTGTAATATTTATAATAATCTTTCCAGGTATATGCTCAATTTGGATGGCAGGAATACTGGTAACAATTTTTTATTATTTTAAAATACTTTTTATAAAGGCAATTCACAGTCGAACAGGTCGATAGATCATTTGTCGAAGGTAAATTTAAGGATCCAATCGAAGATTGTCAAAATGTTCAGTGGTACTTACTGAAACACACTCTCTACACAAACGGTTTTTTCTTTCTATATATTTCTGTTAATTTAATTCCTTTTTAGACGAATCGTGCTCCTATTGTTACGATTTTTGTCTTCCTGATTATGCTGTATAAATGCTTTGATTTATTAAAATAATCTTCAATTTCGAGGTACTTCGTCGACAAAAATATGAGGATGAAGTGTCGATTGAGATACGTCGACTAAACTGTTTTAGGTATATTTGTTTGATTTTTTAAATAGATTCTGGTTCAACATGATAAGAACAATTAAACACTGACCTGGGTGTTATGCCCTGTTCGGTGTATCTTTGATTGTACGGATAAAACTTGCTTGGACTTGTAAACTGGACAACCAAAATTTTTATTTAAGGCTCTACGTACCAGAATGGTCAAAGTTCGAATTTAAAACAGATGCAACAGGAGGACATTTTGCCTATCCAGTAAACCAGCCACAAAACACACAAAGAGTTGAAAATGTTAATTGGGTAAATTACAAGTATTCGTCACAACAACAAAGTGGTACAACAGCAAAATTGTTGTAGCTGCCTTTAAAACAGCTGATTAGAATTAATGAGATTTTCTAAATCATTTAGAAATAAAACAGAATTCTAGCAATAAATAATTTTCACTCTTTTAAAATTTGTTTGTTGTAGCTATGATTATCCGAGCACCAATCTAATATACCGCGTCGTCTAATTTTCAGATGAAAATACGATTTTTAGAAGGCATTCTTCTGGGGGTGTCAGTAAAAGTTTGTGAATAATCGACTCTTAAATTAATTACTAAAGGCACAGAATTTATTCAATAATACATTGTTTTATTGGTGATATGAGAGAGATTGGAAATAGTACTTCGGAAACTTATTTTTTAGGCGTTCACTGGCAAATAAATACTAAGACCAAGATAAAATTAAGAGATTAACAGTTTCCGAGCACTAATTTATAAATTTGATATAAGATTCCGAATACAACATATACGAAGTTAAGCGAATATATTTACCGTTAGGCAGCCAATAAATGTCACTAGAAAATAACAAAGTATAGTGAATAAGGTTAATTATGTCAATGAAAAACGTGATTATAGTTAAAAACTGAATGCATAGTTAAGTATATATTTTGGGTTAAGCATCAGATAACTAACATTTTTAGTGAAAAGATAAGCAAGTTTGAACAGAAAAAGGGCTTAAAAATGTATAAATCTTGGAAAATAAAAACCCTCGATGATGTAACCAAAATAGTAAATTCAAAGAACACCACATGTTCTCTTAGGTTTTGGTGGAGGAGGACAAAGCACAGCACGGATTGCTTCATCAAAAACTTTAAAATGAGAAAATTAAAAAAAGATATATATCAAAAATTTAAAATAAACCTTGCTTCAATCCAACTTGAGTCAAGGCAGAACACTCCAAATATTTGACAGCTTTAATGTCCTTAGCCATTTGATGTCCTTGAACTGTGCTAATTGGTGTAAGTCGACGCTCTCGTAATTTTTCAACCGTTTTTGGATCTTCACGTAAATCAAGTTTTGTTCCTTAAATAAATAAAAAGAATTTAATAATTGAAGGAAAATATAAAAAAACTCACCAACTAAAATGATTGGAGTATGAGGACTATGGTGCGAGACTTCTGAATGCCATTTTGCTCGAATGTTCTCGAAAGATGCGGGATTGACAAGGCTAAATTTTAGTTGAACTTTTTAAAATAAAAATTAGGAAAGAAACCTGAAACAGAGAATAAAGCAGTCAGTTTGTGGGTAGCTAAGTGGTCTTAAACGATCATAATCCTCCTGACCAGCTGTATCCCAAAGCCTTAAAAAATTTAATAAAATATAAAAATACTGTCAGATTAAAAATAAAAAAAAATATTTTAAAGAACGCTTCAGTATTTTCAAAAATTTACCCAAGGTTGATTGGCCTCTGATCGACCATGACCTAATTGTAAAAAAAATTATTAAAAATTTAACCTGATTAAAAACTCACATTCGCTGAATAATTATCAAAAACTGTTGGTATGTATTCTCCAGGAAATGCATTAGTTGTATAGCTGATCAATAAACACGTCTTACCAACTGCACCATCACCAACCACGACACATTTTATTGCTTGCATTGTACCTGGTTCTGTAGAACGCAATAAAAAGAAAATCAGGACCTACGTAAAAAACGGTAAAAAATAAAAAATATCTTCAAAAATGATTTTCAAAATATGGTACAGCCCAAGTAAGCGCGGGCCAAGTATGCGCGACCGAGGACAAGTAGGCGCAGTTGTCTTGGGCACTGTGATTTAATCAGTTTTACTTCAAAAATATTATCAGGCTATATCTTTCCACGGTAAACATGCCTACTTGATTCAATTTTTCAAAATTTTAATTTGATCTTCTCAATTTGCCAAAGTTGAAAATTTCTTCCTTCAATTTTTAGTGTAAAAAATAATTCTTTTCTCATTTTTTATTATTTAGAGCATCTTTTATTAAAAAATTTCAAAAACTAATTGTGAATAATGCCTTTAAATTTATCACTTAAAGAGGTTGTATAAGTCTTTTTAACTTGTAATCATTTATATTTTAGGAACTTGATTTACGACTACATGAAAAAATCTGTGATGAATTACATGTCTTAAATTTACAACAAGTTGTTGATTCGCCAACACATTCTTTTCAAATAATAAATGATCTACAAATGCATTATAAAGAAGTTTTTGCTAAAGATCGTACTGATTTATCTCTTATATTGACGTAAATTAACTTTTCATTTTTATGTTTGATTTTATTTTTCAGTCTTGGAAAAGCTAATCAATTAGGACCACCTGCATTGGATGCACTCAAAAAAGGTTTACAAGATCATCTTCGAATGCTCAAACAAACAGAAACTAATACTAAACAACCAAATGCTGTTTTAGAACATGATGCAGCCAAAAGAAGGGCGGATAAATTGGCTGAAATCCTTCGAGTATTTTTTTACTTTTTTGAAGGTCATTATTTTTTTAGTCGAAATTAATTTGGGACAACACACATGATGAACTACAAATTTTAGATGCTTCAGATATTTCAATCAGATATCAAAAATTAGTATCATTGCAACAAAGCTGTGATATTCTAAAAATGGTAAGTTAATAAAAATTGAGAATTCTCAACTAAATTTTTTTCTTTATTTTTAAGTATTCTTTGGATAAATCTCAACTCGAAACTTTTGAAAAAATCAGAGAGGAGTTTCTTGCTTGGTATTCGCCAGCAACAATTCTTGCACTGGATTCAAATGATATAAAACAACTAGAAAATATACGTGAAAAATATTCCTCGCTTGATCGAATTCAAGGTATTTAATCATCAAAAAAATTTTTTATTAAATGTTGTATGTATTTAGTTTTTGAATCGAATCTTGGTGGTTATCCAAAGAGTAAACTTAAATCGTTTTTTGAATCAAAAAAGGAAGAGCTTTCTCTTTGGAATATTTTGGATGAAATATTTACGATTTGGAAACGTTGTCACAAGTCTGTTTAATTTGTAAATTATTTTAATTTAACACATTTTAGGACGATAGATTTATTTATTGCAGAAAATGGTTCTGAATTTGTCTGTAAAAATCTTAAAGAAGCAATAGAATCAAATTGGCAAACAATTTTGTCTGTTATCACTACCATTATTTCTAATGCTGAAAGTCCATTCATTGCTGCTAAATCAATTGGAAAGGTATTTTGCCAATTAATGTAAAATTTGGTACCCTTGGTTATTTCCCCCAGTTTATTTTATTCTCTTTTCCCTAACAAATGTATTCATGCGGCAAAGTGAGTCAATTTCTATGAAATTTTTTATTCTCATTCCAAGCATTATTAAATCTATTTTCTAACTTCTATTAATTATAAAATTCTGTTTCAGATTCTCTATGACTATACTGCAATGATCGAGGAAGAAGGGGATTCCTTTATTCTATTTCTTTTTTCTGAATTGGCCAAATCAATTTATGTTATCATAAGCGAAGACTATGGGAAGCATGTTACTTCAATTCTTTTATGTACAATAAATAAAATCACGGTCTCTTTAAATTTGTTTAGAATAACCTAAATTATTTTCAGCCAGATAAGAGCTCTCGACATCAACACAATTGGCTCATGCCTTATTTGGAAGATATTCAGTCATGTATGTATGATATTGTTAACGAGGCAAGAAGCACATTTGGCACAAATTTTTCTAAACATATTATTCCGTCTTTTGAGGTTTTTTTCAATAAAAATATTTTTAAAAATCAATTTTAGTTAGCTATACGTGAAATAAATTCTTTTCTTCAAAATCAGGACATTTTAAATATAAAAACAAATTCTGTAGATATACGAAAAAGGAAAAGTGTACAAGAAAATACTGAAGATAAACTTTCTGCCATTTGTTCTGCAGGTTTTTTTACGTAAAATTTGCAATTAATAAAATTTTTTTTAGGATATCTCCTTAATATGGTTAAAGATGTCAACGATTATATTATTCAAGTAACTTCAGAAAGTTTGGGTTCACAATCAACAGGTATTTTAAAAAATTTTCCAATTTAATTTATTTTTGTTTTAGAAAATCTAATGCTTATAACAAAATATTCAATTCTTGACACGTTAACAGTGAAGGTTGTTGAACGTAAAATAGAATCAATAGCAAACACAATAATTTACCCTATGGAAGATGAAATGCAAAAAATGGTTATCTTTTCATTTTTTACCTTTGAAAATATTTTAGTGGCAAAAGCATGCTGAAGAATTAGTAGATGGTTCAGGCAATTCGAAAGATGATTTAAGCACTTCTTTGCCCAGTTTTAGCGTGTCACCTCAAAATTATGTTACTGGAATTGGACATGGACTTCTCTCGCAGATGAATACTATAAGTGCTTATGGAAATGATAGAAATTTTATTACTGCAATTAGTTGTGCAGCATCCAATGGAAAAACGTCATTTAATGGTTAATCTTTTATATTTTTAGATTTTAGATTAGGGACAGACAATCTGTCGATTAAATCTTAGGACGGAGTTTTATTCCCAAACTTGATAAATTTTCTAAATTTTTAAATTGTCTTTTCTTTAGTGGATGAACCGGATTTTTGGCTTTTGACAGAGGTTTGCCTTAATAAAATTTCCCATTGATTTAAAAACTTATTATTCTTATAGGTGGCAACTCTTGTCCAAAATTCATTCTGTTCAAATATTGCCAACTTTAAGAAACCTTCCTTAAAATTGAAACGTCAATTAAATGCAGACATTGGTAAATAATTTAAAAAGTAAAATTTTAATTTAATTGGTTGGTTTTTAGTTTTTCTTATGGATGCCTTGGCAGACCTTCGGCTTTGTCCAACTCCTCAGCTTGCTAAATTGGCTGATAATGCTAAGGAAAATTAAATCGAAAAAAATCTTTTTAAATTTTTTAGTATTCCTTATGTGATATTTAATAATTTATTAAGCATATTATGATAAAGATTATTGAGTTATAATTATTTAAATTAAACTACACGGCAATTCAAATCTCCAAAATATTCTATTTATTATTCTTATAAGATTTTTTTAGTTGTTTACAATCTTGGAATACTTATGGCAAAATTTTAATATCTTGACGTGCAGCTCATTAGTAATTATTCTACTTTTTTGGTACAAAATCATTTCCATTTAAACCCCAAAAAATGGACATTGCTAATGCCATCACTGCTACGCCTCCTATTGTGCCAACTGCTAAATATTGACGGTTTTGCTCTATTGATTTCAAGTGGCGTTCTTCTTTAAAAAATTCTAATTCTATTGGATTCAATTGTGGCATGATTTCCTGCATTTCTTGAGGTTGGTTTATAATAGTACAGTTTTGGTTTATTCCAATTTGGGATATATTGCTAATAGTTTCGTAAAACTTAATACATTTTTATATCAGCATTGGGTATTATTTTACCTCTGTGACTGTTATATCTGGCGATAATTCCATGAATCCATTCCTACGTATTAAAACAATAATTCGGCACATTTCACCTATTCCTTTTAGTCTCCATTGCAGTATAAATTCGTTTTCCTCATTTAGAGGGCGTCGCAACTCGACTGCCACGTAATTTGATCTATTCATAAAGGAACGAGCAAAATTCTTCAGTAAAGGTTCAGGGCATATTTCCTTTATAAAATTTTAATAATTTTGTTAAACAATACATACTTTAACTAATATAAACTCATCTAAATATTAACTTACAATATCATGAATTGCTAGAAGAACCTAAGTATTAGGAAAGATTTATTTGATTTTTTAGTTTACTGTTTGATCTAGCGAACGTCTTGTCACTTCGTTGCATTCATTATTAAGCCATTCATCAAGCTCTATCGCTTCTTTTAACAATATAATATTTGTAGGATGTTCATAGGCTTCTAACCATTGAAGAAACATTTCCTTTTGAGTTTTTTTTGGATTTTTGCATTTTTATAAAGGTTGCTTTCACTTACTTTTCGTGTGAGATCCTTATCCGGTATTTGAAATTCCTTAACTTTATTATTTTAGCTTTATTATTTTCTTTATTATTATTTTTTCTTCTAATGACTTAGTTTTGTTAATTCTCTTCTCAAACTATTCAATTTACATTTTTAATTCATAATATTTTTCAATTTACTACGAGAAATTAAGAAACTACTAACCTTGCCATCAGCTACATAAAAGGCAATTACTTGCTTCGAACTTTTCTTTATTTTCCTCTCTATTTCGGCAATAGGAAATGACTTTTGGTAGTAATGAATGTGAATTCCCAATGGTTGATATGTTGACTTTGATACATTCTTTGTTGCTTCCTCATGAGTTTCGTTGATTTCTTTATGGAAATTTTGGGAGTTTATACTGCTTTTCTTGTTGTATTCACTTAGCCACGCGGCTATCTATTTTAAAATGACAAACTCTTTATGCAAGTTGGATAATTGATAACCTTGCGTCTTAATATTTCCCATAATATTAGAAATATAACTTACATCAGCTCTCTCTTTTAAGCATTTTGACTTGCAAACTACTAATAAAAGTCGGCCATTTTCTGTTCTCAACTTTTTAAGTGTTCTACTTAATATTTTTTATTGAAAATTGGAAACAACATTGATGTACCTTTCTTGAAACTTATCATAAGCATTCTCATTCCTTTTTTGATAAGTTTCTTTTCTTTTGTAAACTGTTCTTTTTCCATTAGAAATTGAACAATTTATATTTTTAACAATTATGTAGATTAATAAAATATACAGTAAAATTGACCTCAGATTTATTGACATTGAGATTAAAATGTGAATAAATATTTGTGAGTTCGAATATTCCTAGTACTAACCCACGATAAACAAATAGTACATACTTTCTGTCATTTTTAGTTGAATTGATCTTAAGTAGAGACACCTGTCTATTTTTAAAGTTTGAAAAAAAATGAAGAGAAAATCCTTCAAAATAATTATGATCGAGATTTGAGCTAAAAACAATGAATTGAATGTCAGTTTAGTATGTTTATTTTTTTATCGGAGATTTTAGCTATTTAGTTTAACAATAAGTTTGTGTTGTTATACTATTGCATAATTTTATTCTGCGATTTAATTTTTTCTGGATGGGTTAATTCTTTTATTTTTACAAGGTCAACTCTTTTTTAAATTCCACTTATAAACCAACAATTAATTTGCCTTTTCACTTATCCACTCTGCCTCGAGATTCTTTTCTTGTGCATGCAAGTGTTTCCTCTTCTGCTTTATTTTTTATCCTTCCATTAATTCAATTATGAAGAAATGACCTTATTATCAATAAAATTATCAATAAAAACACTAAATGCTGCAAATTTTGGCAAAATTTTTTATTAATTTCCATCTTCGCGTAGTTTTTTAATCCATTTTTGAGAATTTTTTCTATTTAATATCCTTAAATCTTGGACTGTCAGCGTTCTAAAACCATGCTCCCAATATCATGCTCATTTAAAAATTATATTCATTCCTCACGAGATAGTTCTTTTTTTAACGACAATTTTTTATGGCTGACTTCGATAAAGTACTTTAGCAACTAACTTAGGGACTATAATTTTGCCAAATTCAATCAGGCAATTTTTAACTATTTTCTTTTTTTGAGCTCTTATTCCAACTATCTATATTTCAATATTCCATTGTTTTTCACGCGTTTTATTTTACTTTTCTTGTAATAAAGTCACAATACGTCAGTCAGTCAATCAAAATTGAATTTTCTCTCTTTTCTCTATCCATGGCCCAAAAATGAGTTCCCAGAGCTGCACATTTCCGAGTTTTATTGGCCATAGTAAATGCAGGTAACTCAATCCCTAACATATCCAAATAGTAAATTCCATAAAGGTTGAGTTTATTGGAGACAACATATCCCAACGTTATTGTCTGTATACTATTGCTAAAATGTCTAGAGTTTATGGGATATTTACGGTGTTGCATCTCTTTCGATTCTGCTTTTCTGGAGTGGGTATTATTATAAAGACATCGTCTTTCCTTTGTTCAGTACTTAATAATTAATTTTCAAATTGAACTAAATATGTAGTTGCTCGAACAAAATGCATTGTGAGTTTTCCTCGTTCCTTATCCACACTTTTGCTATTTCGTAATCGATTTCCTCAAAATTGGCTCACTTCTGCCTTATTTGTGCCGCTTTTTCTTAACTAAAATAGAAGTGCGCTTTTCTCTCCCTCTCTCTATTCTTTCTTTCCCGTTAGAGCAATTAAGCACACATTTCTTTTTAAAATCTATCCCTCGCTTTTTTATTTTTCATATCCAAAACAACAAGAAAGTGAAAATGGAGAAAGGTTGGCTAAATAATGATAAAATACATTGTGATTTTCTTCCCATTGAAAAGAAAAAAATCTTTCCGGTAACTAATTAAATATGTATACGATGTACTAATTGAAATTGTTTCTATCTTGTTTTAGTTACCACGCTAATCTTTTCAACAATCATTCTTTCATAGTTTCATCCTATTCTACTACGTATGTTTTTATCAAATTCGATATTTTTATTTTATCTTTAGCTCCTTGATGGTTTCCATCTTTCATTGTTTCTTCATTATTAAAGTTCCCGCAAACGCGCATTATAAATAACTCTAAAAGAGTACAAAGTCTTGACTATTATTGTCATATTTAAAACACCTTTTTTATTTATGAAAATAGATGATAGGGACCTCGAAAAAGCCCCATTTTTCTTTAAAATAGCAACCGGTTTTTCTTCCAATTTAATCTTCCACAAAGAACTAGTGACTGCTCTTTTAAAGAGTTGAAATGGGGAAATAAAGAAAATTCAATTTTAGGCATTTTAAAGCATTTCTACACTTGGGCTAAACAAACATATTCAATTTAGGAAGGTTTCTCACACATTTTACAAATTTATTACTATTTTATTTAAATCTATATTATCACTTCATATGTATGTATGTATGTCCTATACTTGTATAACATTTTCTAACCCCACATTGGTCTTGATATCGGGGTTCACAAATCTATTATCTATGTACATATAAGTTGCATTTTCTGCTTCATCTTTTGTTTTGCCTAATAATGGGGGGTTTCTTTTTGCTTTCAATATTTTCACGTACATTTAGCTTTGACAATAAAGAACGATTGCTTTTTTCGCTTTCTAAAAATTTCCCGACATTCTTTTTTCTCTGCACATATACTATTTATGTATTGCTTCAACGTTTTTTTATTTGTACTTCAATAATATTTGTGCATAGAGCTTCTCAAACCTCCTATATAACAAGCATTTCATTGCTTGTTTGTCATTGCGTGAGATAGTGAAAGGAGAAACGCGCGGTTTTTTACTCCAGACTTTTTGGCCGCTTCCGACAACGATTGCTTTTCTTTTTTCAATCTTTTCTTGTGTTTGCCATTTTTTGACTGCTTCAGCCTTTCTATTTTTTTTAAATTTTGTGTAGTATGAAAATAAATCGCCTTTCTTCATTAATTTTACTTAAATTTATTTAAAATTTCTAAACATCAAAACTCACTACTTAAAAATCATTTTTAGCTTGTTCTTAATTTATATAAATATTTTTTATTTTTAGATTCTTGCAAAAAAACTTTTGAGGAGAAAAACTTTGCTGCTTCTCTAAACGCAACAATCACTGCCACATTACCACTTTGCCTATAAAGACAACGGATAGAGCCTTGAGAAAAAATTGAATTTCTTTTTCTCCTTTAAAGTTTTCAATAAAGATAGAAAATTCGCTCAAACAATAACGTCTCATTTTTGCTTATAAAAATGACTGGCCAAAAAAGATTGTCGACATATTGGCCCAACCGATTCATCTTTTCTAGTCAATTTCTATTGCTTCCCTTCACTATTATCTTGCTGATATTTCCAATTGTTAATGCCGAGGTTTGTTTTTGTATTATAAATATAAATGAATTAATTTTTGGATATTTATTTCGAAATTCAAAATTTTTTGTTTATTTCCTAATAATTCTGACTTTTTTCTATAGCCTTATTTTTCAGAGTAGGTGTAATTATGTTACGCTTGTCAAATGTTTTATCGAAATTCTTGACGAGTGGACTTGGACACTTTATGAGCTAAAAGATAATGTTGTGACAATAAACAATGATCAGTGTCAGCACCTTAGAGAATTGGACAAATGCATTCAGGCGAGAAAATTTGAAATACCTGAGATTATTAAAATGAGTACAATCTATTTTATGGTTTAATTAAAGATTTTATAAAATAGAAAATATTGTTTATCGACAATTTGCAGGTGTTATTTACCTTTCTCGGATTTTGTTTATTTTTTTGATTATTTCTTTTCAGGATGAAGGTCCTGAACAACACGAATGTAGTCATTCAGAGGTTGTAGCTGCTAGTAATACAGTTAGTGATTTGTTAACCCACAGAAAGAATTCTGGCAGCTTTCTTAAGGTTTTTTTATTAAAATAATTTAATTATTCCGTTTAAAATGCAGAGTTACTATTTGCTTACTTATGCATGTTCAGACGAAGGTCAGAAAATGCTTAGTGAGCACAGACCATGTCTCTCAAGGGAACGTATTGGTGAAATGACCATTAGTGCAGGTTATTTTTAAAGAAATCCTATTATGTAATAATGAAAATTGCAGGCACCTACCTCAGCGAAAAATTTTTGGATCATCCGGATGAGGAAGTTTGTACTGCTGTGAATAATAAATTACAAGAATATATGGAGGCAATGGCAGGTCTTTGTCGTGAGGAAGCTTCTTTGATTATGTGTCGTTCGCTTACTGGAATGTTTAAGGTTATTAAATTAATCATAGGTGATTTTTGTATGAAACAATCTCTTCATGCTGGATGGACCGGGTTACTCGAAACCCAGTCTTTGTTCCGACCCGACTTTTTTCTCAATCCATCCCTTCTCTTCATGCAGTTTTAATTTTTCATTTTTGTCTAGGGTCTACACTCTGATAAACTGGCTGATTGCGAATTTAGTTGTCTTAGAAAGCAAGAAAGTTCTCAACGCGATTCACAACAAGAACAACCTCAACAAGACCAGCAATACGACGAAAATTCTACTGCAGAAGAGGGAGACGAAGGTGAAGCAAATCAAGGAGAGACAGAACATCTGACCGGTGGAAGTATTGGAGGAAAAACACAAAAGCTATGGTGGATAATGATAATAGTAGCATTGTTTGTAATCACAGCTTCGTTGATCGGTCTTTAATAATTGCTAAATACTTATTCAAATGGTTGTGTGTTCGTTGATAAGATGTATAGAAATTGAAAAGGAATTAATAGTATAGTTATCATATTTCGATTAGAGCTTTGTTCTTTAAATTTGACTTTCCTTTCGTACACATGGAGATGATTTTAACTTTCCCCATTCTCAAAACTAGTCACTTTTAGAAATTATTCTTTTACATCTTTTATTTTTTCCACAATTATATGTTGCAAAAAATTTCATTATATAATGTTAAAATAAATAAATACACGTTTTATAATACGTATTCAAGTAACCTTAATTTTATATCTACTTTAAGAAAATATTTTTCACATACAATTAAAAATTGGTTTCAGAACCCTTCAAAACATTCAGAACAGGTCTGTTTCTCTAAATCGTTTGGAGTCTTTCCATCGAGTGTAATTTTTCAAAAGTAGCTTTAAATTTTTTACTCCATTTCGAGCAATTGACAGAATAACGACTTGACACTTTGACATTTTCCAAAATTAAATTAACAAAATTAATTTGTGTTAATATTTCGTTCAAATTCATTTGGCGTCACTTATCGATTTTCATTAGTTTCCGGAGTTTGCATTTTCTTTTGTTATGTTTAATGATTTTTTACTCCTAATCTTCTAAATTCTAATTTTTCAGATATCATTTTAAAAATGTCTAAAGCAAACGTTGTCGGTATCCTTGGTAAGACTTATTCCTGTGTTGGTGTATTCCAGCATGGAAAAGTCGAAATCATTGCTAATGATCAAGGTTTGTTTTCTGGATCAGGTTACGTGTTCTAACTTTATTTCTTCAGGAAATCGCACGACTCCATCTTATGTGGCTTTCACGGACACTGAACGTCTGATTGGTGACGCTTCTAAAAATCAGGTAGCAATGAATCCGACGAACACTGTTTTGGGTATTTTCTTATATTTTTTGTTTAAACAAGTCAAATCTCATTTCAGACGCAAAGCGCTTGATTGGACGCAAGTGTGACGATCCAGCCGTTCAATCGAACATGAAGCATTGGCCGTTCAAGGTTATCCAAGGAGAAGGTGCTCGTCCAAAAATCCAAGTGGAGATTAAATGAGAAATGAAGGCGTTCTCTGAGGTTTGATTTGGAGTTTAACTTTGTTTAAGCTTAACTTTTGGTTTTAAGGAAGTCTCCGCCATGGTCTTGACTAAGATGAAGGAAACGGCTGAGTGAGGCATTTTTGGGTCAGACGGTCAAAGATGCTGTCATCACTGCGATGGCTGCGTATTTTAACGACAGTCAACGCCAAGCCACAAAGGATGCTGGAACGATTTCTGGACTTAATGTTTTGCGTATCATCAACGAGCCAACTGCTACGGCCATTGCTTATGGTTTGGATAAGAAAGGCCAGGGCGGGCGCAACGTTCTGATTTTTGACTTAGGCGGTGGAACTTTTGATGTGTCTATTTTGACTATTGAAGATGGTTTTTTTGAGGTCAAGTCGACTGCTGGAGACACTCATCTTGGAGGCTAAGATTTTGACAATCGAATGGTTTGGAGTTTTTTGAGGTTTTCTAAACTGAAAATATGTTTTTTAAGGTCAACCATTTTGTTGCTGAATTCAAGCGTAAACACAAGAAGAATCTTGCGACCAATCCGCGTGCTCTCCGTCGTCTTCGTACTGCTTGTGAACTGGCTAAGAGGACTTTGTCTATCTCCACTCAAGCGAGGTTATTTCTGATTTTTTTGACCTTAACTTGAATCGATTTTAGCATTGAGATTGACTCTCTCTTTGATGGAATCAACTTCTACACCAACATCACGCGTGCATGTTTTGAAGAGCTTTGCGCTGATTTGTTCCGCAGTACTATGGATCCAGTTGAGAAATCAATTCATGATGCTAAGATGGACAAGTCTCAGATTCATGACATTGTTTTGGTTGGAGGCTCGACTCGAATTCCAAAAGTCCAGAAGCTTCTGTCTGACTTCTTTTCTGGCAAAGAACTCAATAAGAGCATCAACCCGGACGAAGCTGTCGCCTATGGAGCTGCTGTTCAGGCTGCAATTTTGTCTGGCGATAAGTCTGAGAATGTTCAGGTATATTTTTTAGGAGAGTTTTTTGAGGGAAAACTTGAAAAAATTTTTTAAGGATCTTCTTCTTTTGGACGTTGCCCCACTCTCGATGGGAATTGAAACTGCTGGTGGCGTCATGACTCCGTTAATCAAGAGAAACACGACTATTTCCACCAAGACTTCTCAAACGTTCACTACCTATTCTGACAATCAGCCTGGTGTTCTTATTCAGGTTGGAAAAAATTTTGAAAAATTTTTTGAAATTTTCTTTTTTAAAGGTCTATGAAGGTGAACGCGCTATGACAAAGGACAACAACTTGTTGGGAAAATTCGAATTGAGTGGAATTCCTCCTGCTCCTCGTGGTGTTCCTCAAATCGAAGTCACCTTTGACATTGACGCCAACGGAATTTTGAATGTTTCTGTCCAAAACAAGTCGACTGGAAAGCAAAACAAGATCACCATCACTAATGACAAGGGACGTCTTTCCAAAGATGAGATTGAGCGTATGATCCAAGAGGCTGAGAAATATCGTGGCGAGGATGAGATTTAGTGTGATTGTGTTTCGGCTAATGTAAGAATGGACTTGAGTCTTACTGCTTTAACATCAAGCAGACAATGGATGATGATAAGGTTTGCTTTTGAGGGATAAAGTTGGGCTTGGTTGTCTTAGGAATGGGTTTTCTCGTTTGAGGGTTGTATGTTTAGGTTGGTGATAGGATGTGCCGTCTTTAGGGATGAACTGGGAATAGAAAAGGGTGTTTTGTGTGGTGATGATCTGGGGGAAAAGGAGCTTCCTTAAGGTTATTAGCTTGGGTTAGGGATGAGATGTCCTGTTGGGGTATGAGATAGATTGTTTTCGGCCTTTCTGTTCTGACCCTTTCGTTTTCTGAATCCGTCAGGGTCCACTCTCTTATATGGGACTTGTTTAATTTTTCAAAAATTTTTCAGCTCAAGGATAAGATTAGTGAGGACGATAAGAAGAAGGTTTTGGACAAATGTCAGGAAACGCTCTCTTGGTCAGACGCAACCAAACTGCTGAGGAGAAGGAAGAATTTGAGCATTATCAAAAGGAATTGGAAGCTATTTGCAATCCGAGCATTTCGAAGCTTTTTTGCTTTAACATCAAGCAACCAATGATGATAAGGTTTGATTTTGAAGGGATTAAAGCAGGGATTGGGTGTCTTGGGGTTGCATTGCTTGGATGTGGTTGTGGTGTTTTCTTTGGTGATGAGCTTCGGGCAGAGATACGCTGTACCGTTAGGGGATGAGCTGGAGACAGGGTCGGGTTGTCTTCCGCATTTCAATTTCTGACCCTTCGTTTTTCCACTTATAATAATTTCTCTCAAATTTTTGCATTTTTAATTTTAAAGGTATTATGCAGATGTGTGCATCAACAACAATCTTCGTGTACATGTGAGGCCATAAACATCAACAGCAACACAATGTCAAGAATTGGATGGCGAGAAGTGTAAAAAATGAGCATTGTGCAACAAATGGATGATGTATTACAAAGATGAGAGAAGCTAAAAATGTGGCAAAGATGCTTCCGCCACATTAAAAGGTCTAAAAGATATTTGAATGAAATTTGTTTTTATAATATTTTTTTGTGCTTTTCCGTTTGCGTCGAATTTTTTTATCTTTTTAAGTACAAAATGTTATCAAAACAGCAAAATTCTTAGATGGAAAAACGGAAAAGCACAATTAAGCCACTTGTAAAAAAAGGATTTTTGCGGATTCGTTTAGAAGAAAGCAAAAAGGCCTTTTCTTTACAAGTGGTATTTTTTATCACATAATTTTTTTGTTGGTTAAAAATGGGTTTGGCCCCTCCCCCGGGTTTACCCATCGCCCAACTCTTCCAAGCTCCGAGAGCTTCAGACACTCCTAAACTCTAAAAGCGATCCAACGTGTCGCCTTCTTTTTTTCTTAAAATGCGCACTTTTTCTATAATGAAAACCCAGATGTATTCCACAAAGTTCATTTATTACCGCTCCTATCGAACTGCAAAAACTCAACTAGGTTCAGGCTTTCATACCTCCGAGTTATATCCAAAGGCACGGGTTCTTATTCAATAGGTGTAGACAGTAGGGCACTTAGACCTTAGATTTGATTAGAACCCCCCCCCCCCCCCCCTTCCTGCACTTCAACGGTCCTTCTACGACTTCAACTGCTCCTGCCAGACTTCTACAACTTCAACTGCTCCTGCCAAACGTCTACAACTTCAACTGCTCCTGCCAGCGGTCTACAACTTCAACTGCTCCTGCCAGCCATCTACAACTTCTACTGCGGTGACTCTACTGTCCCCCGGGCCCCGATACGGTACTCTAATCCCTTCCCGGGTCCAATATAGTGCTCTACTGTCCATACCTATTTTATAAGACCCACCTTTCTTCCCCACATCCAAGACTGACCCAAATTTACTTCCCAATTCGTCCCAGACAAAACGTCACACCCCAATTCGTCCCTCGGACAAAACGTCACTCCCCAATTCGTCACAGACAAAACGTCACACCCCAATTCGTCCCTCGGACAAAACGTCACTCCCCAATTCGTCCCAGACAAAACGTCACTTCCCATTTTGTCCCACGGACAAAACGTCACTCCCCAATTCGTCCCACAGACAAAATGTCACTCCTCAATTTGTCCCAAGGACAAATTGTCACTTCCAAAAATGGCCCACACTGAAAATCCCGCACTGAACTGACCGACCCCCCTTCTCAAAAAATATTCTCTCCATAGGTTCAGGCTTTCATACCTCCGAGTTATATCCAAAGGCACGGGTTCTTATTCAATAGGTGTAGACAGTAGGGCACTTAGACCTTAGATTTGATTAGAACCCCCCCCCCCCCCCCCCCCCCCCCCCCCTTCCTGCACTTCAACGGTCCTTCTACGACTTCAACTGCTCCTGCCAGACTTCTACAACTTCAACTGCTCCTGCCAAACGTCTACAACTTCAACTGCTCCTGCCAGCCATCTACAACTTCTACTGCGGTGACTCTACTGTCCCCCGGGCCCCGATACGGTACTCTAATCCCTTCCCGGGTCCAATATAGTGCTCTACTGTCCATACCTATTTTATAAGACCCACCTTTCTTCCCCACATCCAAGACTGACCCAAATTTACTTCCCAATTCGTCCCAGACAAAACGTCACACCCCAATTCGTCCCTCGGACAAAACGTCACTCCCCAATTCGTCACAGACAAAACGTCACACCCCAATTCGTCCCTCGGACAAAACGTCACTCCCCAATTCGTCCCAGACAAAACGTCACTTCCCATTTTGTCCCACGGACAAAACGTCACTCCCCAATTCGTCCCACAGACAAAATGTCACTCCTCAATTTGTCCCAAGGACAAATTGTCACTTCCAAAAATGGCCCACACTGAAAATCCCGCACTGAACTGACCGACCCCCCTTCTCAAAAAATATTCTCTCCATAGGTTCAGGCTTTCATACCTCCGAGTTATATCCAAAGGCACGGGTTCTTATTCAATAGGTGTAGACAGTAGGGCACTTAGACCTTAGATTTGATTAGAACCCCCCCCCCCCCCCCCCTTCCTGCACTTCAACGGTCCTTCTACGACTTCAACTGCTCCTGCCAGACTTCTACAACTTCAACTGCTCCTGCCAAACGTCTACAACTTCAACTGCTCCTGCCAGCGGTCTACAACTTCAACTGCTCCTGCCAGCCATCTACAACTTCTACTGCGGTGACTCTACTGTCCCCCGGGCCCCGATACGGTACTCTAATCCCTTCCCGGGTCCAATATAGTGCTCTACTGTCCATACCTATTTTATAAGACCCACCTTTCTTCCCCACATCCAAGACTGACCCAAATTTACTTCCCAATTCGTCCCAGACAAAACGTCACACCCCAATTCGTCCCTCGGACAAAACGTCACTCCCCAATTCGTCACAGACAAAACGTCACACCCCAATTCGTCCCTCGGACAAAACGTCACTCCCCAATTCGTCCCAGACAAAACGTCACTTCCCATTTTGTCCCACGGACAAAACGTCACTCCCCAATTCGTCCCACAGACAAAATGTCACTCCTCAATTTGTCCCAAGGACAAATTGTCACTTCCAAAAATGGCCCACACTGAAAATCCCGCACTGAACTGACCGACCCCCCTTCTCAAAAAATATTCTCTCCATAGGTTCAGGCTTTCATACCTCCGAGTTATATCCAAAGGCACGGGTTCTTATTCAATAGGTGTAGACAGTAGGGCACTTAGACCTTAGATTTGATTAGAACCCCCCCCCCCCCTTCCTGCACTTCAACGGTCCTTCTACGACTTCAACTGCTCCTGCCAGACTTCTACAACTTCAACTGCTCCTGCCAAACGTCTACAACTTCAACTGCTCCTGCCAGCGGTCTACAACTTCAACTGCTCCTGCCAGCCATCTACAACTTCTACTGCGGTGACTCTACTGTCCCCCGGGCCCCGATACGGTACTCTAATCCCTTCCCGGGTCCAATATAGTGCTCTACTGTCCATACCTATTTTATAAGACCCACCTTTCTTCCCCACATCCAAGACTGACCCCAAATTTACTTCCCAATTCGTCCCAGACAAAACGTCACACCCCAATTCGTCCCTCGGACAAAACGTCACTCCCCAATTCGTCACAGACAAAACGTCACACCCCAATTCGTCCCTCGGACAAAACGTCACTCCCCAATTCGTCCCCAGACAAAACGTCACTTCCCATTTTGTCCCACGGACAAAACGTCACTCCCCCAATTCGTCCCACAGACAAAATGTCACTCCTCAATTTGTCCCAAGGACAAATTGTCACTTCCAAAAATGGCCCACACTGAAAATCCCGCACTGAACTGACCGACCCCCCTTCTCAAAAAATATTCTCTCCATAGGTTCAGGCTTTCATACCTCCGAGTTATATCCAAAGGCACGGGTTCTTATTCAATAGGTGTAGACAGTAGGGCACTTAGACCTTAGATTTGATTAGAACCCCCCCCCCCCCCTTCCTGCACTTCAACGGTCCTTCTACGACTTCAACTGCTCCTGCCAGACTTCTACAACTTCAACTGCTCCTGCCAAACGTCTACAACTTCAACTGCTCCTGCCAGCGGTCTACAACTTCAACTGCTCCTGCCAGCCATCTACAACTTCTACTGCGGTGACTCTACTGTCCCCCGGGCCCCGATACGGTACTCTAATCCCTTCCCGGGTCCAATATAGTGCTCTACTGTCCATACCTATTTTATAAGACCCACCTTTCTTCCCCACATCCAAGACTGACCCAAATTTACTTCCCAATTCGTCCCAGACAAAACGTCACACCCCAATTCGTCCCTCGGACAAAACGTCACTCCCCAATTCGTCACAGACAAAACGTCACACCCCAATTCGTCCCTCGGACAAAACGTCACTCCCCAATTCGTCCCAGACAAAACGTCACTTCCCATTTTGTCCCACGGACAAAACGTCACTCCCCAATTCGTCCCCACAGACAAAATGTCACTCCTCAATTTGTCCCAAGGACAAATTGTCACTTCCAAAAATGGCCCACACTGAAAATCCCGCACTGAACTGACGACCACCCCCCTTCTCAAAAAATATTCTCTCCATAGGTTCAGGCTTTCATACCTCCGAGTTATATCCAAAGGCACGGTTCTTATTCAATAGGTGTAGACAGTAGGGCACTTAGACCTTAGATTTGATTAGAACCCCCCCCCCCCCCTTCCTGCACTTCAACGGTCCTTCTACGACTTCAACTGCTCCTGCCAGACTTCTACAACTTCAACTGCTCCTGCCAAACGTCTACAACTTCAACTGCTCCTGCCAGCGGTCTACACTTCAACTGCTCCTGCCAGCCATCTACAACTTCTACTGCGGTGACTCTACTGTCCCCCGGGCCCCGATACGGTACTCTAATCCCTTCCCGGGTCCAATATAGTGCTCTACTGTCCATACCTATTTTATAAGACCCACCTTTCTTCCCCACATCCAAGACTGACCCAAATTTACTTCCCAATTCGTCCCAGACAAAACGTCACACCCCAATTCGTCCCTCGGACAAAACGTCACTCCCCAATTCGTCACAGACAAAACGTCACACCCCAATTCGTCCCTCGGACAAAACGTCACTCCCCAATTCGTCCCAGACAAAACGTCACTTCCCATTTTGTCCCACGGACAAAACGTCA